AAAGTCAAAAATCAAAGTAGTTTTTGAATTACTTCCAATTAACGGAAAGAGAACAACCCTATAAACTCAAAAAAATTTAAAAAGATCATATTTTTCCACCGAAACCTCAGCTTTTCCCAATAAATGTCCAATAAGTAGGCGTATCCATCCATTGTTGCATTTTCAATGACTTTCTGTTCCCTTTCCAAAAAAGAAAAAAAGAAAAAATCAAAACTTTCCCTCCAACTATTTTTCTTCGGAAAACGATGAGGAGGATTTTTGAAATATATATATTTGCTTTCCCAAGAAGTTTGCAATGGCGCGACTTTCGTCATCGAAATTAAGCGCCGAGTCCAATTATTAGTTTCCTGAGGATTTTTCATTTTTCGTCGGGAGTAGGCGAAGATTCCACTTTGTTTTCGGGATTGCTACCAACTCGGATCCTTCTCCCATTTTCCACTCGCTGAATCTGTTCCCAATTCGATTACCTGCCTTTTTTTGGGGAGGAGATGTGATGAGAACTGGTCCTTTTTTTCGGCTCATTGTTTATTTTTTTGATTTTTTTAGTGAAAAAAATCTAACAATTTTTCATTCTTTGATTTACTTGTCTTATTTAAACACGAAAAACACAAAGTGAAGCGTTTGAAAAATTATGTTAAAACCTACGTAATTTTTTGAAAAATTTGATTTTTTCTTCACCCATCGACTTTTTTTTTTCAAAAAGAGGATATTTTTTTTTTTTGCGGAAAAACTTTTTGATTTTTTTCTTTGCCTCAAGAAGGCTCGGGTCCATTTCTGAGAATGAAAAGGGGAATTAAAATGAGAAGAATAAAACTTTATTTTTTCCCCTATACTCTAATCGATTTCTTTGGCTCAGATTCTGAAAAAATGAGATGAAATTAATGAATTTTAAGAAAATACTGAAAAGTGAAGTTCAAAACTATGAGCATGTTTCTTTCTCTTTTTTGCTGCTCCTTTTAATTCTCTGAGTTTATTCAAAGTTTTTCTATTTCCCTTCCCATCCATACCTTGAAAATAACTCAAAAAGTAGTATGGTCAGGATTAAAAAAGACTTCTTGCAACATTGCCCTCGAAGACATTTTTTTGATACATTTTCCATATTTATATTAATCTCATTGTCATTAATCTTCTCTTGACATTTCCCACGGAGCTTATCGTAAGGCGATTTTATTTATGGATCGGTTAGTTTTTAATTTTTGACCTGGAAAAAAATAAGGCAAAGGGGGGGGTAAATTTCTGTGTCGGAAAAAGGAAAAAAAGTCGCAATTTTTCCTTTGGATGATTTTTGAACTGAAAAATTTGAACAGTAGAATTTTTTTCGGATGCAAAATTGTTTAATTTTTAAGTTCTTAGGAAATTTCGCCAATTTAGAAACTTTGGAAAAATTTTTTTATTCTTACTGGAAACCGAGGACGGCTAGGAATTTTCTGAAGTTTTTCTATTTTTTTGAAATTTTCAAAAAAACAAGTAATGCCAAGGTCCAAAAATCTCTCGTTCTTTATTCCTTTCATATACCTCTTCAATTTTGGTCCTTCAAGTTGAAAAAAATTCAGAAAATCTGTAATTTTTTTCATTATTTTGAATAAAAAAATCCTTCCATTTTTGCTTCTAGACTGGAAAAACCTATGAATAAAAGGATTTTGAAAATATTTTTTCGCGACAAAAGCCTTTGGAATTCCATTATCTTGTCGAATCAAGGACCAGCCAACGTCACAAATTGTTTTACCTTGTTTAAAATTGTTTGCTTTCAAAAGCGTAGGACGGAGACCTGCGAACCTTCTTTGTGACTCACTTTTTTCGCCTTGTTCTTCGGATTTTCGTGCCTCTTCGCTTTACTCATTTTCTGAATTAAAGGTGATGAAAATAACAAGAAGACTACTGAAAGTCAGAAAAGAAAGGAGAAACGAATGAGTTCGTACAGCTCCCTCAACCAGCTCATTCCCAACGAGGAAAGCTTCACCTTGCGAAGTTTCTCCATGGTTTGTTTCTTCCATTTTTCATGGTTTTTGAAAATTATATTTGCTTTTCATAGTCTATTGTCCATATATTTTTTAATAATATCGGCAAAAATTGAAAAATTGAATCTGGGAATTTGAAAAGTTCGTGATAAGTTTTGGCCTTTTTTGATAATATTCTGGCTTAAAAAACCGTGTTTTCACAGTGTTGCGGATGTCATTTAAAAGCTCGATCTAAGAATCATATATACTTTCAAGCGCAAGCCGCTTTAGGTCGGGCGAATCTTATGAAAATCGCTTTGTAGCCTGAACGCGTAGAGCCATTCTAAACGCGGCCATTTTTTCAAGTCGAAGCAAAAGTATTATAATATAACATCCAATTTCTTTAATCTGGCTTTTCTGCTAATTAAATTGAGGTTTTTGAGAAATTCAAAATGAAATATGTAGTATCTTTCCACTGTTTTTCTGAATAAACTTATGGACTTTTCAAAGTTTTGTACCTTGTTTTTCACACCTAAGCTTTTCGTTACTTAGATCCTCAATTTTTGTCGCATTAAAATTTTATTTTTTTTCGCTCTTTTTTGGTTATCCATATGAATTTACAACGGTACTGAATAATGTAAAAATTGATTTTTATGCCCATGATTTGAAACAGTAAACTGCGATTAAACAACTTTTTAGATTTTCTATTATGAAAATTTACACGAGGATTTTTTTTTTTAATTTCATTAAAATGTGCAAAATTATACCAGTTTCTCGAAAAATTTTCAAATCCGCATATTACGGAAATTTTCATTGCTCTTGAAGGTATCCCTCTAGGGACCACCTTATCTCCCCTTCCAGGGGCCAATAAAGCTTGCAAAAGTGGCCACTCTAGGGACCACTATAAGGACCATTTAAGTTTAAGGGGCCTATACCCTGAACGAAGAAAATCTTTTTTCCCTAGCCCCTCTAAAGACCAGAGAATCTTTGCATTTTTGGCTTTCTTGTAGATTTCGCTTTATATATTTTTTTCGAAATGATATTCAAAGTCAAAAAAATTGATAGTAAAGTGTGATCGGCGGCATAATGAAAAAATTAAGCTTGAAAATTACTTTCAGGAGTTATTTACAAAAAAAAAAGTTTTTAATCACTGGAATCTTCAATTCTCTTCTTTTTTCAATTTTTTTGGCCTCATAAAAGAGACCAAAATGTCATGTTTGCCCCCACGTTGACCATCTTACACACAAAACACGTGCAAACTACGATCAACCCTTTTTTTTCGACTACGGTAGCAAAAATTTGCTTCCCGTTGACTGTTCCGTTTCCTCGAAGTTGTGGGCGGAACCTTCTTTTCTTTTTTTTCGGAATCATTCTTGACTCCGCCCATTTATTATCTCTGTCCCTTGACAACAAATCTCAGTTATTTGAATATTCCTACTGTATTATCTAATTTCTCAAATGAGAAGGTTACGGTAGCTTCTTTTGGCAGCTGTAAATTCAACATGGGCACTATCACTTTTTTGATCTACGGGTTACCTGTGAGTTTTTCTGATTTTCTACAGTAATCTGTGATTTTTCTAGTTTTGAGGAGTTTTCATGGTTTTTATAGTAAGAATAACTTTTTTTTAAGATTCAAGAATCTGTAGAATCTGTAAATGATGATAAAGTCTAGCAGAAAACGACTAGAAAACAAAATAGCCGGCTAAAACAAATTTCGACGTCAGTAAGTGCGCTCCATTGCTAAAAGATCAATTTCATATGTTTTTTGATTATTCAATAAAAAAAATCACAGTGCACCAATATACGTCATGTTTTCTTCAAAAAGGAACTACCGTAGACATTTTGCGGAGGGAATATTAGGCCATAATTCGATTTTTGAGCTGAATTTCTTTTGGTTCATATTATTTGATGACGATTCCCGCGAAAATATGTGATATCAACTTCAGATTTTTTTGTGTTGGTCGGGAATTTTCCCGCTTTTTGATTTGAAGATTGCAAAAACTTGATTCAAATTTCCTCAAAAAAAGTTCTTTTCTTAAAACAGAATAGCTGAAATTTCAAAGCTTTTTGCTGGAATAAAAAATAGATTAGCTATTTTTTGACACGAGGAAAAAAACTGGGAGTTCGCCTTTCTATGAGATTTTGAACTTCAGACCTAATAAGTTCATGAAAATCGCACTTTTTTGAATATTGAAATTTGCAGTAATTTGCTTAGTATTACTTAAATTAACGCTCAAAAAATACCTAGGAGTAGGGTTTTTCATAGGATTTATTTTATGCTTCCATAGTTACCTCATTTTCAACCTTAAATTTCAGAAATTTTCGAAAATCAGCCAAAAATCTTATTGATGAGATTTATCCTGAAGTTCTTGATCTACAGAGATTATCAGTTTTTAAAAATTCTCAATTTTCATTTTTTTTTATTTCTCGTATGGAACTAGAGCCTTGAGCTTACTTTTTCGAGGACAACAAAAGTTTTCCAGTTTTGAAAACTCGGGGTTTTCATTTTGTATAGTCTGTGTGCCAGGACTTGAAATTTCACGGAACGACATTCCGCTGTTCCGCTGCGTGCGTTCGCGAAGCGTCTTTCGAATTTAGGTTGTTTGTTATTGCTGTGGGAGCACATGAAAGTAGAGTACCTCAATAAAAGAAGAAAAAAAAAAATTAAAAGCGCGACTAGAGTTTGCAAAGGCGCGTAGCGGAACAGCGGAATGTCGTTGGGTGAAATTCCAAGTCGTGGAACACAGACTACAATCTGAAGAGCATTTTGACCGAGTATCCCCGAATTTCAGGCCTTGAGCTTCTTTATTGGTTTTTTTCTAAAAATCTTCTACATCGAATCATTTACCCATCAAACCATTTCCTCCATATTATCCACTCCAGCTTCATATCCTTACAATTTAAGAGAAATGAGACGTTAAATGGATTTATTGGTGGGAAAGGCGGCGTGAGATGGAAGGAAACGCGTTCCTCACAATGTGATTAGGTCGCCCGAGTTTTCCCAGGGACAAAACCGAGATCCGTGACCCTCAGCCCCGTCGCCCGACCTGAGGCGACTCGGCCATGGAGCTGAACCCGATCCGGCACCATGCCTACAAAGTCCTCCTCAACCGCGACTCCCAGATGTCCTGCAACTACACCACTTTCACTGAGAGTCAGCCGCAGGCCACGGTAATGAGGGTCTTGAAGGGATTTCCCCTTGTTTCTCGTTAAGTTAATCAGACAACTTTTAAAGGCAGTAGACCCGTCCTTCTAAGTTTTCCAAAATTAAAGTTTTTACTACCCCCCTCAGGCTTAAACTTGTATGTGGACTACCTCCGTGAAGTTGAATTTTGATCTTATTCCTTCTTTTCTGAAATATACTTTTCTAAAATGATCAACTTTTTTTGTTGTCTTTTTTTCTGGTAGGAATGCGCCAAATTTGGCTCAAAGTTCGACTTCTAAAGGAAATAAAAAAACTAGAAAAATGTATTTTTTTAAAAGCTTACTTAGATCTGGACTTAATTTTGTCTTTAAGGAGTTTAATTTCATTTGATTTGGCCGGCTAAAATTTTTTTCTAAGAGCTTTACAGAAATTTTGGAGTAAATATTCAAAATCAGAGTGAAAAAGCTGGTTATAGAGATCATTTGCTATTAATTTAAAAATCTCATTTTAAGCCCCTTTTTTTAAAGAGATAAGAATGATTTTTTTGAAGATTCTTCTCGTTTTTTTAAGATTCTTTTATCTTTCCTATCTTTTTCTCGGCGTTCCCTGAACCCGGCTCGAAAATTTCATTTTTTTTATTTTCCAGAAAAAAATGGATTATTTTTTTCTTGATTAAAAGCTTACCCTGCAAATAATTCGATTTTCAAGCTTCTTCTAGATTTTTTTGCCTTTTGACGGGTTTCCACCGACTTTTTAAGCTACTAACAATATTTTTTTAAAATGAAATTCATTTTTTTCAATTTGTTTTTTATTGCTCAGTAACTATTTGAAACGTAGACTGAACTGAAAGGCTGAAAAAATCCCAGTTTCTTTATTTTAACCCAATCTGTTTCAAACCTAGGGTAAATATCGAAAAAATAGTTTCTTTACTACAAAGTTTTCTATCGAAGCGTTCTATTCAAGTATTAAATTTCATGCTCAAAGGAAAATAGCGTATTTTCCGTGAACTCAACGATTTTTTGGATTTTTTTTTTCATTTGGGTATTTTTTAAACGTTTTTTTTAATTTCCTAAAATTTTTTTCTTTTTTTCTAGCTTTTATAAATCTATTCAAAATAATATTTTTCCAGAAACTTGAAAAAAATCAAACAATTATTTTCCAACCTCCAGATTTAATTCATTTATGTGCGTGGGATCTCACCTTTTGTTGGTTTTCAAAGGGATTCTTCCCTAATTCAAAGTCTTCATGACGAATTTCATCATCATGTCTTTTGCTTTGTTAAGAATTTCTTTTGATACAAGATTAAATGGAATAATAAGCACTGATTTCGGAACAAAAATCTGTTTTTCGACAACATCTCAGCTGAAACAATTGCACATAATCTCTTAACAAAAAAAGACTTTGTCCTCTCGATTGGCGTCATAATTATATTGACAAACTAGATTTGCGGTTTCTAATGAAGTTCAAGGCAAGTTTTTGGAACCTTTTTTGGACTTTCCAAGGTTTCGTGGACTTTATGAACTACCCGATCATGATTGGCCACTTTTTATGATTTGTTGACGTTCCAAGGAAGAAATAAATAAGGTGCCAAATGTGCTCGAGGGCAAACGCGGAAATTCTTGCCAATTTCTGGCCGCCCACACGATTTTCCTCTTCATTTACTGTGGGAAAGTGATGTTTCTTTTTTTCTGAATTTGCTAAGGGGATTTTTTCTAGAAAAGTCCCACGACTACTTTTAAAATTTGTAGTTTCTCAAGATTTTTGAGTCGGGCTTGATTGGAGAAATGAATAGATTAAGTGAGTGAAAATTTCCTGCAACTTGGAGGGTTATGGTCACATTTGGAATGGCTTTTTCGGAATGCCCCCGACTTGAAACGACTTGCGCGGGGTGACATCGAATAGTATTAGAGAATTGTTGAGCCATTCCAAGTGCGACCACGATTTAAGTTGAATAGAACGAAGGTGATGAAGAAAAAAGAGTGATTTTTGGTTTTTTCAGAATGGAAATTCTCTCGAGGAAGGCAAAGTGTCATTGGCTCTATTACGGGATAATTCAGGTAATTATTTGATAAAAAAATTTTTGTGAAAATTTTAATCCTTCTAACTTTTTTCCCTGTTTCAAAGCTGTTTCATCAGATCATTCCTTATTGGAATTTTTTTCGATAAATCCCTTGCAATGAAATTTATTTTTCTTTTTGCCAACAGGGTTATTTGAAAGGGATAACAAACTTTGAAAGTTCCTAATTTTAAAGACCAAAAGTTATTATTTTTTTCATAAAAGACCTTCAAAAAAATTTCTAGTTAGCCTATTGAATAGGCAAAATCGGAAAGGGTGGAAAAAGGCTTCATAGAAATTTTCCTTTTAGGGAAAAAAGGCTCCGTTTTTGCTGCCTTTTTGGGGCATCTCACAGGCCATTTTGCACCATTTTTGCTGCCTCTCCCTTTTTCCACCATTTCTTGAGCTTTTAAAATCCCAGAAAACTGGAAGGTTCGATAAAGGGACTCTCTTTGATACCTTTCTGCGGCCTTTTTCGAGCCTCTCTCTTTTAACGGTCATTATTCACCCTTCAAACTTCACCCGAGTAGGAACGAAGTACCAATTTCTGTATTCATTCTCGAATTAAAGTTTTCCCTGAAACTGGAACCACAGTTATCCTTCTATCAATGTTCCAGGACGATCTCCTTCGCGTCGGTGTTCGGCTCGCAAGTGGCGTCTCCTCATAGCTTTTTCCGCCTTCCTTCTTCTCACCGCTCTTTTCGCCGCCACTCTCGTTTTCCACTACAGAACCTTGCGTATGTTCCTGAGTCAGATTCTGAAGCATCTAACGTCTTCTAGAAAAAAAAATAATATTGATCATTCTTACGTGGAAAGTTCACCACAAAAGTTTATGATATTCCTCTTTTTCCTTTTAAGTTCAATTTTGAACTTGTAACTCGAGTGAAGCTGGTTTCCTTCAGCTTGTACGACGGAGTCGTGCGTAAAGACGGCGGCTCGACTTCTGAAAAACATGAACGTCGCCGCCGCCCCCTGCGACGACTTCTACGAGTTCGCCTGCGGCAACTGGATCAACACCAGCATCAACCTCCACTACAACGCCTTCAACACGGTCTACGAGACGGCCATTCACGCCCAGGACACTGTTGTCAACGCTATCCAGAAAAGTTCGTTGGATTCGAAAAAAAGAGAATTTGAATTTCTAAAGATGAGCAGAGAAGTAAAAGGTGCAAGAAGAAAGCAGGAAAAGCTTTAAAAAATTAATCGAAATGCTTTTTTTAAACGTTACTATAGCCGTCTCCATTTATCACGGTTTCAAGAATCATTTCGAAAAATCACGTTTTTTTTCTTTTTTGACGGACTTTTTCTTCAAACTGAATTCCGGTCAAGTTACTAAATTTTTCTGGTCACCCCCCACAATAAGTCCGGGAGGAGGAGTTCACTTCCAAAAATTTTTTTCAAAATTAACGAATAAGGTCAAGTTTTAACTTCAGGAAGGTAAACATTTTTTTTTTACCTCCAGGAGGTAATTCTGAATTTTATTGGGAAAATCTTGGGAGGAGGGGTCAGCTTTTGAGTTTCTTCATTTATGATCCGTGTTAGTTTTTCATTGAAACAAGAAAAAAAAATGTTCAAAAATTGAGCCAGGGCTTCCATAGAGTTTGAATCTGCTTTTTGAGTCCGTAAACAACAAAATGACCTGTTTTCAGCTTCTATTTTTAGTTCAATGATCATTCTCTGTTCAGTAATCGAGGGTACCTTCGAAATGCCACTGAACGACGGCGAAAGGGCCGCGGCTGAACTCTACCGCCAATGTACCGACCTGGACACTCTCTACACCATCGGCCTCAACACCTGGCTTCGATTTGTTGATGTAAATTATTTTTTGATCATATAGTCAAAAAAAAATGCCACAACTTTTTTGAATGCTTTTATTAAATTTTTCGTCATGCGATCTAGGAAAGATTTTTGAGATATTGGCCATGAAAGGTTGCTCTATTGAGCAGAGGTTACGGTAAGCGACTTTGGTGTAGTCAGAGCTTTTGAAGGCATAGGGGCAGTAAAAAATGGGGTTTCAGGTGAAAGCAGTATCTTATACAGTTTTTCTTTGCGAATCGAATGGTGTACTCAAAAAAATTAAATATGTGACCACTTTAGAAGAAAAACGCGAACTTACTTTCCCGCCTTTATTTTTGAAAAAAGCTTTGGATCGGCCTACGGACAAATGTTTACAGTAGCCGTACACGCGATGTTGCGGACGTCTCATTAGACTTGCATTTTGTGTGAAATAACCTGATATCTGCTTCAAATAAAGGGTTCTTTCTCTGAAAAAACGATTAAGAAAATAGAAAACACACATTGATAATAAAGAAAACACAAAATATCGCTATCCCAATCGAAACCTGTGTAAAATCATCATTTTTACCAGAAAAGCATTTTTGCGACCAAAGTTTGCAAATTATACATGAATAGAAAGCTTTTGTGACGGAAAGAACTTTGGTGACAACAGAAAAAATTGAAAATTGAAAGAAACGAATAAAAAAGCGAAAATCCGGAAGATGGCGAAGCCTGTTCTCCATAGAGCAACTTTACTGCAAAGCGCCCTTTTTGCGGGAACTCAAAATTTCCTCTCTCCGACTTTGAATTATTTTTTCTCCAAAACTAGGAACTTCTGTACGTTTTCAAGTTTACCGTTCGATTCGCAATGAAAAGCTCTACAAAATACTGCTTTGAACTAAAACACCGTTTTTTACTGCCCCTATGCCTTTGAGAAGCTTTTGAGAAGAAATAAACACCTTGAAAGTTGAAATATCATTAGAAAGGCGACGAAAAGCTCTAAAAAAAAGTTTGAACCTAAATCTTATCTTAACGATGCTAGAGCGGTCCCTAGAGGGGTTAGGAGAAAAAGCAGCCCCTAAAGGGGACATATTTAGGTCCTCTCAAAGTTCAACAATGATCGTCAAGCATGTTCTTATAGGAACCACTTCTGGCCGCAAGTGGTCCCTATAGAAGGAGCTGAAGTGATCACTAAAGGGAAACCATCAAAGACCCATAAGATCGCCCCCTAGAGGGACCACTCTGGAGTTCCCAAGATGTGTTACGTCTCAAAAATGCCTCAATATGCAGGAGCTCGGCGGCTGGCTTCCTGAGCTCTACGAGCCGGAAGATGAGCTCGACGACGACGTTCGGGAAGACTTAGAACTCGAAAAAACCATCCTCAGCGCGTTCAATTACACGGTTTTCCCGCTGTTCTGGGCCGGCGTCGAAGTCAACTACCTCGATTCGTCGTCTTATCTGATCACGGTTCGTTCCTAAAAGAGAAAATGGAGATATTTTTATTGGAGTTTGAAAAATAATTTACGTCTCATTTGAATTTTTTTGTTTTGATTTTTTTTTTATTTTTTATTGCAAGTTTTCTTTATCCTCATAATAAAGATTGCTAGAAAAACCTTGTTTTCACTTTATTTTTAGCTGCTTTCTTCCTTTCTAACCTTCTCTAGCCTATTTTTTTCAAATGTTCTCAAGGTATTTTATTTTTTGATGCTAGCGTTTTGAGATTTTCTTCTTGTTCAACTTTGAATTTTTCTCTGGATCCGCTTTTTTGATAATTTTCTCAACTTAACTATGAAAAAATCAGCTTTTTCCAATCTACACAGAGAGCTTCAGGGTTTTAGTTGACCGCTTAGAAATCCCTATAGGGGTCACTTAAATTGGACCCCTATAGGGACCGTTTTAACGGATTGTGAGTAGGGTGACCGAAAAATCAAAGTCGCGAGCACAAAAAGTACCGTATCTCAATAATTACTACAGTAACCCAAGATGGAATGTACAGATAAAGTTCCTAAAATTGCATTACCTATCGATTGATATACAACTTGCCTAGAGAAAGCTTGTCAATTCTTAGATACGCAGGTGACCACCTTCCTACCGTAACCCGGTTAGAGGAAATGACTCAAAAAATCGTTTCCGCAATCCTGACGTCATATGATAACATTGGTTGAAATTTCATTGAAATCGAAAAATTTTTTTTTTTCTGTACCCGCTGTTTTTGAGAAAATTTCGAAAATTAAAGAGACAGCGTGCAAAATTGCCCCACACAGGGGTTCTTCAAACAAAAAACAAAAAAGGAACCTCTTGAAAATGTCTCAGATGCTCCCTTCACTCGGACCTTGGTAACGCGAATCGGACGTGTCGGTGCATTTCATTTTAGTGACCACTTTAGTAGCCTCAGAACTCTTAAGCGATCCCTTGAATTGTCCAGAAACGTCCGTTTTGCGAGCAAAGAAATGCGTGCGATAGAGCGCACAAGTCAGAATTGTTTGTAGATTTACGCCGATTTCAATAGCAGTTTCCAGGTATACGAACAAATGCCTCTGATGGTGTCGCCGAAAATCTACGTCTACGACGCCGAATTAACCCCCGAAATGATTTTCAGCAAACAGGCCGGACCACAGGTGCATTTCAATCAACTTTCCATCAAAAAAAATTATTTGAAACATTCAGGTGACTCGAATAATGCAAGGCGTTGGTGAAGATCTCGCCGAGCTGCTCAAATTCGACATAAATAACACAAAAGTTCGGATGTTGATCGCGGAAATGGTGCACCTCGACTGGATGATCACCACCTCCGGCACTTTTGTTCGTTTTTCATGGATTTCACGGGAGTTATCATCGATTTTGCAGTTCAACAGCGAGAAGAAAGAACGCTACGAGATCATAACCCTCCGGGAACTACAGAGAATCGCTCCAGCGGTGAGTAAAAAAAAAAGGAATTGAAGAAGATTCAGAAAAGGATACAGTAGAACTCCTTTTAAAAAAAAATTTTCACTAGGATTAAAACTAGAAAAAACGGTCAAAACGGCCTAACCAAAGCTCCTAATGAAATGGGGCAACCCGGGCGCGCCCTAGGGCCACCCGACCCGCGAGCGGTCACTTCTTCAAAATCGCCATTTTTTTCAATTTTTTCTAGCTTCTTTTCGATAATTTTCAACCTGACGGGTCAGGCCGTCCCGGATGCTTCAAATTGCGGGTCGACCCGGGCAGTCCCGTCTAGACCTACCGATACATCTAGTTTTCGAAAAAATGTCTGGGTTTTCTCGTTTTTGCATACTGTTTCATTTATCGTTCCAGGAGTAATTTTTATTTGAAAAATAATTTCAAAACAATTTTCTGTTTGAGTTTTTTCTTCATACTTCTTGAAAAACATTTTTAATAATTTTTTTTCGAGCTCCTGAGAAAATTTTTAGTGGCCACTATAGAGGCTTGCCAAGGACACTTAAGTGGCCACTAAACCCACCTCTATAGTGGTCACTTCAGTAGCTTTTCATCTTCCAGTAACTCTGATAATTTTGAAACAAACAGATTGGACCAGTTATGTTGATCCAGTGACCCCTAAAGTGGCCCCTAAAATTTTTAGTGCTCTAGTAGTAGCACTTAGACCTCTAAAAGGCCACCAATTTTTAACCCCTTGAGTGGCCACTAATTTGACTACTATAGTGGCCAAAATTTTCCTAGTCAATAAGCTTTCTGGACCTCATTCATTTGTTTTGATGATTTTTTCTTTTTATTTTGCGTTTTTTGAAAAAATTTGGATTACGCCCAATAAGTATATTTCCGTCTTACCGATTTATCTAAAACTTCTTCATTTTAGTTCCATTTTTTTCTGTCTGGAAACGTTCGAATTTTACGGGAGATTTTTAAGATCGATTGGCGGTACTTTCTCTCACGGCTTCTTGGCGTCCGCCTGAGTTTGGACGAGCCGATCGCCCTGAAAACGGGCCGAGAATGGCTGGAGAAGCTGTCGATGATCATCGGACGACTGCGAGTTTCGCGCCACGGTCTAGCAGTTCTGAAGAACTACGCGAAATGGAAGGCGATGCTCTTTCATCTCGCCTACGTCAAACCGAAAAGCGCCGATAACCTTCTTTGGGTTTCTTCTGATTTTCAAATCAAACGAAACAATTGATGTCTTCAGGCAGCAGTTGGTCTGTATTCCGGGCCGCCGATCAACCGGAAAGAGTTTTGTTTCTTGCGAGGAACCGGCATTTATCCTCTCTCTTTGCCGTCTTTATTGAGAAAGATCGATGGCTATGAGAACACGGTCAAGGTAGGATATTGAGGGAAATGTTCATTACTTTTTGAAAACTTTGAAAATTCAGCTCCAGAACCAGAATCTGAATCACAAGTTGAATTTTTGAAAATGCAGATCTCAATGCTTTGAAGTACTTCCCTCTAGCTTTAGAAAGCTTGTAGAAGAGCTCTGAAATCTGAGAAAAAGAAAAAGTACAAAATTTTGAATTTTTGAAGATACTGTGAAAAACATAAAAATTACAACAAAGTCTAATTTTAAAGTTGATTCCTATATTTTTTTCTTTCTGAATTTTTGACTCTGTGAAATCAATAAAAATTGATTTGGGAATAAGATTTCATTTTTTCCTTTTTCCGTTTCGATTTTCATCGCCTATGCTTGAATCATCTTCCTTTCGATGTTGCGAAATAATGGGAATCATTGAATTTCCTGAGTCTTCTCCCTGTTTTTCGCTCCTTTAGCATAGGCAAAGTCGGAGAGGGTGGAAAAAAGGCCTAGAAATGTTCCTTTTAGGATGACGAAGGCTGCCATTTTGCTGCCTTTTTGCGCCATTTTCTCGGCCCTTATGCACTATTTTTTCTGCTTCTCCCTTTCTCCATCATTTCTCCAGCCTTTAAAATCCCAGAAAAATGAGAGGCTCGATAAAGGGACCCTTTTTGCTGCCTTTCTGCGGCCTTTTTTGAGCCTCTCCCTTTTAGCGGCAATTTTTCACCATTCTGACTTTGCCCGAGATCTCATTTTCGTACTTCCTGTTTCAAAGTTTTCTAAATTACTTTGGAGGTTAGGAGATAATGTTAGTTTTTCGTTATTAGTTGGTCATTCATTCATTTTCACTAAATGAACTGACAAGTTCATTTCACTTTTTGCTTGGAAGTTGAACAAAAATTGATCAGAACACTTCCAGATGTACCAGATGAAGATTATTAAAGTTTCGAACCTGAAAAACTCCAAAATTTTCGAGAAAAGATATCTCAAAGTCGAAGAAAACCATCAAAATTAGTTAAAATAAGTTATTTTTGGGAGGTTGGGCGTGTTTCTCGAAAACTAGAAAGTTGGGCAGGTTGAAACTTTCCTAGCCTTCTTTTGGTTCATCAAGGAGTGTTCTGGCCAATTTTCATGAAATTTTAAACCCAATTTTAAATGACCTTTTTGTGAGAAATCATTTGTATTTTGAAGAAAAAAAAACTTTTCTATCGACTTCGTAATACCCAAAAGAATATCAAGACATGAAATCGCATGTAAATGCGTTTTCAGAACAAAGTGTACGTGGAGAACATGGCGAGCAACGTCATCGAGGAGTACAAAAGAATCCTGGAAACGACGACAGTTTTGGATAATGTGACCAAACGAAATGCTCTCGATAAGGTTTTTTTGAAAGGATAAGTTCCCTTCAAAGAATAATTTGTAGTTGGGAAACACGTCGGTGTTGGTCAGCTACCCGGACAAGATGAACGACGAGACGGAGATGAACAAGGAGGCCAAGAGGGTCGGATACCATCTATTTTTTCAAGTATTCTTCCTTTGTTTTCAGCTACGAGACGAACTGTTCTGGTCCATGGCGATTGGGGCTGCTGAAGCTTACAAAGAACGGCTGAGAAGGTTACGGCAGCCTGTAGATCCCAGGTTTGTAAGTGGAAAAATTGGGTTAGGAAGATGAAGCTTGATATTTTTAACCTGAAGCCTTTCATTAATGTAAATTTCGAACTAGAGGTAGTTTTTTTCAAAACAACTGGAGAAAGTGTTAGTGGCCACTATAGGGGTTTGACGTTTTTTTGGCCACTATAGTAATCAAATTAGTGGCCACTATAGGGGTTTGACGTTTTTTTGGCCACTATAGTAATCAAATTAGTGGCCACTTAAGGGGTTGAAAATTAGTGGTGAACATAGAGGTCTAAGTGCTACAACCACTAAAAATTTTAGTGGCCAGTTTAGGGGTCAATGGATCAACATAACTGGCCCAATCTGTTTGTTTCAAAATTATCAGAGTTACTGGAAGGAATACTGGATGAAAAACTACTGAAGTGGCCACTAAATAGAGAGCCCCTGTAGTGGCCACTGAAACGGAAAAGTTGGCCACTATAGAAGTGGGTTTAGTGGCCACTTTAGTGTCCTTCCAAGTAGTCCTTGTCGAGCCTCTATAGTGACCACTAAAACGTCAAAACCCTATAGTGACCACTAAAAATTTCCCCAGAAAGAACGTTTGACGAGCCCAAAACATCGAACCACCTTGTCCGATCGTTATGTTCCAGCCATAGATTTTCTGAGAATTCATTTTCATTGTCCAAGAGTCTTTCAGAAACTTCTAAGAGAAGAAGTTGTAGATGGAATGATGTCCTTGTTAGAAGTTCCAGATTGATAATGGACTTCTTCTTCCAGAGACTGGGTTGATACAAAACCGGCGCTCTCCATGACCCCCATCCACAACTACGAGCGGAACGTCGTCCAGCTCCCTTTCGACGTCGTCCGATCTCCCTTGGCCGACTTCACCAGCATGGAGTCAGTTTCAGAGAGAAGTTTCAGAGCGTCACCGTGGAAAATTTCAAGCTCGATCTTTTTTCTGTCAAATCACCGTATACCCTTGCTGCGGAATTCGCTCCGAGACCTGTTTCTTGCAATTTTATGAAGCAAAAGCTGTTCAGAACTTTAAAAAAAATTGCGATTTTCGTCTCAAATACTTTTTTATATTTTTTCCTGACTGCAAAAGGTTCATAACAACTTGAATTTTCCTCAAATTTTTTCAAGGTTTCATATACAACGATTTTTTTTCTCTTAGATGTTTTAATTTTTGGCAAGCTTTCCTCATGCTTTCAGTTTTTTTTCATGCGATTTTTTGAAGTGAAAACATAAAAAAGCTGTCTTACGGTAGCTTTTCTTCAGTTGTGTCTAAAAACTCACCTATCGCCAGAAAAATATCATACTTTACAGTTTCGCCAACTACGGGGCTGCCGGAACTTACATCGGCCACGAGCTGACACACGCTTTTGATGAACAAGGTCTGTTTTTTTTTATTTGGGGTGCAGGGAAAGTTGGACGGTTTTCTTTTAAATGGCTACTTTTTGGAACTTCTCAAGTTTTGAAGGCTTTCAATCCTTAAAATTTTTCAAGAGGAAATGAGATTTTTACAGATTAAAATTATAGATTTTGTGCTTTTTCTGAGTATTTTCAAAGTCAAACTTCAATTAGATTATTTTATGTGTATAAGATTTGAGAGCATTTTTCTGATGGAAAAGAGAAAAATTGAGAAAAAATAAAGTTATAGTCTAGAGAACTGCTCGTATTTTGAAGAAATATGTTTTTTGAACCGCTACTTAAAAACGGTCAAAAAAAACCTTTTCAAACTCTGAAAATTGGAAAAATTGCCATCATTAAAACCCTTTGGACGACTTATCCAGGACGGCGTGATCCATGGTTCCCAGGGAATTTAATTGAAAACCGGGCGATAATTCCCGTCAGTCCCCCCAGTAGAAAAAGGGGAAAAATGCGGTTGTTTTTGCCGGGCTGAGGACCGAAGGCGAGTTGCAATTTGGCTAATTGGCATCGAGAGGCCGCCTACGCGACTTTTCCCACAATACGCGGAAATGCGGCTTTTTTTAGAAACCCTTATTGGCAACGTCGGCCGTCGTTCATTAGCGGCCAGGCTTCTTGGGTTTCAAAAGAGCAAAATGATTCGGGTTGTACTGAAAACAGAAGGATGATTAGTTGCGAAATTGCGCCCTTTCGAGTAGAAGGGGGGTTCAGGCTTGTGCGAGAGCCGGCCATTTTCTAATCTTGGCCCAGCCGGGCCTTAGAGAGGCCTCAGGCAAAAAAATTATAGCCCAAAAGCTCAAATGTTCATTCCAATATCAAGCTTTTTACCAAAAATTCCCCCCCCCCCTCGAAGACTGACCTGGCCTGGACCAAGTCCGCCCAAGCTTCCTCGCAAAAATGAAGCCCGATGCCTGCCCGGGGGGCCTGATTTGTAAATCTAGCGGCGAAAAGCTGGACTTTTCCAGAAATGACCTACTTAATCGATCTGTGGAGATTAAATTTTTCTGATCTCATTACTTGACATTTTCTAGAAACTCGTGATTTTGAGCTTCTGGAAGGCGATGTTAACTTAAAAATGAGATTTGAGAAATTATTTGTCTTTAAAGAATAGGTTTTCGACTATTAAAACTGATATATGAAGCCATAGAGCACATATTCCGCGCCCGCTTACATTTCCTATGACTACAGAGCCCTTCCCTTCGATGCACGCGACCTGTCTATGTGCATGCGCCTTTAATATATGTGACTTTTGAGCTAAATTAAAGGCACATCCAAAAAGACAGACGGTGCCCATCGAAGGGAAGGATTCTGTAGCTCGGAGGAAAATAAAAATCGTGACAAGCTGCCGTGGAATTGGTTATACAGCTTTTTAAAAAACTTGATTTTGATTTTAAAATTTAAAAAAAACCCTGTAGTTTTGATCATAAATTAGTCAGCTTCATTCCAATTTTGAAAAAAGACTATAAATTTGATCATCAGTTAGTCAGCTTCCTTTCAGGTAATCAAAAAGGCTGTAAATCTGATTTTCAGTGTCAGCCTCAGCTTGGTTTAAACTTACTTTACTGATGCATTTAGACATTTTTATGTTCCCCTTTCAACTTTGGAAACTAGTCTAACACCGTGACGAAGTAAACCGAAAAGCCAACACATTTCCTGGTACTTTGCTCCTCCAACGTGGTCAAACAAAAAATGAGAAGGTCTCGGCAATTAAGGGGCGAAATCGCAAGACTGCCAATCCGTGCAAACATCTCGACACATGACATCATTCGCCTCGGGGCTCAATTTTCGTGAGCAATTTGTTGCGATTGCCCCCCAAAAACCCACGCATATAACCGCGTTTGCCACGCGTCCTATTTAATTACCTCATAGTTTTTTCCCCCTGCAAGGATTTGGATGAATTTCGAATTTTGAAATTGAGGGATCGCGAGGAAAAACATTGAAATAAAGTGGACGGGGGGGGCATATGATGGATACAACTGCGAACTTCAAAAAAAGTTACGGAAGGGATGTCTAAAAAAATCTAATTTTTGAGCTAATCGTGAAGAGAACGTTCCTAATATCGTATAAAGACTACTATGAATGAGTTTTGAAGTTCTTTTTTCTTCAAGCTTTTGAAAAATGCTTCATTTCCAATAAATGGACCGTTTTTCAGTGATATCATCATCAAAGAAAAAATCTCGAATTTTTCGAAGCTACCAAGATTTTTCTCTGTAATTTTTTGGGTTTTTCCTCTTGAAAGCTCAAGATAAAGACATAATTTCGAATGTCAAAAAAACCTACAAGGACTGTATATTTCGATCTAAATATTAATTCCCCCTGAAAATTATCCCTGAAAGTCCAGAGAATTTTATAAAAATTACCCAAGTTACCTCGCGACTTTTTTTCTTCCAAGAAAGGAATTTACAAAATTGAAGTGAAACAAAAAAATCTATAGAAAAACTTTGCGGTAGGTACACTCTTACTGGTATGACGGATATCAATCAAAAAAAGGGTTTTTTTATAAAAATTGTCAAGTCTTGAAGTGAAAATAGTCAGTTCCAATACTAAAAAAATGATCATAGAGAAACGTATTTTTATATTAAATTTAGTTTTTGACCGATTCACTACAAGAACGGCGCATAGAGCATCTTCTGTAGAGCAAAATTACTTCACTAGGAAGAAAGTTTGGGTTTTTTTTGTGTTTTTCTACAGTAAGCTTGAAAGTGGGCGGAGCTTAATGAAACATGATTCGAAAAATTCTTGCTTATATGGTAGTGAGAAGAGCTCCCAGGAACAAAGTTGAAATTTTTGTATCAAACGAAAATCTCGACGTGTGTTAAGAGAAGCTGTGGCCTTGAATCTTCCATCAATGCTCGAAAACCAAAAAAAAAACGAGAATAATATATTTTCAGGCAAACTTCATGGTCCGACCGGAAACCTCGGCCATTGGTGGACCGGCGAATCTCGAAGGAAATTTGTAGATCGCGAACAGTGTTTCGTCCGCCACTACACCCATCTGGCTGGATCCGCTGACGTCAGTTTCCAGAATCCCAGCTCTTTTCATCAGAAATTCTATTTTAGACAAGTCAAGCCAAAGTTTCCCTCTATGAGAACATTGCCGATAATGTTGGCTTGAAAGTCGCCTACCAGGTAGCAAGAAAAGTCCCAAAAATCATCCTAAAAGATTTTTTTAAGGCTTGGCAAAAACACGGCCGGAACCGGGAAGCGCCAGTTCCAGGACTCGAAAAATATTCGCAGGACCAACTTTTCTTCCTTTCTTTTGCACAGTCGTGGTGCGCCCTCAAGTCGAAGATCAATAGAGAAGTGCACATGGAAGAGAAAATACGGTAGGTTCTACAGTAATCCGCAAAAGCGTTGCAAGACATTTCGAAGAAACAGGCAAAATAATAGCTAGTAATTTTTCGACTTTTAGAAGCTTTTTACATAGAACGAAACATGAACATGTAAAACTGAAAATAGAGATTAGTTTTCCTGGAAAATTTCAACTGAAAACTTCACATTTCTAGTCAAATTTAAACTGATAAATGGAGCTTTCTCAGGGTTTTTCTTGATCAAATTCATTTTTTTTTTATTATAATAAACGTTCTCAACACACTGATTTTTTTACTACGAACAGAAATCAAAAAAATTTGAATGAAGTCAAAAAGTTTTAAAAAAACCAGTCTTTAATTAACACAGAAAAATCATAAATTCTCGATTTTTTTAAAAAAATGTTTGATTTACAAAAAAAGAAAGGGCTTTTTATGGATAATTTAATATATTCCAACAACGGTTTAGTGGACCCAAAATGACGAAATTAGATTTTTTTCTGCAAAATAAAAAAAAAAAATTATTCCAGCAATTCTTGATTTCTATTTTAAACATCTAAAAGTTTCTAGTTCCCCTCTCTAAATTTTTCTTTCATATCAATTTTTTTCAAAAATGAGAATATTTTTTTCTTTTTTTAGCATTTTTCTTCTTTGTGAAAGGGAAGAAACTCATCAAAGTTATATTGTGAAATTGTCACCACGGAACGTTTTTGCCCACCCCCCCGTTTGATCTTTTGCTGAAACTTTGCTGAAGTTTACTTTAGGGCCTCCTGATCTAAGAACAAGAAAAATATTTCTCACAATAGATCTTGTTTCCGAGTTATGGAGCTTTAAAGTGCGCAAAATACGCAAATTATGACAAAAAGCGTTATTTTGAGCTTTTGAAATGTCCTATCTCGATATCAAGATCTATTGCGAGAAATTTTCTTTTTGTTCTGGAATCAGGGGGTCTTAAAGTACACTTCAGCGAAGTTTCATCAAAATTTCAAACAGGGGCGGGGGGAACATTCCCTAGTCAGTCAAGTATTCCATGACTTACCTGTTTTTGACAAGTTATTTATTAAAATTCGAAAGTTATGGCCAATCCTTGCTGAATTTAAACCCTGATTCATTAACTGTTTCCCAATTACAGAGTGCTGGGGTCTCTTCAGAACTCGAAAGAGTTCGCCGCCGCGTTCTCCTGTCCCACCAACAGTTTCATGAACCCGAGCGTCAAATGCGAACTCTGGTGAAATAATTCCCAGAAAATCCGAAACCGCCGCTTCATCAACAATACATTTAAAGAGCCATTCTCCAATTTCTTCATCATTTTTTTCTGGCAGATTGTTTTTCACCCCCACACCATTTCCTCTGCTTTTCCTGTTTTCCGCCCCGAGTGCAGTAATACTCCCTTGCAAGAAACCTTTGTCCTATTATTCTCCTCCTGCTTTTTGATCTCGCAATTATTCCATTTCAAAGATCTTTTTTCGCCCATCTGATGAGATGAAGCTGAAGTTTCGCCCCCACCATATCATTCCTGTATACCTACTCTATTCGCTTCCTTTCTTGTACCAAAACAAATTTTCTTTTTTAGTGAGCTGACTTGTTCATTCTTTACTATACTAATGTTTACTCGATTTTTCACAACCTTAGAAATGGCCGCATGTGGAATGGCTCAATGTGCAACCGACCCAAAACTAATCGAGCCATTCCAACTGCGACCACGGCTTTTTTTCTCAGCTTGACTCGAAATCTGGTTAACCTTGATCTTTTTCCAACGTACCGACGCTTTAATTCTCCATATATTAAAAACTCCAAAAAAATAATTTATTCGTTGTGCTGTCCCACGATTCCTGTGTGTTCGTGAGTAGAGTTGGGAAATGTGAAAATAAAAATTAATTTACGAAGGCAACATAATTGAAACGTTTCTCATACTCACTTGAGCCCAGTTAATCAAGAATTTTCGAGTCTTTTTCTAGGAGTCCAATGATCATTTGATGAAACTGGATTATTCCCAAAAAAAAATTGGAAAAAATGATCCAAAGCACCTGTTAACTATGTCAAATTGAAAATTAACTAGACGGTTATTATTAGCATTTATTTTCGATTTAGCCGTTTTTTCTTTTAGTGACGCAAGAGCAGCGTCAAAAATAAGATTTACATCGCAAAACATATTTGAAAAAAAGTTGGGTTCTTAGAAAAAAAATATAGAAAATAAAACGAGGAAGTAACTTTCACCGGAAAAGTGGTCACTAGAGGGGTTGGGAAAAAAGCCCCCAGAGTGGAAACATTTAGGTGGTCCCTGAAGGAGTTTAGAGTTTGTCCCCTGACGAACCTCTAAGGCTTCCACTCCAGAAATCCCAAAAAAGGGACCACTGAAAATTTTGAAATAGATTTGAAAGATTCAAAAAAAGTTCCCTATCAAGATTATCTGCAAGAAAGTGATATAAGGTTGAAAAAGATATATATTTTTAAAAAAGAGACTTTTTCCGTCGTTGGCTTGAAGTTAAGTAAAATTGAAATCTGAAATATTGCTACAATCCCTTTTTGCTGTTACAAGCTTTTTATAAAAACAAATGAATTATAAGTTTACCAATAAAACGATAGTAAGGGAACAATCAAAACTCCCAGGTTGAGAAAAAGATTTTTTTCTCAAAAAAATTTTTTTGTAAATTACAAAAATAAAATATATATTCAATGAGCGGTCACAAAATAAAAATCTATAAAGCTTAAGTGGTCCCTGAAGGGGTCTTTTGATTTTTGCTCTATTTTTAAATAAGAAAGGCGTATAGGGACCACAAGTATGCTCCCCTAAAGTGGCCACTTTTTGAGATAAGTGCATAGAATGGGAGGAGATAGGATGACCCCTAGAGGGGACCTTTTAAGGTTTCTCAAGATCTCCCCTCTAGGTACCACTCTGGCGTCTCTGAATATGGTAATATTGAAGTGATTGTTTCAAAAATTTCAACCAACAAAACTTTTTTTTTAAATTTTCAACATTTCTATTTCACATCAAGCCGTAGAGAAAGACTACTACAGAGTTTGAAGTTTTCCAAAAGTTTTTAAGGCTTAATCGTGTCAAATTACTAAATTATGTCCCAAGTCGCTGACTGAACTATTCCCAAGTTTGTCAGAGTTTCCTGAAACTCGAGGGCAAAGTTCAGACCTCGTCACGTTTTCAGAAGGAATGGGACGATTGGAATCGGCTAATGAGTTCTTTTCCAACCTTTGTTCTTCAAGACGCTATTCTCAGACCTTCATCCCATTTGTCTTTTCTCCCGAGACCAAACAAATTCGGGTCCATCACGAATCGTCCTATTTCTGGATTTTGGTCTATTCCGTTCTAGTTCCTTGGTTCTCAGAGGAAAAGTCTTCCTTCAAATTTCTAGTTTTAACTATTTTATATAGCCTGTGTACCACGACTTGGAATTTCACGGAACGACATTCCGCTGTGCCGCTGCGCGCCTTTGCAAACCTTGGCCGCGCTTTTTATTATTATTTTTTTCTTTTATCAAGGTTTTCTACTTTCATGTGCTCCCACAGCAACAACAATCAATTGAAAGCGTGATCTAGATTCGAAAAACGCTTCGCGAACGCACGCAGCGGAACAGCGGAATGTCGTTCCGTGGAATTTCAATTCGTGGCACCCCGACTATACTTGTTTTCACAAGGAAGTTCGTTTTACTTTGTGGTTTCTGAAAATTGGCCAGAAGATTCCTTGAAGTTCCAGATAAAAATCCCGAAAGTCCTTAACCTGCCCAACTTCCTAGTTTTCGAGAAAAAGGTTTTGAAAGCGAAAAAAAAATTTGAAAAAGTGCCAAGGAAATGTTTTTCCTAGTAGTATTGTTTCAACTGAAAAGTGCCTTCTCATTCCGCTTTTATTTACTTTCAAACTTGATTTTTTTGATTGAGAAGTCATGAAATATCATGAAATGGCTCAACGCGTCGCGGCTGCGCTGCGTATTCTCGTTCTTGAAATATTTTTGAACCTATGTAGAGTTGCGCCCGACTTTTAGCGACTTTCTCAAATTACAAGACGCCGTCGCGCGCAGGTAGTTTCTCGTCGGTCGCACTGAGCAAATAATCCCTCTAACGAACCTAAAAGGTTCAAGGCATCCGCTACGCGGCCGCCCCGCGTTGAACCATTCCAAATGCGACCAAAGATTTTAAAAGCCGTGAATTATTTGAAAAATTCATCGAAACAACTCGTTTTGAAACTCAATTTTTATCATTTCCAGCTGAAATTTTCTAATCTCTGAAAAATAAAACCATTTTTCTTCCCTAAATTGAGATCAAAAAACCAAACTGAAGCCTCCAGATGTCTCTTTCCGATTTCCAGAATACCATCAACTAACAAGAAATTCAGCCGTTACGTAAGCTTCCTGTCCAATTTCCGCTCTTCTTCAAGCTTCTTAACTCCAAATCATGTCAACAACTAGCCAGTCTAACCTTCAAAAAACTTTTCACGTTTCAAAACCATTTTCTTCCTTTAAAAATCTGTACAAATCCAAAAAAGGAAGTTTCCAACTTCCAAAAGTCCTCCAGACTAGACTTGTTATTCTTTGATTTTCCCAACCCAACTCAAAAGTCCCAAGAGCGTCATTTACCCAGATAAAGTCTCGAAATAGCAGTTTTAGATCATTACCCTGGGAAAACTTGGCCATTTTCCAGGAACCACCTGCCTACATATAAAAGCGGCTGTATTCGAATATTATTTCCATTTTTTTAATCTCTGAAAAAAATTCTTTGAAATCGAGTTTTTTTTAGAGATTGAAAAAAATCCCGCAAATATATTTTTTTGTTTTTTTGATTTATTTCAACTTCCTGTTTCAAATAAAAAAATAAAAAAACTGTCCGTTTAAATTTCGCTTTTCAAATCAATGGTTATTTCATAAAAAACGGCTTGAGATTAATGCGGTTTCTTATAGAGGATATTCAACCAGAACTTCCTTTCTATATAATTTCTGAAAAAGGTAAAATCAGCTTCTGGAAAAAAGAATAAAAAAAATAACCGAAAATTTAGAATCTAAAACCAAAAATATTTCGAAATTTTTTTTTAATTCCTGAAACTGGTCCCATGTAAGCTTCTTCTAAAAAAAAATTTTTTTTTAATAATGAGTTCATATTTTTTGTTTTGTTTGAGATGTCTTAAATCATCAAAAATCGGTTTCCTACGTCAAATCTTCAAAATGTACTTTATGGGATTCTGTCCAACTAGGCTAACTAAATACTCAAAATATGAGATATTATTTTCTTGCTTTGAAGTCTTCGATAGTGAATAATCCTAGTTTGATGTTTCAAAACTTCTACAAGAGATTCTTCAGAACGCCCTGGAATAATTCTAGCCTCTTCACATAATTTTTTTATGGAATGATGTGAAAAAAGTGCAAAAATTAAATCAAAATAATCTGTCTTGGAACCCCATAGTGGTCACTAGAGCAAACTTAGGGGCCCCTGGAGGTCCCCCTCTAGGGACCACTTTACCTTACTTATAAGGGACCACTAATGCTTTTAAAAGTGGCCCCTATAGGGGATTAGTTACTGGTCGTTTTTTGTTATGGACTCTATATGATACGTCTTTTTTAACTTTCAAAATTGAAAATAAAATTTAAAAGACCCTTACAGGGACCACTTACGCTTTAGGGTCTTGGGGTCAGACTCTAAATAACTTTAGGGGCCATTTAAATTTTGCCCCTATAGGGAGCACTATTTGTCCCCATATAGGAGCTGTTTTTCCCCTGGCCTCTATAGGGATCACTCTGACGCTTTTTCTTGTTTTTTCTCTTTTTTTTTTTTTTGAAAGAACCTTCCGACTCCGGTTTGCCCTAGAGGAAAAAAAAACGGTTTCATTCCGTCCCTCAAAGCTCAAAAAAAAAATTATAATTCGCTTCAAAAAACACCGGCAAAGATCGAGTGTCACGAGAAAGTCGTCGGGGCTTCCCTGTTTACCTCAAAATCACAACAAAAGAACAAACTTTGGTCTAAATTCGGCATCTCAAGGGGATTGAAGGCACAAAAGTCGTCAACACAAACATCTCCCGAAAAGGTCAAAAACTTTGCATGTTCTTTATTCTGAATCCAATCTTTCGGAATCGATAATTATCAACTGTATCCTGGAAAATGTTCGAATAATATTCTGAACGGGGTGTTCGATCCGAACCAATCAAAAACCAAAAAAACAACTTTTTATATAGTCTGTGTGCCACGAATTGAAATTTCGCGAAACGACATTCCGCTGCGTGCGTTCGCGAAGCGTCTTTCGATTCTAGGTCACGCTTTCAATTGATTGTTGTTGCTGTGGGGGCACATGAAAGAAGAGTACCTTAATAAAAGAAAAAAAAACTGAAAGCGCGACCGAGTTTCGCAAAGGCGCGCAGCGTCACAGCGGAATGTCGTTCGGTGAAATTCCAGGCCGTGGTACATAGGCTATAACTTCAATATTAAAACAGAAATCGTATCTTTGAATGTTCAAATTGTCTTCTTCTTTAATTTCACTTACTTTTTTCGTACTCTAAGCTCGTTATTCAGAAAGATGTCACCCAAACACCGCGATCGGTGTACGCACAACTTTATCCCACAGTGTGAAAAATCGGAGGGGTTGAGCTTTAGTAACGTATTCAGTGATTATTGGCTTTTAGCATTACCACGTCTGTTCATTTTGAGATTTGAGCTACAGAATTATTTCGGAACGTTTCGTTTTGAAAACATTTAGCCATACTAAGTTCTTCTCTCACAGGCGCAGATAAACCAATTTTTTTTTTGTTAAATTCTGAGTCTGTATAGTCAATTTTTGCTGGCTTCAAGGCGAGATGGGTAGACTGGCAAAGGCTTTGCGTTGCGTGTGCGACGCGGCTTATGGGGGGAAACTAAAATTCAAACGCGAGCCACTTTTTTTTCCTGTTTTTCGACAAACTTTTTAAATTTTTTATGGGTTTGTAAGGTTCAGCTGAACGACTAAAAGTATAAAAATATTGGAAACTTATTTGACCTCGAGGTTTCCGCCGGAAGCCGCGTCGCACACGCAACGCTTCACCCTTGTCAATCTGCCCATTTTGCCTTTCAAGTCGGGAAAAAAATTGACTATAGTAGGTTTGAATGAAATTGACCGATTTAAAATAATAATTGGAAATTTTCTAGAGTACGATTGAAAATATCCGACCCAGATTAATTAACCGATTCGAAAAGAATGGGTTCAATTGAGAAAGGTCCGAACTTTGTGTTTTTTTTTCTCTGATGAAACGAACAGCTGCTCCCGGCAATAGTTCAAGAAATGGAGAGAAGCGTCACGAGCCCTTAATTGGCTTCGTTTGACACTTTTCATCGGTCATTTCCCCTAGTGGAAACTGGAAAATACTAGTACTTTCATCGCCTTTTTTCGTGTAGAGTTTGGTCCGGTTCAACTTTCATTTTAAGGTCTGAATTGCTTTTTGTCTATTTTTGGGTGGTCTGGAGCCGTTTTCTGAATTTTACCGGTTTTTTTTTGCTCTTTTTTCAAACTCATGTATTCCTTCAAAGTATGATCCGTTTTCAATATTTCTGGTCATTAAATTTTCAAAAAATTTTTTTTTCTCTCGCACAAAATGCTTTCAAATCTTAATGAACACTACTCCGAATGTGAAATATTCTGATTTCATTCCAAGTTGACAAACTTCTCATGAATTTTACTGGCAAAAAATTCCCTATTCTGGGCCGCCAATATTTTATGTCTTGTCTAATCAAAAATCGAGAATTCTAAGCATATTAAAGACTGTAATAACTTGGAACTGAAAAAAGTTTTTCAAGATTTTCAAAAATAATGGCGATTTGAAAAAAATCGACCGAACCGACCGACATTCACAGCGCACCCAAAAAACGGCTAAATAAATTTTCTGACTTTTTTCTTGGCAAATATTATCGCTAAAGCTGTAAACTAATTTAATATTTTTTTTTCTGAAGTAAGTGACTTTTTATGGAATTTTCAGGAGTGGAGAATTTCGTATGAAAATTGAAATAAACTTGAGAGAATATACAAATAAGGATGAAACGAACTTCATTTAAATCTTTCAGATCATTTCTTAAAAATCTTCAAAACTTTTCTCATTTTTAGATGTAGAAAATAAGAATGACGCCAAAAAAACCCGCACGCCAAGTTTGTTGGTGATAAACTATTAGTAGTCGATTATGAATTCAAAGCATGACGAGGACTCTTGGGGATCCCGAAAATACGCGAAAAACGGGATGAAAACATCCAAAGTTAATATCGTTCCGTAAATTTTTGAGTTTATAACATCTTGAAGTTTTTTTTGTTATTTTATTTTGTAATTAAATGAGTTTGAAGTAGTTATTTAAACCAGTCTTGCATGAAAAATTGTGTGAAAAAAATATTTTTTAAAAAATCAAGAAAAAAAAATTATAGATATTCCCAAAAAAGTTGAAAAATCTTTTCGGAAACTTTTTTTGAGGCAAGAAAGCGAAGATTCTTTCTTTATTGTTTCGCAAAACTTTGAAAAAAACATCCAAAAAAGCTCAAAAATTTGCGGTCGGGCGCGAACCGTTTCAAGTCGGGTGCAAATTTCAAGCTTCGAAAGAGCCATTCCCAATGCGACCAGTTAGTCTCTGACAAGTGTAAACCTACAGTTTTATTATAAAAACGATGAATCGTAAGTAAAAACAGTAAAAAAATACTTACAAGAAAATTTTCACTGCAAGACCATTTTTTTCTTTCTTTTTTTCTGATCACTTTCTGAACTTGCAAACTTTTCTCCTAGACTCCAAAATAATCTTTTGAACGTCCTCACATCATCTCCCAAGTGCTTCGAGGACGTCCCAGGCTTCCCTCGGAACTTTTCTAATTTTCCACTCTCAAGAAAAGAGCTTCGGAAACCTCAAAATCCAGTTCGAGCTGATTAAAAAGATTAAAAAAGATCAGGAAATCAAACTTTCGTGCAGAATATTCCCAGCAAAAACTTCAAAGATTAGAATATTTGGATGTTTACTCCCGGATGAACTTATCAATTATCCGAAATTAGTTATTTATCAGCTGAGGGTGGTTCCGAAAACGTCATAATTAACTAAAATTGGTGCTAAAAAATGCTCCTGGGGAGCCCAATTCCTGGAGATATAAAAACCCTAATATTTTCCATTCATTTCCCTTGTTTTCCAATTATTTCAGCTGTTCATTCGATTCATTTCGTGGTCGTTGGTTTTCTCAACAAGTATATTTATATGAATTACAGGATCATCAGGACAACGGTTCTTTGCTTCGATTTTTGGGCTGATTTTTGTGGTTCCAACGGATTTTAATACAATTTACTATGAAGCAAATGTGAGTTTTAAGCTTTGAATTTAAAAAAATTGAAGTGTGAGATGTTTCAGAATAATAAAAATCGCCTTATTACTCATGATTCTTGGCATCGTCGTGGCCATGCCGCCTCCAGTACCTTCTGAATTGAAAAGAATGCTGAAAGGTTCGATTTTTCTCTATTTTAAGGTTCTAATTTCTTGAAATTAGCGTTTGTCATTATGATACTTAAAATGGGTCTATTTAGACAAAAATATCATAACTAGGGAACTCTAAAGGGGTCCCTATAGGGAGTTTAGTAGGGGCACCCTTAAGCGACTCCTACGCTTCCCTATAGATAGCCCTAAATCGGTATCGTAGGGGTGCCTATAGGGGTCCAGCTTTAAGCTTTAAGGGTTCCTTATAGGGCTGAAAAAATGGCAAACCGTAACCCCCCTATAGTGACCATCGAAATTTTAACCCATAGGGACCGTCAAACTTTCCCCTACAGAGGTCTCTTAAACAGCAAACCCCTATCAGCTTAAAGATCTCCGAATCCATCCATTTACGCAACACTCCAAAAAAAAAATGCCAACTTCTAAAATTGCTCATTTTTAGCACAAAAGTCATCTAAAAATCCTTCAAAAATGACATTTTTCAGAAATCTCGGAGAGCGACAATGTTTATGGAATGGCTCAGGTGGTACCGTACTCGGAACGGTTACCTGCGTATCTGGTTATCTCGCAGAACTGGTAGACACTCCACAGCTTCTCATTCTCTTTTTGAAACTTGCCAACGCTTTTTCCAGGCGCGTCGAAAATAAAATCATTTCATTCTTCTTTTTTTTTCTATTTGAAGTTCATTTAAAACACGAAAAGCTAGAAAAAAGGTGCTTCATGTTGAAGTTTGTAAATTTGAACTACACTGTTAAAATTCCTACTTTAATTAAAAAAACTCTGTAAAAAAGGAAAAAATTGAAAAATACAGTATTTTTTTCCTGATTATCAGAAAATTTTAACTCACGGTCCATGAAAATAAAAGTGAAAATATGAAAAAACAGAAAATTTATACGATTTTTAATAAATAATTTTCCGACCGCCTTCAAGATGTTGATAAGTGAACTTTCAGCCTAGCAGAATTGAAAACTTCTTTGAAAAAATCACGTTTTTCCTTACGTCAACGTCACCATATGAAGAACAATAAAAACTAATTAATTAATATAGATACGTTATTCAAATGATGACGGCATAGGACAATCGTTTTTAAAGCAGAATATTCAGGTTTTCGACCCTTGTAGCCATATTTCATCTTTATGTATTTTAAGATGCTCAATAGGCCAGCTTAAACATAAGCAATTTTTGAAAAGCTTCTCGACAATTATGTAAAGTTGTATATTGTATATTTTAAAATTTTAGATCCATGTGAACTTTTTAGGGTTCACAATTTTTTCGTGTTTCAAAGCCGTAGTTTCCTACTACCATTTCTTAAACCCCTTGGTTGGGTCGAGGTGGGGATCGAACTTGTGACCCTTGGACCGTAGACAGGCGCCCAACCTGTTGCGCTACGGCGTGTCCAGACGAAATCTTTTCGGGCATCCCTTACTTTTATTTTCATCAAATCTACCTCCCCTTCAAGTACCACCTGTACGCGGTGAAGGAAAGGCAACACCATTTATGGCGGCTAACGGTACACCGGTCACGCAGTTCGGCTTGCTTCCGCTAACAGAATGGGCGGTCTTTTTTAGTCCTGGCAAGGCTAAAAGGAAAATGAGACCACAGTTATGCTATAACACGTTCAACACCATGAGTGGAACTTCAACCAGGACACCACTGGATGACCAATTGCGCAAGAACGGACCTCCTGGAAGACTTGTGGTCTCACGCTTCGACCAATACAAGGTCGAAAGCAAAGCTGGACCATCGAAGTATCTGAGTAAGTAAGTAAACCTACTTGCCTGGGCTTTTAGCTTTTCTTATACCTTACTTTTAAAAAATCAAGTCAAACCCTCCTTCTGATCAATTGGGTTCTTCCGTTGCTCACATATGGAATCGGTCATAAAACCTGATCATTTCCACAAAATTATCCCCTAGAAGTCTTACTATCCTTTTTAAAGTAAAGCAAGCACTGGAACCAAGTCCAGACCAGACCAGAACCCTCGTCCGATACAGTCCCAACGGAGGCTTCTCCGCACCCCAAAAAAAAGGCCGTCTAACGATGTTTTGTGGGACGCCGCCTACGCGAATGACGCTTCTCCCACCGGAAGCGAAGAATTTCGTAGCCGGTATTTCCTGATTGCCTTCGTTTCTACTCGATTTAGAACACTTTCTGCAGTTTTATTCGACATTTGCAGACGTTTTATGAGAGGAAATTGGCTCATTACCGTGTATAAGATGCTCTTTTTCCGGGTTCTTAGCGTTTATCTTGTGCTTTAATTTAAATCTAGTTGATTTCCTAGTAGAAAGAGACACAGTCCAACTTTTTCAGTTGATTTTTCAGCTTTGTGTTGATAAACTCTCTTGTTTCCGGCCCAGCCTTCACAAGATAATTTTTAGATTTTTTTTTTAACTGGAACTAAAATTTCTAACTATTTTCTATCTGAAAAAAAAACTTCAAAACTCATTTTGCAGATTTTTCACGCTTGATCCATTCAAGCGTGGTCTAATCTTCTCTAATCTCGTAAAAAAATAATACATGACGTTTTTTTGAAGTTTATAAATAATTATTTAATTTTGACTTCAACCAGAGATTATATTTTTTTGGTCAGTATAAATATTGTGTTACTACTGAAATTATTTCTCGAATATTTTTTTAACTCGATAGATTCTAGATTTCAATGTCATTTTTTTCAAAAAGGCCAGCCTAAAAAAATTTTTTTCCATCTTTCCAACGTCTCAATCCACTCAAATCGCTGTTAAAATATTTCAAAAATTTAAGATCACTGTATTTTTTTATTTCATGGTCATTTTTCGATATTTCAATGACCTTTTGAACTTCCAGCAAAAAGCCAGAAGTCTACTTCTCTTCCAGAAATTAAAAACCTGCCCCCATTTCCTTCAATTCGGATTCTATTCAACTCTGATTTCCTGCTTTTTTTCTTCCAAACCCTCCTGCAAGCCAAAAATGAGCCCAAAGAGCTAAAAATCGTGGGAAACCGCGCGCCAGACTGCTGACATCAGTAATAGACCCACTTGAATTTTCAAACTTTGTCTTTTTTCCCCTATTTTTAGTCGTCTCCCTCTCCCAGCTGAACGGATCATCTCTAATTTCCCATAAATTATTCAATTAGTTGATGATCTAAATGGAAAAGTGGGTCGAAAAAACTTGGAATACCAAATAATCCATCAAAAAATGTGTTTATGTGTCAAAACGATGACGCCAATGCCCTTCTTTTGAAAGAAAAGTTTCTGATGAATTGACCTTTTTTAGAATCTATCATTTGAACATGTATCCAGAGAACCCAAGAGTTAGGATGTGAAGTTTATTATTTCATTTTTTGGGTCTCCCAATCCGGTCTTAAAAAACGAGAATTTCATTTTCCAAAGTTTTCTTTTGTGAAAATTCCAATCTTTAAGAGTGACAGTACCGTCAATAAAGATACGAAAAAACGGGGTTTCGATCAAAATTTTCTTGTAAGAAATTCAATCTTTCTGAAACTTTCTGCATGACCATTTTTTTTCAACACTTTAATGAAGTTTCAGTTCAAAGAAAAAAAAACGCAGGTTCAGAAAATTCCAGGAAGATTGAATCCCTTACAAAAAAATTGTGAGCAAAGTCGCGTTGTTCCGTATCTTTCCTGATGGTACTGTAACTGCCCGAAAATTCCCGAAGCTGACTTCGGAAAAAATTTCCTATTCAAAAAAAATTCCTTGTATCCAATTCATGGACCTTAATTATCCTTGAAATAAACCTCACAATCGTCACTCTCACTCAATTACACTGATTATTCAGCTTTAATCTAGTTTTTATAGTTTGATCCACCTTGTCATCATTACAAGGTCTATATTTTTCCGGAAGCTTTCCAGCAGATGGTCAAACGCCTTCCACATAGCTTCCCACCTTCTTCTACTTAGAAAAAAGCTTGTCGGAAGCCTTTCAGAAGCTTTCCAGCAGGCTGCTGGGAGACTTCTGGCAGGCCTATTCAATTTTTTTTTCCCTTTGAAGACCTGCCAACTACCTGCTGGGCACCTTCTCAAGGCGTTCTCAAGACCTTCTACTCAGTTTAAAGTTGGGAAGCTTCAGCTTTCGGTTCCTCGGAAGCCGTTTGGAAGCTTTTTGGTCGAACGCCTTCCACATAGCTTCCCAACACCTTCTACTCAGGAAAAGCCTGCCGGAAGCCTTCCAGTAGGCTTCTAGAAGTCTTCTGGCAGCTTTCTTCCATGTTCACCTTTCATCTACCTCCCGAACACTTTCCAAAGGCTTTCCCAAGACCTTCTAGCTTCCCTACACCTTCAAACCATCTGCTGGTACCTTCCCAACACCTTCCCAGGATTCTCCTGAGATTGAAAGTTTCTGCTTTCGGTTCCTTGGAAGTTTGGAAGCTCTCCAACAAGTGGTCAAAAGCCTTCCACAATGCTTCCCAAAACCTGCTACTAACCTTTCAGAAGCCTGCTGGAGGGCTTCTGGCAGGCTTTTTCAATTTTATACCCTTTGAAGACCGGCCAACTACCTGCTGGGCACCTTTCGAAGACCTTCTAGCTTCCATACACCTTCCAACCCCCTGCTGGTTACCTTCCCAACACCTTCCCAACGCACTTGCTTGACTTGTTCCTCTCCTTAATCCCCACATCTTTTCAGCTTTTCGAGTACTAGCTGATCTACGACCCAGGCTAGGGTTTCTGGTCAGTTGGCAAAAAAAAGGGTCGTGATATTTCTATAATGTTTCCCTGTTGTGCTCAAAGGCGTCATTCGCAAATGTCTTCACAATCGAATTAGAGGCTTCTTTTAGACATTGTTCCGATGTAGTCTGACGTCCGAGACTCATCAGCTGTTCTAATATGTTGTGCCTTTCGGTGGGGAACACCCTTTTTCGGTGCTCATTTTTCGCTTTTTTTTTAAATCTCGATGATATTCACTTCAAATTCTGGTGAACTTTGATTTTGAAAATTAAATTCGAATGAGATTAGAGAGACCTTTCCTCAGATCACCCAAGAATGTAGTTTAATCGGAAAGCTCAAAAACTAACTTTTAAAAAAATGTGAGCTCTCAAAAATGAGTATTCCTGACTGAAATAGAGGCAGTTCCGAGAAAAAGATCTAAATCTCCAATTTACAACAGCCCGACTCAACTTCTCAACTTCCCCTCATCTCAAATTTTGATCCGATCCAGGAATAAACTTTCCAGAATAACTCAATTCATACGCCTTCAGCAAACCTAAGCTTTTATTAATTTTTTTACAGGTTTATACAATAAATTCTCTTTTTTAATCTACAAGTTCTGTACATGTTATAGTGTTCTTACTTGTAAATAAAGTAATTTTCAGTCTTTCAGGGCGAAGTAAGGTAAAATTGAAGAAAAATTAGATGAATCTAAAAAAAAGTCAAATTGGAATACCTACATTTGCTTGAATATTATCTAAAAAATCTGCCGAAGAAAATCCGAGAAGGTTTAAAGTTTGAAAAAAAGCCAGAATTTTTGGAATATCTTGATTAGTGATTGGACTTTCAATCCTTTTTTAAAAATCAAATTTTCAGATAGAGATGCTCTTAAAATTCGTCCAAAAACAATCTAGTCTATTCGAAAGTCCTAGATCAGAAGTTTAAAAAAGCATGGAAAATTTGAAAATGCATGGAGAGAAGAGACTTTTTCCAGTGTTATTTTAGTTCCTACAAGACTTTTTTTTTCTTGAAATACCCCGGCCAATTTTGAGCATACTATAAATCTCGCCTTTAAAAGAAGCCGACCTCAAGCTTTCATATTTCGAAAATATATAAATTTGAAGCCAGGCGCATAATCGACTCGGGTTAATTAACCGATTCTCGATGCAATTTTCGGAAAGTGTGAAGAACGAAATGACGTGCGGAATCAAAAAAGGAAAAAGAAAGAATCACGGCTCCCTGGGGAAGCTCAGGAATAGCTCCTGCCGTTTCTAATTTCAGCTCTTCGTTTATTTCTTGTCCATTTTCTTCTTTTTGTCTTTGCAACCATGTGAGTAGGTCCTACCGAGAAAAAAGGTTATTTTTATTTTTTGTAGCCGTGCAAAATTCGCGTTGAATACATTCTTCTCAGAAACAAATGGCTCGTATGACGCAAAAAGCGTTCGTAGAATCATAATTGTACTCTAATTTTCATGTGAAACGTCAAGAACAAAAAATAAACTTTGCAGAAAAAAAAATCTCATTCTTTGCTTTATGCTTTCTTTTTTGTTATCATCCTCTGAACATTTATCAGATCTTAACTTCCCACGAAGCCATCCAAGGTTAATTGAATCTTTGGGTTTTAATCCGATTAAAATAAAAAAGAATGAAATCTTTGTAGGTGAGAATTCTCCTTAAAAGAATATGATACCTGAAAGACAGAGATCCGATTCCTGGGTTCACAAGAGAAAAAAGTCTCGTTTTTGAGGACCAAAAAAGGGGTCTACTACTTTAAAAGCTTTCAAAACTACTTGTCCTTCCCAAATTTTAACTTTTCAGTATATTTCTGAGGTATTTGTCGGAAAAAGTATTTTCAAAAAATCTACGTTTGGAGTTGAAAATGCCACTTTTTCAAAAAAAGTAACGTTAATCATGAGTTACTGAAATTACATGACTGTGTAGGTCTTGCCCTTTGAAAAATGTTATCCTTTTCTCAAAACGGTCAAAAAAGAGATTCGAAAAAGGTGCAGACTTTTCAGAATGCTCTGAACTAAATTACAAGCTAATAATTAGAAAATCTCGTTTTTTTATGGTTCGGTTAAAAAATGGTTTCCTAAAGTTAAATTTTGGTTTTTCTTGAAAAACCCATTTCCTCCTTTGAAGTCGGCAAAAATCTCGAAATGACGATTTTGGTAAAAATCTCTCTTAGTGTCCTACAGTAACTATTTTCATTTTTTTATTACTTTTTTTGATTCTACAAAAAAATCCCATTTCCTTCCCAGGTCTTCAAAAAAATCTCAAAATGATACTTCTGATGAGAAATACCTTTTCTTTAACCGTAACTTATTTTTACTTATGACTTCTTTTTTTTTCTTGGAAAAGCCCATTCCTGAAGTCTGCGGAAAATCTCGAAATGATGAATAATTGCAGACGAGTTTGTAAAAGGCGTCCTCCCCCGCCTGGCAATCCGAACGCCTTTTCCGGTCACATTACTCCCCTCCAGAACCTATTTCCGTCCCATCATCATCCATTTTCCACGACGATTAAGTTGATTTTTGTTTTGAAAAACTCCGTCTTCCAATAATTATGAAGGGGATAGGTTTCTGGTCGCTTCAGGAATTTCGTGTCACTTTTTTTTCTCATAATGAAACTATTCAGCGTTTAATTGATTCAATAATAAGTCCCATACGCGGTCATTGCGGGGGTGAATTTCTCTCATCCCAGTAAAAGTTTATTTTTTCATGGGCTCTCAGCTGTTTCCATTAATAGTCTCATTTTGAAAAGAACTGGGAAAATGTTTAGTTGCCATTTCAGGGTTTTGACGTTTTAGTGACTACTATAGTAGTCGAATTTGTGGCTGCTTAAGTGGCTAGTCACGCCTTTACAAGTTCAAGGGGTACTACTAGATCACTAAGACGCAAAGTAGTTGCTTCTATAGAGGTAGTTTTAGTGACAAATTCAGCGACCTTTTCAAGTACTTGAGATACCCCTTAAGTGGCTTCTATGGATTTACAATCATTCAAACGGTTAGGAATGAACTTTTTAGAGTATTTTTATCAAATTATTGTTCAAAGTCCTCATTACACAAGATTTTTCGCTCCAAACAGGATCGAACCCTGATTATTATCATATCAGGCAAGTTTCTTAGCCACTCAAATAAATGAAACTCTCCTAAAATTCCTTTATAGTCTTTTTTTCGATTTCTTTCCTTTCAAAGCGTCGTGAATTTTGCAAAACAGAAAATGGCAAAAAAGTTCCGACAGGACATGGGATCGAACCTTGGTCATCAAATCAACATTGCTTGTCTGATTTTTCATAATGATTTTTCATTTTTCTTTGTTTTGTTTTTTTTTTTCGCTTTCTAGAGCAAGCTTGTACATTGGTAATGATTGATAGTATTATTTTCTCAAAAAAAATTTTTTTTATCGGCCGCATGAGTTGAAACCGAGGTTACTTTATAAAGGGAACTTTTCTAGCAACTACAATAAAAATTTATTTAAATTACCTCATTCACAATAGTTCTAAGTTCAATTGGTCCATTCTTCAGCAAAATAAAATCTAGCAAAACAAGTTTACATCTATAAGTATTGAACTTCGGTCACGAGTTCAATAAACAAGCTTCCTATCCACCTTACCAAGCTACCAAATCTACCCTTTTTAATCCCAGACCACTATTCTTCTTCCAACCACCGTCTCCCATTCACTTCCTGCTCTGCAAAAAAGAAGAAGAACAAAAAATTGAATCTATTCCTTTCTTGCAGAAGATGAATACAAGAAAAACGGAAGAAAATGGGTGGCTTTTCAGGACAAAAAAAGGAAAATGAAAGTCTCTGAAAAATTCATTCCGAATCGCCTACGCTTCTCCATTCTACGGCTACAATCTTTTTTTCCTGTCTTTTTTCTGGTTTCTTTGTGCCGCTTTATCTCAAGCACCACATATATGAGCTAATCTGGTCAACTCGAGATTAGGACACCCACTAATTTTTTTAATTTTTTTAAAAAAATAGGATTTTTTTGCAAGGATTCTTGGGATAGTATTTCCTGATTGAACTACGTGAACTACTTTTTTTAAAAAAATATACTTTAAAAAAATAGGATTTTGGCAAGGTTTCTCAAAAATATTATGTTTTTTTGATTGAAATACGTGGATTTGGTTATTTTTTTAAGTTCGGAAGAATCAAAAAAATGAGGATTAAAAAAACTGAAAATTACGTTTTTTTCAAGTGAAAAAAACGATGTTGTCAGCTTTGAAACCTTTTGTTTGTCTAAATTAATTTTTTTAAAACCATAAAAAAATTTTTGCAAATTATTTTAATTGAGAACATATCTTTATAGAACCTTGAAAAAAATCTTTTTCTTTTGAATAAACATTTTGAGATTGTCCTGATTTCAAGTTGATCATATAGTGTCATTATATGGTGTCCTATTATTTTCTGAATTTTTTTTTTATTTTTAATTTTTGTTAAGCTGATTCCAATTCAAAAAAAAAGAATTTTTTAACTTTCTACTTTCTTAAAAAAGATACAGTACGGTTGTGCTCATTGTTTATGATGAAAAACAGATTTAAATTTATATTTTTTTCATTATTATTTATATTTTTTTGTAACATAACCCGATATAAAAATTCAGAAAAATCATACCCAAATCTCAATTCCCCAAGATAAATCAAAGCTTAAGAATTTTCCTGATGTCTCAACCGGATTATACCCGAATTATCAAGCCAGCTTAACCTCCCCCAACAACAAAAAAACCTAATTATGTCTAACCTATCCATTCATTTTTTATAATTCTTCTACCTCTTTCTCAATTTTTACAAAGGATTAGGCCATATGGGCGTGTCCGGATTATTCCGAAAAACAATTGGTATTAAAGGGAAACTTTTCTTGCACTTGTTCTCCGTTTCTTGCACTTGTTCTCTGAGGAGAGCAAAAAGAAGAAATTAGTGGCAGAAACCTTTGAACAAGATCGTGAGCTGCCTGCAAATTTCGCCTTCGAAATGGCCGAGTTAACCTTTTTCTTAAATATCTTCTTCTTTTTCCTGTCACGCAACCACAATTTTCCAAAAACTGAGTATAAAAAGATTCGTTCTTTGTCTCGGACCTCATTCTTTTCGTCTTGCCTGTTCTTATTTTAATTTTTCGAAACCTAAAAATTTCAATTTTGCAGATATCCCTATTTGAGGACGTTCCGCTTCAAAAGAACCCAGAAAAAAAAAATTCCCGACATCATTTAAAATTATAATGCGATGTCTGCGGTGGCTCAGTTTTGTTGTATTCTGCTTTTCTCAAGGTTTGTGTCTTGATTTATTTAATTTTGATTGAATCACGGTACTTTCAGTGAGTTGTACGCCATTTCTGAGGTCATACTTGTACCGATTAGCCGATCCAGGATCTTCATATCACAGTGACCCGTCAATTATGCCTTTTTCTTTTAAGGTAATGATTTTTCTCTTCAAAAGTTCTTGTTTTTGGGTTTTTAACTCATTTTTTAAAGCAAATCAGGTCTCGTAGCGAACTACACTATGACTTGGGTTTTCAGAAACTGTAGAAAATTACTCCGAAAACATTTTTGGAAAGAGATGGTTCTACACAATACTTCATACATTCAATAAAAGATTGAGAGAAAAAAGTTAACAAAAATAGAAAATACCATTTCTAATCCTGAGTGAAACTGTGATATATTTTAAGAACCGGAATTTAAGAAATTTTATAACCAAAAAAATTTTTCGAACTTTTTTTTCTAGAGGATGGTATAGACGGTCTTGAAAAAAATTCATACGGCATTCTATATTTAGAACTTATTTTATATTTTTTTCGCATATTTAACAGTTTTCCCACCAAACATGAATTTCCCGTTTCAAACCCAGTTTTTACGCAAATCCTCACGAAAAAAATTGATATATGTATTTCATATTTTTTTGAAAAATTAAAAAAAGTATAAATTATTTTGAAAGTTGGTACTACGACAAGAACGATTTTTCGTTTTGCGAAGAGTACGGTATGCGGAAGTCCGTAAGTGGCGCGTGCACTGCGCGTGTTTGCACACTGCGCGTGGTCCATATTCTCTTTTTTTCTTCCCAGTTTTGTTCTAAATTTATGGAAATGGATTTCAACTTGAAACACCAGTAAGTTTTCATTTTGACTTATTATAAAAAAACTAGAAATTCTAAAATAAAATGGAAGGTGGACCACGCTCACTGTGCAAACACGCAAAGTGCACGCGTCACTTACGGACTTCCGCATACCGTACTCTTCGAGAAAGAAAAATTTCAATTTTTCTCATTTTCAAAACTAATTATTCGTATTTTCAGCAAGATCTGTTCCCGAGAAAGTCAACAGTAGCGGACAAGGATTTTTCAAAGTTCAGTTCGGCGAAAAGATTTTTCCGCGACATTCAAATCAATAATCCGTTTCCAGGCACCCAGTTACGGCTCCCTTGATTTCTAACTAACCTTCTAGCTAAATTCGTATCTCTGTTTCAATACTGTTTCAAAATTTCAATCGATATATATTGAAATTTCAATAAACAAAATTTCAATATATATCAATATACAAAATTTCTCCTATCTCAATGCAAATCCATCTGCTCACCTTTCTTTTTAATTTCCTTTATAGTCCGTTTACCGCGACTTGAAAGTTTCGAGTGTCTGCGTCTCTCTGTTCCCTCGCCGGCGAGGTCAGAGAAACGTGAAAATAGCACGGCAACATAAGAGAGTCGCCTAGAGACTAGGCGGGCGCAGACAAGTCCCCCAAATCGCGGAAAACGGACTATAACAGAAATTCGCCATTAACCCAATCGATTGGAAAAAAAAAATCACAGAATCTATGCATTGTTTCTACGGGTTCCTGATTCTCAAAAATGGGTATCCAAAGACATTTCGTGCAAAATCTATTGAAAAGGTTTCATTCCTTTGCGTGACTATTCTTTTCTATTTTCTGATCTCTTGAACATTTTCACGAGTTGAATAAAATGAACTTTTGGTTGTTCTTTCTAACACAAAAAAAACGTGTAATACTAAGGTTCCGAGCTCATTTTATACAATTCCGGCGTCGAAAGAAGTTTCGAGGTTTGTCTTTGTCTCGGAACAGAATAAAGAGAAGGAATACTTTGTTCGGGGAATGGAAAAAGTTCTTTGTTGGAGTTTAGATAGACTATAGTACATTTATTGCTCTCTAAAAAGTTGATTAAGAAGGGATTCATAAGATTAACGAGGAATAGTACAAAAAAAAAGATTCGGAGGTACGAAAATTCAACAAAAGTTAATTTTTCCTGTGTTATATTTTTTATGGTCTGAAAAGCTGTTGGACGGTTGGATATACCGGAGTTCATAATATATCCAAGTTTCGTTGGGACTCCCTAACTTTGAAGAGAGTTATGGCAAAAAACCTTAGGGCTGATTTTTTGTTTGGACGGTACTGTAGGTGTAGCAATTTTCCAATAGGCTAGAGCTTGACTTTAAAAAAAAGCGATGTTACATCGAAAATTCCAAATCCACTCGAAAACCTCATATGTTGAGTTTTCAGCTTAATTGGTGGTTTTTGTATGTCTACTCCAAATAAAAATGGACGAAATTTTCATTTGCATTGCCCTGATTCATAATTCTCCGTTTATTTTTTTTCAAAAAAGCTTTATTTTTTCGAATTTTTTCAGATAACCGCGTACTTTCCGTACCCCATTCTCAAAGTATTAAAATCAAAAAAATCATTTTTTTCAATTCACTGAGGGAAAGTAAAAATTACACAAAAATTGGAAAAACCATTTTTTTGAGATTCCAGCGAGTATTTCAGCGCCAAAATTCGAAGCTTGGAAAAAAATTTAAAAAGCCTAAAAAAATATCATAATCCTAACTGCTGTACAAAAAAATGAGGCGTATAACAGTCCAAATTCCAAGGAAACAACCCTTTTTTTTCCACAAATTAGACTTCCAATTATGCTCATAACTAATTTAAGTAACTAAACTTCAAATTAGACGCATAATGGTTATAATTTACACAAGGTTCAATATTTACCTATACGAAAACTCTTCAGAAAAACCCCTTGGCTCTGCTGACAGCGAATGTTGCCTCACGACAACGCCATGGACAAAGGTTTCGATACTCTTGGAAACCCGAATAAAACTCAAAAAACAAAACACCAGAAAAAATCAGTCAATCTCGAACTCAAATTACAGTACAACACTCCACGAAAAACTCGAAAAAACAGCAAAATGTCGACGAAAAGGCAGCGGAACGAGAACGTCAAAAGCAAATTCAAACATCGGATATGCCGACCAAAGATGAGCCCATGATACGATCCGTTACTGAATCTTACAATGTTCGTGGCCTTTTTTGGCTCCAAGAATGTTTCGTTCGGATTAAAATCCTGATAAGGAAAGTCTAAAAAAACTGAGAACGGGCTTTAATTTTCTCAAAAAATGTTTGGCCTACTTCTTTTTCGAGTTATAGCGCCTCAGAGTTCATAAACTACTAACTCAATGAGAAAAAAAAAATGGTTTCGACGTCTTCAAGACTCGGCTTAAAGGGCGAAAAATGTTTCGGAGAAATGGAAATAAGCTAAATTGGCCCAGCAAGTTCTCAGAGTTTTTCCTTTGTGCCTTCGTAGACTTTAACATTTTCATGATTCTACTGAACCTTGCTCTGAATAAACTGGCAAAAGTTAGAATTTCCCAAAAAAAAAAACTCGAAGTTTGACAAATCAGAGAAGATATCCTTTTTTCAGCTTGAAATTTTCTTGAGATCGTCTATCAAAATAGGCTTTAGAAAACTTGCAACTTCTTAGATTTTTTCTCTTGCAATCCCTTTTGAACGATTTTTTGACCTTGCTCTGAATGAACTGACAAAAGTTGAAGCTTTCAATGTTAACTAAAAGTTCGAAGAATATATCATATAGCGAAATGCGGAATTTCGTACCGGAAATGTTCAGCCTCTGAATAAAATAACAAAAAAAATAACTTGAAATGTGACAGATCGGAGAAGAACTCGGCCGCGGCTCTTTTGGGGCTGTCTATCGGGTCAAACGGGTCTCCGACAGTAAAAGCTACGCGATGAAGTGCGAGTCAGTTCATGTTAAGAAGCAGGTAAAACTTATTTTTCCGCTTTCAAAAAATGCATCTCTTATTATAAGTGTTTTCCTGGAAAGACCTGTTTGAAAGTCTCTTCTTGAAATACCAGTCGAAAAATATTTCAGATCCTAGCCCACGAAGCGAAGGTTCTACAGAGCCTCAATTTGCTTAAATCTGTACATTTCGTGCAGATGATCGACCGTGGCAAAGTGCCCAACCGCTTCCTTTTTATCATTCTCAGATTGGTAGTTCTAGTGGGACAATTGGGAGAATGGTGATGTTTTCTAGGTTGGAAAGAACTTATGGGACCTCAGAACCCAAGAATTACCCAACAAAAAGTTTACTCTGAACACGGCGCTCAAAATTGCTGTACAGACCTTGGCTGGGATTCGGGACCTACATCGGGTTGGATTTTATCAAACTTCTCAAATTAACTCGGACATTGGTAAGGCGAAACGGACGTTTCTGGGCATTTCTAGGGATCACTTAAGGGTGCTGACGCTACTAAATTGGTCACTAGAAACGCCCAGAAATGTCCGGAGCACGTCCGTTTCGCGTTACCAATGTCCGAGAAAACTTTTAAAAAAACTTTGTTCCGTGGTTTGAAAAAGTTGAGAAAAATTTCAGAAAATTTGTAAGACAATGATCCTTCTCATTCATTTCCTAGAAGTTCGTGTGCCTCTTAAAATGTGAAAATGGTTTTTGAACGACAGAAAAGTGATCAAATTTCATAAAAAAAAGGATCTTCTCTGTTCTCTCAAAATTTTTAATGTAAAAAGTCCATTTATGATAACCCTTTAATGATAAACCTACACCTGATACCTTAAGAAAATCTCCAACTCTGACAGATTTTTTGAAGGTTGGCTACCTCCACCGCGACATAAAGCCGCCCAACTTTGCGATTGGCCGAGAATGCGACAACGCCCATCACATTGTCTACGTGCTCGATTTTGGACTTTGTCGGAAAATATGGTGATTCTAGACTTCTTCAGGAACTTTCAAAAGGTTCATTGTTCAGCCACAAAGGCGTGGATTTGCGAACACCTCGAGAACATTGTGCTTTCCGTGGAACGACCAGATATGCCAGTATGGCCGCTCATGAAGGGGTTGGTCACTTTATAACAGAAAAATCTACTTTTTTATTGAAAACTTGTTGATAATTCGTTTGAAAGCTTCTATAGAGATCTCGGAAAAATTGAATTGAAGATATTTTTAGATCTTAAGAGCTAGAAGCCCCAATAGCTCATTCAGACGTCTTCCATGGCGATTCTGATTTTGAAAAAGCTCGAAAGTTGAAAAACTGGGCAGGTTATAACTTTTGAAAGCGCTAAAAAAAATGAGACGTCCAAAAATCTTAAAAATCCTCCTTTGTAAGATACTAAAATCTACCAAACCCCTATAAAAATCACAAATTTTTTGAATTTAGAAGGAGCAATCGAGGAAAGACGACTTGGAGGCCTGGTGGTACATGATTTGCGAAATGATCATCCACGACTTGCCATGGAGGGCCGCCAAGGCCAACGAACGCGAGAAAGTGTACGACGCCAAGCAGAAGCTCAGAAGCGATGACAACGCCTTAAAGGAGGTTAAAATGAAATTAGAAACAAAAGGAGATGATAACAACAAAATATAAATCATTCAGTTGTTCAAAAAGTGTCCCCCGGAGCAGAAAAGCCCCTTGGATCAGATGACGGCCATTTTGTCGTACCTCGACGGACTTTGCTACGCCAGCATTCCCGACTACGACTACATCCACGAAAATATTGCTTTCGCTTCTGCTGTTTGTTTTTTTTTATTCATTTTTATTCATGGAATCTAGGCCAATGAATTCAACGACAAAACGCCTCTGGACTGGGACAAGGACCACGATTTCGCAGGACCAAAGTACAAGAAAAACGAGGAATATATCATCTCAGCGTTGCTTCTACCATGAAAACTAGGTTTTTTAGCTTCTAAAAAAATTTATCTCGAAATTCGGCTTGACCTGCGAATGAGAAGCAAAATTCATTTTTTCTCCACATTTTCTCCATTTTTTAGTTGATACCTGAGGAGTCCCAGAGTGGTCACTATTAAGATTAGGCGTAAAATACTCTATAGTGACAGTGTTCTCTATAGTAATAAAACTTAAGTGCTCCCTATAGGGGTTTAGAGTCTGACTTCTAAACCCGTAAGTGGTCCTCAAATTGGACTTTAAAATTTTCTGTTAATGTTTTTTTTTCTGTTAATATATTTTTTCTGTTATGTTTTTGTTCCGTTCAAAAAATTTATCGAGCTTTTCTCATAGGTTTTGCAACAATAAATAACTATCATGGTTCTCTTAAAGTGGCCACTAACTAAGACCCCTATAGCAGCTCCTTTCAAAAGCTCTAGTACCCCTTATAAAAGGAAGTTTGGTGGTTCCTTGAGGGAAGCCTGCACAAGTCCCTACGGTTGCCCCTATAGGGACCCCTCTGGCGATCCTAAATAATCTATAGGAAGATAATTTACCTTGAAAAAATACTAAATTACTCCCCCTGTGAAACTCCTATTTCCAAGCTGTTGTCTGAATGTACTATATGAGCCGAAAAACCCAATTATTGCCCACTCTTACGCAATGAAAAAGAGAAACTCAATCCAATTATTTTTGTTGGTTCAGAAGCCGCGCCCACGATAAAAACCGATCAAACAATCTTCGTGAAAGCAAAGCAATTCCCATCGAAAATGTTCAAAAATTTCTCCCGAACCTCTGTTTGAATAAATGCTTTGCTGAGTATACGTACTATTTTTTTTTTTTCATTTACATTGGTTTGTCTAGGTTTATTCTTTAAACTTCTTCACGTGGGAGCACATGAAAGTAGAATACCTCAAGAAAAGAAAAAAAAATTGAAAGCGCGACCAGGTTCGCAAAGGCGCGCAGCGGAATGTCGTTTGGTGAAATTCCAAGTCGTGGTACACAGGCTATAGTAGCACTTAGACCTCTTTAGGGGCCACTAATTTTTACCCCTTAAGTGGCCACTAATTTGACTACTATAGTGGCCACTAAAATTTTTCCCAGGATATTGCCCGATCAAGTCGCCCAGGGGATCTCAAAACGACTTCGTAATCATTTCTCTCAATAAAAATAAATTAATACTTTGATTCCATAGATCTTTTGTGTGGTAATCGAATAGCGACGGCATGAGCCATTTATTCAATTTCGGCCCTAACTTCGACTGAAACAAATCTCATGCGAAGAAATTGAATAACCGAAAAAGCGCGGCATTTCCGAGCGACATGATTAAGGTTACACCTGCCCCGTCAAACTATTTTCAAACTAATTCATTCTTAAAAACAAGCTCTCTCATTATTTCACGACCGTTTCCTTCTGATAATCGCTTTTTTTTAAAGCTTCTCCTAATTGAAAAATAACCCATCATGTTTTCACAGAACAATAAGAGGAAAACAATGAGAAAAAAAGTGATTATTTCTTGCCGCACCTGCGGTTAATTTAGCGTCTATCGCTTGAAACGTTTCTTGCGTATGATTAAAACACAAATAATACTTCCTTTTCGGGTACCCGAGATATATAAACATGATAAAACCGGCCCAAAATCTTTCCAGTCAACACATTTTCTCTTTTTTTTTCTTTTTTTTTGAATTTTTTTCTATTGTATAGTCAATCCATTCCAACTTGAAAGGTAAGATGTGTAGATTGACAAGAGTGAGGCGTTGCGTACGCGACGCTGCTTTTTTTGAGTGGGGGGAATCGAGGTCTAACTCAAGCCACCATGAATTTTTCCCTATCATGAAAAATTCGAAAATTATCATGGATCGATCTGGAAGATCAAAAGAAGGAAAGAATGTTCAAAAACCATTCAAAACCAAGTAGTATGTTTTCATATTGTTGTAATTGAAGAAACAGCTTTGTATGCAGATTATTTGTGTTTATGAAACTATTTCAATTTCCAAAAAGATCAAAAACCAAACTGAAAAGCTTTGGAAGCAATTAGGATGTTGTTAGACTTTTTCGAAAGCCAAATTGATAGAAATTGCTTCCTCTCTTTGTTCGGCATGTAATAAATAGCTTTTGAAACGTATCAAGTCCTTTATTTCTCATTACAAACTTAGCAATGAACCCGTTGTTTTCTGAGAACAAGTCCGAAAATCAAAATTGAAATGCTGACTTATTGTTTCTTCATGAGACTTTAGTAGAACCCTTCATTATCCAATCAATTTTCTTTTAACGAAACTCTGATGAAAAAGAGTTCCAACTAGATTCTTAAAATCCGTTGATTCTGTTAATTATAGCTGATGGAGAAGAACACAAACTTTGATTCTTGTTTCAATTGACCCCTTCAACAAGCCCATTATCATTTTTGAATTGGCATCCTGTGTAAAAAAGGCTTTTTTTCAAGCCTCATTTTTTTCATTACTCATCTTTATTTCCGTTTCTTTTCAATATTCAACATCTAACTCTACACGAAAAATTTTCAGAAATTTTGCATCGATTTTTGAAAAAAAGCTTAAAAAAATATCTTGAAGTTGTTTCGCAGTGGAAAGCCTTCTTTGGCCTGAATTTTTCGCTTTTTGAGAAACCTAACTAAAAAAATTTCAAAAAGCAGGCTGTATCTTTCAAACTTTGAACTAAAAAAACGCTTAAAGAAGGATTTTTTTCCAAAAAAATGGTTAAAAAAAGTTTTTTTTCGATTTTGAATGTATTTCTATAATATCTCCACATTTATGTGCCCAGAAGAAATGAATGAGTTTTTTTTTATCAAAAATAATTTTTAGAACATAATTCCAGAACTCTACAGCTCAGTCAATAGAAACTCAAGAATTTGTCCCCTCAATTCTCAAAAAATGGTCGCCTTCGCATGAAAAATGAAGATTCTTTTAACAAAAATAATCATTCCATCCAAATAAACTAGCCAATTTCCGTGTTCTCCAATACTTTACTTTCGTATATAATTATAAACATGTATTTTTGTCAAGATGAATTCGTAAACCCATTTATTCTCCTCATTGTACCTATAAGGCTATATTCATCCAATAAATCTTCAGGAAACTCGGAAAATGGATCCGATTCCGGTAAAAAGAGAGTACACCAAGATCTCCACGGGGAACTTTTCGGTTAGCGAACACGTGACGCCGGGAAATTTTGCCATCTATTCGACGGATTTCTTTTTGGCTATCCTGATCGTCATTCTCAACAGCAACTTTTTCATCGTTCTATTGAAGACCAGATGTCTACATTTGGTTGGTATTGAAATTCTTACAAGAGGGATTTTTTCAGCCTCTGGTTAAGGTTCTGAGCACTTTTGGACTTGCTGAGTTCAGAAAAAAAAATTTAAAAATCCTTAAAATAGATCTTTTTTTAAGTTGTGATCGTTTGAAATTCTGAAACTTCGAAAAATAATGGAAAAAAAGCGTCATTTGAAGATTTTCCTGTAGCGTCATAAATCAGATATAAAATCTATTACGAGCTTTTTCTTTCACTAGTTCCAGGAGTTCCTAAAGTACTCCTGGCTAAGAAAGTTAGCTCACTTCAAGAAAAAATTAATTTTTTTGAAGAATCTGAGGACAATTCTGATGAACACCGTCGTGGCCAACACGGCGTATGGACTCACTCGAATTTGCATTTCGACGATTTTAGGAAGCGCTTTTCTGTTCGACGTCGACATATCAAGTTGGTTTCTTTTTTCAAGCCCTATCAATACAAGAGATGCCCAGGAATTGATATTAGTATATTTTTTATAACTGAAAATAGTTAAAGGATGCTTTTTTTTTGGATTCGTAGCGTTGAAAATCTCTAGCTATGATTTTTAGGCAAGAACTGAACTCATGAAAATCCCGTACCAAAAAGCGAACTTCACCTATTTTCAAATCCTAAAAGACTTTTGTGTTTTTCGACAAGAAATTTTGAATAAACTGAAAAAAAAAGTCTACTTCAAGGTTTTCTATTGATAAAAAGTTCAATGGCTCACGCTTCTATTTGAAAAAAAATGATAATAACTCAAATACTTGTTTCAAGACGACCTCAAATTCAAAAAAATTGATGAACCTTCCATTTTTCTTCTTCGAGGTCTTCCAGGTAGTAAATTGAATCAAAAAATCCATCTAATGACTCATTTTGGGCAATTTTGTTGCTGAAAAACTTGTTTATTTTTTTCTTTCAGAGCGAAAATCGATTTTGTTCATGTTTTCTAGTTTAAATTCTTCAAACTATACATTTTTTTCATATTCATATTTACCCGTGTCTTGTCTTTGAAATCAACCTCTCATAATTTTTTTGTTCTACCCTTCAAAAAAATAGTATTTTCAAGTGCACCCTGTAATTATTTTCCAACACTTTCCTGAAAATTTAGGGAGCCTGAAACTCGCTATTGATACATCAATTTCGACGTTTTCTGATGAAAAAAAAAACTTTCTTCTGGGAAAGAACGAATTTCAGAGCGAAAAAGACTGATTGAAGTCATCTTCGATTTCCGGAAAATTTTCCAGAAACAAATCATGTTTCATTTTTCACTTCATTTCATACAACCTCTGCCCTTTTAAACCCATTCAAAAAATCGATAATTTATCGATATAAGCGCGCAATAACAAATTCAACAGGACTATAAGATACAAGACGAGAAGAACTGACTGTTCAGTCGGAGCAATTGAGTTTCGTGCGCAGACTTTGTTCGACCAGTTTCATTTTCTGATACTCGGAACGGATGAGAGAAGTCGCGTGGCGCAAAGAATAGCTGGAAAAAATTTCCTTTTCTTTTGACTTTTTGAAAAAAAAGACATACAAAAGGACATTGCGTTCAACGTAACTGACACCAAGCGTGGCGGCGAGGAAATCGTCTTTTTCGTGGATTTTCGTCTCCAAATCCGCGATCGATTTCAAGAGCTTTTCCTCTACAAAAAAATTCAAAGGCTCACGGCCAGTGAAAAAAAAACGTCATCTTTAGAAACGCCAGAGAAGTCCCTAGAGGGGTTAGGGTGAAAAATCGCCCCTACAAGGAACAAAATGGTGCCCCCCTAGAGGGCTAAACTTAGGTGATCCCTTTAGGGGTTCAGAGTCTCTCATCTGAGCCCAAAAACTCAAGCGGTCCCTAGAGTGGCCATATTTTACTGCCCTTATATGGGAGGCAATGAGGTACTACAGGAAAAGGAAAACCTTCAAGTCTGTCTAGAAGAGTAGAATCCAAGTGGCCCCTAAAGGGGTTTAGATTCGACTTGAAGGCCCCTGAAGCTTAAGTGGTCCCTATAGAGAGTTAAAGTTATCTAGAGACTTTAGCCTTTAAGGACCCCTAAAATTGCCCCTTTAGAGGACACTCTGGGGTTTCTAAGTCTTGTAAGCTTTTGATCGCCCTTTTCTTTGAACAAAATTCAGTATTTTTCGGAAAATTATTTGAATTTAACACGGCACCAAGTAGAAAAGCTACTTCCTGTCATATACTTCTTTCAAAAAAAGAATTTTCTGGCCAATATTCCAAATTCTATTCTAATTAAAAGCTTTAATGTAAAATATTTTTGTAAGAGTAGAAAAATTTTAATGAGTAAAATTGTGGGAAAAAAATCATAAATTGGCCCTTTTTCCCCTTTCTCATCCAGAATTGTTTAATTTTTTTTTTAAATAAGGAATTTCTACATTAAGATCACTTAGCACACAGCAAGTTCTTAATAACTTCTAGTTTCTATCTGAAACAGCATTATTATTTTCCTTTAATTAATTACAAACCTGTACGAGAAAGTTCACTGAGCGTGGTGTTGAGACCGTCGACTTCAGTGTTGCGACGAGTTATCGTCTGAAATCCACGAAAAATTCAAATTTGAACTTTATTCACTTACCATTTGTTTCATTTTGCCGATGATGGACGCTTGGACTTGACAAAAATCGTCCGAAATGGTCTCCGTATCTTTTTCAATCAATTTCTTGATTTCTTCATCGATTCGTGCAATTTCAGCGTAGAGCTGGTTGACTTTAGCTGTTGACCTTGAAAAAACGATAACAATTGATTTTCGTATGTTCTTGAATTTCAATTTTTCAAAAAAGTAGGAAAATGTGGAAAATTTAGGTGTAGTTCTCGTTATAAAAAATGCACATTTTAAAACATCATAAAAAATTCTGAAGGTACTGAAAAACCTAAACTTTGAAAAAATCCAAAACAGACTTCTTATAAAACTCCTTCTTCTCACTTAGCTCCCGATCAGCCGATTTTTTCTCAAGCGCCAGCATTTTATTCTTTTCGATCGCCCTCGCCTTTTCTTCTCTCGCTAAATTACCATAAAATCACTTTTAAAAACTTTGAATTACCTGCGATCAATCGGGACTCATTAGCTTTAGTCTGAGTTTTCAGTTTGCTCAACTCACTCTCTTCTTCTTCTGAAAATAATTTGAAGAAAAAGTACCGAAAAAAAATATACCCAGCAGTTTCGCCATTTTTGCAGAGTTCGCCTTGCATTCCATCACAAATCTTTTCAAAAAAGCTTCTCGATGAACGTTAGCCGTCATTGTTAACCTAACAGTGTAAAAATAAAAAATTTCGAAAGAAACTTCAAATTTGCGAAATGGAAAATAGGAAGAAACAAGGAAACAAACTGTTTTCATTATATATTGTTCTAATAGGAAAATGGGAAGTTAAGTTAAGTAACTATGAGGTTCATTTCAAACATCTCAGAAGCTTCTCACGAAAAGAAAAATTAATAAGGTAAAATTTGAACAAATACAAAAAATATCAATTTTCAAATGAACAAATTCCCGCCACTGCGTAAATCGTCCTCTCGAGGCGTGCGATGGGGCAACTTTGATGAAGCAGAGAAATTTTTTTCCGAATTATTCCAATATTTCTTCTTTTTCTACTTTAAATAAATCTTTTATCATTTTTTTTCAAAGTTACTCTTTGATCGCCTCGAAATATCACTTTTTGGTTCAGTTGATTTTTTAAAAGATGGAAACGGCTAAACTCAGATATTTCCTTTTTGTTTAAATTTGAATGTAAAATTAATTTCGAGATGACGGGGTTTTGCTCAATGCTACGCGGAGCCTACACGGTGGCAACCTTGATGGAGGGCTCATCTTTTATAGCGATAATGGTTGAAAGGACAATAGCTTCGGTTTATTTCCGGACTTATGAAACGAGAACGATGTTCCATCTTGGTGTAGTACTTGCCGCAACACAGGTTTGAATAATCAAGTTTTTAAGACTAATGAATCGATTTTCAGTGGACGCTGGCGACTTTCACAATGATTGGCTCGAGAATGAGTCCTGCTAACAAAAATAATTACTCTCGTCTTCCGTGTCAAAAAGACTTGACATCCGGGAAAATCGCAGGGTTCATAGTCGCTTTTGTACTTTTGGGAGATATATTATCATTTTTCGTTAGTTGATGTTTACATATTCAATTTTAGTGATTAGTTTAGGGATTTCTGCGGATATTTTTCTACAATTTGCGCCTTCACAAGCACAGAAATACACGGAGAACGAGTCTCAAGGAAATTTACCAGGTTTTATATTTCTTTTGCTCATTTTTCAATGGTTTTCGGTTAAGATAACGGAAAATGTCCGCACGACGAGGACACTGTCCCCAGTTCTGGCGGCGATGTTAACCGGATCTCTTGCCGAGTGTTTTTTGGTAGTCTACAGGCTTTATGTTGATAGGATCTTAGAAAAACTGCCGGAAAACGAAAAAGAGCCATTTTTCGTTGAAAAACTTGGCCGAGGTACCTTTTGTCCAATTTTCGTATTTTTATTCGAATTTTTTCACAGGAGCTGAAGTTTCCCAGTTGTTTGATATTTTATCTGATGCAACGAAAATTTCCTTCTGTTATTTGATGTTGGCTCATCCTTCTTTATATCGACGTTTCAGAAGGATGTATTGGCGAAGTTCCAAGGTAGTTTTTAGGCGAAACAGTTTTAAAAAAAAGAGGAGTCTTCATATGAAAAATATTTGTTATGAGAGCGATACTGGGAAAATTTTTAGTGGTCACTATAAGGTTTTGACGTTTTAGTGGCTACTATAGTGGTTAAATTAGTGGCCACTTGAGGGGTTAAAAATTAGTAGAGGTATATGTGCTACTACTAGACCACTAAAAGCTTTAGTGGCCACTTTAGGGGTCTATGGATCAACATAACTGGTTCAAACTGTTTGTTTTGAGTTACTGGAAGGAATATTGGATGAAAAACTACTGAAGTGGTCACTAAATAAAAAACCTTCATAGGGGCCACTAAAACGGAAAATAGCAGCCACTATAGAGGTGGGTTTACTGGCCACTTTAGTGTCCTCTCCAAGTAGTCCTTGGCGAGCCTCTAAAGTGGCCACTAAAATTTTCACAGTAGTCTATGTTTCACGATTTGAAATTTTACTGAACGACACTCCGCTGTTATGCTGCGCGCGGTCGCAAAGCGTCTTTGCATTTGCGAATCTCGGTCGCGCTTTAAATTGGTTATTTTTTTTCATTGGGAGCACTTGAAAATCAAGTAATGAATTAAAAGAAAAAATGAAACCGTGACCGAGATTTGCAAAGGTGAAGACGCTTCGCGACCGCACGCAGCGAAACAGCGGAGTGTCGTTCGGTGGAATTTCAATTCTCCTAATATTTTACTTAACTGACTAGGAAGTTTTCCTGATCTGAATATTATTAATATAATATTGTAGAAGTTTTAAATTGATTTTTTTCAGGTCGAACAATCAAAATCGGCCCCGGTGGCTTTGGATGGCACTGACTTGCAATTTAACACTTCCGTAAGTGATTTTCTATACTAATACACTTTTAGAAAATTTTCCCGTTAAAATTTTTGTTTCAAGGGGCTTTTTTCAAGGTTTAAAAATCAGCAGGATTTTCGTTGCGTTTTTAAAAAAATCAAAAATTCAATCACAATTTTTTTAATTCATTCAATTATACTTTAAGTACATTTCCATTTTTTTAATCAAATCGAGTGTTCAAATTTATTCTCAAAATTAATAAATCAGACTCGAATTCAAGACACATTTTGATATATTTGAACTGGAACTGGTGCTATTTTAACGTTGCAGCTTTCCTTTCAAAACACGTCAAAAGCGACTTTTGATCCAATATCGAAATAACTTTTTGCACGGTTAATTATAGATTTAGTTCAGCTGCTAATAGACATCTGTCTATGTTTTCCTTGATAATTTATGATTCTGAAACGAATCGAAAATCGTAGTTTTGTTGTGTAAAAAGGTTAGCAGGGCTCTTCTATTTTTTTCGATTTTAAATTTTTTTTGTTAAGAGCAGATTTTTAGGATTGTAATGAAAAAGGTTCATCGATAGCGTTTAAAATGGCTGGGAGTCAAAAATTTATTTCCAGTTCAGAGCTCACTTCCCTAGAATTTTTTATATGCATAATCAGATGAGAATTTTTCATATTTTTCGTGAAATTTCTGTTAGAAAGCACCTGAAATAGGATACGAAAATTCGCTCAATCAAAATTTACACCATTTTCGGGTATTCGAGAACGGAAAAATGAGAGATCAGCAGTGTCATAAGAGACACTAGAGAAAAATACTTTCTCAACTTCTCTGGCCTCTCTTCGAAGCTTCTTATCTCTCGCTTTCTCCGTTCTCCTTGTCACTTTTCGACTGTCTGCGTCTCTCTGTTCCCTCACCGGCGAGGTCAGAGAAACGTGAAAAGAGCACGTCAACATGAGAGAGTCGTCGAGAGACGAGGAGGGCGCAGAGAAAAACTAGCTCCAAGTCGCTATATGAACAGCCTTCTGAATTTTTGTTTTTTAGCTCTAAACTTATTTTTTTAGGAGAAAAAGAAAATTTTTTGTTCTGTATTTTATTTTTGTTCTGCCTGTAAATAAATAATATTATTAAAAATGAAAAATGAGAGATTCGACCTGAAAAGTGATCTTTCGATCCAAATTGTTATACTTCTGTTGAAATTATTTTTTTAAGGAAGAAACGGAGCATCATTTCGGATCCCTGAGGCAGCTGTGGAAATAACGACCTACCGTACTCCCCACTCTTCTAATTACCTTAATTAAAGCATTCCTACGATTAATCATCCTGTCTGTTCCACTAGCGTCAATTGTTAATTAAGAACATAAATCGTGTACATTACGTCTTTTAATTGGTTTATTTTAAAATAAAAGTCTGCAATGTCCAGAAAAATGTGTTTTGATTAGGTGGAGCCAATGAAAAGTCAGTTATAAAGTCTCAGTTATTCCATTCATCTCTAGCTTGTTGGCTATTGAAGGTTACTGTAGATACGTGAAAATCTCTCATTTTTCCAAATCTGGTCGCACTTGGAATGGCTCAAATGATCTTATGTCCGTTGATTCGAATTTAAAGCCGTTATTGGGCTTTTGAACCCGATTACAATTCTTCTGGATAGCCTTACGCGCAAACCGTCTTGCGTCGGACGCACAATAAATTTTTTTTCGAGCCATTCCCCTTGCGACCATGGGCTCATCATCATTGTTAATATTCCCCGATTTTCAAAACGGTAGCGCAATTTTAAAGTTGGAATTTTTCATTCATACTAGGAAAGTTTTTAGTGGCCACTATAGAGGCTCGCCAAGGAACACTTGGAGAGGACACTAGAGTGGCCACTATTTTCCGTTTTAGTGGCCACAAACAGATTGGACCAGTTATGATGATCCATTGACCCCTAAAGTGGCCACTTAAATTTTCAGTGGTCTAGTAGTAACTCTTAGACCTCTATAGTGGCCAATAATTTTTAACCCCTTAAGTGGCCACTAATTTGACTACTATAATGGCCACTAAAACGTCAAAACCCTATAGTCAAAACCCCACTAAAAATCTTCACAGTACCTCTTTTAGGTCCTTTTCAATAAAATTGTGAAACATAGTTGTTTCTGAAGAATGAAAGACCAGACAATTCGAGAACTTCCGTTTTTTTTTTGCTTCTGAAAGGTTTTCTTATCAATAGAAGCGTTAAAATACCGTCGAAAGGACGATGCACTTTTTCAAGTGCATTTCGCCCCCTTCTCATTTTTCTGGATCCCAAAAATCTTGTCCTTTCCCTCGATTTTCATTTATTTTTTCCTTCGCAAGCTTTTCGCTCTTCAATTTGTCGACTTTATAGAAATAATTTTGAACAAAAGGCCTTGTTTTGGTTATTAAAGGAGCATGGGTAAAAACAATGATGGTATCGAGGCGAAGAGCCGTTTTCAGTGTCAATTTTCGCGAAAAAATGATTTTTCTTCTTCAAATTCTCAAACTAGGTTTATTTTCGTATTTTACTGATTGATCTCAGTACAAAAATTTTTTTAAATTTTTAAATTCTATTCTAGTTTTTTTGAAAATGAAAAAAATAATTCAGAACTTCTCGATTTTCCTTGAAACGTAAATTTTAAAAAGAAAAAGCTGTCTTGGCTCTTGAAAGTATGATCTTTAAAAAAATAACTTACCATTTTTTTCTAAAAAAATTTGCGTTTATTTAAATTCAAACCGTTTTTGTATATTTTTTTCAAACAGTTTTTTTGAAATGGCCTTGGATAAAAAAAGAAATGAACATTGTTTCCCGGTTTCAAAAAAACACTTTTCAAGTTTGAAAAATTATTCAAATTTATTTTCAATCTCCGCTTTCTGAAGGATCATAGACAAGTCTCACAAAGGGGTGTCGAGGCGAAGAGCCTTCAGTGGTCCGTATAGGGGTCTTTGTTAGTGACCTCTTTAGGGGACATGCTGGTCGATAATTGTTATAAGCTCCATGCGAAAAACTAAATAATTAGCGTTTTTTGAATGAAATTGAAAGACCCCTACAGGGTCCACTTGAGCTTTACATTAGGGGCTAAGAAGTCCGACTCTAAATTCCTATAGGGACCACTTTTTCGGCCCTATAGGGCTGTTGGTTCCCCCTAACCCCTACAGGGACCACTCTGGAATTCCTAAGAGCGTTGATTTTTTTGAATTTGAGATCATATGAATTTTCACCCTTTTCCCATTTTTTTTTTGCTTTTTTCAAAAAAAAATTGGAAAAACTCTGCAGGAGCTGGATGAAAATACACACGCGTTCAAATTGCTAGCTTCTACCCGATAATTTTAAAATACCCAATAATTTGAGCAAGCTTTTTGAAAGTTTCTAGAAGTTTCGACGATTCTTCCCTTTAAAATAGACCAATTTTCGAACCTTTTAGCCTAAAAATATGAATCAACTATCATTCTCACGTTTTTATCTCTCAAATTCGCTTTTTTGAACTTTCTCATCTAATTTTTTTCAAATTTTGACTCATTGGCCTCAATTTTTCACTGTCTTTTGTAGTTTCTGAAACTACATTTTCCAACTTCCTTATTTTTTCCTTTTAATTCTCATTTTCCTCCAGACTTTATTTATTTATTTACAACACTTTGACAACAAATCCCCCTCAAATTCAGTTTAGCGGAGGCTAAAAATAAAAAAGTGGGTTTGCAATTTATTTATGTGGGCGAGAAACCGATTTCCGCTTGAAAATATTTCGGAGATTCGAAAATTTGAATCGGGGTGATCAAAATAAAGTTCTATCGATTTTTTTGAAAATCTATTAGATGATTCTGAATAAGAGATGAGTTCAGAACATACAGATATTCTGGAAAAATTTTAAAAACATATAAAATGGTCAACAAAAAATCATTTTCCATCATTTTTAGTTAAATTTTGTTTTTTGAGAACAATAATGCTCCATGCGCCTTTAAAGGACCATCAAAGTTTTCAAAAAAAAAAACCTTTATTTAATTACTTGCCATCTCATTTTCCCGTTTCAGAGAGTTTGCAAAAAACTGGTTCTCAGAATCTTGAACTAATCATGGTATCGTCAACATTCAAAATTCAAAATTCCACAAATTTTCCTCCAGATGACGTCATCGGCTGACGTCATCGAGTACTCTCGGTACACTTTGGGCGACTTTACCGTTTCTCAACAAGTCACAACGGGAAACTTCATAATTTACGTCTTCGAATTGGCCATTCTTCTCGTTTCTCTACTCACAAATGCTGCGTTCTTTGGGATTCTCTTGACTACGAGGGTTCTTCATTTGGTGAGAGAACAAAAATGAGAGAACAATTTTTAAAAAGGAAAAAAAAAACTATTTCCGTTCATTTTCTTCATAAGTTAGCCATGGAGCACACAAGCTCTGAAGTCTCAACGTATTGCACTTTTTTTCCGAGGCGTTTTTTTCGACTATTTTTTTGGAGTTTTTTTCAATTTTTTTATTGAAATTTTTCTTAAGAGGTGAAAAAGGGCTGAATCAAAGTTTAATCACATAATTTCTTACTGGATTCTTACCTAGATTCTTTTTTCTATCAATGAAAAGACATTTTTTTAAAAAAAGTAATCGAACATAATTTTTCCCACATAAAAATTCGCTATGGAGCGCACAAGTTGAGGTTTTTTTGAGCTCATTTTTTCATCAAAAAATTAGAAAGGCCTCTGAAATTTTTAAACTGAAAAGAATTTTAGTTAGGGTTTTGACAGGCTCCGCCCCTTTTTAGAATTACTGTAGTAGATATACAAAAAACACCAAAAATCATCTCCGTGATTCAAATCGAATAAAGTGTATTTTGGATGAAAGATAAGGCAAAATGGAAACTTTTTTTTTCAAAAAAAAAATTTAATATTTTTTAGAACCTTCGAATTCTTCTACTCAACACCTGTATCGCCTATATTTTCTACATCTTTTCCCGTTTCATGATCGTAATTCCTTTATGCGTCGCCCATCTGTTCGATACGGATATTTCCAGTGAGTTTCTTGAAATATTCTAAACCTCTTCTTTTTACACACTCTTTGCCGATCTTTAAGGAGGGAGAGATGAATGAACTATGGTTCAAAAACAATGAGTTTGTCACCATTTGCTGACGTTTCCCGTCGTTCCAAAATAGGAAAGCCTAGAAGCAAAACACAGTAATTAGTAGTCTAGGAAACCCTGAATCGACTATGATTTATGGTTACAAACGAGACGTATACGTAGTTTAATGATACTGGGAAAGTTTTTAGTGGCCATTATAGGGTTTCGAAGTTTCAGTGGCCACTATAGAGGTCTAAGTGCTACTACTAGACAACTAAAAGTTTTAGTGGCCACTTTAGGGGTCAATGGATCAAATAACTGGTCCAATCTGTTTCGAAATTATCAGAGTTACTGGAAGGAATACTGGAATGAAAAACTACTGAAGTGGCCACTAAATAGAGAACCTCTATAGTGGTCACTAAAATGTTACCATTCACGACAGCGTAATGCTTGAAGTGAGCCTTAAAAAGTTAATCAAAACGTTCTGAAACGGAGAAATGAGCTCGTATAGGAAAATTGATGTTCTTCTTTGAAATTGTAGAGTTTTGAAGTCAAATGCAGAAAAGGGGTAGAAAAATGAAGAGTTTCCAAAATGCAACAAATAAATCTCTACTTCATCCGCCTTGGAAAAGCCTGACCTGTCTGCGCTCTCTCCTCCCTCCTGAAACCGTAAAAATAGAAGACGAAGGATGTGGAAACTGTGTGAATGAAGTCATTTACTTTTTTTTCTTTCTGTGAAAGTTGAGAAAAAGGGAAACATTTCGATTTTTTATTCAATTTTTCAAATTTTTCCGGAAAAGCTATTAAAAAAAATGTGCAAAAAGGAATATGTTCTGCTTAGGAACTCCAGAGTGGCCCCTGCAGGGGCCCTTGAAGCTTAACCTCCCCCTATAGGGGCCGGTAAATCTTGCAAAAGGACCACTGTAGGGGCCACTCCAAGGAACATCCTAGTCGATTATGTTTATAAACTCTATCATAGAGTAGAGCCTCTATGAAGAAACACTTTCCTGCAAAAAAATAAGAAAAATTAAAACACCCCTCTAGGGACCACTTAAGCTTTAGGGGCTTAGGGTTCAGAACTTGAACCCCTAAAAGGACCACTTAAATGTTACCTTTATAGGTAGAACTATGTTTACTCCTGTACTGGGAAAATTTTTAGTAGCCACTATAGAGGCGCGCCAAGGACCACTTGGAGAGGACACTAAAGTGGCCACTAAACCCACCACTATTTTCCGTTTTAGTGGCCACTATAGTGCTTCTATGTTTAGTATCCACTTCAGTAGTTTTTCATCTAGTATTTCTTCCAGTGACTCTGATAATCTTAAAAAAACAGATTGGACCAGTTATGCTGATCCATTGACCCCTAAAGTGGCCACTAATTTGACTACTCTAGTGGTCACTAAAACGTCAAAACCCTATAGTGGCCACTAAACATATTCCCAGTAAGGTCTGCTTAACCTCTATAGGGGCCACTCTGACGTCCCTAGGCGCGTCATTGTCCCTGGGCTCCCAGAGATCGTTTCAAAAAAGCTGTAATTTTTTTTTAAAGAAGACACTTTCCAGGCATTTCCTTCTGCTACGTCGGAAAGACGATTCACGACACGGTGATGGTCGTGGCGGCCTCGTCGTTCTTGACAATGATGATCGAAAGAGTTTTCGCCACGGCCAAAGTCGCCACCTATGAGATTTACAAGAGCTGTAAGATCAGCGTCCTTCTATTAGGATTTCAGGTTGAACTTTCTTTTTTCTCTTGTAAGACTCTATTTTTCAGTGGCTTTTTGCCATCGGAATCACGGTGATCAACCAGATCGACGTGGCGAGTCTTCCATTGATCTATCCGAGACTTCCCTGCCAAATCGAGTACAGTACTGGGAGAGTCGTCGGCGTGGTTGCCCTTCTCACTGTAGTCGCCAATATTTTCGCTTTGGTGGTCAGATTTTCTCATTCTTAATCCAAAAAAAGCTGAAAAATATGGTCTGTTCAGATTTTAAATTTCAACCAGCTAACTCCGCCCCTGCCGAGACGGTACCCTTTCGCGTCGATGTTTTATCGCGGCGGACTAATTTTGATTTTTTTTTTGATTTAAAAGATAGAAAAAGAAGTCAAAAATGCAGCCTTATTAAAGGAACATCGTCATCTGTAGATAAAACATTGACGCGAAAGATATTGTAGCCTTGTGGGTGGAGTCAGCTGCTTGACATTCAAAATCTACCATTCAAAAACAGACTATATGAGACTTTCGTGATTTCGTGACACAAAAAAATTTTTTCAAACATGGGCCCACAAAAAAATCCAATTCTGAAACCGGTTGGGTTTTTGATCTTATAAAAAAACTGAAACAGGGGAGATTTTTGAAAAAAATCATGAATTTCATTTTGCTAGGTCAAATTTGAATGAAGTTTTTCCTATTAAACTATTTATAGAAGAGATTTTTTTAAAAAAACATCATCTTTTTCATCTTTTTTTCTCAAATGAGACTATTAAAAAAACATAACTTTTTTTGTGAAAAAAACAAAAAACAAAAAAATAAACAGCCTCTTCAATTTTTTTAAATCAATTTTTTTCGGACATAATCTTCAAAATTTCTATAAAAAAATCATCCACATGGGTATTTTTTTGTTACTCAAAAAGTACTTTCATATTTTTTTACCCTTCTTCCGACTTTTTAAACAATAAAACTACCAGTCGCGTTTGAATATTTCAAAATTTCTTGATCCCCTCAATTTGTTTCGAAAGTTCTCAAATTTCTAGTGAAACAATGTATTTTTTTAAAACCTCGCGAAGTTCATTGGTTGATTCCATTAAACTCAAAATTATAAAAAAGCTGTTACACTTCGAAACTTTGAAAAAATAGCCGGAATCATTAATAAAATAATGACTTGACGTTGATTTTTGACACTAAAAATGTAGGACTTCTCCAATTTTTCTGAATGAAGATATACTTAAAAATCTGTAAAATATTATCATTCATCTGAATTTCAGGGCCTAATCTGGGTTTTCAAACTCAACTTCCGAAAGTACTCAAAACGCAACGCCCACGTCTTCCCTCACCTCACGGAGCGATATCAGGTTCGCCTATTTCTGATTACTTTTTCAAAAAAACTTCATAACACACCGAAAATATCAAAAATTTTGTTAATCCTTTGGCTACAAAATCTTTGAGAAAAAAAAATCTTGCATATCAAAAATAAGATTTCAGGTCTCAGAAAACGTGAGATCGACACGAATGTTAGCTCCAATGCTAATCACGGTCTTCACTTTTTCAATTATTGGCTCTGTATTGCTCATTCTAACCGCCTATTCCGTGATGGCGTTGCGAGACCCGAACGACAGGAAAAGAGCCGAGGAAATCGCGAATTTCATCGGACGAGGTTCCAATTTACACATTTTATTTTAAGTAGGGGGCGCAAAGCCCCGCCCCTTCACGCCACCAAAATGACGATTTTTTTGTTGCAAAAACGGTTTTGAGGCGTTTATACTAGCTAAAATCCCACTTTAAAAATGAACTGTTTCTGTTAAGCTGTGTAATCGACAACGCTCTACAAGACTGAATATTTTTAAAACTATGTATTTTTTTCAAAAAAATAAGCGAAAAAAAGTAAGATTTAACACGAAAAAAACTGACAAGTTTCACAAAAATCGTCGCGTTTCAGAAAAACCAAGTGAGGAACGCTTCTAAATTTTTAGTATGTTATACATTAACACTTTCTTTATTTTTTTGAGTGAAAATGAAAAAAATCTACCGACGCGAAAAAAATATTAAAAGCTTGTAAAGTGACACCAAACTTTGAAGCTGAAATGCGAAAAAAATTTCAGCGACATGGTATACTTTTTTTATTTGATTTAAAAAAACTAACAGTGTGTCCAAGAATAAAAAAATTCAAAAATGAAAAATAATTATTGGGACAGCGAATCAAATTATATTTGAGTTTTACCAAAACCTCCTTTTTTTCGCCTGCCTCGTTGACGCATGAGAGAATAGGATCGCGTCTATATTTTTTTGATTATGTTATTAAGCGTTCAAAACTCTATCAATGAAAAAATTATGAAAAAAATCGATCGACGCGAAAAAAATAACGGCTTTGAAAACCTCGAAAAAATGGCAATTTTTTTTGAAATTTCGGAAGATTTCGTGCAAGTGTCCGTAGCAGTGTTTGCGTCAAACACACCGATGCGCCATTTTAAATGTTGCAGGAGCCGTTTTTCGAAGTCAAATTGCACTTTTTCCTGTTTTATTTCGAAATAACATTATTTTTTTCATTTTTTTCTTTTTTTCCAAATCGAATGATAATAATTTTTTTTCTGAGTAGAAAAAAAGAAAAAAATAAGCTGAAAAAAATCCCTTTGACCTTTTTCTAGGTAGTTTTTTTTGATATTTTATCAAAAAAATTCTTATGAGGATTGTACAAAAGATTCATACCAAAACATGAAGCTCAGTCCGGACAACCTCTCAGAACAGAAAACCGATTTAAAAAAACGGTCCAGAAACGCGCAAAAAAACATTTAAAAAGAAAGCGTGCGGCAGCGGGTAAACCGTGAGATTTTTGCCTCCAGTTGTACGCCGCGCGCCTCGTTTTTTTGGCCATAACTTTTTTTCTTAGTGAACCTTTTTTTCAAAAAAACTAATCGGATTATGAAAATGGACAGTCTCCTCTATCGAACAATGTGAAAAAAACATATTTTTTTGAATCATTCTGAAGAAATGGCTTGCGGACCCTATAAAGCTTGCAGCTGTAAAGTTATAAATGCTCTGTCTGGGGTGCGAAAAAGTTATGACGAGAAAAACTAAAGGATATTTAGTCTTTGAGGGTTTAAATGAAACATTTTTGGAATGTTGTTTGGTCAGAAACATTTTTTGAGTTATTAAAGGAGCATGGAGGGATTTTATAATGATCTCGGGGCGAAAATATGCTTTCAAAATTATATTCATGAAAACTCTTTGCGTTTTTACAGATCTTTTTTTTTCTAAAAAGATTTTGAAAAATGTTTTCTTGTCTAATCTTTCAAAAATGGAAATTTGATTTTCCACATCATTTTTCTGTTTCCAGAGTTCAATATAAACCGGCAAGTTATCCAAAAGTAGTTGATTCATTTGGCCTCATGTTAAAGTAATTTCCGCGAAACAAAAAATGATCTCTGACTCTCTAAAATTTATTTATCTTTTCCTTTCTCTGACGGTTGTTTTGGATTTTGCGGAATCACTTTCAACACAGCATAAAATATCTTTATTATCATCGGGAAGCTCAGAATGATGAAAAAAAAATTGATTATAAATTAGTTACGAAACGAATTCAGGAGGCGAAATGATGCAAGCTCAAGACATTAGCTGCGCCATTTCGACTTTGGCCTTCAGCGTCGCTTTACGGTTTCACCCAACCCTATACAAAAACTTCAAGTCTATTTTCTGTGGAGAACCGAAAAGGGTAAGATTTTAATGATCCATTTTATTCGGCTTGATACTGCGGGTTTTTCCGTTTTTATATGCGAAGCGGTTGCGACGCGTTTTGGCGCCAATTCAAAAACATCGCATCAGTCCATTTTTACGGAATTTATCTTCATTAATCTAATATTTAATGCCAAATTATCTTCTTTGGAAACTATTTAATATCAATAATTGATTTACTCAATAGGTATCCTGAAAAAAAAAAGTCAAAATATGAGAAATTTTCCGAATTTTCGGCAAAACAAAAAAACCCAAGTGGTCACTCTAGTGGAGTATGATAGTGGTTCCTGTGTCTCTGAAAAAAAAGAAAGAAAACCCCTATAAGAGCCACTTGAGCATTAGATAAGGAGTCAGCCGTTAAACCCCTATAGGGACCACCTAAATTTTGACCCCTTAAGCGGGCACTTTTTGTTCTTAGAAGTTTAGTTATGGAGAAGAAATCGCTGTAGGTCTGTCTTATATGTCGTTTTATTTTTCAAATATTAAAAAAATACTTAAGAGGCTACTTGAGCTTTAAAAGCATAGGAGTCAAACGCTTAACCCCCTTGGGGGCTTTCTAGCCCCTTTAGGGGCCACTCTGACGTTCCTAAAAAGCGCATTACGGATGAACTGCAAAAGCCACAGTTTCAAGCCGAAAAAAAGAACTAAAAAAAGATTCAAATCGAATTTTTTTCAGAAACCCCAGAATCTTCTACGACGTCTTGACGGCTCCTTGATGCCCATGACTTATAATGTGAGATTTGAAAAAAAGGTATATTTTTACTGAATTTTATTTTTCAGCACCAGTTTGAGAAGCACTTTACCGACCTGCGGAAAATGTGGAAGAGCTAATTTTTGAGAAATGTGTATATTTGTATTTTTCTTCTCATTTTGTCATGTATATAATTGATTTATTGTTTAGGTAATGAACTTTTTTTCGAATCCAAAAAGTCTTACCTCGTTAGGAAGTTAAAAAAATGATGTTTTTTGAAGCCCAGAAATTTTCCAAACTGACCTGGATGAATTTGGACGACAGATTTTCTTTTTGCTCTACGGGGAAAATTTTTAATGGCCGCTTTGGTAGTCAAATTAGTTGCCACTTGAGGGGTTAAACATTAGTGGCAACTATGGAGGTCTAAGTGCTACTACAAGACCGATAAAATTTTTAGTGGCCACTTTAGGGGTCAGTAGGTCATTATAACTGGTCCAATCTGATTGTTTTAAAAATATCAGAGTTACTGGAAGGAATACTGGACGAAAAACTACTGAAGTGGCTACTAAATAAAGGACCTCTATAGTGGCCACTAAAACGGAAAATAGTGGTCACTATAGAGATGGGTTTAGTGGCCACTTCAGTGTCCTCTCCAAGTAGTCCTTGGCGAGCCTCTATAGTGACCATTGAAACTTTCCCAGTACTGCGAAATTTTCAGCGACTCCTTCAGAGCTCCAAAGGGACCTCTTAAGTGGCCACCTAAAACTTACCCAGTACTTCATAATTCTTACATCAGTTGGTATATCTACACAGATAGTAACAAAAAGTTTTCCAGACTGATGAAATGATAAAACCGGTTACTTCTTCTTGAAAATGGACACTTTCGATTCCCAGTGTAATATCACGTGGTTCGAAGAGAAAGGAACCAAAAAAGAAGTGATTCTAGAGCCTCGAAGGTTCTCTTGACCATATCAAGGAAAGGAGAAAATAATGAAAAAACCCAGAAAAAGTAAAAGTATAAATTGATCGTCTCGACCAACTTGTTACAACGGACTTTCCCAAAATGACGGCCCATTTTCGCAGTTTTTCATCGTCGATGCTGACTTTCCACAACACGCCGCAATCTTTGAAAAAGGTCCTCCCTGGGCTTTTCGAAAGAGATAAACTCTTCGTCTATTACCCGGTCAAATTCGAGATCGAGGGAAGATTTCCCACAACAAAGGCTTTGCTGCATTCCGGAACGACCGATGACTGTACCTATTATTTTCTCAACCACAAACACACCTATACCAAGTTAGTTCTTTCAAAATGACTTCTTCTCAATCTTTTGTACTGGGAATATTCTCAGTGACCACTATAGAGACTCGCCAAGGAGTGCTTGGAGAGGAGGCTAAAGAGGCCACTAAACCCACCTCTATAGTGGCCACTATTTTCCGTTTTAGTGGCCACTTTAGAGGTTCTATATTTAGTGGCCACTTGAGTAGTTTTCATCCAGTATTCCTTCCAGTAACTCTGATAATTTTGAAACAAAGAGATTGGACCAGTTATGTTAATCCATAGACCCCTATAGTGGCCACTAAAATTTTTTGTGGTCTAGTAGTAGCACGAAAAATTGGATGAAAATTCCTGCGCAGCATTGTTGAAGTATCTCCTCAGTTTACGGTTTCAAAATTATTTTTTAAGTTCAAAATTTCGTTAGGTAATAGTGAGTTAGGATTAATAGAACTTTTTCTACTCCTAAAATTTTAGTTCTTCATTTAAATTTAAGTATTCACTTGAAATGGCTCGAAGCGTTGCGATTACGTTGCGGTTTCCAATTTGCTTTTTTGGCAGCTATCTATGATGCTTTTCAATGGCTACAAGCGCAAGTCTTTCTAAGTCGGGCGCTTTTTGAAGAAGCCGTTAAACGTCGAGCCATTCCAAATGCGGCCCTGGCAAATGATCTATCTTATTCCAGAGACCAACACATGATGCTCTTTGACGGCGACTTCAATGGCGACGATTTCACATTATTTTTCCACGAGTACTGTAAAAAGTATGATTTCTACAAAAACATGCCCTGCACCCTGGCTGACGAACGTCTGACTCCACTAGTATTTTATAAAACCGATTTTTTGAAAAAATGAAATTTCCAGATTTTGGAGCATTTCGACGCGCAAAACGTGAAGTACAATGTGGAAAAGTTCCCTTTTTACTTCTTTTACATGACGGATGAGATGATTGAGAATATGAGACATGAGAAACTGCCCATCTTGCCGGAGGGGTTTAGATATGGTTGGTTTTTGGAAAAGGTTCCAATTTATGACTGAAAAATAAAAGAAAAAACTTTGATGTTTCTTTAAATTATGATAAAACTCGCTAATTGTTGTTTTTTTCAATACTTCACTCGCCGCTATTTGAAACAAGAAATACTAAAAAAGTGAATAAAGATTCTGACCTGTCTGGGCCCTCTTTTCTCTCACCGGCCAAGAGATAGGAATAAGGAAATAGCATGTAAGCAGGAGAGAGTACAGAGAAATCAGACTGCTTTAAGTCTTGGCGAAGGAAGTATGACTCTCATGTGTAAATTATTACTAAAATCAGAATTTTTGTTAAATTATACCTCCCAAAGTTTGATCAAAATCTCAAATTTGGATACTTCATTTTTTATTCATTCTTTTTTCACTTTCCTTCGCGGCAGCTTGAATCATTCTAACCTCTCTGCGCCCTCTTTTCTCCCATCAGTAAAGACAAGGGAGAAAAAAGGAGACAGTATGTAAGCGAAAGAGGGCGCAGAGAAATCAGACTTTTCCGAGTCGTGGCGAATGGAGCCTTAAAATTAGGAAAATCACTGTAAATTGAGTTTTTTTTTCAGACAAGGGAGGAAAAAGGAGACAGTATGTAAGCGAAAGAGGGTGCAGAGAAATCAAGACTTTTTCTTGGCGGAGGAAGTATGACGTTCATATGTAAACTATTACTAAAATCAGATTTTTTTTCAAATTATACCTTCCAAAATTTGATCAAAATCTCAAATGTGGAAATTTCATTTTTATTCACACTCCATCCGCCGCAGCTTGAATCATTCTAACCTGTCTGCGCCCTCTTTTCCCTCATCAGGAAAGACAAGGGAGAAAAAAGGAGACAGTATGTAAGCGAAAGAGGGCGCAGAGAAATCAGACTTTTCCGAGTCGTGGCGAATGGAGCCTTAAAATTAGGAAAATCACTGTAAATTGAGTTTTTTTTTCAGTCTTCATCCAGTTTTTTGTTCAATATGTTTCATCACTATCAAGAGCCATTTTTAAGTTATCAATTCTCTTTTTTTGGGAGGTGCGTTTCCCTGGAGCGTCGTACAAAAAAAACGAAGAAATTGAACAAAACAGAATTTTTTTGGTTTTTAGGTTCACCAAGGTTTCGGCATAAATTGTAGGTTTTTTTTTTGTCAAACTTGAAAGGTCTGGAATTGATTTCAAGGCAGCGGACTTTTACTGACTCTCATATTTTTCAAAGATGTATTTCTCTTTAGAACATTTTTTTTTTCGTTTTTTAGGTCTAAGTTAGTCGTTTTTGATTAAAAGGCCTTGGTTTACTGTTTTTCAAGCGTCGCGGTCGCGTAGCGGCTAACATTTTCTTTGCAGACTCGGTGAACGCGAAAGAAGACGCTGAACTAATGTTCAAGTACTGGGAATGGGCGGAAGAAGGCGGCCTCGAATATATTCGGTACCGGGAAAACCATCGATTTCATCGTTTGATCTGTTGGTTTCAGCGAAACGTTACGTCGTTTCCCTTCAGTTTGCATCAGAAAAGGCAGGGAAATCGTGGCGTTTGCCGCGATCGAAGACTACGCCAGCGTCGGCAGATATTTCGTCTTTGAGGTTTCGAAAAAAGTGAAGAAGAATTTGAAAGTTTATAAATTTAGGAATACCGCAATCGAGGTTTCGGAGCTGCGATTGAGAAAGCAATAGTTTCACTTGCTATTAGGTACATTTCTTTTGACTTGAAGCTCCGTGGTCGCATTTGGAATGGCTTGTCGCGGGCGGTATCATGGGCGACTCCGCCAAAAAATACCGCATTTTCGAAACTTTTTTCCAGACTCCTTAGAGTGAAAAAATTAGATCCTTTCAATAATTATTAAGTCATGGTGCGCAAGTCGTTTCGGGTCGGGTGAACCTTCATTCCAAGCCAGCCATTCCCCTTGCAGCCATAGGCTTCCAATTAGCAGTTCAAAAACGAAAAAATAATTTTTTCAGAGATGGAATCGTGCCCAACAAATGGGTGGAAACGACAAACGACCTTGGAATAAGCTTGACCAAGAAGAATTCCTTGTTCGATCATTTGAAGAAACCCGATGGAGACCCGCGGCTTCTCGATTTTCTTATCTTCACTCCAGCTTCATGACTTTTTGTTCATTTTGAGCTGAAGATTTTTTAATTTTAATAAATTTTTTTAGACTGTTCGAAGTAGAAACTTTCTTTCCTTCTCTTTTTCTCAGAAAATTTGGAAAATTTCGTTTTTTTCCAAGTTTCTGAGATGTTTCGCAAGTGAAAGTTTGAAAGTTGAGCTTTCCAGAATTTTTTCTAGAATAGTCCATTCAACGCGACTTGTCAGTTTCTGACTGTCTGCGTCTCTCTGTTCCCTCACCGGCGGAGTCAGAGAAATGAAAATAGCACGGAAACATGAGAGGTTCGCCTAGAGACGAGGAGGGCCTAGAGAAGCTGCAAACTCTGGCGAAATTCCAGAGGGTTAAAAAAAAAATAATAGACCTTCTACAGAGAAAATAAGAGCTCCAAAAGCAGAAAACAAGCGTTTTGGGAGGATTTTTGGTGCATGAATTATTGGAAGAGTCATATTACTGGACGGCAACGCGTCCTCCAGGAACAATGGTTGCCGAGCGACGGCTCCGAGGAGTCGTCCTGACACACTTTGGAGGACAACCATGGCGAGCGGGACGGCTCTGAAGGTCGTCTACGGACTGCTGCTCATCGTCGGATTCCTGCTCACCGTCGTCGCCACGTTCACTCCCGGCTGGAGGAGTTATCGGGGAGATGGCGCCCCGGACATCGGTCTTGTCTCCCGCTACTGCGGGGACGGCAACCGACAGCTCACGCAGTACGACTGCAGAGATTGGGCTTGGGTAAGCGTTATTTCAGTTCATTTTGATCCAGATGACTCATCCATCAACTTTAGAAGACAATACTGAAAAGAAGCTCAAAGTAGATCATAATATTTTTATCTCATGTAGAGACTGAGCTTGGGTGAGGTTTTCGGAGTTTCATAATTTTTTCCTAATCGAGATTAAACATTGATATTCATAAAGATTTCTAAATAAAATGAACTTTAGTAGGCGTCATAAACAAAAATAGGTACTTAAAGCAAAACCGTCCGAAAAAAACTCGATATTTGGTCGTTGTGAAGCTTTTTCAATTTTTTTCGACTCTTCGAACTTTTTCCGAGTTTATTCAACTTTTTCTGAATTTCGAAGCATCTCTAATTTTTGTATAAATTTAATTTCACGCCTTGAGAATATCTACTTTTTCGTATATAGACCTTAAAATGAGATTTTTTTCCCGATTTTTTTGATCAAAAAAATATTTTTTTGAAAAATGTAAAGTTCTGAGAAACTTCAAGGGGTCCCTATAGGGGGTTCCAAAGGGACTTCTAAATCTTTAGGGGCTTTGGAGTCCGACCTTAAACCCTTATAGGGACTCCTAAGATTTTTACCCCTATAGGGGGCCCTATTGTACCATCCTTATTGGCCGGCCAAAAAAACTGATCTTTGGAATTAAGGAAAATTTAGTTTTGTGGGTAGGGTCCGCAAGCCATTTCTTCAGAACGATTCAAAAAATATGTTTTTCACATTGTTCGATAGAGGAGACTGTCCATTTTCATATTCCGTTTAGTTTTTGAAAAAAGCTCCACTAAGAAAAAAGATATGGCCAAAAAACTAGCGCGCGCGGCGTACAACTGAAGGCAAAATCTCACGGTTTACCCGCTGCCGCACGCTTTCTTTTTAAATGTTTTTGCGCGTTTCTGGACCGTTTTTAAATCGGTTTTCTGTTCTGAAAGGTTGTCCGAACTGAGCTTCATGTTTTGGTATGAATCTTTTGTACAATCCTCATAAGAATTTTTTTGATAAAATATCAAAAAAACTACCTAGAAAAAAAGGTCAAAAGGGATTTTTTTCAGCTTATTTTTTTCTTCTTTCTACTCAGAAAAAAATTATTATCATTCGATTTGGAAAAAAAGAAAAAAATGAAAAAAATAATGTTATTTCGAAATAAAAACAGGAAAAAAAGTGCAATTTGACTCCGAAAAAAACGGCTCCTGCGACATTTAAAAGGGCGCATCGGTGTGTTTGACGCAAACACTGCTACGGACGCTTGCACGAAATCTTCCGAAATTTCAAAAAAATTGTCATTTTTTTCGAGGTTTTTCAAAGCCGTTATTTTTTTCGCGTCGATCGATTTTTTTTCATAATTTTTTTTCATTGATAGAGTTTTTAAACGCTTAATAACCTGATCAAAAAGTATAGACGCGATCCTATTCTCTCATGCGACAACGAGGCAGGCGAAAAAAGGAGGTTTTGGTAAAATTCAAATATAATTTGATTCGCTGTCCCAATAATTGTTTTTCATTTTGAATTTTTCATTTTTGGACACACTGTTAGTTTTTAAATCAAATAAAAAAAGTATACCATGTCGCTGAAATTTTTTTCGCATTTCAGCTTCAAAGTTTGGTGTCACTTTACAAGCTTTAATATTTTTTTTCGCGTCGGTAGATTTTTTTCATTTTCACTCAAAAAAATAAAGAAAGTGTTAATGTATAACATACTTAAAAATTTAGAAGCGTTCCTCACTTGGTTTTCTGAAACGCGACGATTTTGTGAAACTTGTCAGTTTTTTTCGTGTTAAATATTACTTTTTTTGCTTATTTTTTTGAAAAAAATACGTAGTTTTAAAAAAATATTCAGTCTTGTAGAGCGTTGTCGATTACATAGATTAACAGAAACAGTTCATTTTTAAAGTGAGACTTTAGCTAGTATAAACGCCTCAAAACCGTTTTTGCAACAAAAAAATCGTCATTTTGGTGGCGTGAAGGGGCGGGGCTTTGCGCCCCCTATTTGTGGGTTATTTGTTACGCTTAATCGACTGTCACTCACAGATTTTTGATATCTTTTCTAGATTCGCCAAAATCTCAATGGGTCTTTTCCTCATTGGACGCCGTTCATGTCATCCTTACTTAACTTATTAGGTCAAAAAATTCCTAAATAACCCCGAAAAACTTTTCAGCACAAGTTGCCATTCGAAAAAGCGACGCTCGCCTTGATGCTCATCGCCTGTCTTTTGGAAATCGCCGGGATAAGTTCAGATTTTCCAAACTACTCATAATATATTTAAAAGTTCAGTATGTTTCTGCGGATTATTTTCTCCGAGAATGCGGCTGGCCTTCCCCGCAGTGACAGTGACTTCACTGGCTTTCGGCGCGATTTTCGCAGCCGTTTTAATTTTTGGAATCCGGAATTCCTACAAAGTTGGTATGTTTCTGAATGCAATAATTTCTGGAAAAATCAAGATTTCAAGCCTACATGCAGTCGACAACTTTCGAGCTTCTGGCCAACGTCCGTCTCGGCTATTCCTATTGGTTGGCCGTTGTTGGCGGGATTTTTATGCTTTTCGCGACTGGAATTACTACAGGATTTCTTGGGGAACCCGAATCTCAACATTTGCACCATTGATTTTGTAAAAAATAAATATTTATTCAAATAAGTTAGTTTAAAGCAAGTGTAACACAACCCTAACAAGGGAGATTATTTCGGTTCGAAATTGAAAAACTAAAAAACAAAATAAGGGCTTTGGAGGTCGCTCAAAATTCAAAATTTTCTGCAGAATGCCCGAAAAACTCCTGAAAGTCTCCACCTACGAAATCTTTCAATATGTTTCAGCTTTAATGCCTAATTTGCATAATTAGTGGCTTTCTCCTTGAAAAAAACCGAAAAAGTCCCAAAATTTCTAACCAAAATAACCTCCCTTATAATCCAGAACCACCGGTTTCCTACACAAAATCAACGGTAAAACACTAAAATCTCAAAAATCACAACCTAACCTCAACCTATCTAACAAAAAATGAGCCGGAATTGCGTGGGAAGAAGCAATTTGAGCATGGGAAAATATTCAAAAAATCAACACATACAAGGAAAATTTCACTCTATCACACCAGTGAGACGGAAGCAAGAATGAGAACCCGTTTTTCAATTCTTAGCCAATGAAAAATAGATATAAATAGATGAAAAGCTCTATAAAGTATGTATTAAAGTCCATTCGCCGCGACTTGAGAGTTTCTGCCTGTCTGCGTCTCTCTGTTCCTTCACCGGCGAGGTCAGAGAAACTTGAAAAAGCACATTATTATGAGAGGGTCGCCGAGAGACGAGGAGAGCGCAGAGAAAAAAAGCTCCAAGTCGCGAAAAACAGACTATTTATAATCAACAAGAAGCAATGTTTAAGAGAAGCTGAAAAAAGAGCACAACCTCCAACTGAACCATCGAAAAATCGCACAAAAAGAAACGAAAGTCGACAAATAGAAGCCATTTTTCCATTCCGTCGTCATCCAAAGCAAAGCCACACGAGCATGCGGAATCACGCGAGGTCATCTGAACCAATTTCTTCACGAAAAGTTAGTCAAAAGCATAGTCTAAAAGAGGTTATTTTTTTACTTTTTTGAGGTTAAAAGGCACAAGGATGCACGACACTTCAATTTGAACTTTGAAAGCATTACTGGCAAGCTTTTCTAACTGGATATGGTCACAAAATAGAATCCAGAAACCACAGAAAAAAATTATTTGAAATCTTGCAGAAAACGTGATCTTATTTTAAGCAAAAATTCGAATCTTCAAAGCTAAAAACTTGAAAAAATCGGTATTTTTTCGAACTTTCAAGCTTCCTTAAAAGCTGAAAAAGAATATAGGGACCTTCCATGAAACAGGGCCAGATAAAAACTTTTCTCCTTTCGAAAATAATCGTCTTACACTCATAAAAAATTAAAATATACAGGAAAAATTTGAAAAAAAATATTTTTTTCATGGCTCTAAAAAATTTTCCGCATTTTCAAAGCCTCAATGATCAGAAATACACATAATGCAAACAAATCTACAGCCCACGACACTGAAAAATAGTCGAATCAAGGCAATTTTCCCTTTAAAAAATCCGTTCAAAACTCCTTCCAATTTTATTTCTAGTCATGAAGGACTTTCACACCCTCAAAAATTTTAACAAGGACTTTTGAACAGATTGAAAGAGCTGAAATAATCACAAAGGTATCTACAACATAGGGAATCATGAGAAAAGTCTGTTCAAAAGCCCTTTTTAAGTGTTTAAAGGAGCACAGAGCGACTGATAAAGGTCTCAAGGTGAAGAGTCATTTTCTGCAATATTTCAATGGCCATTGAAAACTCAGGCAAGGAATTCCGAAGCAAGAACATAGTCATCTACAGGAAAATCAAAAGAAAATCATTTCAAAGATCCATTTTGAATTTTAAAGGAGCACAGAGTTCCATAAAGGTCTTAAGACGAAGGGACTTTTGAAAGCCCTCAGCAAGGATTTTTGAACAAACCTTACGTGGTGAAACGAAAAAAATTTCGTCTACAACTCATGGAATCGTGAAAAAAGTCTTCTTAAAGGGTCTGGACTTTTGAAGAAGCAGTCATTGTCTTTGATACTTTAACACGGCGTTTTGTTAGTGGAAAAAAAAAAATTCAAAACCAAAAACACGGTGGGCGGAGCCAATATCCACCGTTCCCACGTGACGTCATGGGAACGGCAGATTTCTGCTATAAGAGCGTAAATAACAGGGCTTATTAAAGGCGCAGGCCGCCGTATTGCCAGAGGTCTTTGAGCCGAATCGAATTCTCTTTACGTAAACGCAATTTTCTGCGCAAGAGCGGCGCAGTGCTTGCACACGACACACAACACTTTACGGAGAAAAAGTGCGCCGTGTCAAGCCATAAAAGACTATCCTTCTTTCGGAAGTTATAACGAGGACTTTCGAAAGACCTTGACGTGCAGAAACCAGGAAAAAGGTCATCTACAACACACGGAAATCGTCTGGGAGCTACTCCGTCGACCGATGGGTGCTATTACCGCTGTCCGCGTGTCTCAGGCCGCTGACGCTGAAAGAGCCTCTGTGTTCCAATGAAGACGGTTCCCCTCCTTCTTCTTCCTTCTTCGGCTCCTCTTTCTTCGGAGAATCTGCCCTGGCCGAGTAGTCGTGTTCCACGACGGTGATGTCCCGGAGACGTCGTTCCAGGTCCTCGTCGTTCAGAACGATGGCGTTTTCCGAGCTCGGAGACATGTCTCCGCGGGTCTCTGCGCCGTTTCGTTCCTCTTTGATCGTTTGAAGGTCTGGCGTCTGAAAAAATAAGTTTTTTTTTCTGAAAAATGTTAGATGAAGATACTGCAAGCCTCAACCTGCACGAATTATTGACTTTTCGTGAAATAAGCTGAATATTAAACCAAAATGCGCAAATTAGGCCAAAAAAGCGCTATTTCAGGCTTTTGAAGTGTTCTAACTCGAAAACGAGATCTATTGCGAGAAATTTTCTGTTCCCTAGTCAGAAGTATTCCTCTTTTAAGAGAAGGTGTGTTAAAACCAAAACCTTTCTTTTTTTTTATATCTGGCATCTATCGAAAAACGGCGTGATCAAAAGTTCTTTTCAGTGCCGTTCGTAGCAGGAATCATTTCTAATTTGTTTTTCAAACTTTTTCCCAAAATATCCCACATCATCATGGTCGAGGCTTTTCCTCCTCCGCATCGCCTTGTGATGGAGACCCATGTTGACGACTTTCTTCTTCAAATCGTGCAGATGGTCCATTCCTAGAGGCAGAAGCATAAATGGACGTTATTTCGGGTCGAATGGAACCTTCTTCGACGAGTTCGCCGAACCGTGAATGTTCCTTTTCTTTGGCTTGTTCCTGGACGGGAATGTCTTCCGGCATCCGCTTCATTCTCAGAGAGGCGCTCGTCACCAGCTGCTTCCTTCGACCGTCCTGCGGAAAATCGATATTTGATTGATTGAAATCGCTTGACAATCCGTGAAAAATGTAAAAAAAAAAATCATATCGATTTTTTCATCACTGTTTTAAGAATATAAGACAATTTTTCAGAGAAGAGAAAGGACTCTAAAAAATTTAACCGTCACGGAAAAATCGATATTTAATAATAAAATCGCATGATAAATTTTCAATGGAGAGATATACTCAAGAAAAAAATATATACCTTTTGAAAAATCGATTTTCATCATTTTCGGAAAATTGGACTGCATTATAATTTCCCAATGAATGGAAGTAAGTTAGGCATGCTATAAAGTACGGACATTTACAAAATGCGACCGCTTGTTTTGTGCTCCACTGTCAATTAATAAATACGAGCTTTTTTTGAATTTCAATTATTTTTAAACGAAATTCTAATTTTTTCGATAGCTTTCTGATCCGTATACTAGTGTCTTTTTTGTATTTTTGATAGTATCTTTTATTAAACCATTTTCAAGGTCCTCATCTGATTTCTGGTTTATTACAGATTCATGGACTCTTGAAAATGGTTTAGAAGCTTTTAATGAGAAGCCTCAATTGTTTGAACGATGAGAAAATTTATCATAATAAATTCAAAACGAATTTTCAAAAGGAAAATTGGAAAAAATACAAAATTTGAGAAAAAAGTGCCAGAAAAGGCGAGGGAGATAAGATTAAGAAACGACCGTATTTTATTAATTTGCAGCGGAGCACAAAAAAAACGGTCGCATGTTATAAACGGTCACATCGGTCGAATTTAGTAAACGCCCGTATTTTATAGTATGCGAATAAGCTGAAAAAAATAATCTCACTGAAAAAAATCAAAACTTATAATATCGTCCTGAAACAGTAAAAATCGAATGATAATCTTTTTAGAAAAGAGAAAAAAACTGAAAGATCGATACTTTGCTTTCAAAAAAATTTTTTTTTCATGTTCCAGTGGTGAGAAAAAACTTTACAAAAAATTAACCGTCGCGAAAAAAAACTGATGCTTCATTTTTGTTCTAAAAAAACTAGATTGCATGATTCTGTAGCAATGAAGAAAAATAGATTTACCACCCCCAACTTTTTTTAAATTAATATTTAGACTTTTAGAGAGAAATAAAAAAATCGTAAAGCATGATTAACAGGAAAAACTTTGCAGAAAGCTTTTTCAAGAAAAAAAGGGGGAGAACTTTTTTTCTAGGCTCCGCCCTAACCCCTTAGGAAGCTTTTTATGAATTTGCAAAAAAATGGGTCTCGAACCGAAATCGATACATATTATCACCAAAACAGGAGATCCGTTGAATATCTGAGTTTTTTTCAAACAACTGAAATGATTTCGTAAATATTGTTTTGGGTCCAACTACAAAATCTAAACTCATTGAAACAGGAATATGCCTTAATTCTCCAATATAAACTTCCAACCTTTTTTATATTTACCAACTTGAAAATGTACCAATTAGAACCGTAAGAAGGAGGACAGAAAATTCCAAATTTTAATTTGTCTTAAATGACTTTTTTTAATGCAACTATATCAAAATGTACTACTGAAACAGAAATGAGTGATAAAAAGCTTCGAAAAAAGAACCTTGTTATAGGCCTTGGTCCAGAGCAACTCGTCTCTCTTGACCTTGGAGAGGGGATCGTCGAGAAGGGAGTTCCTGATGGAGTTGACGACAAGAAGGACGTCGGGAAGGAGTTCGTACTGGGAGCGGAGATGGACGGCGTCTATGGCGCGGAGGGCCAAGTCCGCCGCGCCGTTGAACAGCGCCAAGTAGGCGCCGTAGATAAGTTCGAGCAAGAAGGAGCCGTTGACCTGCTGTCGTGGTTTTCTGCAACAAGCAGAGCTGACAGGGGGAGATTCCACCGCGCATCTACCTAGAGAACGTTTTTCTCGTTTTCGAGTTAGGACACTTCAAAAGCCCGAAATAGCGCTTTTTTGGCCTAATTTGCGTATTTTGCACACTTTGAAGCTCTGTAACTAGAAAACAAGATCTAATGCGAGAAATTGTTTAGAGTAAAAAAAAAAGTTCCCTGGTAAAAAATAAACGGCATCCCAGCGCCCATGCATCAGTTCAGAGAGCACGGTAAACTTGGAGAGGCCAGACTCGTACTCTCCTCGCTTTACACACTCTCTGAGGACCTGATCGTCGGTCTGCCGTTTTCTGGAGTCACCGGGCCCGACTAGGTATCGTTTTACCCCTCCCCCAAGTTGAACTTTCGTTAAAACTTTTTATGAAGTGGGAGCTCCTGACTCCAGAACAAGAAAAAAACTCAAGAGATTTTTGTTTTCGAGTTATAAACCTTCAAAGTCCGCAAAAAAATGCGCTATTTTAAGCTTCAGAAGCATCCTAACTCGAAAACGAGATTTAAATATTTAATTTTTTTCAACAGACCCTAGAAAAAAATTTAAAAAAATGTGAAAAACTTTTTCAAATTGACGCCAAAATCTTGTACTTTTTGAAAAGCGTCCAAAAACAAAAAAAGCAATTTTTCAAAAATTTTTGTGTTTTTTTCAAATATCGAATCACAGCAAGATTGTATGAAGATAAAGATCTAATGAACTGAAGAGTTTGAAACAGGAACCTGGAATAATCCTCGACGATTTCCTGCGAATGTTCCGTTTCCAGCACCTAAAAACATCAGGAGCGTAATTCGATTATGGGATTTTCGGCTGGGGAATGTCTCAGAGAAAAAAATCGATGAAAAAAAGCAAGGAAAAAAATGAAAAAAACTACCAAAAAAATATAGTTTTTTTCTGAAGGATAATATAGATTTTTTTGCTCATTTTTTTCCAGTAAAATGGGAAAAACCTTGAAAATTTAAATAAAATGATAAAATACCTTATTTCGGAAGCCGGTTTCAGGGAAAAAGAATCCCGACCGACAAACTGACAAAGTACAAAGACAAATGAATCGAGCCGTCACTTCCGAAGAAACAATGAATAAGGAAGAGTTGACCTGGAAGTAGAATAAATTCGAAAAATTCAAGAAAATATCGAAATTACCGATTTCAAAATGCGAGTGAGAACTAGAAATTTGTTCTCGGCGGTGAAACTTTTCGTCGTTGGGTAGGGCCCAAGACGAACTGTCGTCTGGAAAAAAAAAGAATTTTGGTGAAAAAATAGCTTTTTTTGGATATAACCCATCAGGAAATAATTCATAAACTTCAACCGGAAATTTTCGAATTTTTTGAGGATCACAAATACTTCATTTTATTTTTTTTTTCAGCAAAAGGAACAACTTAAGCACACCAGAATGCTACCTAGAGGATTCAGTGAGAAGAACAGCCCCTATAGGGGTCAAATTTAGATTTAATTTTTCTATAATAAGAAGATGAAAAAAAGGTTTCAAAAAAGACGCATATGGGCCCTAGAGTGGCCACTATCTAAAAACCCCTATAACGGCCACTTTTTGAAAGTGAATTTTGGTGGAAAAAAATAGCATTTTCTGGGTATGATTCACCAGAAAAGAAGTGATAAACTTCATTTCGATATTTTGAACTTTTTACAGGATCAAAAAAATAATTATTTTTCTTATTTTTTTCTTTGCTGCAAAAGAAACGACAGAATAGTCCATTCAGATGTCAAAAATAGAGCTCCCTAAAGTGGTCAAATTTAAATGATCTCATAATTTTTTTTTTATGATTTGAAAGACAAATAAACGTCTTAAAAAGACTTATTCCTACACTAGAATGCTCTCCTAAAGTGGCCCCTAAATAAAATCCCTTCAGTGGTCACTTTTTGCAAGCTTAAGTGCCACTATAGGGGATTTTTATGTGGTTCCTAGAAGAAACCCTTAATCCTAAGATCGCCCCTTTAGAAAAAATTCTGATCTTCCTACGAACAGTGCGTTTCGATAAGAAAAATCTATAGGTTCGTTTCAGAAAAATGCGAAAAAGGAAAATTTAGAAAAGTTCCCTATTCAAACTCAAAAAAGTATGAAGAATAATCAAAAAATCTAGTTATTCGACTAATTATTGAAGCAAAAAAATTCTATTTATCAGTTTTTTCTTAAAAAATTCTATTTATCAGTTTTTTCTTAAAAAATTGACATTTTCACACAAAAACTGCTTATAAAACCAAAACTACTTTTTGCCGAAAAATATAAAGTATCAAATATACCCACCTGGACAGAGGGAGCTGGACCAGGCCTCAAAGTCGTGACTTCAGAACTTCCCTGAAGTTTGGCCGGATCATGGTAGATACTTGGATACCTAATAGAAGGAATCCGAACTTCTTCCACCTGAAATCCAAAATTAACTTTTATTATAAAATTTTTCAAAGTTTTGAATGAAAAAAACAAAAAAACTCGCCCTTTTTCGCGTCCGGACTACCATCAGCCATGATTTCCTCGTTATAAACAGCTAAAAAGAAAGTTTCTACTAGAGAAACGCTCTTCTGTTGCTTTTTCGCCAAAGCCAGAAGATAAAGCGAGACTAATCCAGGTACATATTGCAGGACGTATAACCGAAGAACTCCTAAAATATTTTTCCATATTTCAACTTTTTTTTTCTGAAACAACCTCCTTTATAATACAAAGCTAACAGTTGGCCTAAAATCGGCTGAACCAAATCGACATCCGTGTAATTCGAAGCAATATAATTAATAGCAAAAATAGTGTTGGGCGCAGTTTTGGCCAGGATCTTTCGGCAGAAATCGACGTCGTCGCGGCGTTCACTGACGTTTGGCGTTTCGCCAAGTTCCGTCAGAAATTCCTGCAGCTGAGCGTTGTTCATCCCCAGCCGCAAAACGCCTGAAAAAGGTTTCTCACAAGAGAAAAAAAACTGCAAATTTGTAGTCGGCCGGCAAGAAAAATTAGAAACTTGTGGGAGAAAGTCTGCCAATAGCACTTAAGTTGCTAATTATTTACATCTTTTCGTGGATAAGAACACATAATTATAAAGAATTCATAAAAATCGGCGAAAATATAAATATAAATAAAAAAAACTTTCCATCTGCCGCCCATCAAGGGAACACTTCCGATTAGCCGTGGAGCGCAGCTCGGCTTTTTTTTGCAAAATTTTTACGACGTTCATTTTATTTTTCCTTTTTTCCTCTTTGAAACCTTTTGCCGTGTTCAAAGTAATTTCCGCGAAATGCAAAATGATCTCTGACTCTCCAAAATTTAGTGATTTTTCCTTTCTCTAACGGGTATTTTGCATTTCGCGGAAATTACTTTGAACACGGCATTTAATTGTCTTGTTTTCTAGCTCAATGTTGCGATTAATTGAACACTCAAGGTCGCAGGATGTGTTTAAATTTTGTTGCATGTTTTTCCTTTCTCTGTTAGCGTTCTTTTGATCGCTATAAATCTTTTTTGTAGAGTGGCGAAGGCCAATCGTGAAAAAGAGAAGATTTGGAAACGGAATGGGGAAGCATGTCCAAGGCAATTAAATTTCTCACGAAGACGTTCAAACTTGCAACGACTGATATCGCTAATCAGGTGAGAGTTACGACGAATTCTTTCTTGCGGAAAGAACCAGAACGTTTATAGTATGCTCTGCCGGTGAAGTCGTTGACAGGCTACGCGGTGACCAAAAAAACAGCGTCATCTTCAAGGCGACTCAACCAACTTTTAGTCGATTCTTTGAATATTTCCAAAGGTTTTTGAGAAGATTTTTCGGTGATTATGGTGAATTTTCAGATGAAAAAATTCTAGAAATCGGGTATGGCCGTGGCGATGCCCTGGGCATGTGCTACGAGAAGCTCAAAGATGGTAAAGGAATGGTTAGTTTAATTCAGTTATTGAAGAGTTGAGTAAAGTGATTAATTGATTGGATTGAGTTTTTTTTTTCGATTTTCTTTCGATTTCTAATTTTCAAGCCTAGAAAACAGAAGTTAAAAAAACAGAAGTTAGAAAAAAATTTTTCAAGATAATTTTTCCGGTTGCAAATGGAATAAATTTTTTTCTATTTTTTCACTAATTTTCAAGCGAAATTTCTTCACATTATCTTGATTTAAAGCAATTTTTCCAAAAATTTTACAGGGAGTAAATATTAAAAAAATAATCGTTTCATGAGAACTTTGACTGGGTTTTTTTCAGTATTTCACCTGAAACTATATCAAGAATTAAGTAAGATTGGCTGTATGAATATGGATTTTTTTTTTTTCGAAGAATAAATGATTTTTAAATTAAGCACGTGAATAAGTGTAAAGAAAATACTCATTTCAACAGGAATACCGGTAAACTTACTTTGATACTTTGATGGTCCATCTTCGCTGATGTTCTCAGCGTGGACCACACGTTCTCCAGGCGGCTCGGTCTTGCGCGACGGTCATCCAGTGGCGGCCTGGCTGACTGATGTTCTTGCGGAAGTAGTCCGTCCATCTGGTCGGTGGGCTCCCGAGTGGGCGCTTGATGTTTCTCGGAATCCAGTGTGTTAATCTCGTAGATCAGCTGTCGTCTTGTCTGCGGATGACGTGGCCGCCCCAACGATGTTTCCCGCGTTGTATGTGCTCTTCTAGATCCCGGATTTGGGATAGTTGACGGAGGTCTGTGCTCCTCTGTTCTTTTTTCCACTGCTCGAAGCGAGTGGTGCCGATGAGAGCACGTTCCAGTGCGCGGTAGGAAGTTCGTAGGGCGGTTGCATTTTTTTCTTCGTGTCAGGCCAAACTTCGGTACCGTAGGAGATGGCAGGGATTATCGACGCTTCGAAGATGTGAGCTCGCAGTTTCGGGTCTTTCAGCTGACTGGTGACTTCTTTGATGGAGTTGAAGGCGGCCCATCCAGCGCGTTTGCGTCTGCCGATCTCTGCTTGCAGGTCGTTCACCATGTTTACTTCCCGGCCAAGGTAGATGTAGGATGTGACCTCCTGAAGGTCGCGGCCCTCAAGGGTGACTTTGCCTTGGTCGCAGAAGCGGTTCTTCATCCACTGCGTCTTCTTGACGTTCATCTTAAGGCCGATCTTCTTGCCGACTTCGTCCAGATCGTTCAGCATGGAGGACAGTTCGGTGGTGGAGCTTGAGAAGAGTACGATGTCGTCGGCGAAGCGGAGGTTTGTGAGGACCTTGCCGTCGATGTTGATGCCTCTGATGTCTGTACTGTCTTCCCAGTCGTGCTCTTCGTCCCATCCAAGTTGGCGCATCGCGTCTTCTAGTGCCGTGGAGAACAACTTGGGGGAGATGGTATCTCCCTGGCGAACACCTTTCCTGATGGGGATCGAAAGCTTCTTGTCGAACAGCTGGATGGTCGTGGACGTTCCCTCGTTGCTGTTGGCGATCAGCTCGACGTACTTCGTGGCGACTCCGGCGGAGGCAAGAGCATTCAAGACGGCGTTGATCTCCACGCTGTCGAAGGCCTTGTAGTAGTCGACGAAGGCCAACGCAAGTGGCATCTGGTGCTCCCGGTGCCGTTCCACCACCTGGGTCAAGGCGTGGATGTGGTCGAGGCAAGAGTAGTTGCGTCGGAAGCCAGCCTGCGAGGGCGGTTGGAAGTTGTCGAGTTGCTTCTCTAGTCTGTTGACGATGACCTTGGTGAACAACTTGTAGACGACCGATAAGAGGGAGATCGGTCTGAAGTTGTTCAGGTCGGTGAGGTCGCCCTTCTTCGGAATGAGGATCGTCTTGGATGTTTTCCATTGTTCAGGAATAGAGGCTTCGCTCAGGTACTTGGAGAAGTGCCGGGCAAGTAGTCGGTACAGCGAGTCTCCTCCAGCCTTCAGCAGTTCGGATGAGATGTTGTCGGGTCCTGCGGCCGTTCCGACCTTCAGCTTCCTGATGGCGTACTTGACTTCTTCGGGAAGGATCGGGGGTTCATCTTCTGGTGGCGGCGTTGGTGTTCTGGGGACGGGAACGTCGCTTCGAAAGAGTTTCGTGTAGAAGTCGACCGTCAGGCGCTCCATCTCGTTCCTTGACGTCTTCAGCTGGCCGTTCTCGTCCTTCAGTGCTGTCATCACCGTTCGCTCGTCGACGAGCTCGAACTTCTTCTTCTTGAGGCTTTGACGTTTCTCAGCTGTCTGAAGAAGTGCACTCCTGCGTCGGTTGGCTAGAGACTCTTGCACGGCCATTCTGCAGGCTTTGTCGATCGTCAGACGTTCTAGGTGCGTGGCCTGCGGGTCTCGCTTGACTTCTCCTCTTCTTCGCAGCAGATCTTTCGCTCGTTGGTCGAGTCGCGGCGGTAGAGACGAGGTTGGTCGAGCTGCAGGTTCTGCACATCTGATGAGGCCATCGCAGAGGGATTCGTAGTCGGCTGTCGGGTCGTCGAGAAGCTGCCAGTCGTGCTCCGAGATCTTCTCCTCCAACGTGGTGATGTCGTAGGTTGGTCTTCTCGGTCTCGATGGCTGGTGGTAGTCTTTCTTCAGGAACTTCTGGTTCAGACGGACCTTGGCGCGAACGAGTCGATGGTCGGATCCAACGTCGAAACTGGGTAGTACGGCAACGTCGAGGAGAGACCATTTCCGGTTGGCCAGAATGTGGTCGATCTCGTTGGTGGTGTCTCCGTTGGGCGATTTCCAGGTCCAGCGTCTCCGATCAGGTTTCTCGAAGAGAGAATTGCCGTGGTAGAGCCTTCTGGAGTCGAGAAGTTCGGCTAGGCGTTCTCCGTTGTCGTTCCGAATTCCGAGTCCGTGCTTCCCGTGACGAATCGAGGGAGTGGCGCACTTGCCCATCTTCGCGTTGAAGTCACCCAGAACGAAGATGTAGTACGCCTTCTCTCGTTGGATCGTTTCCTCGAGCTTCCGGTAGAAATCGTCAAGTTCCTTTTCCTTCTCTTCCCTTTTAGCCTTAGATTCGGCTTCTGGTGAGGTCGGCGAGTAGACGTTGATGATGGTGAGTCTTCCTCGTTTTCCTAGGTTGAGTCGGAGGATGCCGAGGCGGGCGTTGACGATTTCGTGCGAGTCGACGAGGCGTTGGACCGAGCGATTGACGAGGAAACCGACGCCGCCGACGTTCTTCCCAGGGACTTTGTGGCCGAGGATGAGAAGTTCACCGTTTGGCCAAGTCTTACAGCTGGTGTCTTGAGATTTTGTTTCCTGGAGCGCCACTATGTCGATGAGTGCGTTTCGGTTTGCCGCGAGCAATTGCTCTTTTGCTGCATCGGAAGCGAGCGAGCGGCAGTTGAGGGTTCCGAAACGTAGACAGTCACCGTGGCGCGTCCGTAGTCCGTTTTTATGGTATCCTGTTGCTCCGAGATTTGATCGCCCCTCGTCGGCAGAGGCAGCCCCCGATACCGGAGAGGCGCGTGACCGACGGGCGGAGGACTGGGGCCGTCTTGTTGAACGTGTTTTAGCTTTTTTGTGGTCTGGTTATCCTCGTTGCCTTGCCAGGGCTAGGAGGACCGCCCATTCTATTAGCATAAAGCAAGGCGAACTGCGTGACCGGTGTACCGTTAGCCGCCATTTATGACGTTGCCGCCATAAATGGTCGTTGATCCCCATCACCGCGGAGAGGTGGAACATGAAGGAGATACCGGTACCAATAAACATGCAAAAAAATGAGATTTATTCAATGAACTGACAAGGGAGGTCATTTCAATTTTCGGATGGGAATTTTCTGGAATTTCGTGAGAATATTCCTTGAAGTACCAAATTGATATTATGAAAGTCTCAACCTGCAAAATTTCCTAGTTTTCGAGAAAAAAGTATTCCAAGCTCCGAAAAGGCTTGTTTCAACGGAATTTTTGGGTTTTCTCTAACTTGGAGGCTTTTATTTTTCAAAAAAGAGTATTTTTGTAGGTTGAGAATTTCAGGATCTTCTTCTGGTTCATTGAGAAGAAATCTGCTCAATTTTGAGAAAATTCCAAAAAAAAAAGTAAAAATGATTTTTCCTTGTGAAAAAAATTTTTTTGTCGTGAAAGGCGATCTGTGTACGGAGTATAGTGTATTTATCTTTTGCCCCTGATAAGAAAAAAACGTGCATTTCAAACTACACTTTGTTCGCCTTGAATCGCAAGGTGAATGCAAAAAAAAAGAATTTTTCTCATTTTAACGGTTAAATGTGGTTCAATTATGTCAAGTTCAAACAGTGAAAGATACTTTTCGGTGATTTCGCGCGCAAGTCGTTTCTGGTCCGGTGCGCTTTAACGCAACCGATTCACAGCCTTTTCACTTTGAGCCATTCCAAAAGGCCAAATTAGAGCTCATTATATCAAAAATATAAATAAAAGTCTTCAATAACACTGAGAAAATAATTTTTCCAAGAGTATGATTGAAAAATAAAAGCAAATTGGAGTGAAAAAATAAAAAAATTTTGAACTTCACAGTAACTTCAGAGTTTTGCAATGGAAGTTATTCAGCAAATCTTCAAAAAATTCAGGTTTTCGGAGTTGAGCGATCGGGGTACATGAATCACTGTGTCGCGAAGAGATTCGTCCTGGAAATGGCTGAAACTTCCAAAATCCGACTTGACTCTGTAGTTCCCACCCGCCTTGAAGTCAGGAAAATCCCTTTTCAGGCGATAGACCTCAAGAATCTGCCCTATCCGACGAACTTCTTCTCCCACGTCTTCCACGTCGACGTCTTCTATTTTCTGCGACAGGAAGACCTTCCGAGGATCGCCGCAGAACTTCTGCGGGTTCTTCAGCCCGGCGCTTCTGTCTCCTGCGCCATGCAGTTTTCAAAGTTTATAAATTTCCTTTATTTTTCAAGAAAAAGCTGATCAATCATTATTCGAAGCGTTTGGAATCATTCACATAGGATAATTCAGAGAAAAAAACTTTCTCATGTCGAGCAAAAAAATTTCAAAGCTCAATCTTCAATTTTTTTGGCAGGATTTCAAAGTTTGCACATTTCTTTTTCCTTCTCAAGCAAAAACTTTACAATCAATATTTTAATGGGGATGCATTTTGAAGTTTTTTTAGATTCAAAAAGATCATCTCTCAATAATTTTTTTTCTAATCTTGGTCGAATGTGGAATGGCTAAATTTTGGAAATAATGGAGCTTTTTCCAATTTTACTGTACTCTAAAAATACTCGATTTCACCTTCATGGCAGCCGCGACCCCTTAATCCATTCCAAATGCGACCAACAAAAAAAGCTTTTTCTTCTTTATTTTTTTAGTCATTTTTTTGTTGATAAATTCAATACACGATCATTTTCAACTTTTCAAAGCGTTCTTAAAATTATAAATTTATTATTTTTTTCAACTTTTTTTAATAAATCTAGGTCTCGTGTTAACAAGTCCATTTTTTTCACCCTAAAAAGATAAGATTTTTAGAAAAAAAGATCATTTCTGAAACTATCAAGCGTTATATTCTCTTTCCATGGTTACGGTTTGCTGTTTCGTTTATTTTTATTCAGAAAAAAGTTTTTTGATAAACTTACGAATTCGAAAATTTTTATAGAGGTCCCAGAAAAAAGCCTTGAGCCATTCCTAATGCGACCAAAAACTGAAAAGCTCGAGACTTCCTTTTTTGGTGAACTATTTATTTATTTTTTTGTTGGTAGATTCAATATACCACCAAATTTCGGTCTTTGTGTCACGTGGGAATAAGTCCATCTTTTTAGATTAGTGGCCACCTAAGGGATTGAAAGTTAGTGGCCACTATAGAGGCCTCTGTGCTACAACTAGATATATTAGTGGCCACTTTAGGGGTCAATGGATCAACATAACTGGTCCAATCTGTTTGTTTTAAAATTATCAGAGTTACTGGACGGAATACTGGAGGAAAACTACTGAAGTGGCCACTAAATAGAGAATCTCTATAGTGGCCACCTAAACGGAAAATAGTGGCCACTATAGAAGTGGGTTCAGTGACCACTTTAGTGTCTTCTCAAAGTAGTCCTTGGCGAGCCTCTGTAGTGGCCACTAAAAAATTTCCCATCTTTCAAATTTTCATTCATTTGACTATTTCAGATTGAAACGGTTAACTGAATACGGTTTGCTTTCTGAGAGCCAATGGGACCCGTTAAGATACCTCAGTGCGATGGAATATTCCAAATTTGAAGACGTTAAGGTTCGTTTTCAGGAAAGAATATTCAAAAATTTTTATTTTTCTGCAAAAATTCAAGTTTTTCTATTGCATCTTTGACATTATCACAATTTTTTTGACGAATAGAAAAATAAAATGTTTATTAAGGAAAGCCTGAGTGGTCCCTATAGGGCAAGCTCAAGGGCTCTTGAAGATTCCTCTCTAGGGACCACTTTACCTCCGCTATAGGGCCACTAGGCTTTCAAGTAACCACTTTAGGGGTTTTTGTTGATGGCCATTCTAGAAAAGCATGTCGATTATAGGAAAGATCATTTTCATGCGAAAAAAAACAAAAAAAATAAAAGACCCCTGTAGGGACCACTTAAGCTTCAGGGGATTAGAGGCCATCCCCTAAACCCCATCTAGGGACCACTTTTTGTTCCCTATAAAGGCTGTTTTTGCCCAAACCCCTATAGGGACCACTTTCGCGTAGAATTCCTTTTTTTCTGATTACTTTTTTTTCTCCAGATCACCTACGAAAACGACAAAAATCTAGGCGAGTATCAAATTTTGACGGCGAGAAAGCCGATCGATAGCTTTGTGAGTTGTTTATCAATCTTATCATAAATTTTTGGACTTGTTCAGGATTCAAACGATCCTGAAGCGATGATGAACGAACTGGCGAAACAAATCAAAGAAGAACGGGTCAATTTGGAGTTTTTAAAGAACCGGAGACGGAAACCGGACTTCGAAGAGAAAAATTGATTCATTTTTTCATAGGTATTATATAAATTTCTATTTTTTTCGAAGTTTGTTGTGGTGGGACAGGAGGAAGAGGAAAAAAAAGGTTATTTTAGATAAAATTTTCCTGAATTCGAGTTTGAAAAAAATTCAAGAGTTCCGAAAAAGAAAAATTAACCTACTTTGTCAAGTGATTTTTTTACCCTTACGTAAAAAAATTTTTCGTTTTTTTATAAATTTCTATTTTTTTCGAAGTTTGTTGTGGCGGGACAGAAAAAAAGAGGAAAAAAAGGTTGTTTTAGATGAAATTTTCCTGAATTCGGGTTTACATAATCACTCAAGAACTCCAAAAAAATGGTTTTTTTCAAGAAAAATTAACTGACCTTGTCACGTGATTTTTTTTTTCGTAAAATTCTGTTTTTTTCAATTTTTTTTGTTGGGGGTACTGAAAAAAAGAAGAAAAAAAGTTTGTTTTAGATGAAAATTTTTCTGAGTTCAGCTTTGAAAACCAATAAAATAACTTCAAAAATGGATTTCCCTTGAAAGGACCTTGTCACGTGATTTTTTTCACTATAACTTTCACAAAATTTTCGTATTTTTTTTGTATAAAGTTTCCTATTTTTCTCAAAGTTTGTTCTGTTGGGACACACAAGAAGGAAAAAAAGGAGCTTGTTTAGATGAAAAATTTTTTTGAATTCGAGTTTGAAAAATTAAATAAAAAAACGTTCAAAACAGGTCCCATAAAAAAATTAAAAAGATCTTTTTACGCGATTTCTCCCCTCACCTACAAAAAAATTTCCTAATTTTTTTTATAAAAATTCTAATTTTTGGATTTTCTCTGGTAAAAAAATGAAAAAAATGTTTAATTTTTCCAGAAAATTTGACAAAAAAATTTTTCTTGCAGATTTCATGTAGATAGTAGCAATGATTTTAGTATTTGAATTCTGAGGAAAAAGGTAGTTTTTTTCGATTAAAAACATATTTTGGATTAAGAACTAACTTTGCCGGTTCTAGAACTTATCAGGAAGGGAAAGATTGCTTAAAAATTCAAAAAATTTATTTTTTTGTTTCATCAAAAAATTTGAAAAAAATAATACTTTAGTGCAGCTTTCCAGATTCAAATGTCACATAAAATTCCAGAAGTTTTTTTTTGCAATTGGTTTTGTAAATAGCTACGTTTCAGTCTTTTGGTTTTTAATTATACTTCCGAAACTTTCTGTAGTTCATTTGACACTGGCTCAAGGAAAAAAATTGAACGAAATAGTGTACGAAAAGAAGAGTTTCAGACGTTCTCGTTTTTTTTTTCAAACGACCACTTTTACACTGAAAAGTTCTCAAAACCTTCCTGATAAAAAAATAAAAAAATCCATTTTTTTAAAGTTTGACCGGAGTTCATTGAGTTTTATTGATTACAAAAAAGTTCAAGAATTTTTCAATTTCGTTTAATTTTATCAACTTTGCTGATACGAATGAAAATCAGAGAAACAGGAAACTCCAAAAAGGAAAAGATCGAACTGCGTATTTTGGCGGAAACGTGTTACGCCACAGTCTTTGATTTCGTTCTTTCATCTGATTTGTCTGTAGTCTGACCAAAAAAGAATGGACCTGAACTTGTCAACTTCTGCAAAGTGAACCTTCCAGAAGTCAAACCTCCATGAATGCATAACAAATGACAGAAAAAAAAAGATTTTTCCTCCCGAAATCAATTCGAAATGACCCTAATGCGACAAAAGACATAAAAAACGAAGAAAATCAATGACGGTTTTGTTTTATCAAGCCAAAATGAGCGGCAGGGCATAAATGAATCGGTCTCCGGAAAACTGGTTTCGCCAAACGGCGGCGCCGTCGACCTCAGCCCGTTTTTTTTTGTTTTCCAAAGCGCCGCCCATTTTTGGGATCACTTTTCGGCTTGATGAATCTTTCTGTGTTCTTTGAAGACATTGGGAAATTTTTATGATCCTAGAAAGTCTTTGCATTGATGAAGTGAAGAGATTTTCGGAAATTTCTACTCTTTTCGATTTCTTTGACTCACTTGTTGGTTTTTGATGAACCTATATGCGCTTCCGGTCCTTTTATGCATTTATTGTAATCCTAGAATTTGTTTTGGAAGTTTTTTTGTACTATTGAAGTCCAATAGTTTTCTGAAATTAATTAATCTATATTTATTTTAATCCCTTTGTTTTTTTAAACGGTTCAAAAAGTCTTATGCTTCTCTTGACGGTTTCATATCCTTTTTATAGATTTGAAAACTGTTTTATAATTTTTATTTTTCTGATTTTTTTCAAATACTCCAATCTTCATTCAATTCGATTATTTAGGCTTTTTTATTTGTATAGGATTTTTTTCGAAGTTTTTCTGCCATTATTGTGTCCCTGAAAAACCTTTTTTCAATTTGTCAAGGGCGAAAAGTCTTTAAAATCAATTTGGAATGATCTAATTAGACATTGGCTTAATCCTGGGCTCCAAAAGACTATTCGTTGAAGTTTTTGTGTCAATTTTTGGTGCAAAAAAATCACGGAAGTTTTTTTCTTAGCAATTTTCGGATGGTTTATTGAAGTAGTGAGACCGAAGTACGTCTAACTTCAGTATCTTAATTCGATTATTTTTGCTTGATAGGTTTTTCAAGGATTTTATGTCATTTTTCTGATCTTCGGAAGCATTGTCTTTTTTCACATCTCTGTGAAAACTTTTAGTGGCCACTATAGAGGTTCTTTATTTAGTATCCACTTCAGTAGTTTTTCATCTAGTATTTCTTCCAGTAACTCTGATAATTTTAAAACAAACAAATTGGACCAGTTATGTTGATCCATTGACCCCTAAAGTGACCATTAAAATTTTTAGTTGTCTAGTAGTAGCACTTGGACCTCTATAGTGGCCACTAATTTGACCACTACAGTGGCCACTAAAAATTTTCGTTTTTTTTTAAAATTTAAATAAAGTAAACCGTGTTTTCCTTTGATTTACCTGAATAGAGCCTGGACTTTTTTTTGCACAAATTTCTACTATTCAAGACGGAAAATCTCTAATCTCTATTGAATAGATTTATGCAATTCTGTTGCTCTGAATTGATTTTTCTTTAAACTTGGGATTTTTGAAGGTTAAGACTTTCAGGATCTTTACCCAGTACATTGAAGGGTGTTCTGACCCATTTTTGGAATAAAAAAAAGAAGTAAAATGACCTTGTAAGAGGTTCACTGAAGTGCCGAGTTTCATTGTAATATCTAAACCTTTTCATATTTTTATTTATTTAGGACGTTTTGGATTGTTCAAATCGATTTTTGTCCTTTTGTCAGCGTTTTATGTCTGATTCTAGGTTTAAGGAAGCTTTAAAAACGGTTTTTGAAATAATTAATTCTAGTATTTTTTTATATAGTCGATGTGCCACAAGTTGAAATTTCGTGGAACGACACTCCGCTGTTTCGATTTGTGCGGTAGCGCGCATCTTGCGAATTTGCCAACCTCGGCCACGCTAATTTTTTTGGTTTTCATTCTATTTTTTTGATCGTTTTTTTTAATTGTTTTATTTCTTTAAAATTTATTATTATCGTTGAAAAATGATTGTGTTGTACAAATGTAAACGGAAGAATACAGTAAATTTCATGATCTTTCTCGAAAAAAGCGATGAAAAAAAGTTTGAAAAACTTCATGTATTCGTCAATCGCTATAATATTCATTTGTTTTTTTAAACATTCATTGTGTTTTATTTCTGATCGGGATATTTTTTTAAATGATTTGAAAAAAATTACAAGTGAAAAATGGAAGAATGTTGCATGTCAGGGACGTTGAAATCAATATTATAAACGCATTTTTTCGCTTAAAATTCGAAAAGTAGTCAACTTTATTTGTTTCTAATGAAACAGTCTATCCACTAGCAATGATAATCATGAGTTTGGCACGAAGAAAATACTGAAACATAATTAAAACAGTGAAATTTTCAAATGAAAGAAAAAATGGAAAGCGCGACCGAAATTTGCAAAGGCAAGGCGCTTTCACGGCCACGGCCACCCAACGGAGTGTCGTTCCATGAAATTTCAAGTCGTGGCACATCGACTATAGTAGAATTTTTCTTTCACTTAAAAAAATAAAAATCATTTTAACGAATGCAGCTTTTTTTCTAGCCTTTATTTTTATTAAAAGGGTTTTTTTGAATTTTCTAATGATTTCTTGAAGTACTGGGATTTTTTTGCGGGTCTTGAAATTATAGAATTTTATTCCAATCTCTATAGTTGTCTTGTTCAATGGATTTATTCTCATTTTGATCTTCTTTTTTTCAGTTTGATGGAATTTTTTCTGCGTCCTCCGACAAATTAATGGCATTTTTATAGTCTAAGGAAGTGCGTCGAGAAGTTTTTTTCTCATTTTTTTGAAGGGATGAAAATTTTTTTCAGAGTACCTAAAAATTTTTTTATAGTCCATTTTAAGCAGCGTTCTGGGCTTTTTGAAGGCCAAAATTAGACAAAAACCGCTTTTTTTCTTGAAGATTTCATGAATTTTTGTTTTTATTTTGTTGAAAATTCTGAACCAAAAATTTTTTTGAATCATTTTTTTCAACAAGATCATTATGAATCTGATGATTTTATTTTTTTGAGAAAAATCGGAAAAAAATTCTATATTTTTTTGTGATCCATCCCATATTTAATGACCATCACCGACTTTCACTGAAATCTCCGTTCCTTTTCTCATTATTTCCCCCACCCTGCAAAAAGGTTCAAATTTGTCCGCTTATCACAATCTGACCCACTTCCTTCGAATCCCAACAGAAAATCACTGAAAGTAGATGTGTTTATTTGATTTGGATCCCTTGTGACATCTGCCCGTTTCCATCTCGTCAGTTATTCGAAATCAGCTTGTTAATTTGATCATATGGTCTTTGGATGGGACCCGAAATAACATATTGACCCGGAAGTCGGTTTTAGTGAATTCCTGGTTGTTTGGGAAAACTCCTTGTGGGTTAGCCATTTTATAAAAGTGATTCCATCTCAAAATTTAATCAATATTCACATTCGAATTTTTTTTGTTACTAAGAAACAATTTCCTATTGCTTTGATGGCTATTGTGTTGCAATGAAAGAAAGAAAATGAAATGCGGTAAATTTTTTTCCTTTTTAAGGCTATTTTGAATCACTAATCTAACTTAGTTCAATTTATCTTTTTCTTTAATTTTTTAAAAACTTTACATAGTATTTTAACATCACAAAAATCGGTTCAATCATTTTTTATCACTAGAGGGACAAAAAATAAACAGAAGGAAGTATACATCATAAAGTATTTTCTGAAAAAAAAAATTCCGCAGCTTGAAATGGAGCTTTTTTGCCGTTAGGTGATAGAGGCCTTAAGACTGTATGAAATATTTTTTTAGCTCAGAACTTATCGATTTTCAGTTCCTCTCTAGCCTATAAAGCTACAATATTATTGTCTATGAATCACTGTTGAATTTTTGAAAATTTGTGGGAAGCTCAAAAACATTTTTTTTTTTTCTCTCCTTTTGTTCGTAAAGACTTTTTTCAAATTTAGTGAAATTAACCAAAAGCTTCAAAATCATCCCCGAAGTTTTCTCAGTGCTCAATGGACCCGAAATGTATGAAGTTTATTTTTTTTCTTTTCTGGTTAGGATTTTCTTTCGGCCAGGGTACTCCTTGAGGTACCAAAAGAAGATCCTGAAAGTCTCAGCTTGCAAAAATTCCTAGTTTTTGGGAAATAACACCTCGAAGTCGGAGAAAACCCTTGAAATCCGTTAAAAGAAGCCAATTTGGAACGTTGAGCCCACAAGCTTTCAGAATAGTTTTCTGGTACATCAAAGAGTGTTTCGGAAAACTTTTAAGAAATTCCTAACCGCAAAGAAAAATGACCTCCCTTGTAAGCTAGTCATCAAAAAAACGGCTTATTGACTTTTCTAGGCCTCACTACCATCTCCTAAAAGTTTCCATGTTTCGTTTCCTTGTTGAAGATCAGAACCACAGATCATTCAAATCACCATATCCGTTACGAAATATTCTCTCCCCGAAAATAGTCATTCCGAAGAACCCAAAACAAATGACGATTCCGTCGGAATGCCAATGGAGAAGTCGACCTGTAGGCGACGGGGGGCGATAATTAGATTATTTGGAAGCGACGACGTCGATTGATTCGCCCCGTCGACCGACCGTCGCGCCGTGTCGCACCTCGGCTTTCTTGCAGGAAACATGATGAGCCGCGATGCTTAGACCCACGGCCTTGCTGCTGCTCATCGCGACGACGACGTTCGCCGAGCCGCATCGTCGTCGCGTCAGCCAAGCCGCCAAGGTCTACGAGAACATCGAGGGCCTCCATCTCGACTCCCAGCCTCCCTTTGACTCGTTCGTTTCCATTTCTTCTAATCGAGAAACTAGTTTCTTTTTTTTTCACCTTAGAAGGCTGTTTGACTACGCGTTTGAAAATTTCCTGGAATTCTCCTTGATTTTCCGAAAGAATAATTTGAAAAGCTCAACTTGCAAAACTTCCTAGTTTTCGAGAAATGTGGGCTCAAATCAACAAAATGACCTATTCCAACAGGTTTTCAGGGTTACCTTCCACTTTGAAGGGCCCTATCTCGAAAACTAGAACCTTTTACAGGGTGAGACTTTTTTGCTACTAACCGCTGGTTTTTAGAAGATCCCCCAATATTTGGTTTGATCTGAAGTCGCAAAAATTCGACTCGCTCCTTTTTCCTTCGTTCTAAAGGAACCAGTTAGAGATCATTCGCTTCAGTCACCACTGAATTTATGAGAAATTCGGAAAGGTTTTTTATAATGGTTAGAGGGACAGTGAGGAAAAAGAAGGGTTTTGGTCATCTCTGTAGATTTATTCGTCTCGAAATTCATTTTTAGTATTTTAATGAGAAGTTATTTGGAATTTACTCTAATCGCGGCTAAATTTTTGAGACATTTTGGCAAGAAAGTGAAAAATGTTCAGATGTCTTTGTAGGTTTTTTATCTCGAACTCTAGAATGTGTTATTAATTTGCACCTATCTGAGTTATCAATGTAACTATAAATTCCCAACCAACGTTTCTGAATAACCTAGCACTCACCACTGGTTCTAGAAAAATTTCGAAAATAAAATTGAGTCAGCCCGCGGATAGTAGAAGTTTGAAAAACTCTTGTGAAAAATTTATTTTTTTCTCGTGAGAAAAATTTTCAAGTGAGAATTTGATTGATTATTGATTATTTAGTTTGATTGAGCTTCAAACAGTTAGCTAAATATATTCTTGTTATATATATATATATTTATTTTTTTATGCCTTCTTTTTGACTCATTCTTTTTACATTTCTCGAACAATTAGGAAACTAGTCGAGGATTGTTTACAGCACTGACTTCAGGGAAAAATTTGAAAAAGGTTCTTGAGGCGATTAGTTGGAGAGACAATTTGCGAATAGAGGAGTTTCGGAAGTTCTTTCACAATTTATTTTTAAACATTTATTTATCAATAAATTTTATTTGAAGTGGGCAGCTCATGAAATATGAATTATAATTGAAAGTTGAAAAAAATTTTTTTTTATGGTTATCCTCCAGGAACCACTTCGCTTTTTTTTCACTTTGGGGAACTAAAGCTTCCAAAAGTGGCCCCTTTAGGGTCTCCCTTATATTTTTATTGGCCACTTAAGTGGTTAAAAACTAGTGGCCACTATAGAGATCTAAGTGCTTTTACTAGACCACTAAAATTTTTAGTGGCCACTTTAGGGGTCAATGGGTCATCATAACTGGTCCAATCTGCTTGTTTTAACATTATCAGAGTTACTGGAAGGAATATTGGCTGAAAAACTACTGAAGTGGCCACTAAAACGGAAAATAGGGGCCACTATAGAGGTGGGTTCAGTGGCCACTTTAGTGTCCTCTCCAAGTAGTCTTTTGCGAGCCTCTATAGTGGTCACTAAAAATTTTCCCAGTAGAGAGCGTCTTTGAGCCAGTGAGAAAAACAACATTCTCGTTGAAGAAAAGAAGAAATCGCGTTCGTCAAAAGGACAACTGAAAGCTCAATCGAATCTTCTACCGAGACGACGTCCAAAGAGGTGACGACTACAACCGAAGAAGCCACGACGACGACCAAAAAAGAAACGACCGAAGAAAACGTCGAAGACGGTTGGTCTTCCAGCTTTCACAACTTGAAGTAGATAAGCTTTTCAAAAATAGTAAAAGTTTAGTTTATTGATTTTTGAAAAAATCGACGTCAAATCAAAATGATTCAGTGATACAGAAGCTGCTGGAGGGCGCCTTGGACCTGCAGAATCTGACGAAGGCCGTCGAGCAGGAACACGCCGAGTCGCTGGAAGATGAAGCTAATAGGTTCGAAATTGATTAGCTTTACTTAGGGACGTCAGAGTGGTCACTATAGGGGTTAGGAAAATCCGCATCTAGAGTAGCCGTTTTTGCAAACTTTAGAGCTTCTAAAAGGGGAGTTGAGGCGGAACTACGAAAGCCTAAAAGGTAAGGTTGCCCCTCTAGTGACCATTTTGGCGTTCCTAAGACTCATTTTGAATTAAAAAAAGGTTTTTTCATATCAAACTGTGGCGATTTTTATTTTTAAAATTTTCAAAAAAGATAATTTTGCTCTCAGGTTTTGTTGGTTAAGCGTGCCTTTTGTGTAAATTATTTTTTATGTAGGTTTTTTTTAAAAATATAATGATTTTTTTTGCTAGCCCAAGTTTTTCAGCGTGTTTTCAACACAGAAAACGGTTTTTTGTGAATCGTGATTTTTCAATTTTTAAAACCCTCAGGTTTTTTCCCATTATTTTTTTTTTCAATATCCTAGGTTGCACGTCTATCTTTGAGGAGATAATTCACTCTTTTTTGCAAAAAGTCGAAAAAATGATTTCCTTCACAAAAAAGATGCAACATGTTTTACTGTCGAAACTACAAATTAGGCCTTTATGAATTTTCATACCGCTTTAATTCCTTTTTTTTCAAACCTTGAGAGAGTTTCAGAACGGTCCTCTGGATCGACGCCAGCTACAAGGCGATGGACTACAATCTCTCTGTAAACGAATATCCAGAATGTATCGAATGGCAAAAATATTGGGCCGCCTTGGAAAATGCCACCGTTATCGTCGTTTCTGTCAGTTTTTGCCCTTTTCCCACAAAAAAAATATTTATTTCAGAACGAAACGCTTTTGAATGAAACTATCCCGAAATTGGTCGAACCGCCCGAAGAACTTCAAGAATCCGAACTGGTAACCACCAAAAAACGGCTCAAGGCCCTGGGATTGAATCCAGAACTTCTGGAGATTCATAAGGTGAAATTTCGAATTTTTAATAAGCTTTTTTTGAATGGCTGCAGTGATAGAGATTTTGAAATTTGAAAAAAAAAATTTTTCTACTCGACTTTCCACTTTCTAGCTTCTTTTATAAGTTAATTTTTTTAATTTTCAATGTTAGTATTTGACACGCTTCTAAAAACACTGTAAAGGGCAAAATTATGAATTTAACACGAAATTTTTTTTTTCATTTCAAGGTAATTAATTTTTTTCAACGCTCGGTTATTCCGCAAAACTTTGTGATCCATTGGCGAATCTCAGAAGACTTTTTGAATCCCTAAAACTGCGTCATTTTTCGAGGCCACCCCCAGAATTCTTTCATTTATTGTCATAATATGCGTTCTTAGTTGCTTTATAATATTCAGAAATAAAAAAAGTTACCCAGAAACTTTCAAGAAAAAACAATATTTTTATCTGTTTTCGGCCACAAATGCGTTTTGAAAACTGTCGTCATACATTCTTATTTCTTAATTCTCAGTACTTTCTTTCATGTAGGATTGTTAAGCATAGTCGATTGTATGTTTCCCTCAAATTTTTTTCCAAATCGATGGAAGAAAACTGTTTTAAAATATACAAAACGAAAATGACGACGTTTTTTGAATAGCGAAGTGGGCGTGGCTTTGCGGTCCCTAGCTAAAAACGATCTTAATTTTTTTTTGAACCTGCGAAAAGTCTCCACTGAAATTTTTTTATTCGAAGCCTTTTTCAGTTTTTTGGCCGTTTTCTAGATTTTTTCCCAGCATTTTTTTTCAACTTTTTCAACTTTTTTTAAAAGAACAAAAACTTTTGTTACAAAAGACTGTAAAATTGCGCTATTTTCGATTCTAGATTCTAGAATTTTTCGAAAGTTTCATTTTTTTATTCCAATCAAAAAGATTTCTTTTAATTATCTGTTTTATTGGCTTGTGAATTGTTTAATGTATGGTTCCTCTATCTTTACTTTACTTTCTCACAAGAAAAATGAATTTCCCACCAAAAATTTCAGTTGCGGTCGTTTTTTTGTGAGAATTTAATAAAAAAACTGACGAGTCGCATCAATTTTCGGTCGAAAATTCCTTGAAAAATTGACCAGAGAACTCCTTGACTTACCAGCAAAAAAATTCACAAAGTCTTAATTTTTTTAAAAACTTCCTAGTATTCGAGAAATAAGGCCTCAAAGCTTCAAAAATAGTTGATTTTTAAAGGAGGTATCCTTTCTTGAAAACTAGAAAGCTGTGCAGGTTGAGACTTTCAGAATCGTTTTCTGGTACATCTAGGAGTTTTCTGGCCAATTTTCATGAAAATCCCAGCTCCAAAGTAATATGACCTCCTTGTGGGCAAAGATAAAAAAAGTTAACAATTTTCGCGAAATGTTCGTTATTTCAAATAAATAATGAGTTTCCAGGCAGTCGGATTGGTTTTCCGGGAAATATGCGGCAACCACGGCAGAACCCTGTGGTTTCGGACGAGAGAAGACGCCAAAACCATAGGAATCGACGAAGATTCCCTCATTTGCGAGCCTTTCAAAGTAAAAAAAAACCTGAAATTCGATAAATTCCTGTATTAAGGAAGAACTGAACCCCGATAGAACTACTCTAGCCGCCCTCGCTTTGAAATTGAACGAGAGAATCCATAATATAACCCACACCGGAAGGGCCGACGGAAATGTCACGTTTGATGACTCATCGGGCAACTTTACACAAGGTTGCAGTTTCATCGACATTTTAAATTTTGCTAAGTTTTCAAGGACCAATTCTCTCTTCCAGGTTTGCAAGAATTTGAGATTGTCAAAATCGGTTCAATTCACGGCGTTTTTGTTAGTGGAAAGTTAGAAGGCTGGTAGACCTATTCTCGTTTGACTTTTGATAGTTTCAGCTCCTTCGATTGTTTTTTTCTTGAGTTTTTGCATTAATTATTCAATTGAAGTCATTTTCGATTTTCTGTAGTCCAAAAATTTCGAATAACGCGGAGATAAGGCAAGAAAAAGCGATATAAAAGCGATAGAGTAGCCTACCGTAGCCTCAGGTGTAGCTTTTGCTTTCGCTGCGATACCTCACTTTTTAGATCTTCAAAAGTTTTTTGATTGTTTTAAGGTGGCGAGACCTATTTTCTATGATTTTTCTAATTGAATCGACGCTTGCTGTTGCGCATAACTGGAATAATTTGAAAATTAAGTATAATTTACTGTGAAAAGACTTTTAAGCTCGTTTTCGTGGGAATTTTGATAGTTTCAGCTTAATTTTTCGGATTTTCTTCAAGTTTTTTGCAGTCATCAGTTACTGAACGCCGGCTTAATATTTCTTCAGTCGAAAAAATCGATTAAGACGGAGATAAGGCCGAGAAATAGCGAAAAGAAGACGGAAGAATAGCCTACCGTAGCCTCAGGCGTAATTTTTGCTTTCGTGGCGAAACCACACTTTTTCAATCCTTCAAAGTTTTTTGATTGTTTTAAGGGGATTAGACTTATTTTCTGTATTTTTTCAGAACTAATGAATGCTCGTAGTAAAGTTCCATGTCAAAAATTTGGGGAATACATGGATTGCTCTGTTAAAAGACGTTTAGGCTCGTTTTCGTGTGAATTTTGACATTTTTAGCTACTTTGGTTGGATTTTTCTTGAGTTTTTGCATTAATTAGTTATTGAACGTCAGTTTCTATTTTCTGAAACCGAAAAACATTCATTAAAACAAAGACAAAGTCAAGAAAACCGAAATAAAAACAGAGGTAGAAGTCTACCGTAACCTCAACCCTAGTCTTTCTTTTCGCGGCGAAACCTGAGTTTTGAGCTGTTCAGTTTTTTTTTTGATTGTTTTAAGATGGTCAGATATATTTTCTGAAATTTTTTGATTGAAATGACGTATTCAGTTGCGTTTAACTCGAATAATTCAGGAATTGAGTGGAAGGCACTGGGAAAAGATTTTTGGACTTGGTTTCATGTGAATTTTGACAGTCTCAGCTTCGTCTGTTGCATTTCACTTGCGTTTTTTGCAGCTCTTAGTTACTGAACGCCAGATTTAGATTCTCTGAAGGCGAAAAAACCTATTAACCCGAAGTCAAGGCCAAGCAAAAGCGAATTAGAGGCAAAAGAATAGCCTACCGTAGCCTCAGGCGATGTTTTAGCTTTCGCGGCGAGGCCGCCTTTTTCAGATTTTTCAAAGTTTTTTGATTGTTTTAAGATCTATAGGACTGTTTTTTGAAACATTTTTGAACTAATGTATGCTCGTAGTGAAGTTCGATGTCAAAAATTTGGGGAATAAGTGGAATGTTCTGTTAGAAGACTTGTAGACCTGTTTCGAAAAAAAAAATTAAATAACGATTTTGCAGAGCCAAGATATCCGCCGTTCCCACGTGACGTCATGGGAACGGCAGAAATTCCGGTTCTACTGTGAATCTTTTTAGTGGCCACTATAGAGGCTCGCCAAGGACAACTTGGAGGGGACACTAAAGTGGCCACTAAACCCACCTCTATAGTGGTCACTATTTTCCGTTTTAGTGACCACTTCAGTAGTTTTTCATTCAGTATTCCTTCCAGTAACTCTGATAATTTTAAGACAAACAGACTGGACCAGTTATGTCGATCCATTGACCCCTAAACTGGCCACTACAACTTTTAGGGGTCTAGGAGTACCACTTAGACCTCTATAGTGGCCCCTAATTATTAACCCCTTACTTGGCCAATAGTTTGACTACTCTAGTGGCCATTAAAACGTCAAAACCCTATAGTGGCCACTTAAAATTTTCGCAGTAAGAGCGTAAATAACAGTACATATTAAAGGCGCAGGCTGCCGTATTGCCAGATTTATTTGAAACGAATCGAAATTCCTCTACATAAACGCGACTTTTCTGCGCGGAAGCGGCGCAGTGCATGCACACGACACATCACACTTCACGGTGAAAAAGTGGGCGTGGCGTCGTCGAAAAAACACCGTGATTTTCCATAAAAAGTTCCCAAAACACAAAAACGAATGAATAGATGCTATTGAACTTGAATTAAAAATTAAGTTCGAAATTCACTTTTTATCTCTATTTCCCAGTCATTTATCGATTTTTCTTATTCCATCTTTTTAAAAAATCGAAAATTCCAAATTTTTCAAGCTTTTCTCGATTTTTTACAATGTCGAGACGCTTTAAATATGATTGTTCAGATTAAAATATCATGAATTTTCTTCCGAAATTCCGAATTAAAGTAACTTTAAGAAGAAAACCTTTAGGTTTGTTTTTTCACAGTTCGCGTAAAACACAGAGTCAGAGGTCATTTTGATTTACGACTTGAAATTTTCTAAAAATTTGCTCAAACGATTTCTGAAGGTTTATATGAAAGTCCATCAAAGTTGCAACCGGCGCCAGTTTCTAGTTTTTGAGATAATTAATTTTGAAGTTCTAAAAAAAGTTAGGCTTGATAACCATATTTCGTAAATTCGAAAAATCATCCGTCAAAAACTACAAGTTTGCGCAGGTAGCGACTACGAAGAATCTTCATGTAAACATTCAAAAAGTGTTTGAGCAAATTTATAAAAAATTCAAAACTGTAAAGTAAAATGATCTCTTGTGAGTCTGAAAGTCAAAAAAAAAATTTTTTCCCTCATAACTTAACTTTGAAACAGGTAAAAAGTTTTCACCTCCTAATTACTGAATACTGTAGATCATGAAGAAGCCAACGGCCTTCTGGAAGCCGTCACTGGAGAAACTTTGGCCGAAGTGACTACTGTAGCGCCTCCCGAGACAACTATTGTGAGGCTGACCTCAGAAAATGATTAAAAACAGAAAAACAGAGCACCGTTTACCTGGAATCTTCTGATAAGATCAATTTGACGGATTTCGAAGAAGAAACGACTTCCACAACCACCACGACTACCACTGAATACCCCATTAATCATCACGAAGATATAAAAGTCTACGATGACGACATCTGGGACTACCACGACCTCGAGTGAGTCCGACCTCATCTCCAAAAAAAGAAAAAGGGGAAAAATCAGGCGCCGATTCAAGGAACAGAAACTGAACCAGCATCTGGAAGAGGTGCTCCCTCATCGCAGAAGACGGCATCGGAAGAGGAAAAGCGTCTTGATGCGGATGAGGGTGAAGAGAGACACGGAGAAGGTCAAGGATTCCGACGTCGGCGAGGACGAAAGCGAGGACGACTGGATCAATGTCGTGAGTTTTTGAAGGAAAAAAGGGCCGAAAAATGAGACAAACGCATTTGCGCTCCAAGGATAAATTGTGGAAAAAGGGCCCAATAATGAACTTAAAGGGTCAGTAGTCCTAATTTTCGAGTAGTTATGTAAATTTGAAATCTGGATAAGAGCGAGTACGGGGTCAAACTTTTCATGATTACTCCCTCAGTTTTGATACGGGGTCGCACTTGGAATGGCTTGAAGCGTCGCGGTCTGATTACCGTCAAAATAAGCCCTAAAAATGACTCGAAAAGCTTGCTCTAATGTTTTACGGTGTCTCTGCGCGCGAACCGTTTCGAGTCGGATGCAAACGGCTTCGCGCGCGTTTTGACATCCTAAATGTGACCAAGGCTTGTCGCGTGAAATGCTTGGGCGCAGACTGCGTCATTTGAGTTTAGGCTGAGTTGGATTAAAAATTGGATTTTTAAGATTTTTGAAGTGAAACCAGTGGACGTTTTTTTTAAGAAATCTAGTCCGGATCTGTAAATAAATCGTTAATTTTGCCAAGAGAAAAATCCGACCCTGAGCTTCTTTTCGGAATCTTTTTTAAGCCTCGAAACATAGAATGCCATGAATAAACAACAGAAGAAAAAAAGAGAAACTTGAAAAAAATAACATTCGGATAATATTTGGAAACTAGAAAAAAATTAATTTTTAAATTATAAAAAAATTTAACGGAACCTTTTCGAAGTGACATTTAATTTTTTTGAAGTGTCTCAGAAGGCCTTTGAATTGAATATAAATTTCAACTTCACGGTCTACTTTTTATTTTGCACCTTTTCGGACTTTTTTCAAAGCATTTCTGAAGAAGCTGGAGTGAATAAAAAAAATATAAATCTTCGAAAATTTTGTTTTCCAGAGACAAATCATCAAAACGGAAGACGGAGAAACGACGGTGGCCATCGTGGAAAGTTCGAAAAAAGAGAAATCAGGAGACGAGGAGGAAGTCGACTATCAGCATTGGATCGAAATCGATGCCTCAGATGCTTTGAAGTGAGATTTTTTTGTTTTGAAGAATTTTCAGGGCAGTTTTCATATATCTGATACTATAAAAGCCGTTAAAAAAAAACAAAAGCGCTCCATGGCTAATTCTAAAATTTCCTTCTTTCTTCATTTTTATAAAAATAAGATCTGCAGGAAGAATAGATTATAAAAAAATCTCCAGCTCAAATTTTCGACCTTGAAAAGTATGTTAATTGTGGAGAAAGCTTTAAAAAAATTGTATTTCGAAAAAAAAAAGTTAAAACTCACGTTACTGTTTCTAGACTTTTATATTTTTCGTTTGGTACTACTGAACTTTTTTTAATTGCCTCTTTCGTCTGCAATCATAAAAATCAATAATCCACATAAAATGAATTTTTGAAAAAAACTGCGACGGCATTTTTTTAATAATAATAATCTTCAAAATAACACGATAAGTTTTGAAATGGCGCCAAAAGTATAGTCTGTGTGCCATGACTCGAAATTTCACCGAACGACATTCCGCTGTTCCGCTGCGTGCGTTCGCGAAGCGTCTTTCGAATCTTGGTCACGATTTCAATTGATTGTTATTGCTTTGGGAGCACAGGAAAGTAGATTACCTTGATAATAGGAAAAAATTGGAAGCGCGACCGAGTTTCGCAAAGGCGCGCAGCGGAACAGCGGAATATCGTTTGGTGAAATTCCGAGTCGCGGTACACAGGCTATACATTATAAACGAAGAGAAAGGGAATATATTGAATTTGGTGAGAGAAATGTTGCAGCCCAACTCTCCTGATCGCCTCGGAAGAAGCGCTCGACGCCCTCCATTTGGAAATCGACAAGAAATCTTTCAGTCGCTTTGAAAATATTGGCCTTTATTTGCCGGGAATCTGTGCCGATTACGTCCCCAAGGCGATCGACGAGTTCAACAGCAGCAGTTTTGAAGGTGCTCCGAAAATCAAAAAAGCTATATTTTAATCATTCCCAGGAGTTGAGATCGAAGGACCGATTGGAGTCAATATTTCGGCGCTGGAAATGGCCGGAGTCAATTTGACGGCTTTGGCCGAGAAATTGAGGAATGATACGGAAGTCGACGAGATCCTGGCCAGGACCAACGCTTCTAATAAGTAAAAATATTATTATTTTTCTCGAGGAAGACCTGAAAAGCCACTGTAAAGCTTCTGAGCTTCTGAAAAAGGCTTAAAATGACCGAAAAGCTCTTTTTTTTAAAGTTTCGAACCGGTTTCTTGTTTCTCCTTTTGAAAGAAGTCTACTAGACTCTGGGAATTTTTAGTGGCCACTATAGAAGTCGGAGTGGCCCCTTAAGTGTCTAAGAATTAGTGCCCTTTTTAGAAGACTAACCGGTACTACTAGACCCCTAAAATTGCTGTAGTGGCCACTACCAAGGTGGTTTTAGTGGCCACTTCAGTGCCTTCTTCAAGTAGAAACCTCTTAAGTGGCCACTAGAGTTTTCCCAATGATCTCCTGAGCTTTTCTAAAGAAATTTGACAAGCTGAATTTTTTTTAATGCTTCGAAAAGCACTCGGAAAACTTCCTCCTTAAAATTCTCATATTTCTTTCTGATTTCCCCATTTTTCTCAAAATTCACAAAAAATCTTTGAAATTCCGAGTTCAAGCACCTTTTCCAGAAACCTCGGCGGGAGCTTCATCCTGCCGGTCCTCAACAAAAACCAGTACGATCCTTTCTCGGCGCCCATCGTTTTCCAAGGCAGCGCCGTCGTCGTCCGATTCGGAATCTATATAGAGAGCATGAGCAACTTTCAGACCACAACTATGGTGAGCTGGCCGTTTTCAGAACAAAAAATAAAAAAATGTGGATTTATCATTTTTCTTTCCACTTCAAAACTTTCTTAGAGGGGTGGTCGATGTTCCTTGAAATCTCATGGGATTTTTTTATGATTTTTTTTAGAGTTTTTTTCAAGTTTTTAATTGTTGAGATGAGACTTATTCAAGAATATTCCACATGATCTAAAAAAGTGCTATCGAAAATTTTGGGAATCGAGTTAAATTATTGGGAACTGGGGGTTAAAGGAAGCCATCAGTAAACTTAACAGAACGACGATACTCAGGGAAACTTTCAACCATCTTAATAGCTTCAGAGTGGCCCCTATAGTGACCACTTGATCTTTAGGGGCTCACGGTCTGACCTTTTTTTCATTTACTCTATTTCTTCAGTTTTTCGTGCACAAAAATTTTCTGTTTCACTAGGGATATAGAAAATTTCAGTTGAGAAAATGAGACTAATCAGTATTTGTATTACCGAAACTCCCGTAAGGATGTTTAAAGGAGCATAGACAAATTTCAAAAAAAGGTTCTGAGACGAAAAAACCTCTGAATGTTTATTTTGAGCCATACAGACACTTTTAAAATAACAAAAAGAACCTTTTTCAGACTTTTTCACGATCAAAAGCCATTTTACAAATTTGAAAGCTTTTCTGGTTCAAAAAAAAATATTTCAACTTCAGAATTTCCACAAAAATCAATAATTTTTGAGGACTACGACATGGACATATACCTGATGATGTCGTGGAGGGACGCCAGACTCGTAAATCCTTACGATAAGCCGATTTTAGTCAAAGTTTGACCAGTAAAGTGTATTTCAAAAAAAAAAAATCGATTTTCCAGGAAGAAGACATTTTGGAGAAGATCTGGCGTCCCGACCCATTTTTTGCCAACGCCAAAGAAGCCGAATTTCATGAAGTCACTTTTTTGAATTTTCTGATGCGAATATTTCCCGATGGGTTGGTCCTTTATGAGACGAGGTGAGGAAAAGTGGACCGGGAAATGATGATTTTTCTTGATTTTAGGGTGAAAATCAAACCATCTTGCAATTTGATCCTGTGCAAGTATCCGCACGACAAACAGACCTGCGATTTGTTGATCAAATCTTGTGAGTTTTTGGAAGTTTTCGGTCGCATTTGGAATGGCTCAGAAGCTTAGTGGTTAGTAGGAAAGTCAGGTGAAAAAAGAGGAATGCAAAATTTTGGATTTTTGAATTATGTAGCTTGTTTCCCATGAGATTTTACAGAAAAATTCGAAAAATGAAGAAAAAAAGAGTAATTTTTTCGAGAAAAAAAACCTGCTTTTTTCAAAATTCATGTATAGTTTAAAGTGTGGCTATGAGACAAAACTTCATTTTTTCAATTTTTTTATTTTGCAAATAGAATCGAGACATCACTTTTACTTTTTTATGTCATGCCAGATCATTTTTTAAGGCTCAAACATTTTTTGTGTCGATTCCTAGAGACGCCAGAGTGGTCCCTAGAGGGGTTAGGGAGAAAAGCCCCTATAGGGGACAAAATGTAGCTCCCTAGAGGGCTATAATTCAAGTGGTCCTTATAGAGTTCTGTCGTCTGACTTTAAAGCTCAAGTGGTCTCTATAGTGGTTATTTCTTTTTTTAATGACTTAAAAAAATAAATACTCATCAAAAATACGTATAGGGACTTCAAACCTGCCCCCCTAGAGTGACCACTAACTAACCTTTGCAAGCTTTAAGGGCCCCTATAGGAGAAGGTAAGGGGCTCCTACAAGGGTTCTTTCGAAGGCCCCTAAAGTGGCCACTAACGAAAAACCCTAGAACGATCATGTTAGCATGCTTTAGTGCGCCTTTTTGTGAGAGATGAAGGGCTATTGAAGGGAGCCTTCAAGGGCCCCTAAAGTGGCTCCTCTGTCTTTGAATCTTCTCTGAAACTCCATATTTCCAGTTGCCTACCCCATCGAAACAGTTCGATTCGAATGGTTCACAAAAAGAAAAGACGCAATCGACAAAAATCCGGACGTCAAATTACCCGAACTTTACATTGACCGTTATGAAACCACAACATGTGGTCATTCCAGGAAATCTGGTATTTTATTCATTTCTTATAAAATAATTTGATAAATCATTCCAGGCGATTTTTCCTGTTTGAGAGCCGTTTTTCGGTTAAAACGCGACGTTGGTTTTCACATTGCGCAGACTTATATTCCGACTTCTTTGGCCTTGATGTTTTCATGGGTAAGTTTTAAAATCATCGGGTTTTAGTCATTGAAGATAAGCGAGAGTAAAGCGAGATCGCTTGGCGCTATATTTGACGACCTCGCCAAAAAGGCTGCTTTTTAGCCGCGCGATATCGCTTTTTCTCGGCGCTATATCGCTTATTAGTGAGCGCGGTATCGCTTTTTTTTCTCTTCGCGATATCGCTTATTAATGAGTGCGATATCGCATTTCTCACGCTTTTCGCACGTAGACCAGCGTGGCTACAACGCAGTACTTTTGCGAAGTCTTAATGATACCGTTAGCGTTATCGCTTTTATCTCGGCGCGATATCGCTTTTTTTTTCTCGTCACGATATCGCTTTTTCTCGGCGCTATATCGCTTTCATCTCGGCGCGATATCGCGTTTCTCTTGCTTTTCGCACGCAGACCAGCGTGGTTACAACGCAGAACTTTTGCGAGGTCATAGTATAACGCTAGCGATATCGCTTTCCTCTCGACGCGATGTCGCGTTTCTTTTGCTTCCCCGTAGTTCAGCGTGGATACAACGCAGAACTCTTGCGATGTCGTGATGAGCGATATCGCTTTCATCTCGCCGGTTATTTCTAGTGGTACTACCAAAAAGTTCGAAGAGTTTTCCGCGATATTCAAAAATCGTTTTTTAAAATTTTCTCTGATTCTCCAAAACTTAGTTATTTCTTCGAAGGTTATTTGAGCTGTTACCTCGTCAGATTTTTGTTCTGGAACCCTTGGAACTTTCAAATTTTCAGGTCGGGGTCTGGTTGCCAGAAGAGTTCATGGAAGGCCGAATCGGTGTAGCAATTACAGTGCTTTTGACCCTTTCTACGGAGTCTGCAGGTGCTAGGGAACATCTTCCCAGCGTTTCTTATCTCAAAGTTGGTTTTATTGGGATTTGTTAAAAATCGTTTTATCTTGAGATTTCGGTCCTTATTTCTAAAAGTTTTCGAATTTTCGTACTGTAAAAAAATCAAAAAATTTCTTCTTGAAGCCTTGGTAAAACTTAGGCGTTTTAAATTTGATTTCTACTTCTTTTAGAACTTGAAAAGTTCTTAAGAATGTGGTTTCCATACTTCTGTTGCTTTAAAACATCATCATTTTCAACTTTATCTGACTAAATTCTGAAGAAAAATGATTTTTATTTATTTCTAGAGTCAGGCTCTTTTTCGGCTTCATCTCGAGGTCCGAGAAAATAGGGTTTTGAACTTAAAAATCTTTCTCAAAGAACTTCGGAAAACTTATTGAAGCGAGAAGTTTTTTCGAGCTTTAAAAGACTTCAATTTTCAAAGTCTGAACTTCAACTCGATTTGGATTTCCAGGCCATAGATCTTTGGTTCGGATTCATCACGGGCTTCGTCTTTTTCACACTCCTTCAGACACTTTTCGTCATCGGCTTTGATAAACGCGCTAATCAGTTGGTCAGTGAATTTTTCGATAAAAAAAGTTCTACCTAGGAACGCCAGAGTGGCCCCTTAAGGGGTTAGAAAAATCACTAGAGTGGACGGAATAGCCCCTTACGGTAAATCTTAGTGAAAATGCTTTTTTCTCATACCATAACGAGTAGCATGGTCTCCTATAGGGGCCACTTTTTCAAAATCTCGTTTCCCTGTACGGGGAGATGAGGTGGCCCCTAGAGGGTCCCTTCAAGTGCCCTGAAAGTTGCCGCTCTAGGGAGCACTCTGCCGTCCCTAAATACCTCAGTTTTGCATTTTTCAATGTTTCCAATTGTTTCTTGTGAAAATTATAACATTCCAGAGAAAATGGGCGGGTCGGAAAAAGTCGGACATGACGGAAGAAATCCGAGAAGCGCTGATGACAAAAGCGACCAGATATCATAAAACTGGGCGGTTTGTTTTTTTTTATAGTATATTCGAATTCAGAAGAGGGTTGTTCGGATTTTTGAAATGTGATTATTGTTGTATAATGCGATATATACAACTTTTAGTTACTAAACTATTTACTTCATACAAAGGTAAAAACAAAGACAAAAACAAAAGTCCTCCGCGATTGCGCAGAAGTGAAACTGTGAAGGTGGCCTGCACATCTTAATTATGCGCGGCAATTTGAAATGGTGTAGATTTACGGGGTGAAATCTAGCCACTACAACAATTATAAATATCGAAAACTAGCATGGGAGGCCATTTTGGCGCAGTGGCTTTCGTGGTAGCCTGCGGAGCCTGAGATGAAGGTTTGAAATCTTTCAAAATTGAATAAAACCTATTTGACATGAAAAAAAGGGCTTTTTTTAAATTCATAAAGATCAAGGAAAAAAATAAGAAAAAAATTTGGTATTTTTTTATAACGGCCCCGACCTGGAGCGACTTCTACAACCTTTGTTAATTTTTTTAATTTAAAAAAAGTTGAAAAAAATTTTTTTTAAAGTTGTTTCTCTTTCTGAAAGTAAATGTGAGGTTTTTGGTTCGATTTTTTTCATTTTTGAAAAAAACTACTGGAAAAAAATTTTTTCCTTTTTGTAGATAACAAATTTCAAGCCGAAAAAAACAAAAAAACTCTTCTCAAAAAAGCCTATTTTTCGGAGAGAAATTTGCAGTTTTTCTTCATTTTTTAATCACGAAAACCTTCTGAGTATGTTTTTCATCATTAGAAAACGGATAAAAACCCAGAAAATCCCCGATTTTCCAGGTACCTCGACAACTTCTGCCGAGTTTTCTACCCGCTGAGCTTCATCCTGTTCCTCTTCATGTACTACTTCGTGTTCACGGAGGGCCGACAGGACGACTGTATGAATCGACGTTGAAAACGTCAAATCCTCACTTATTCGTATGATCTCTCTTCAGATAAATATAAAGCCTTTATTTCCCTGTTTCGGATTTTTCGAACCGCGTGCTTCGGGTGATTATCACAAATTGTATTGGTCAGAAAATGATATGGCAAAATGTGGAGGGACGGAATTTTTATTATGATGATGAGCGAGCAAGTGGGAAAATTATAATCACATTGAAAAATGGAAGGTGAAACGGGAATCTTTGAAATTTCAGCCATTTTATTCTTCTATTAAAACGAGAACCATCCTCATACCATGTTCAAAGTAACTTCTGTGAACTTCAAAATTATCTCTGACTCTCCAAGTTTTAGTTATCTTTTCCCTTCTCTAACAGCTATTTTGAACTTCACGTAATCACTCTAAACACGGCATCACAATTAAAACAGAAAATAGGTGTTTGAATGAAAAAAAAAATTGAACCCCTAACTTCAGTGTTGAATTTTGTTTATAAACTGATCCTAAATTCAGATTTTCAAAAATTTTGTTTTTTCAATATTTGAAAAACTCGAATTTCATCGATTCTAAAAGATTCCGTATGTTTTTATTGATGAATCTATCATTAAATTACATAAGAAAAATGCTCTTAATTTTCCTGGAATGATTTTCACTATAGTGACTACTTATCGCGCCTCTAGAGACCACTTGGTGAACAAGAAAAAAATTTTTCCTCATTTTTTTGTCTTAAGAGGGCTTTTTTTATATCAATTTAAAAATAAAAATATTGATTTTTGAATCGAAAAAAAAAATCAAAAAATCTCTGGAAGCTCGGAAAGTGCGCTCTAGCGGACAGTTGAAAATTTACGGACCCCGGAAATTGGTAACGCGAAGCACGTTTCTGAGCAATTCTAGGGATCACTTAAGAGTGCTGACACTACTTAAGTGGTCACTTGGAACGCTCTGACATATCCTGTTTGCGTTACCAAGGTCCGAGTTTATCTTCTATTAATTTTTTCGGGCTTTAATCAATATTTTTTCAGAAAATCCCATTTTTTTTTTGTGCTAGGGAGAATAAATGTGATTCTTAGTTTCAAAACCGAATTTTGGAGCTTTTCTCCTATGTAGGACAATAAACAGGAAAATGTACAATGAATTAGAAAAGAGAAAACAGTAACCAGGACGAGAGAAACGAGAGCTTCAAACCCGATTGAGCATGTCATTCAAGTCGGAAAGAACGACGGCATGTTGTCGAACCGAACTGAAAGCCCCGACATGGACAACGAGGTTGAGGTCGGTCTGACGGCCGACGAACGGTGACTCATCCAGAATGTGGTCTTTGGCGTGGCCGTCCGACGCCTTCTGACGCATAAAATATGACGTCATCGCTGGGGCAGATGACGTCCGGAAAAGGACGGCCGGCGTGCAACACGACTCTATCAGGGACATGTAGGCGGAGCCCGTCAAGGCGTACCGAAACTCGGCGGGAAACTGCAATTATTTAAAAATTCTTTAATAAGGCTCCAAGTTAACTATTTCTAAATTAATGAAAGTATTAGCACCATCTAAAAATTCTTACCATTTTTAAACAACCGCCTTAAAACAGGTAATTTGCTTGCTGGGGAGCGCCAGAGTGGTCCCTGCAGGGGCGACTTTAGGGGAATAGAAGGGTACAAAAATAAGCCCTCTAGGGGGCACTAATTCTTCCCTATAAATACTGTTTTTTTCTTCCTAACCCCTCTAAGGGCCACTTTGGAATTCCTAATACTTGAATGAACGGATTTTTTCAAAATGAAAACCGAAACGCGAATTTCATTGTCCAGTTCTTGAGAAAATGATCGATTTTCTGTACTTTTTGAGGAATCTCCTTGTAAAAGAAATTTGTTCTGCCATACAGATAATTCAAAAAAAAAACCGCCAATCAGAAAAACTTTCAAATATTTGAATCAAATTATATTTACTTAACCAGAACATTTTGAACCTAAAAACTAAACCATTGATTTTTTTGGTAAATTAATTGTGAATTCTTTTTAAAAAACAGCAAAGTCAGTTAAATTTTCCAACATTTTTCAAATTGCTCTGAAGTTTTTCAGAATGATAAATATTGAATCAGTGCTCTAAAAAATGCTCACCTGACAACCGTAACCATAGAAATCATATGCGATCACAGGAACTATCAACAAAAATATAACCGGATGGATTTGTCGCAAAACCGTCGAAAATAACAAAAAAGATATCAAAATCGCCATGCAAATTGTCTGAAAATTTCCTTTTATTTTTTTGAAAACAATTTCGAAGCCTCACCTGAACAAAAAATGGGATTTTCCGCAACCTATTCAAGTGATAAAGCTTGACAAAATCGATGTCTATGAATTCTTCCAGTTGATTTGTTAAAGATTTTAAAATCCTGTGGAATTTTGGAGCAACCAGAGAATCATCTTCAATAAGGAGGATGAAACTGAAAAAATATGGAATTTTTGAAAAATCAAGATAAAACCTAGAATTGGTTGGTAAAGCAAGACAATTCCAATAATCTTCGGCTTCTTTGGCCAATTGACCGTCTAATTCTGAGCTTTTCCTCCTCCCACCTGGAATTTGAACTTCGGAAAGAAACTAGATAACTCTGGCCGCATTTGGAATGGCTCGATGCTTCAAAACGCGCCCGACTTGATACGAGTTACGCTTTTTATCATAAAAATTTAAGGGGGAGCCTTTCAAGTCAATTCTCAGACCTTATTCAAGCTTTAACCATTCCAAATGCGATCACAAAAGATCAAAGACTTACCTCCGACATTATCTATTCGAAAAGTCTTCGCAAACTGAACCAAATCCGGAAAAATGCCACTTTCGACGTTGCAAATCCGAATGTTGAAATTTCCATCCTCTTGTTGGTTTAATAAAAAGGCGATCGTCTGAAAAAAGCTCCTTAAGATTTTTTTCAAAAAAATTATTACTTAGGAACGCCAGAGGGGTCCCTCTAGGGGCAAACTTGAAGACTTTTAAGGGATCCCCTCTAAGGACCACTTTACTTCCCCTATAGGGGGCCCTAAAGATCGAAAAAGTGTCCCCTATTTGGCCGCATTTGGAATGGCTCGATGCTTCAAACTTGATACGAGTTACGCTTTTTCACATAACAATTCAAGGGGAAGCCTTTCAAGTCACTTCTCAGACCTTATTCGAGCTCGAGCTATTCCAAATGCGACCACAAAAGATCACAGGCTTACCGCCGACAGTGAAAGTCAATCGACCAAGTATCCATTTTAAAATTCCACATCGTAACAAAAATATTTAAAGATCCTTATAAGGACTATCAAAGTTTTACCCCTAGAGTGAGCAATTTCTTGTTCCACAAGAGGGAAAAAAATCGAAACTGCTGGGAAAATTTTTTGTGGTCACTATAGAGGCTAAGGACTACTTGGAGAGGACACTAAAGAGGCCACTATTTTCCGTTTAGAGGCCACTATAGAAGTTATCTATTTAGTGGCCACTTCAGTAGTTTTTCATGCAGTATTCCTTCCAGTAACTCTGATAATTTTAAAACAAACAGATTGGACCAGTTACTTTGATCTATTGACCCCTTAAGTGGCCACTCAAATTTTCAGTGGCCTAGTAGGAACACTTAGACCTCTATAGAGGCCACTAATTTTTAACCCCTTGAGTGGTCACTTCGTCTACTATAGTGGCTCCTAAAACGTCAAAACCCCATAGTGGCCACTAAAAGTTTTCCCAGTAATACAAAGCTTTTTTTTCCTTTTTAGTAAAATCCGAAGAAAACTCGACAACTTGATCAGCACAAGATTACAAAATTGAAAAAATTCTGAATTTTTCCGAATTTATCACCTCGAAGATGCAGGAAAGTCATTTTGTCGTTTTTTTTTTCAATTGTGAATTCTCACCTGGAGCAGGTACCCCGATCCTCTATCCGAAGCTACGATCCTAACTTCAACCTCCGCATTCTACAAATCAAAATAAAGTATTAAAGATGTAAGATTAAAAAAAAACCTTATGATAACTATATTTTGATTTTTTGAAAAAAGCTTCTGCAATTTCGGATCGTCTAGAGTTCAGTTTAGTGGCATCCTTGAGAAATTCTCTGAAAAAACCCAACTTTAAGCTGAATTCCCGTTTTCAAACCGTGGATAGAGGTCAGGAGAGTCGTCGAGAGTCGGAACGGCGTTTCTGAGAAGTCTAAGACCTAGGTGAACTGACGTCAGGCTCACGAATACCAGAAGGAGCTGCACCAGCGGCCGATGGCGCATTCATCAATCTCTGAAAAAAATTCTGGTTTAAAATTGTTCAAATTGAAATTTATTAATAAGGCTCAAAGCGAAGAGGTCACGAAGCAGTTCAAATGACAGTTTTTTCATGTGCGCCCGACCAAAAACTACTTGCGCTTTGAGGCATCCTTCAGCATATAATCAAGCTAGAATTTGGGCGCAGTGATAATTACTATCATTATAACCGAAAACGACGTTTCGAGCCTATTAATATGGTTTCAATTCGTTCCATTGAGCTTTTTGAAGTGCGCCCGACCTAAAACTGCTTGGGCTTCAAGGCATCCTATAGCATAAATTCAAGCTAGGGATACGGCGCAGTTATAATTAAATGCATTTCAATGGAAAACGCGACGTTTCGAGTCAATTTATGAAGTTCCAATCGGTTCAAGTAAAAACTTTTGAAGTGCGCCCGACCTAAAACTACTTGGGCTTCAAGGCATCCTATAGCATAAATTCAAGCTAGGGATACGGCGCAGTTATAATTAAATTCATTTCAATGGAAAACGCGACGTTTCGAGTCAATTTATGAAGTTCCAATCGGTTCAAGTAAAAACTTTTGAAGTGCGCCCGACCTAAAACTACTTGGGCTTCAAGGCATCCTATAGCATAAATTCAAGCTAGGGATACGGCGCAGTTATAATTAAATTCATTTCAATGGAAAACGCGACGTTTCGAGTCAATTTATGAAGTTCCAATCGGTTCAAGTAAAAACTTTCGAAGTGCGCCCGACCCAAAACTACTTGCGCTTTGAGGCATTCTATAGCATATAGACATGCTAAAATGCGGGCCCAGCTTCATGATACCCAAAAACGCGGCATTTCGAGCCATTTCGTAATGTTTCAAGTGGTGGGAAATTGAGTAAAACATGCAAAGTCGAGAATAACGAAGGAAAAAGCAGCAAGTGAGGGAATATAATGTAGAGAATCAATAATGAGAAGCGCGGAAACACAGCCGGATAATGCCGCGGCAAAAAACGCTTTTCTGGCCGTTTCCTCTGCCCTTTTATGGCCCTCGAATGGTCCTAGTGATCGTAATTAAAATAACTTGAAATTTGATAAATGAGGAAATTTGAGAAGGAAAATGCAGGTGATGAGGGAGTGCATGTTGATAGCGATAAGGAGGGCGATAAAAGAAATGATGATCGTTTGGAAAGTTCATGGTTGCATTTGGAATGGCTCAAAGGCTTTTTGGGATGGCTAAAGAATTTAAGAAAGGGTATGGTTGCATTTGGAATGGCTCAAAAAATTTTTAAAAGGGTTGAGATTCTTAGAAAGTCTATAGTTGCATTTGGAATGGCTCAGAAACTCTGGAATGGCTCAGAGCTTTCAGGAAGCCTATGGTCGCACTTGGAATGGCTCAAAGACGTTTTGGAATGGGTTAGGACTGTCAGAAAGCCTATGGCCGCATTTGGAATGGCTCAAAGGTTTTTTGGGATGGCTCAAGCGGATTCAGAAAGCCTATGGTCGCATATGGAATGGCTCAATGACTTTTTCGAAAGGGTTGAGATTTTCAGAAACCTATGGTCGCTTTTGCAATGACTCAAGACTCTAAAAAAGGATACAGTCAAATTTTGAATGGCTCAAGAACTTTATAGAATGACTCAAGCGATTTCTATAAACCTATGGTCGCATTTGAAATGGCTCAACAGTTTTCAAAGTCCAGATTCCAAGAAAAACCTTCAAAAAGCTTGAAATTCCAAAAATGGAAACCAAAATCGATCGATTGATGCTCTAGCGATGAATCAAAAAACAAACATTTCGGAGAATTTGCACCAATAAATTGTTCAATGAAACCATTTTTAGGACCAAATTAAAAGGACTGGCCAGGAAAAACTCTAGAAAATGTTAGCGACGCCTTTTTTCAATAAAATACTATTAAAGGGGCACAAGTTTCATTGAAATGAAGGAGAAAGTTGAGAAGTTTTATTGGGGGCCTGGCCGAACAGCGGCCATCTTCCAAGGCACAAACAAACGCACTTTACAACGAATTTTCGCCTCAAAGTTCGAGCTTTTTTCTTGGTTTTTGATATGTTACTACTATAATACAACTACGAAATAATATAGAATGGTCAAGATTGAAAAATTAAAATGAAATGTTTGAAAAAGTTTTGGGACTTGGTTTGAAAACTTGAAAAAATTGCAATCGACAGCTTTTTTTTTGAATTTAGAACGCCTTGGCATCACGAGGAGCCTTGGAAAAAAACAAGGAAAATGGAATGGTTTCAAAAAAAAATTTGAAAAATAGAAAAAGAGTCAGAGTTGACCCAAAACCATCGAAAAAAAATGTGAAAACTGGTTTTTTAGTCTGGAAATAACTATTTTTGGCAATAATGTTGTGTTTCTTTTTCAGGATTTTAGCGGAAAAAAATTGAAAAGACTCTGGAAAGTTTCGAAAATTTAAAAATAACATCTGAAAATACAGAAAATTTTGAAAAACGACCAAAAAAAGAATCAAAAAAGTGGTAAAACTGGTTTTTTTAATCCTGTAAAAAAAATTTTTTCGGCCAGAAAAATTGGGGTTTCCCTTTTTTTAGATTTCAGAAAAAAATAACTCTTTAAAAAGGTTCTGAAAAAGAAGACAATGCAAAAATTACAACCTTAAAACACAGAAAAATTTGGAAAAAAAGGAAAAAAAGGAAAAAAAAAACCGTCGTGAAACTGGTTCCTAAGCCTAAAGTTCTTTTTTTGGCTTCAATTTTTGATTTTTTTAATATTTTCTTTATAGAAATCGCTTAGACTCGTGACAAAAAAATTGGAGGTTGCGATTTTCAAGAGAAAAATTGAATATTCAGAAAAAAGAATGGCAACACTGGTTTCTATGCCGACGACACGTCTTTAGCATCGAAATTCGGTTATTCTTTCCAAAAAAATATTTTGAAAAAAATAGCAAAAAAATATTCAAAAAAACTAAGGAAATGAAAAAACGTGTTTAAAAAAATAAGATTTTTTTTAAAAATTAATTAGGAAGCTGCTCATTTTTCCTACATAGGGACCGCAACCAAAAAATCGAAAAATTTTCGAACTTCAATATTACTATGGTTGGATATCTGCTTCAAATCACTATTCAAAACAATTTAGTTTTTCGAAAAAAGTTCAGAAAAAAAATAGTTATGGTCAAAAAAGAAGGGAAAAAAGTCGCAAACTTCAGTAATGAAAATTTAAATTTTACACTTTTGGCCGTTTTTTAAGCTTTTCTTTCGAACTGAAAAAAATTTTTTTATCAATTCATTTCGTCGTTAGAATTCATAATAAGTCGTTCAACAATTTCTAATTTTTGTTCAAAAAAGTGTAGTTTTTCTCGGGCTTATCAAAAAAAGTGACTAAAAAATCTTCTTTACTACGCAAAAAAATATTTCTAAGAAATTTGTAAAAATACTTAACATTTTCGATAAGTTCGAAAAAACTAGGAAAAAAATATATAAACTACAGACCCAATTTATCTTGATTTTCATGACTTCCAACAAAAGATATTTTTTCGAAGGGTTGGACTTGTAAGCTGACTTTCTTTCGATCCACCGAATCCTTTTTTCGAATAGCTTTTATTTAGGGTTTGGACAATTTTTTGGAAGAGCTTTATAAAGACCGATTAAAGAAATTCCCGAAATAAAAGTATAAACAGGGTGATTGAAACGTAGGAAAGACGGCCGAATTTTCTCCAGTCCCAAATGTTTTTTCCGCTCCTGAACATCCGAACTAACGAGTTATAGTCAATTTTTTCCAGCTTGAGATGGGTAAATTGGCAAGGGTTATGCGTTTCGTACGCGACGCGGCTTTTCGGCGGGAAATTCGAGTTTCGAGCCCCCTTTTTCTTACTTTTTCCCCATTTTCTGGAAGTCTTTTGATAATTTCCGATTTTTTATAGGTCCGATAAGATTCAGTTGAATGAATAAAACATTGAAAAAAATAAAAATGCATGATTTTTTTTTCATTTCTTCCTTGGTTGCGTTAGACCTCAAGTTGTCCGCTAAAAAGCCGCGTCGCGTACGCAACGCGTCTCCTTTGTCAATATCACCTTTAAGGTCGAGAAAACTGACTATATCAATAAATCGAAGTTTTTTGAAAATTTGAACCAATCATCAACCGAATCGAAAAAGCCAGTATCTCCAAAAAAATTTTTTTAATCATCAATTTACGTTTCTACTTTTAAACTTATAAGAAATCGTGCACAATAGCCAAGGATGCTTTAAAATGTAGTTGAGAAACCGAAAAATGATTTCGTGAAAAAAAAAGTTTAAAAAAAAGTCTCAAATTTTTTTTCGAAGTTCGAAAAATGGCGTTTTTGAAAGGATTATAGTTTCTATAGTAAAAAAATTTTTTTTTCTTATGACATAAAAAAATTATAGAATTATTCCACACTGAATCGACTGTGGAAGCTTTACAAGTCTGACCAAAAATCAAGAAAAGACTGATCAAAGAAATTCTAAAAAAAAAAGAATAGAAAGGGAGGCTGAAACGTATCGAAAGCCATTTCACCGAAATCAAATAAGATCAATCATAGAACTTCCAAAAATAGTAAGATTATCGGAAGAGTTTTATAAATCTGAACAAAAAACAAGAAGAGATCGATCAAAGAAATTCCAAAAAATAGCGAAATATAAAGGAAGACCGAAACGTAGTGGAAGCCATTTCACCGAAATCAAAAAAGATCAGTCATATAACTTCCAAAATCAGTAAGATTATCGGAGTCGGTTAGTAGAACCCTTATAAACCTGACCAAAGAAGATATCGATTAAAGAAATTCCAAAAAATAGCAAAATATAAAGGGAGACCGAAACGTAGTGGAAGCCGTGTTTACTCTTGGTGTTTCTCTGGTGTCGGGGCAGAGATTCATTCAGAGTGTCCGTTTCAGTGGAGACTCAGACTGAGAGAGAGTGTCGTTTTTGGGTTGAAACGTTCGCAATTTCAATCTGATTCCTGACTCTTCTCATTTCCTTTTTCGAGTGTGACCTTTTGAGGGCGTTTAGAGGCGTTTTGGCGCCAAATGGGATCGATTTTCTTCCCAGAAAGGTAGATATTTTCCCTAGGAAAATGTTCCCAAGTAGTATTTAAAGTACTGAATTCTCATCCTGAGTGATTTAATCTTCAAAACTCTCTGATATCCCAAACAGAAGCATCCAATCAATTTTGAAAATAGCTCTTTGATCTTTGAACTTTTGGTGTATTTTTTTATTGAAAAAAATTAGAAAAAAATTTTTGCAGAGTCCAGGGTCTTAATTGAGAGCTTTTCCGATATTCAGGCAATTTCTCAAATTATTTCGCAATAAAACATGAAATTATCTTGAAAGCATTTTTTTCACTTTTTTTCACTATTGGACTTGCCTAATCGTGAAAAAAAGGATTTTTGATTTATTTCTCCTGAAAAAAACAACCAAATGAACGATAGGAATAATAATATATAGTCCGTTCACCGTGACTTTACAGTTTTCGGGTGTCTGCGTCTCTTTGTTCCCTCACCGGCAAGGTCAGAGAAACGTGAAAACAGCAGGTAAACATGAGAGGGTCGCCTAGAGTTGAGGAGGGCGCAGAGAAGCGTCGCGAAAATAGGTGTAACTGATGAATTTGGTATATTGAAAAAAGGTTTGCAAACTTGCTAATTTTCGGAAGATCAATACTATTTTTTTGTCACGTTTACGTCACGTTTTTTCAAATTTTCGGCCAGAATCGAGTTGAGGAAGTGAAAGTTAAGTAAGTGAACAATCTTGTTGTTGTACTCCTCCATAAAGATTTATTATTTAATTGATCATATTCCAGTTTTTCTTTCCTTAAATCTATTAAAATTTCATGCCTGGATGGAAGTTTGAAAAGCGAATAAAAGTAACGAAAGGAGTGAAAAATGTTCAGATGAAAAAGTTTATGCAAGGCACTGCAGGATGCGTCATGAACCATTGAAAGGAAAAAAAAATATCGCACATTTTTACGTTTTCTGAAAATTTTTGAAGCTAAAAAGGTTTTAAAATGCAATAATCGGTTATTCATGGTTTAAAAAAGAACGTCAAACCGAAATATGGAACGTAGAAGCTGGCATTGCAAGAAGAAGGCCGCCGGTCGCGCCGTCGTCTTTGGAAACTTCTTTCTCGGGTACCGCTCGTTTTTTAAATACGTAGGACACTGAACATCTTCTTTTTTCACTAAAAATCACATTTTTGCTTGACGAGAAACACAAAAGTTTGCTTGGCTTTTCGAAAAATGAGAATGCGCTTTTTAAGATTTTGGAGTCTATAGAAGCCTTGAAGTTGAGAATTTCGGTACTGAGTGAAAATTTGGACGAAATAACTTACCAGATCAGAAGTTCAACCGGAAAAAAAGTCTGAGAATCCCCCCTCCCTGGATTTGTCACATTAAAATTCCTTCGAATATGAAATTCAGAAACAAACGTAGTTAAAACATGAAATCGTCGCGGGCAGACAAGGCGTTCGCGGAGATCGACGACAGCGTCATGAAACGCGTCGAAGTCGTCCGTCGGATCTTCGACGACCTCCGTGTCCAGAATGCCGGCAACGTCGGTTCGTCCCGAGATTCAGAAGCCTCAGAATCAAGTTCATCTTCAGTGACGCATTCGACGAGGAGCGACGCGACATCGCTGCAGAGTCCGGACTCGTCGGAGCAGAAAAAGTGTCTTCGTCAGACTGATTCGTCGTGTAGTACTTTTGAAGGGTCCGTTTTTCAAGAAAGCTCTCAGCTCACAGCGTGACTTTCTGACGAGAATGGATTGAAAAAATGCGTTTTTCACGTTTTTTTTTTTCAGAATCATTGTTTGAAAATCGCCTTCTGGAATATGAGCTCACGGCGTTTTTTTGGCGACGGCCCGCCCATAATTTTTCCGTAAAGTGTAGTGTGTTGTGTGCATACACTGCGGCGCTCTGGCACACGCCGCGTTCAACGTAATTTTCGCGAATTAAAATTTTGGCTATTTTGAATTTCACGGAATTACTTTCAACACGGCATGTTTTTTAAAACAAGAAAAACAGAAATCACGTTCTTTAATATGAGAAATAGATTCGTCTTGGGACCCATTGATGAGTCTTTAAAATTTCCTGTTATTTACGCGTTTTTCCCATGACGTCACATGGGAACGGCGGAGATTTTGACCACGCCTCCTTAATTTTTGTTTTTGCATTTTTTTTTCCACTAACAAAACCGCCGTGAGTTCTATCCTCTCTACAAGCCCAAAAGGGCCCTATTTAGAAATATGCCCTCATCTTTTTTCATAACTTTATTAAATTAGCTTAATTTTCAAATTCCAACCTCTACATATTTTTTCTGAACCATCTGCAGAATTATTCAAGCACAGATTCAAAATCAGCGTGAAAAACTGTATAGCCCATTCGCCGGGACTTGAAACTGTCTGTCTGTCTCTGCGTCTCCCTGTTCCCTCACCGACGAGGCTAGAGAAATATGAAAATAGCACGTAAACGTGAGAGCGTCGCCGAGAGATGAGGAGGGCGCAGAGAAGGCTCTGAAGTTTCAAATTGTGGCGAACGGACTATAGAACTAAAGAAAAAATGTCTTGGTTAGACTTTTCCTCCAACTTCTCCTCATTCAGGAGCTTCCCTACGGCCTCGATATACCCAAAACCTGGAATGGAGTCCCTTTCTTACACGGTAATTTTTGTTTCATTTTTCCCGATTACTATTAAAAATATTCAGGATACAGAGACGACTGCGTCTTCTAACGTAAATATTCCATGCCAGGGCACGAAGCGTTGCAAGATGCTCAATAAGGTAAAACTCGAATAAATTCCCAGAAATAGTGAGAATTTGAGACCTTTTACTCGGAAGATGGAAGATTGAAGCTGTGCATCGCTGAGGTTGAAGATAAGCGCCTCGAAGTCGCTCTAAAGAGAGCGACGAGTCTGGCGACGTCGGAGTCCTCTGGAACGACTTCAGCGAAAAGTTCGCAGACGAAAGTCGGCAAAGAAAAGAGTTGTGAAAGGGTCAAGTCTATCCTTAGTGCCAGCGAATCCAGCACCAGCAACTCGATGTTAGCAATTTTTAACCTATTATCCAACTCATAAAGTCCGAGAAAAAAAAGAAAATAGCACATAAACCCAAGAGAGCGTAGAGCCGCAAAAAACAAAAAAAAAACAGGAATGAGTGCTCCATGGCTAATATGGAACCTAACACAAACATGACGTTTCTGCGCAACTTTAGGGATTTCTTAAGGGTGCTGACGCCACTGAAGAGATCACTAGAAGTGCTCCGAGTAACTTCTCTTGATTTATTCCATTTTTCAAAAAACATAACCAACAAGCCTAGAAAAAACCTGCCGAGATACGTTTCACAATAAGAATAAAATCATTTCTTTTTCCATTATTCTTGATCTCCCATTCTCTTCTTACGCAAAAAAATACATTTCTAAGAAAAATAATCTTCTATTATTTGATCTCTCCAAACTTTCTAGGTTTTCAGTCGGGCGCAATGAAAATCATACTTCCCTCTATCTTTTCTACATCCCGCAAGTTGCAAAAATTCAAAAAAACAAAAATATTTTAGCTGTAAAAGAGCTGATAAAATCAAAAAATAAGCTTAAAAATTAATTTTTCATTATCCATTTCCATTAAACGATAGTCTTAACAAATTGTTTTTCTATTTATCGAATTCCCAAAGTGATAGAAACAGTAAAGAGAGGTTCCAAAAATGAATATAGTCAAAAAAAAAACCTGTCAAAAATTGAAGGTCAAGAAGAATTGCTGAAGCATTTCCGTCTGTTCCCGAGGCTTTGCTGACCCCTCAAGCTCACTCGCCAGTCTCAAGCGCGGTAAGAATTCTGACTTCAGGAATCGAACCAGTATTATTCAAGAAAACCAAAATTAAAATTTCAAGAGTTTTTTTTTCTAGTTTCTAAACAAACCAATTGGGAAAATTCTTTCATCTTCGCTTCTGTAAGCTGTTTCCGATTTCAGAAAAGTTACTTTTTTCCATATTAACCTTTTTTAACTTTGATTCATACACAATGTGAAAAAGAATGACCAAATAAAAAATCCGTTTCCAAAATGTTCAAAACTTCTCACATGAGTTATAATCCTACGCCACTGGTCAATTGGTGGTCAATACAAGTACAGTACCGCTCAAAAGTATATTAAGTTTTGGTTTTTTTGAGAATATCTCAGCGAGTACTTATCCGATTTATATATAACTTTCAGGGATAATGTAAAAAATACTTTGAAACATATACGGCATACAAAGACATGTCCGCAATCACTGTGACGCGTTTTAAGAATTTTTTTATTGAATTCAATTTTTTTACGCTTTTATTTTTTTATTTATTTTTTTATTAAATTTTTTTAAGAGTAATAATGTTGCCATATGATTTTTTTCATGTTTTTCAGACATGGGAAGAATCTCTGGAAAAAAAGGATTTGACTGATAACGAAAAAAAGAGCCATCGTTGTGGGTCGTCAAAATGGACTGACCATGATGACGTTGGCAGGAATGTTCGGCGTGACAGAGGCGTGCATTTCTCAGTTCCTAAAGCGTTGGAAAGCTCAAGATGGCTCTACTAAGAGCCAACACACTGGCAGACCACGTGTCACTGATCGTAATGACGATAGAAACATTTTGAAGACGTCTAGAACCGATCCAAGACTCACCGCCCCTGCGATCAGACGGGAAGTTTGCTTGAATTCGCCATCTCCGCCATCCGTCTCGATCGTGAAACGACGTCTGAATGCTGCTGGAATCATGGGAAGACGTTCAGTGAAGAAACCGCTGATTTCTGAAAAGAATCGAGCCGCCAGGGTGAAGTGGGCGAAGGAGCATCTCAACTGGACCCGTCAAGACTGGAACGAGATTCTGTGGTCCGACGAAAGCAAGCTCCTCCTCTTCGGGAGTGACGGAATTCAGCGGGTTCGTAGACCAATTGGGTCCAGATATCATCCAAAATACCAATTACCCACTGTGAAACATGGTGGAGGACCGTTTCGTCGGACCACAGAGTCTTGTTCCAGTCTTGACGGGTCCAGTTGAGATGGTCCTTCGCCCACTTCACCCTGGCGGCTCGATTCTTTTCAGAAATCAGCGGTTTCTTCACTGAACGTCTTCCCATGATTCCAGCAGCATTCAGACGTTGTTTCACGGTCGAGAAGGATGGCGGAGATGGCGAATTCAAGCAAACTTCCCGTCTGATCGCAGGGACGCTGAGTCTTGGATCGGTTCTAGACGTCTTCAAAATGTTTCTATCGTCATTACCATCAGTGACACGTGATCTTTCAGTGCGTTGGCTCTTAGTAGAGCCATCTTGAGCTTTCCAACGCTTTAGGAACTGAGAAATGCACGCCTCTGTCACGCCGAACATTCCTGCCAACGTCATCATGGTCAGTCCGTTTTGACGACCCACAACGATGGCTCTTTTTTCGTTATCAGTCAAATCCTTTTTTCCAGAGATTCTCCCCATGTCTGAAAACATGAAAAAAATCATATGGCAACAATATTACTCTTAAAAAAATTTAATAAAAAAATAAATAAAAAAATAAAAAGCATAAAAAAACAAAAATTGAATTCAATAAAAAAATTCTTAAAACGCGTCACAGTGATTGCGGACATGTCTTTGTATGCCGTATATGTTTCAAAGTATTTTTTACATTATCCCTGAAAGTTATATATAAATCGGATAAGTACTCGCTGAGATATTCTCAAAAAAACCAAAACTTAATATACTTTTGAGCGGTACTGTAGGTACCGGGTAGCAACTTTAGAAAAAGTCAATCGGCGTATGGTAATCGGTGGTCATTTGCATGCGACCGGGTACTATCTCTATGGTACCTGGGTCGGAGGCCGATGCAAGTAGCTACCTGACATTCGCGATTTCTTTCGGAAAGTCTGGAATTGCTTCTTGGGCCGTTATTTTTTGTTTCAGCTTTATCCACTAAGACCCTGGAATACTTGGGAAGGTGTAAAAAATACTGGCGCTAAATAAACGACCGATGTGCCAGCCAGTAGCAGTCGCGAATTTCGGGAACCTACCCGGTAGCATCCAGGCACCGACCAGGTACTATCCAGGTACCATAGAGATAGTATCCGGTCGCATACAAATGACCACCGATTACCATACGCCGGTTCACTTGAGTTGCTACCCGGGTAGCAACTACCGGCGGTACCTACTTGTATCTACCTCCCGATTCACCAGTGTAACCGGTAGCTGTTTGTATCGACTTCCCGATTCACCTTTGGCAGGCTCCCATTGAATATTCCTCTAAAGCGATTTTTATGGTTTAATGAAAGGTTTATGGATTTTGGTACTAGCAAGAAAACCTTCAGGAAAGGACGATCAAGCCCCCTCCGCAGAGAAATCTCGACTCTCTGTTCAACTTCAGCGGCTCTTTCCACTTCAACCAGCATCAACTCGCCATTTCCGGATTCTTCAAGAACGAGGTCCTCCAGCGCGTCTACGTCAACGACGACATGCACTCGTACGTCTTCTTCTTTCATTTTGATTCTTTTATCTTTTTTCAGTATGAAATGAACAGCTCACTTTGGTTTCTACGTTCTTTCTTGTCTATTGAAGCGCTTGAATAAAGCTTCGCCATTTTCTGTTCATTTCTTTTTTTCAAAAGAAGTTTATGATTACAAATCAACTTGGTTACTGTGTGGCCGTGGTTACTGGAAAGGCTGAATGAAAGAAAAAAGGGTCTCGACACGATGTGAGAAAGAGCGTATGGATGAAAGAGTTCCAGACGTGGATGTGATTTGTTTCTCAAGGCAACGGTGATCCGACTATACACAAGGAAGCTTTTTCTATTTTCGCAGATCGTTATTAGTCTGACAAGCTTCGAGCCATTCCAAGTGCGGCCCTGAAATGTATAACAAAGCTTCAGATCAACCGTTTCTGATTGGTTACTGTATGACAGTAAGTATTGCAACACCGTGGCCGCATTTGGAATGGCTAAATGCGGAGAACGGGATTTTTCTAGGCTCCGCTCGCAAGTCGTTTCAAGTCGGACTCAGCCATTCCAGTGCGTATGTTGAAAAAATATTGAATAAACCGGGAAGTTAAACCTTCAAGCCGCGACACGAGGCATATCCATGTTGGAAAGTTGAACTATCGGTTCGACCGCCTAGAATTTTTTTTTGAAATTACAAAAAATCTGAAATTATTTGTACCTTGGCTCTTTTGAATCTTAACGCTTTGCTTTTTAAATTGAACCGTATTCGATGCTTTGGTCTCGCTGAAAACAATTTAACGTTGTTTTTTATTTACGGATGTGTTAACCCGATTCGTTAGGGTTCCAAAGAATCGAGTCTAACACTATTTTTTGAAATTTAATTCAAATTTCTTCATAGTCCGTTTCCCCCGCTTAAAAGGGAGATACTTCTTTGTGCCTTCCTCGTCTCTAGGCGACCCTCTCATGTTGTAGGCTGTTTTCATATTTCTCTGACCTCACCGGCAAAGGAACAGACAGGCAGAAATTTTAAGATCTCCATTATAGGATGTGTAAACCGACTTGGAACTTCACCAAACGACACTCCGCTGCGCGCCTTTGCGTAACTTGGTCGCGCTTTTATTTATTTTTTCTTTTCTCAAGGTACTCTACTTTCGTGTGCTCCTACAGCAATAACAATCAATTGAAAGCGTGACTTAGATTCGAAAGACGCTACGCGAACGCACGCACCGGAACAGCGGAATGTCGTTCGGTTAATTTTCAAGTCGTGGCACACAGACTTTATGATTCTTTTGCCTGAAATAAATAAATGACCCGAAATTCCACTCACCACTGGGCATATCCGACTCGGAGATGAACTTTGGCTTGGTCGATTCGCATTTGAGAAGGCTTTTGAAGATTTTCCGGACAGTTATGTTGGTGGTCAGGAAGAGGACAGGATTCAGCATGTTATTGATCACGGTGGACATGGCTTTGACGATACTCAGGACCCAGACGATCCAAGTCGCCGTCTGGATTCTCGGCGTGACCGTGTTCAACATCCGGCATATCTGGAACAAGGAAACATGCTTGAAGAAGAAAAAAAATATCCCACAAGTGGTCTCAACTTGAAGAAATCATGTTCATTTTATGGCCCCAGGGCGACCCGACCCCCAATGTTGAAATCATCATAATTTATAAATAAATGAAAATAATAATAACCTTCAAGAGCCGATGGGACCTCTAACATACGAGTAAAGAAACCCCATCCCCCCTTCCCCCAAATAATTAAAAACGTATCGTTCTGGATTTTTTGCGATTTTTCGTTGACTATTGTATTAGTTTTGACGTACCAGAAGCGAAATGGACAGAAGAAATCCTTGGAGCAGCAAATTAAAGTCGACGTTGCTGTGATTCGGGTTCTCTTCCACTATCACAGTACTCAACGACGCTCTTTTCTTCTTGATAACAGCGTACATGAGAAGATAGACGCAGAAGATGATCAGCGGGATGATATATCCAATCATGGTCAATGTCTAAAATTGTTTATAAATACAACTCTTTGAATAGGGTCTATTTTTCCCGACTTGAAAGGCGATGTTGGTGACGCGTTGCGTGTGCGAAGCGGCTTTTTGGCAGGGACCTCGAAGTCAAACGCAATCATGGAAAAATGCAGAAAAAAGTTTTTTTTAAATTGTTTTCATACTGTTTCTGTTCAACCAAAGCTTTTCAAAATCCTAAAAAAATTAAAATTTGTTGAAATAATTATCAAATGAAGATGAAAGAGGTGGCTCGCGGCTTAAAAAACCAAAAAAAAACACGATGGGCGGAGTCAAAATCTCCGCCGTTCCCTCGTGACGTCATGGGAACGGCAGAAATTTCGGCTCTAAGAGCTCAAATAACATAACATTTTAAAGGCACAGAACGCCGTATTGCTAGAGGTTTTTGAGACGAATTGAATTACCTCTATAAAAACGCGATTTTTCTGCGCGATTTTTCTGCGCGATAGCGGCACAGTGCATGCACACGACACTTTACGGAGAAAAATCGGGCGTGCACTAAGAATAACTGACGAGATAAACGCGAGGTCGGTGGCGGTACATTGACGAACTCGCAAAAATATCGCTTTTTTCTAGGCGCGCTCTCGCATTTCTCTCGGCGCGACCTCGCATTTTTCTTGGCGCCATCTCGCATTTATCTCGCATTTCGGAAATTTTCAAATTGCGAGAGAAATGCGAGCTGGCGCCTAGAAAAATGCGAGCTCGCGCCCAGAAAAATGCGAGACCGGCGCGAGAAAAAAAGCGAGATGTTTGCGAGCTCGTCAATGTACCGCCAATGTCTCGCGTTTATCTCGGCAGTTAATCTTAGTGTGGCGTCGTCGAAAAGACGCCGTAGTTCGAGCTCCCCTCTAAAAGCCGCGACGCACACGCAACGCGCCCCCCTTTCGAATCTACCGGTCTCGACTTTCAAGCTGGAAAGAATCGACGATATTCGAATGACTCACAAAGTTGACCCAGCTCTCTTTGGTGATGAAAACTTCTGAAAATTCAAAGTTGGCCTTGGAGAACTTCCGTACGGTTTTCATTTGGAAAAGACGCAAGTAAATGAAAAAAGCGACGGCAATCCAAGTGACCATTAAAGGGTATTTCACAGTGTCCCTGGAGATTTTTTTATTTTTGTAAACTGAAATAATGGAAGAGATACTTGGTGAAGGCCGAGGATAGGGGCTTGAAAATAAAGACTGAGAAGCGATTTATAGCGATCAATAGAACTAGTAACATCATCGCCACGTCGGTGGCCGTTGAGATCATTGAGCCCACCGAAAACCTGGAAAAACTGTTTATTTCAAGGAAAATGCTTTGAATTTGACTGTATTGTTGCGACGTTTTGCCAATTTTTTCTGTAGCTTCGAAAAATATTTCGTGTTTATAAAAAAATCTGAAAAATAGCAGATCTCTGATTGGAATTTCGACAATTTCCCTCAATTTTCTTGGAAAAAATTCCAAGAAGAGGAATTGAACGTTTATTTCAAGCGTTTGAGAATTTTTTCAAACATGAAAGCAATTTTCGTCTCTGAAACAAAAACTTTGGAGGACGAAAAAAGGTATATTTTTCTCACCAGGTGTTCCAAAATTCCGACTCGTCGAGCTCGACGAACATCGACGGAAATATGCACGTCGCCTGGATCATTATGTTCACCGCGTTTGTTATCGTCAAGTGCCAAACTATTGTGAAGAACGGGAACTGGAAAAAAAAATATATGTTCGGAAAGCATTGCTAGGGCTTTTAAAGGAGCATGAACTGTTAAAAAAATTATATCAAAACGAAGAGATACTATTTTCGTTATTTTTTCCTTCGGTTTCTAAGATTCTGCTTCTTCGGATACTACGGGGATGCATCATGAAGTTTTCGAGTCCAAATACTAACTCTCCCACTTTCAACGACTAGTCTACTCACGGTTAACCTCAAGAAAGCTCAGTTATCCGACGAAAATTGCATTTGGCCAGCAATCTTGTGATTAAACTATTTCAAAAGCGCTGCACTCCCAGGAAACGATGCGGAGCGCATTGCTGGTTTCTGCGGAACGCGCGCAAAGTGAGCTGCGGAAAGCATTGCCTACGCATTTGCCCTAAAAAAAAGGTTGTTGCGTTGCGCAAAAACGTGGCTGGCGTTGCGCTGACCTTCTAAATTCGTTTTGGCTCGTCCCTTTGCAAAACTTGCGTAAGCACGTTACCTAATAAATGTTCCCCTCGACCACCTGTTCCAAGTTTTTTTTTTCCTCAATTAAAAGCTGGTTTATATAGCTGATTCACGGCTGAATTGAGCCAACGAAAAATGGGTCCTGACACGATAAAAAAAAAGAGAAAGTGCCTAGTTGGTGGAGAGCGCAGACACGCCACGCGGTAGCCGTGAATCGACTATACTCGATTTTTCCCATTCAATGGCTCAAACTCTTCCACTTTGACTGCGCCCGACTTCAAGCTACTCTAAATGCTAAAGCCTAAAGGATGCAAATGCGCGTCATAATTATGCGGAAGGACGTGAAAAATGGAAGTCTGCGTCTCTCTGTTCCCTCACCGGCGAGGTCAGAGAAACATGGAAACAGCGCGTCAAAAAGAGAGGGCCGCCGAGAGACAAGGAGGGCGCAGAGAAGTCATTAAAAATGAACTGTACCTCCCTGAAGGTGTCAGATCCCTTGATGAGAACCGCTATGAAAATGGAAACACTGATAATTCCCAGAACAACGACGGCGCCATAAAGACACGTCGCCGTGTAGACAACGTTAGAGTCCATTATTTGAAGGTTGACGTCACCAATTGGGTTCGGGTTCATCTGAAAGTAAGGATTTAAGAAGAGGAAGAATTTTTGAGGAATAAGGTTGCGATGAGCAAATGATTTTGGTAGTTCAGTTCTCTATAACAAATTCGAAAAAAGACTGATCCAAGAAGGATATCATAATTTCAGGAAAATACTGGGAAGTTGGGAGCGTAACCAGCAGGAGATTGAGAAGTGTAGGGAAGCTAGAAGGTTTCAAGAAAGCCTTTGAAAGGTTTTCGAAAGGTTTTTGGAAGGTGAAAATGAAAAATGCCTTCCAGAAGCTTTCCAGCAGGCTTCTGGAAGGCTTCCAGCAGGCATTTTTTCTAACTAGAAGTTTCTGGGAAGCCATGTGGAAGACCACTTGCTGGAAAGCTTCCAAACGCCTTCCGAGGAACCGAAATCAGAAGCTTCCTAACTTTTACCTGAGTTTGGGTCCAAGAATCGTCGCCGTTTCCATGCAAATTATAATAATATCCTTCTGAAACCCTTACTTTTTGAATTGTATACAAATCCCCCTAAATTTTTGGACTTTTAGGCAAATCTAGAAAAAATATCAGTTTTTCTTTGATAAGACAATTTTTTTTCAAAAACTAGAAAATTCCGCAAGATGAGACTTTCTGGAACTTCTGGTACATCAAAGATCAATCTGACCAATTTCCAGAAAATTCCCAGACGAAAAAAAAAATTAACTACCTTGTGAGGGCTTTCAATTTGCGTAAAAATCACCTTGAATAATTTTTCAGGTGTTATGACCTAATCACCCTAACGTATGATGTAAAGAAACACCTGGAAATATTCGTAGGATTTTTAAAACTGGAAGTGGGAATGAAGCTTCAAAGCCTTGAAAACAACGGAAAAACAGGATTCCAATCAGTTTTAATTGGATAATTGTTTCTACGGCAACCCCCAATTAGTATATGTTTTGAAAATAGAACTTCAAATCGATTGAGATGGGCAGAAAACTTTAATTATGGGCTTTTTTGGATGAAAAATGTTTCTATTGAAGAGGGGGAAACGTACTAAACTCACGAGAAATCATTTTCCAAAGGAAATTTTTAAAAGCTCTTAAGCTTCCAACTCAGAACAAGTTCCTATTAAAAATTATTTGAAGTTAAAGAAATTTCTGAAAAAATGTTGAAAATTAAAAACTCGAAGAAATTTTCATTCATCATCTGAAACAGCAAAGTCACATTTTCGTAGGTTAGCCACGCCCACTTTGCTCTGAAATCGAATTATCCGAAAGGCTAATGGACTGCGTAAAAAGCTGCCCACTGCATATGATTTAGAGTTTTTAATCTCAGAAGCTGGACGAGGAACCAATCGAAAAAAATTAATTCTTAACTTCAAAAGAAATATTCATAATTGAACAATATCGACACTAAAAAAATGTTATTTTAAAGGAAAGTTATTTTGAATTCGCACATTTTTTGAAAGCAAAAATGTTTTGATTGCGATGTATTGGGTTCTTAATGAAATCCTGGAGCCGTGAAACTAGTTTAAATCAAAAAGGATAGGTAGATTTTTGGTGCGCCCGACTTGAAACTACTTAGGTAAGGAAGCATTCGAAAACGTTCAAAAGGCTTCAAGGTTCGACTGTGGGCATTTTGAGGCATTTCACGTGGTACCAAGGCTTTTTGGATTCAACTTTGAAGCGGTCCCTAGAGAGATTAGGGGATGAAACTTTTTTTAATATTTTTTTATTCAAAAAAATTGTATTTATTAAGTTTGAAAAATACTTCTTTTCATAGTTAACAATATCACAATAAACGACGGACTTTCTCCCCTAGAGTGGCCACTTTTGCGACCTTTAGTGCCCCCTATACGGGCCAGTAAGGTGGTCCATAAAGAGAAACCTTCGAGTGTACTTAAGGTTGCCCCTATAGGGGCCTCTCTGGCGTTCCTAAGAAATATATGAATCTACAGTTAAAAAACCACTTTACAGTTCTCAAACAGTGGTAAATACGGACCCTTTGAAAATATTTCCAATTTTTTTTAACTGTCGAGTTCGATTTCATTTTTAAATTCCAGACTTCAAATCCCTTCAATCGTAAGATTTCTTATACGAAAACCTTCCCCCATCAATTACAATTTCAATTTTCGCTGTCAAAAGCGAAGAAACGTCGAAAAATATGGCCCACACAATTGTGACGATTTTCCAATTTCGGAGCGGAAAAATGGAATGGATGACTTGAGGGCGGAGCCTAATTTGTATCTTTTTCTGGGGGAGAATTCTTCAATTTTTCAGAAAATTCTGGTGAATTTCCTTTTTTCAACCGAAATTTCGATATTTTTTTTCCGAGTTGATGATTTTTTTAAAAAGGAGTTTGAGCTTTTTTTAAAAAAATTTTTCTAGCCTAGATTTTATTTTATTTTTTTAACTTTCTTTAAATTGCAACCTGATTTTTCTCAACATAGAGGTGATTTTTTTCGGTACCTGATGAGCTCAGTTTTTTTCCTATTTGTAGGATTAAAACTGTTTTCAAATCCAGTTCAAAATATCTACTAAAAATCAAAAATTCTTCATGAAACTTCGTGAATTTTATCTTAAAAAATGTTTTCCTTGAAGAAATGAAACTAAAATTCATATTCCTCGATTTAAAAAATTGTGGTCGCACGTGGAATGGCTCAAAGCTTCGAAGCAAGCTTCCATGGTTTTCGATATGCTCGTGCGCAACTCGTTTTGGGTCGGTTTCTCTTTGTAAATAGCCGTCTTCAAGCCATTTCACGTGAGATAATGAGTTTTTGAGTTAGGTTTAAAATATTCAAAAAAATTCATGTTACAGTAAACTGAGTAAACTACCGTGAAGTTCCTCCGATTTTAGGGAGCCTCTTTTTTTTTCGTTTTTTCGAAATTGTCTCAAGCCAGTATATATCCAGCTTCCTGAGGAAGTAATTAATAGCCGAAATCGTCGAGCATAATATTCCGTTTGTTTTTCGGATTAAAATTACACCCGTCTCGTATTCATTCAAGCAGATTTTCAGGGATGAATTTTGTGAATTTGATGGCGATTCTGGCCATTTCACAGCCTTTGACGGCCTATGTTCATTTTGGGGGGTACCCGAAGGACCACAGATTTTCCGAGTTCGAGATTCTGGTGAACAACATGTGCGGACCGCATCCTTTGGCTCAGATCATGCAGGATATGATCGACACCGGAAAATATGGTTCTTAATAGTTTGTAAACTGAATAGGAATCATGTTTGTCGGACTTTTCAAAAAAAAAAAATATTGGTTTCTTTCGGTCAACTCACGGTCAGACCTCAGTAACTCGAACAGGACGTTTCTGAGCGTTTCTAGTGACCACTTTAGTAGCGTCAGTGCCCTTAAGTGATCCCTAGAGCTGCTCGAAATCGTTTGGGAAGCGTCCGGCTACCCACAGGCCTAGAAATTTCCGTTTTGGAGGCATTGTTTAACAGAGATTACTTCTGCGAAACCCGTAAAAAAATGTTTGGCATGCCCTCAAATTGTTCCAAAAACAGCTCTTCGTTCCGAGACCTTTATCAATTATTCCATGCTCCTTTAAAAACATAAGCAAAGATTTATGAAACAAGTTATATGAAGCTCTGAAGCTTCTCATCGTTAACACATGATAAAGATAAGGAGAAAAAAATTGAAAGTGTCGAAAAGTTTTATTTTTTGAGATTGCGCAGAAGTACAAATAGCGTTACAATAATAAAAATCAGCTTGAAAATCTGTGAGATTTCATATCAGAAATCCATTCTGGGGTGTTTAAAGGAGCATAGTAAAATTTCTTTGAGGTCTCAGAGCGGACAGCCATTTCTGGTGTTCTTTTAAGTGTAAACTAAAATAAACATTTGAAAAAATTCATGAAGAAACAAATTTAGTTATTTTTTTCAGATGAAAGCGATAAGGAACTCTGGGAATCAATCGCTCGGAAGCACAATTCAGAAGCCGAGCATCGAAATAATGTGGCAAAGTTTTCTTTTCTCAATCTTTCCCTAAAATGAATACATTTTAGATGGTCGCGATGCCGGACAATGGTCTCCCTCGGTTCAATGGGAAAATAGAAAATATATTGTTGCAAATAAAATATATTAGAACATTTCTTACACAATAAAACTGGAAAAAGCGTGAAGAAAACTCGCCATTTCAACTACAAATCTTCCAACTTTTGGTCGGGATTATCAATGTTTACAATGTTTCTCAATGAAAATGTAGGTCGATTAGAGAAATATTTAGCAGCCACTTTAGGGTTTTGACGTTTTAGTGGCCACTTTAGTGACTGCAATCTAATGCCCCTTTGGGAGTCTAAGTGGCCCTACTAGACCCCTAAAACTACTGTAGTGGCCACTAAGATGCAGAATAGTGGCTTCTGTAGAAGTGTTTCTATTGGCCACTTTAGTGTTTTCCCCAATTAGTCCTTAAGGAACCTTTTATGTGACCATTGAAGCTTTTTTCCCAAAAATTCAGTTTTCCAGAAAAAGAAAAAAGTTTCAGATTTCCCAAATTTTTCTCGGTTTCATTTTGGGAGTCATAATCTACAGTCTATTCTCTTATTTTATTAACGTTTGGAGAAGCCATTGCAAATTCTCCAAAGAAAAATTGAAAAATAATCAAAATTCGAAAGAAGAAGTCGAGGTTTGTTAATCGGACTTCGGTAGCGAAAACCAGATGCATTTTGGAAGTTTCTAAGTGATCACTTAAGTGCTGACACTCCTATAGTGGTCACTAGATATGATCTGACACGTCCGGTTTGCGTTACCAGGTCCAAAAATGGATAACCAAACGAGAAAGAATTTTAGAGCGAAAATCCGTCAGCAGAATCGGATTCAGAACGAGTGGATTTCACAGACGAGTGATTGAATTTTTCAAGAAAGGAAATATGAGATTTTTGTTTCAAGAAATGGATACAGAAGACACATCAGAAGGCAAATTCCGAGTGAATTCTATGAGCCTTCGGATCGGCCACCCATTCCCGAACACCTTCGGCCTGAAATATTCCACGTTTTGCATCATTTGGAGTGGGTTTCCGTCAATTAAAAAAAGAATGGAAATTCTAAACATTTCCTTATAATATTGATATGTATCAAAACCTTCGAAATTTAATAAAAATGACCGCAGAATGCTCGAGCTGCCGAGCAGCTGGCAGTTGAAGCCGGAAGACGTCGAAGTGAAGTCGTACAGGGCGAAAGAATATATCGTCAGGCCTGGCGATCCACTCGACTCGATGTATGTCGCTGTGGAAGGAGAATTACAGATAAATATTATGGTAGGTTTTGGAGGAATGGGTTCATTGGGAACGTTTCAAAACACAAAAAAAAACTTTTCAAAACAAAAATGATCTTTTCGGAGCCTTTGGGAAACATTTTAACGCTTTGATAAGTGCTTTTTTTCTATTTTCGACAAAAATGCCGGAGAAACAAACAAAAAAAAACGAAAAAGTTTTTTTTGTTTTAACCGTAGGGCGCACTTTTTTATTTTCAACAATTATTCACCGATCGATTTTCGAAAGTGAAATTTCCCACTTTTTCTGATTATTCGATTTCTTTTCGTTCATTTTTTTAATAGATGTATGAGCAGAAAACAAGAATTACAACGACCTTATTTAAAAAAAAATTGAACTACCTTATTTCGTATGGAACGCATTTTTCGACAAGTTTTAGAATTTATTGAGTTTTTTTTTCCTGGAGTGCTCGTTTTTTTCAAAACTTCGTTGGAAACTTGGTTTTTTTTTAGCTCACCGGCCGAAAATCGCGACAGTATCCGGTGAAAATAATAACTCAAGGCGGCTGTTTCTTCTCAGTTTTGTCGATTCTTGACGCTCTCAAGGTTTTGATTTTTTTATATTTTTTTATCTTTTTTTATCAAAAAAATTGACTATTCCAGGATGCACCGCCGATCAAGAACCTGACGTCGCTGCGAGCGGCGACCGATTGTCGCGTCGCGAAGTACAGCTTCGCGTCTTTCCGTTCGGCGATGCTTGAACGGCCCGCCGACTGGCTTCGGCCCGTCCAGGTGGTCATCACCAGGCTTCGTCATGTCACTCTTGCCACTCTGCACACTTATATGGGCTTCAATTGGCAACTGTTGAACCAGGTTTTTTTACAGGGGGATTAGACGAATAAAAAGTTGAAATTGTTTTTTCCGGGCTTTTGTAAGTTCAATATTCAAGTTCGGAAAAAATCAGACTTCATATAACCTGACAGGTTGGATAATGATGAAGAACTGTATCTGAAAAGTATGAATAAGTATTGGAAAAAGGAACAAAAGAAAGAAAAATCATAAAAATCTGAAGAAAATTGAAAAAAGCCCCTTAATTTTTGATCAAGCTCGGTGTTTTTGCGAAGCTTTTTCTGCACATAAAAAAATTAATTAAATCAAAATATTTAGAATTTGATTTTGAAGATAAAGAAAAATAACCCAACATTGTTAAAACTGTAAAATAGACCTCAAGTTCGCGGGAAAAATTTATTTTTGAAAAGAAAAAGTTTAAATAATCGATTTTTTTACAATCATTTTTTTAATGAAAAAAATTTGATTATTTCAATTATTCCTCTGATAAAAAAATTTTTCTGAAAACACTGTATATCAATTCAGCTTTTCTAACGCATGAATTTGGAGTTTTTTATAATTTGATAAAAAGAGAAATTTCTAAAAAAATCCTCTCAAAAACAAAACTTTAGAATCGCCTCTGCCCAACCGAAACAGTTTACGCCAACTACTTGAAAATTCCGAGTAAATACTTTTTTCTCGAAAATTTTGAAATTTGACAATTTTTTTAGAAGAGTCAAGGTTAGAAAAAGCTTGCGAATGGCTCGCCGACGCGCTTGGAATCAGAGAAAAGGCGTCCGTTTTGAGAAATTTGGTTTTTACAGGACTATTTTAGAAGTCAGTTATGGAAATGATGATTTTAGGTTTCACTGGAAGAATTTCCTGTGGGAACTGTCCTTGTGAAGCAGAACACCAGGGACGAAGATTTGTTCTTCCTGCTCAGCGGGTCTTTTTTGATCTGTCGGGTACAACTTTTTTGTATTTTTTCGAGTCTATTTTCGAGACAAAAAACACTCGTATCACTGTTTCAGTAGAATAATAAGGCAATTATCTGTCTTGAATTTTTCAATGGGGCAACAATGTCAAAAGAGCTGCGCAAAACGAGCTAAGAAAAGTGAGCTGAAGACAAAATTGCCAGCGAAAAAACTGCAAAAGCGAGCTGCGAAAACTTCGCCCACCGTTGGCAAAATTGTTGTCTACATATCGCGCTCCACTGATAACGCGCCAAAGACAGGTTTCGAAATTTGGTTAATTTTTTTTCATTATTTTTATTGTTTCTTATTTGTTTTCATCCATATTTGTTTCATTTTGATGTGGTCTCGTGCAGAAAAGTTTTATTTAATTTCCGCTTCGAATGAAATCGGGCGAAGTCAGTCTATAAGAGTCTGAAAAACGTTTTAAATAATAAAAAAAAAGTTTCAGGACGCTTAAAAGCAATCAGATGGATTGAAATCTTGCGAAGAGGAGAAGTTCGAGTATTGGTTCCGCAACTTCACGAGAGATGAAGACAATTTTCATCGGAAAACCCTGTCATGCTCACATTTTGTTCTTTTTAAGGTTTTTTTTTAATGAACTGATATTTTGTTATGTTCATCATTTTCAATACGCAACGGATTGGCAAAAAAATTTCAAATAGTTCCTTTAACGCAAAATCCGGGAAAAATTATGTAGATAATTTTTTTACTATCACTTTTAATCACTTCTGCATGTTTGTCCTGTTTTTTCTGACATTTCAGAAATTGCTGTCAAAAATTCGACGATGTAGTTTGAAATCATTCAACATAAAACAAGAAGAAACTATATTTCAAGATATTAATGCGCGGAAATGGACGAAATTCGGTTATTGTTCTCGGTGGAGCGCACAGTCGCGCGATTAACCTGCCAACGGCGGGCGAAATTTTCGCAGCTCGTTTCTCTCAGCTGATTTTTCTCTGGCAATTTCTTCGGCAGCCCATTTTTCGCTGGCAGTTTTATCTCAAACAGTGAGGTGGCTCGATTTTCGCAGCTCTTTTGACATATACCCGACAACAACACTGTTTAATGCCGTGTCCAAATTAATTCCCGCGAAATACAAAATGATCTCTGGCTCTCCAAAATTTAGTTATCTTTTTCTTTCCAAATTAATTCCCGCGAAATACAAAATGATCTCTGGCTCTCCAAAATTTAGTTATCTTTTTCTTTCCAAATTAATTCCCGCGAAATACAAAATGATCTCTGGCTCTCCAAAATTTAGTTATCTTTTTCTTTCCAAATTAATTCCCGCGAAATACAAAATGATCTCTGGCTCTCCAAAATTTAGTTATCTTTTTCTTTCTCTGACGGCTATTGTGCCATTCGTGGAATCACCTTGAACACGGTATAACTCTATCCTTCTCATGTAATTTAGTCGACTTTTAAGTAAAATATAAGAGAGGTAACATTTTTTTGAAATTAATACATTATTGGAGAAATAGATGAGAAAAAAATTCGTTCGAAGGATATATTTTTTTAGTGACTTTTTTTCTTGGATATGGAGATATCACCAACAACGAAAAATGTTGGTTCCATATGAGAAAATTTGATTATAAATGAACGAATACACTGCGACCCATAATTATAGACCCACCCTAATTTCTCCGATTTTAAGAAAGATTGAAAAACTTTCAGCCACCAAACTTTTTTTGTGATAAACCTTGTTGATAAGGAACATAATCATAATATAATTATCAATCGCCCAGTTGAAAAAGTTTTTTTCAAGATACGAGAAAAATCTGATTTTTTTGACCGACCCAGAATTATAGACCCACTATAAGTAATCAACAAAAATTCATTTCACAAAGTCAACAAAGTATAACAAAAAAAGATTAATTAATAATGTGTGATGCCTCCTTGTTTCTGAGCGACTTCGAAAATCCTGTTCGGCATGCTGCCAACGAGTGATTGCAGCAGTGACTTGTCCAAACCATCCCACTCGGCACGAATCGCTCTTTTTCAGATCGTTGACCGGTGTATACTGCTTGGCATTCGCGTAGACCCTTCGTACAAGGACTGACCATAAATTCTCTACAGGGTTGAGGTCAGGACTGCACGCGGGCCAGTCCAGAAGAACCACGTTCTTGGCCGCAAACCAAGCCAATGTGGAGTTGCTCGCGTGAACAGATGCATTGTCTTGTTGGTAAATCATATTAGCACGTCGTCGGCGACGGAGATAGGGCAGGAGATGCTGGGCAAGCAGTTGCTGGTAGTCTTGCGAATTCGTTCTGGTCCCAATAAAAGAAAGAGCTACCGTCCCGTTGCCGCAGAAAGCCGCCCAGACCATGAGGCTGCCGCCGCCGAAGTTTCTCTTGGAGAAGTACATCGGATCTTTCCTCAAATCTCTCCAGTAGTGAGCGTACCCATCTGGCTCATCAAGGTTGAATTTCTTCTCGTCGCGGAAGATGATCTGAACAGAAAAATTGGGAATCATAAGGTGATAGAAAACATTGATACCTTATTCCAATCCGTGGCCATGTTAGAGCGTGCAAACTGGAGCCGTTCATTCTTATGGCGTTGCTGTAGACGAGGTGCTGCCTTCATTGGAGTATTCACAAGTCAACCGGACCGATGAATTGTTCGTAAGATGGTGTCCTTCAGACGTTTTCAGGAATTTCGGATCTGATTTGGTTGGCGGACTTCGTAGAGTTTGATGCTTTTCGACAGACGTCTCGTTCAGCTTGAACCGATAGCAGCCTGTGCCGTCCAGAATGTATTGCTATGCCGTATTCTTGCGGATTCCTTGCATAACGGTCAATAGTTCGTCTTGAGCGACCCGTCTGACGAGCGATTTCCCGATGGGACAAGCCGTTGTTGAGTAGAGCATCGATTACCGCTTTTTTTCGGTATTATCAAGTTGAGTAGATTTAGGCATTATGGCTTATAGTGATACACTAGGATTTTTTCTCTTATATACCACTGAAAAAAACAGGAAAAAAACGTGTTACCTGAAACGAAAAACTCGGAAAAACTCTGGGGTGGGTCTATAATTCTGGGTCGGTCAAAAATCAGATTTTCTCGTATCTTGAAAAACTTTTCAACTGGGTGATTGATAATTATGATATGATTATGTTCCTTATCAACAAGGTTTATCACAAAAAAAGTTTGGTGGCTCAAAGTTTTTCAATCTTTCTTAAAATCGGAGAAATTAGGGTGGGTCTATAATTATGGGTCACAGTGTATCAATTCTAAAGGAAAACGACGAGGAAGACGAAAAAGTCGGCGACGAGTATCAGGACCACGTGAAAAGCACTGGAATCCGGGTATTTCCGGGCGAACTTCTCCCGTCGATGCAACTTTTGACCGACGAACGGGCCGTTTATTCGCTGATCGCCGAGTCCGACTCCACTCTAGTCGTGATGCGACGCGAGAAATTCTCAAAGTCTGGAAATTCTCAATTTTTCATTCTCATTAGACAAAACGAAATTAGCCTCGATATACAAAAAAATTGCTTTTAAACGAGAAAAAAGTGTTCTATTTTGGAGTTATTCTGAAGCGGGAAAGAACTAAGGGATGCCAGAGTGATCCCTATAGGGGTTAGGGGAATCAAAAGCCCCTCTAAGGGACAAATAGTGCTCCCTATAGGGGTTCAAAATTGACCTCTAGGCCCCTAAGGCTTAAGTGGCCCCTACAACGGTTCCTTTATTCAAACTTGAAGGTTAAAAAATTAGTGACCGCTTTAGGGTTCTGTTGTTTCTTAGCCACGGTTGTAGTCAAATAAATGACCGCTTAAATGGCCTCCTTAGAGGTCTAATTTGTACTACTATGAACTACTGTAGTGGCTTCTAAAAAGCTCGTTTTAGTGGCCACTCTAGGGCATCTCCAATTATTCCTTGAGCAACTACTTGAGTGGCCACTAGAGTTTTTCACCAGGTGGTAGTAAAATTGATCGATTAATCTCAATCTGGTGTTTCTCAAACTTAAAACGCTATTTTTTGAGTTTCTCCCAAGAAAATGCTCCATTTAAAAATAAACGACTAGCATTTCCCCTTTAGGGGTCATTAATCTTTAGCGCTCCCTGTGGGGAGACGTAAGGCGGCTTTAGAGGGAGTTCTACAAGTGTCCCTAAGGTTGCCACTGTAGAGACCACTCTGGCGTTTCCTAAGAACGTTTATCCGATGAAAGCGTCGTCAGCTTTTCCTTCTGAATTTTTTTCGTTTTCAGGTTCCTTGAGAGCCATCCGCAAGTCTACGTTCCTATAGCTCATAACATCTTACGATTTCTTTCTCCGTTCGTGAGAAGCGTTGATTTCGCTCTCGAATGGCTGAGGGTCGACTCCGGACAGGCGATTTATAGGTCTTGGAAAAGATTTGGAAAACATTCGAAATAGGAACTTAATCGTGAACTTGATTCGTTTCGAATATTTTTGAAGTTCCTTGTAACATTTAGAAAGCTCTTTTTCTGAAATATATTTTCAGCTTTTCAAAGATATTAAGATTGAGAAGAGAGCTACTTCGTGGTCTTTGAAAAATTAGCGAATAAAAAAAAACCAATATTTTCAAAGAAAATGAGGTAGTGGAAGGAAGAAAGTGCTCCTTAAAGGGATATGATTAAAATAGCAAAATGTATTTTTTCTGATAATTTTATTGAGCATGATACCAGAAAGATAGTTCAGAGAGGGTAGTTCCGTTATTCCACAGAAATTCTTGATTTTAAAAAAAATCAGCTTTTTTATGTATTTTTCAAACAAGGGTTCAAGTAATTAGAGCTTTCCGATAATTTTGAGCAATAGAATTTCCAAGGTTTTTCTTCCTTGTTCTGAAGTTCCGTAGTAAGCCCGAAAAATGGAAGACATTTCAAGAATATGAGAAAAAATGGTGCTGAGCTCAAATTACACTTTGGACTCGTCTTTGATTTTTTTTTTTCCTGAAAGATTATTTTAAGAGCTGGAGAAATAGCCGACACAATGTACATCGTGCTGAGCGGACGGCTTCGATCCGTCGAGAAAAAGACGGTTTTGGAGGAATTTGGAAAAGGAGACGTTCTTGGATTGGTAGGCTTTGGAACTGCCGAATTTTCTTGGAGAAAAATATTCAGATGGAAATGACGGAGAAGAAAAATCGGGCGAGTACTGTACTCGCTGTCCGATTTTCCCAATTGGCCTGTATCCCTCAAGGACTTTTGAACTATTTTAAGCTGACTCATCCTGAGGTTTTTTTTATGGAAAATAATGTTGCGCGTTTTTTTTAATACTTCACTTATTTCATACATTCCTCAGTCCTATTTTTAAGCGAAATAAATTCAAAAAATCAATATTTTTCAATTTTGCAAGTTCAACTGTGCATGCAACTAAATCCGACTTTGCTTAAGAACTCCAGAGCGGCCCCCATAGGGATTAGATAAATAAAACAAACTCTACTGGCGGTCCCTAAAGGGGAGACTTCAAACGTTGCCCCTATAGGGACTACTTTGGCGTTCCTAAGTGCAGAGAACGTGAAATCAGATTCTACTCAAGCGATAACTTGAGAGCCCTTAGTGGCCACTTGAGTGCTGGCTTCCTTTCCAAGTGATTTTGGAAGTTCATCACCTGTCGTGGAACTTTTTTGAGTTGCTTCCAAGACTTTCAGTTCGTTCCTTGAAACGGAAAAATGGCTTAAAGACGTTTTCGCGTTCTCCATGTTTTTGAGATGTCCACGAAGTCTTGGATCTTATTTTGTCGAAACCTGAAATTTCTCAGGTCGGAGTCCGTTTGATCCAACTGCTCAGAAAGTGCTGGAAACAGCCATTTTCTGTGTCTTCCCTGCCTCAAGTTCCCGCCGACGCCGGTCCTACATCCTTCCGTCATAATAAAGTCAAATTCAGCCTTTTTTAAGAAAATTTCGAGGGTTGAGAGCTAGAAAATTTGTGGGTACTTGAGGTCCTCCTGATTACAGATCAGTTATAATTGAAAACCCTTTTTTTTTAATTTTCAAGTTTTTCGAGTGCGGGAGAAATGCGATATCGCTCCTAGGGAAAGCGAGTCGCACGCATTTTTTCTTTTGTAAGTTTTCAAATTTTTTTCAAGTGCGAGAGAAATGCGTATCGCACCTAGGGAAATGCGACGACAGTGCGGCATTTTCGCGATTTTTTCAATTTACCGTCATCGACCACGCTTTTCTGTCACGTCGGATTAGACAATTATCTTTTGAATACTAGAGAAAGCTTCGATTTCAGGAGGACCATTTGGACCCCCAAAATGTAAATAAATATCAAAATATCATTCGATCTGTAATCCGGAGGTCCTTTAGTTACCACTCTACAAAGTATCCTTGAAATCTCTCCCCTCAACCTTTTGCCCTTTCTTCGTAAAATCAAATGAAAGAAATTGAGAATCTTCAGAATCTCCGAACGATAGCCTTGGTCCCTGCCTGTGCCGATGTCCCACTCGTCGCCTTCACTTGCGAGTTCTACAACGCCTTGTCGGCTCATCTGAAAGTTCTCCGGATCAGCAGCACCCAGCTCAACGCCAGATTCAGTTCTAACGTTTTGGAGAAGTTCGTGGAATATTACAAGGGATAGCAAGTGATTCAAAAATCGAAAACAGGCCTATACGCTTTACTATGTATGATATCATTCTAATGAGAGCGGAAAATCGGGGAATTCTGTTCTGGAAAACCTAAAGTTTCGTTTTTTGAGACGTTTAGAATGTTTAGTTTGTGTATAAAAATGGTCATGTTTCATGAAATTTACGGGCAATTACGGAAATGAGATTGATGCGCGATATCGCTTGTGCGATCTCGTAAAAGTGCTTCTTTTGAGTCGCGCCGATCTCGCATTTTTCTTGGCGCGACCTCGAACTGGGAAAATTTGCACATTTCTTTGAGTTCGATAGAAACGCGATGTCGCAAAAGGCGCCTCCTCGATTTATTGAAATCTGCGAGTTTCAAGTGCGAAAGAAATACGATGTCGCAAAGGCGCCTCCTCGAGTTATGCATAATTGCAATTTTCGAGTGCGAGAGAGAAGCGATGTCGCGCGAGGCACCGCCTGCCGCTCCCACTTCATCGAACTGAGCTAGAGTGTCATATTATCTTCAGTAAAGCTCCGAAAAACCTTCTCCATGTAAAAAAAAGTTTTCCAAAGAAGAACCATTCAGAAAATTCGACTTTATGCTGATGCAGTACCTGAACGTGCAGGAGAACTCGTATCCGCTGATCATTTATGAGTGCGACTTCGGGCCGACGGCTTGGACCAGTCGATGTCTTCGTCAGGCCGACGCCGTCATCGTCGTCGGCCTTGGAGATCGACCTCCAGAAGACCAAGCCCTGGCCACTCAGCTTCTGGCGGCGAATGAAAGAGTGATCCGATCTAACAAGGAACTCGTGATCCTCTGGCCGGATAAAACCCGCTCGCCGAGTAATACGGGGAAGTGGCTCCGCTATAGCTTCTTTTCTGGACATCATCATGTCAGGTGATTTTTCCTAGGTTTCATAGAAGCCTTTTTTTCACACTGAGGTTGTTCATTGAAATCTCGCTAAAATTCCTACGTCTCGAAATGTTTCGATTCATTTATTTCGAGCCGATTCAATCGAAAATATCGATTTTCATATTAAAATTGAAGTTTTTCGAGATTGTTGTTTCATTTCCCCGCTTCACGGGTCAGTTAAATAGCTTATAAAACTGAACTGATATTCCTGTTTTCATCGTGTCCCTCTAATGTAAATGAAAAATATTTCTATGATATGCTTTCCCCGGAATTCTCGAAGCAGTTAGGAAACTTCAGAAGATAAAACTTAACGGAGACTGTTTTCAGTCGAAAATAAGTAGGTCTAGAATAAATCTTGAAATATTTCCAGAGCTCCCGAAAGAATGTACCAGTTCGGGACAAACTGCGACGAAAAGACCATAATCAAGTACTACGAAAAGCACGTTTTCGGCGTCACGGATCCCTTGAGTGATTTCGCTCGGCTGGCGCGCATTTTCACTGGAAACGCCGTTGGAATCGTTCTGGGCGGGGGCGGAGCCCGAGGCGCGGCTCATGCGGGAGTCATGCGGGCGATCCTGGAACAGGGCATCCCAGTCGACCTCATCGGCGGCACCTCAATTGGATCGCTCTTCGCCGGGATGTTTGCGGGAAGCCCGAATAAGAAGGCTTTCCAGCGGTTCCACGACTTCTTCTCGGTTTATCCTCGACAAAGTCCATTTTATTTTGGGGCTGGGAACTTCTTGAAAATTTGTCAGAGTACTTCTTGAAGTGCTAGGTGAAGATACTGAAAGTATAGTCCGTTTTTCGCGACTTCTCTGCGCCCTCCTTGTCTCTCGACGACCCTCTCATGTTGACGTACTATTTTCATGCTTCTCTGACCTCACCCCTGAGGGAACAGAGAGACGCAGACACTGAAACTTCTCAAGACTTTAGAACTTTCTATTCTTCGGAAAGACGCCTCAAAGTCGGAAGAAACTATCAAGATCCTAGTCTTTGAACCTTCGCTCCTCGAAAACCAGGAAGTTTTCCAGATTAAGACTTCTAGAATACCTATCTACTACATCAAAGAGTATTCTGAATATTTTTCGGAAAAATCTCAGCCTTGAAGTAAAATGAACTACTTCCTCAGTACCATGAATAATCGGATCTAGGCGATCAACGTACTCTGGAGGACGATATTCCTCGACTTGACCTATGCTCATTCGGCATTCTTGACCGGAGTCCGATTCAATAGAGTAGTCGAAGATCAGTTCAAAAAGACGGAAATCGAAGATCTCTGGATATCCTACTTTTGCGTTTCGACAGACCTCACGTGAGTACCAGAGACTGAGCTGCTGACGGTGCGCCCGGGGTAGTCCCGCGGTCCAAAGGAGTCGCCCCGGGGCGAGCCGATCCGCAGTGTAGAACGTATTCAGATAGAAATCTGTTCTGATCAGATTAAAAAGTATTGAAAATAAATAAATACTTTTTTCAACCCGATAAGTTATTGGAATATGTCTCACAGAACGTCCAAGATGAGGATCCATCGTTCCGGACTTCTTTGGCCCCTGGTCAGGGCTTCGATGACCATAGCGGGCTATCTTCCGCCCCTGTGCGACCCTTCAGATGGACATCTTCTCGTCGACGGCGCCTACGTCAACAATCTTCCAGCCGACGTCATGAGGTCCTCCAGAATCGGAAGAAGACGTTGAACCGATCTTCAGATCCCTGGGAGCCCGAGTCGTCATCGCCGTGGACGTCGGAGTGACCGACAAGAACCTCGGCACCAACTACGGAGTATCTCTCAACGGCTTCTGGGTCCTATTCAAGAAGATTTTCCCTCTGGGCGAACCTATCAAAGTTTTGAACATGAGCGAAATTCAAGTTCTCTTCGTTTTAAATGACCAAAAGATTATCTTTTTGAAGAACCGTCTGGCCTTTGTCTGCTGTGAGAAGCAACTGGAAGAAATCAAGAAAGCCCCGTATTGTCATTATTTCCGGCCGCCCATCGAATCTTTCGATCCTTCTGATTTCTCTCAATTCAACGTAGCGGCGGTAACTTTTGGATTTAAAATTTTTTTTCAAAGAAAATGTCATTTTAGAGCTTTTCATAATGATTCTAACGGTATACATGAAATGAAAAAAATTTTATTGATTTCTGGAAAATTAGTTCTTATAAATAATTTGAAAGTTTAAACCCCCCCATCATAAATATCACGAGAAAAGGGAAAGCAATGAATCTCGATTTTTTTCTCAAATTTTGATCTTTTTTTGAACATTTTTTTGCTCTCAATGGAAAAACTCTGATGTTGATGAAAAAAATTAAATTTTGTCCAAGAGAACCGTAGTAAATTTTGTTATTTTTCGATTGTAGTTCACGTAAAATTATCTTTTCCTTATTTTTTTTTCAACACGGCTTTTTTTGACGACGCGTCCATGTTTTTTTTTTCCGTAAAGTACAGTGTGTCGGGTGCATGCACTGCGGCGCTCTCCCACATACCGTTTTCAAAGTAATTTCCGCAAAATCAAAATCACCCCGGAATTTCCGAAATTCAGTTATATTTTTCATTCTCTGGTGGCTATTTTGAACTTCGCGGTATAAATTTCAACACGGCATTTGTTTAAAAAAATGAAACAGAAAAATCGCATTTTTTAAAAAGAAGAAGTCGATTCGTCTCAGGACCTATTGAACATGCGCCTTTAATATTTTCTGTTGTTTACGCGTTTTTCCCATGACGTCACATGGGAACGGCGCAAGTTTTGACCACGCCCTCTTCATTTTTGGGTTCACCTTTTTTTCCACTGACAAAAACGTCGTGCGAGAACAAGCCCTACAAGATGATAGCTCTAATATTTTTTCTACAGTCTAAAAACTGAAAATTGAAGGACATTGGCTACGCCTACGCGATAACGCGACTCAAAGACCTGATGAGCAACGAAAAAACGCGCGCCGAACTTTTGGGCTCCGTCGTCCAAACCTTCTTCGAAAGGAGGAGATTTGTCCCAAATGTAGCCTTCTTCCAAAAAAAATCATTCTCATTATTATTTTCAATTAGATGAGGGACAAGTTCACAAGAATGGCGGCTTCGATTTCCAAGGTCCCAAGACTTCCCCTGACCTGTTCATCTTCGTCCGATCTCTCTCAAAAGGTGCAGGAAATATCCTCAAAGTTAATCAAATTCATTTCAGGGATCCTCAAAATCCGATTCCGAATCGACAAATTCGACACAATTTTCTTAATGGTTTTATTGTTGACCACGAAAGAAAAAATGTATGTTCAATGTTGAAGGACGAGGAAAGTGAGCATCGGGATGAAAGCTGAAAAATCGGTGATTTGGAGTGGATTTGTGGAAAAAAAACGAAAAATTTGAAAAATATTAGCTCTTGGTTTTGATTTACGCAGCCATAGTTGCATAAGAATAATTTGATAATTTAAAAAAATAATTTTTTTTGATCCCATCAAGTTCAAAAAAATGTTTTTTTCTTATTCATCAAATTTTTTTCCTTTTTGAAAATTTTTGAAACCAAAAAAAGTTTAGAATTACTGGCTTTTTATTCAAAATTTTCCTGATTTTCAAAATCATTCTAAAAGAATTGACTGCTTCTCCTAATTTTCAAAGATCCAGAAATTCGAAAAAAAAAGTTACCGAAGAGGTAGTGAAGACCGGATTTTGAAGATTGATCAAGTTTTTCGAAACACCACTGAAAATTTTGATTCGAAAGGATATAGGGCAATTTTTTCACCTGTTGAATAGGATGGTCCGGTTTGGTGAGGTCAGCAAACTTTTGAAAAACGCTCAACGGACAAAAGTCACTGTTGGTAGGACATCCGTCGATTCCTTGGGTTATAACTGTGACATTGGAATTCTGGTCCGCGTGGTAGAGCATCTGAAGGAGTGATAACTTTAGAGAAAATTAGGGAAGGTTTAATTAAATAAATTTTTTTATTATTTTTTGGATTTGTAAGGTGAGATGAGGTCATTCTTGAAACGTTAACTTAGTATTAGACGAAAATCACTGTCAAAAGATGAAATCACCTTAAAATACGGCTTCTTGTCGACTGTATCAACGTAAAGTTCAATAAGAGACGCCGCCGAATAAAGCGGATATCCGCCGGGCTTCACAGCGTATTCTTCGACGCCAAGAGCCGAAAAGAAGGCGTAAAGCGTCGTGTCGTGCTGAAATTTGTATGATTTGCTACTGAAACTTAACAAAATTCAAAAATATAATCGGGAAATGAACTTTTCCATCATTTTCTGTTTACTTTTACCACCACTTCGAAATTTGCCTTGATTCACTTCGATAAATTGTTGAGCCTTTCTTTCTTATAAAGGTGCAGAAAACTGATTCGAGATTGACTCTAGCTGTACGAAGCCACGAAATTATTAAGATGACACGTTGCGTATGCGACGCGGCTTTCACGGCGTTCCCAAACGGATTGGGGAAATTCAAAAATTTTGGCGCGAAAATTCAAATCTCACGTACGCAGCCAAAGGCGATCGAACAATTAAGTTAACGTTGAATACTCAGTGTGCTTTGTGACGTAGAATGACGTCATTTTATCCGGAGCGCGCACTTACTTTTTTTTGTAAATTCAAAAAATTTGACGCCTCGCTCACCTTCCCCCCATTAACTCTAGGTCAAGCCCACTTTTTCCGTTTCTCTAACTTTGAACAGTTTTTATTTCATTTTGAATTTTCCGCCCCTACAAATTTACATATCTTCCCTTTCTGATCAGAAAAAGTGATTATAATTTTGTTCGAGGTGTTCTTTTTGAAAAAAATCTCAATTTCCAGTTAGAAAAAAGACACCAACCGCAGAATAGACATAATAATTGAGGTTGTTGATCCATTTGCACTTTAGCGAAGAGTCGCCCTGACACGACAGCTTCAGGTTCATGTGCATGTTCATGTCGTTGACCATAGATCCTCCTCGGATTTTCTTCAAAGTCAGGCCCAAATCCACGCCGTTCACAATGTTGGGTGCAGCTTCAATAGGAAATTGAGTATAACTTCAGAAAATGAACTTACAGTAGGGATTTTCAAATGAACAAGTATTTTAAGGTGCAATTTTCCACAAGTAATACCTCAGAAACCGAGAAAATCTTCAAAAAAAAATTTTAGGGGCCGATACAAGTAAAAAATATAATTTCGTGAGTCTTCGAAGACTTTTAAAGATCTTTCCTGTGATTTTGAAAAAATATCGAAAAATGGGGTCATTTTTTCATTTCTTAGTGCACTTTAGTTTTCTCACAGACCTTTGGGATAATCAATTTTAAGCTCTTGAGGGAACTCCCCCCCGGTTGAACTTTTGATGAAACTCTGCTGAAGTGGGGGCCCTAAAGTACACTTCCGAAAATTTTCATCAAAAGTTCAACCGGGGGGGGAAGGGGAAGTTCCCCCGTCCAATTTTTAAAAAATCAGTAGAAGCAACTTTTAATGAACTGAACTTCATGCAAAAATCCAACTTTGAGCTGAGAAAAAACTCACGAAAAATGCCATTCTGGAACAACTGGACCTGATCGTTGCATTTATCGGCCCTGTTGTACAAATCCTCAGTAAACCACGGGTTCACCTTCCTCAACGTGTCGTTGAACCAAATTTGCTGGAATTTTCGCATTTTCCTTTTCCCGATTTTAGTCTCACCTGGCAATAGAGCCCTTGCGTTACCACGTAAAGATTGTCGATGTCAATAGTTTCGCCGCAATTTTTGGTCAATTCCGCCAGTAGGGCTTTGGTCTGAAATGTTCTCATAAGAGATTTTGAGCCAAGAAAAAATAAATACATCTGGAGAATTGGTAAAGTTCTGAACGTAGGCGGTCTGTTTGGCCTTGAGCCAAACTTCGTCCTGCAGAGGGCAAATCGAATCGGTGTTGCCGATCTGAAAGTGGGAAATTGAGATACATCTCAAATTTTCTTTTTTTTATCAATTTACTGTTAGAAAATGTTATAGGGGCGCGCCGTAGCGCAACAGGTTGTGTGCCTGTCTACGGTCCACAGGGTCACAAGTTCGATCCCCGCCTCGACCCAACCAAGGGGTTTAAGAAATGTTGGTAGTGGGAAACCAGGGCTTCATAATCCCCAGCCGTCACACACAAGGACGGATATGTCACTCGAGCCAGTCCACTGATATCAGGATAAGACCTTGGCTAATCGACTTGGGGCGCCGACGTCGCTCAAGCGGTACAAAGGCGTAGGAAAAAGAATAAGAAGAAGAAGAATAAGACTGTTAGAAAATGTTATACTCCGTTTTTCTCTGCGCTCTCCCCGTCTCTCGGCGACCCTCTCATTTTACCGTACTGTTTTCCTGTTTCTCTGTTTCTCGCCAGTGAGAGAACAAAGAGACGCAGACACTCAGAAACTTTCAGGTTGCGGCGGACGGACTACGGATTTTCCCGAAAACCCGTCAAGTTATTATTCGACTTATAGTCCATTCCCCGAAGCGTCTGATTTCTCTGGGCTCTCTACTAATTTCATAACTATAACCTCGCAGGTAAGAGGAAGAGAGCACAGACAGGTCAGACTGTCGCAAATAGGTTATACCAGTTGGCTATAGCCGACGGCCAGCACGAAGGGGCGTGGCCTGTCTGCGCTCTCCAACAACCAGGCACTATCTCTTTTTTTTTTAGCCTATCAGGCCCTTTTTTTTACGGCTCGCATATACCAGTTTATCGTGATCAAAAGCCGCAAAATTCCAGCTTTCCTCAATTTCCAAAAAAATGATAAAATTTATCAGAAAGAAACTTCTATGTCTCCTGATCCTCAATCACAAAAGACATCTAAGAAAAAACACCAGCTATTTATAGAGACCGCAAAGCCACGCCCCTTTTTGCGATGGTGAAATGCGATGGTTTTTTAGATTTCGTGTTTTATATTTTCGTAAAAGCGCAATACTGAATCAAACACAGAGAAATTTGGTGGAAACATAGAGAAAACCTTCCTCTTTAATCTGATATACTTTTCGCCCGATTTTCGTAGCGTTTTAGCGGAGTGTCGTACAAAAAATCAAAACTACTTTTTTTCTTCGGGTTTTTAACCTAGTTCCATGTCGTTGGCGCTTTTTTTTATTTTCGAATTCGATTTTTAAGTGAAAAAAAATATTTTAAGACAAAAAAATTAAAATTTTTACGGTGCCTAATCTTCATGAGGCCGCGCAAAGTTGAAAAATGCTGTACTCGGTTTCGAGAGCGTGTAAGTAAAAAATTTTTATTTTAACTTGTGGATTAAATTGTAACTAAAAGTTTATTAATATAAAACTTATTCCGAAAACTTTGTTTTCTAAGAAAAAATAGACAGTGAAAATTTCGAAATTCATTTTAACATGGTCAGATGTCGTTGGCGCCTTTTTTTATTTCTTAAATATTAGCGTATCTCAATTTTCAATCAATTAGAAAAAATAAAATAAAAATTTCCACGGTGCCTAAAAGTTTAATTACTGTTAATTTGGAGCCAACGTTAAAAATAACAAAAAACACCGAAAACGGAAGAATTTTGAACTGAATCTCTATGAATAAATTATTTCTAGGTGGTCCGAACACACGTGACTAATAATTGTTCAACTATCATAACTTTTTTTTCAAAAAACAAGATAGTCGGTAAATGCTGTACTTTGAGGTGAAGTGGTGTATAGCGCGAACGCCTCCCGTCTCCGAGAGATGTGTGTGGAGCAGCGCAAGTGCGCTTGCATACAGTTTTGATATCGCGATTTCAATCCTCGCAGCGGCCATTTTTTTATTTTTCATGAAAAAATAGCTTTTCTCTTCAAACTTGTGGTTTTATACTGTTTTAATAACTAATTAAGACTTTGAAAAACCGAACTAAACTACTAAAAAAATTTTTAATGCTACATGAAAACAAAATGAACGACCAAAAGTGTAAAATCTAAACTTTCAGTACTAAATTTCGCGACTTTTTTTCACTACTGTTTTGACCATAACTTTTTTTGTTCTTAATCTATTTCGAAAAAAACTAAACTGTTTTTGAATATTAAATTAGAGCAGCTATCCAACCATAGTAATATTGAAGTTCGAAAAATTTTTTTGAAAAATTTGATTGCGGTCCCTAGCTATTTAATCCAAAAAAAAACTTCATATTTTCAGGATCTCTATGTGGTATCACGAAGAGTAACAAAGTTAATTCTTAAAAAAATCCAGTAAAGTAATAAACTGAGCTTTCTTCTGGAGGAAAAAAATGAAAAAAATAAAAAAATATCCGTGTAACGGCAGCACGGGCTCATTCCTCATTACAAATCGCTGCGCGAAGGTCTTTGGTCAGTAGTTTTTTTTTCCTTGATTCCTTGACGATTCTCCGTTCAGCAGCTACAAAAATGACTGAACCAAGAGAGGTGCTGATGATGTGCGTGCAAGTGGGAGTCCAGCTAGCGATCGGCTCCGTCGTGGCCAGCGCCATTATTGGATGCTCAGGAGTGGGATTTTCTTGACTTTATTTTTATTTTTCAGGCTTTTTCTTCTGGGTCCATTATTAGATGCTGAGGAATGAGAAATTCTTGACTTTCACTTTATTTATAACTTTTTCGCATAAGTCCATTATTGGATGCTCAGGAGAAGGAATTTCTTATTTTTCATTTCACAATTTTTGACCTTTATTTAACTTCCGGCCTTTTTCGTTTGTCTCCTATCTTAGATGCTCGGGAATAGGAATCCTTTCATTTTTCTGAATTTTGTGTTTTCCTTCGACGGATTTTTCACTAAGGAAAATTTCTCAAGGCCCAAAAAAATATCATTACCTGGATGTTTTAGCGCGAAAATCCAAAGTAAATCAATTTTTGACCCGGTCGTTTTTTTTTTCAAGTTAAACTTCAAATCCAAAAAAAATTTTACTTGATTCTGGAGAAGGTCAGACTTGAGTTCTTAAATTTTTCAAGAGTTTATATATTCTAAATCGAATTTTGAAGATATATTGTAATAAGCTTCATTTTGAAAGTAGATTTTTAAGCATTTCCTTCTCTAACTGCTAAGGATTTGGATTCAATTTGATTTTCTTCAGTTCATTTTTCAATGAATGTTCCAATCATGTTAACAAAAAAAGCCATGAACTGTTGAACTTTGTGCAAAAAATCAAAATTTTCGAAAAAACAGTTTTTCCAGTTTTGCTTAATTATTTTCATGCTTTTTTTATTCCAGCCATACTTCCAAAAATGTATAAAAATTTCTTCGATTTTCAATAAATTGTCTTTTTTGTTCCCTTCGCCCATCCCTGGTGCAGAAAACGTCTCCATCTTTCCAGAAAAAATCATCAACAGGGTCTGAGGGTAGCCAAATCACTGGTGGGCCTTCGGCTGGCGGAACTAAAGCTCCGACTGGCAGTAAGACCCTTCCTCGGACTACTCTGACCACGGAATCTCAGGAAACGATGCTCAAACTCCGACGGGAGACGAGGGCGGCGACAAGGCGGCGGGAGGCGGTCCGAAGGCTCCCGCTCAAGGCGGCGTCGCCGGAACGCACGATCCCAACTATCAGACGCTCGCCGGAATCGGAAACGACTGCTTCCAGAACAAACCGGCTGCCGGGGGAGGAGGAGGAGGATTTGCTGCCGCCGCAGCCGGTCCCAGGGCTCCAGCTCAAGGCGGAATCGCCGGTGAGGAGCTCGAACTTTCAGGAAATCAGGGAAGAACTGCAGGCACCCACGATCCAAACTACCAAACACTAGCCGGCATCGGTAACGACTGCTTTGCGGGCAAGCCCGCGGGCGGAGGAGCAGCTCCTGCTGCGGGCGCGGGTCCGAAGGCTCCGGCGGCTGGCGGCGTCGCTGGTGAGTCGCTCCTGACCGCTTCTTGCTGAATAGCTGAATTGAAAATGGTTCTGAAAAGCGCGAATTCTGTTTGGAATCGGATAATGTCCCCTTTCTCTCAACGTTTCTCATTTTGCAACTTGGTGTAGTGGATAGGGCTCTTGTGTTGGGGGAAACAGGTCTTTGGTTCGATCCCTTCAAGCGCCATTAACCTTTCAAACGCCCCAGGTTGTGTTGTGTTTCAAGGCGCATATATCAAATGAATAAAAATGAAACAGCTAATCGGAGTTTCATCAATATCGGAATGTGTTCATGCTCTTTTAAAAACCCTCAAACGTGTTTTTGAAGCCCCGATTTTTCAGCCACCCACGATCCGAATTACCAAACGCTGGCTGGCATCGGAAACGACTGTTTCAAGAAATAAACATCTCATTTTTTTTAAATCGATAAAATTGAAATGGGAACTGACATGATCGGTGTCGTCGTCGACGGTGTGAGTGGCGATCGGGATGAAGCCTCGAGGCCAGCCGTCAATGTCTGGATAGTCTTTTCCTGAACATTTTTAGACTTACTTCCAAAAATATTTGTCCATTTTGAACTTCAAACAAGGAAAAAGTCTTTGTAGATCTTTTGCTGTTTTTATTAGATTTTAAAAGAAGTTTGCAGATCAGAAATCCATTAAAAACTTAAAAATCGAAATTTCTGGCTGTCTATGAAATTGAGAACTTGGAGCTTATAAGGCCAGCTGATCAATATTTTTTTTTGGTCGAACCTGCCGTTGCTCCATAGTTGTCTTGGCCGTACATTCCGAGCATGTTGGACATGGCCGAAATGATGGTTCTGTTGACGTCGGTCGACCGGATGTAGATCTGAAGTTCGAGCTTTAAATTCCAATTTTAAAATTGCATAATGTCGCAAATGGCGGAATTTTGTGTGGGTGGCAGATTTTTTTTAGAAAGGGCGTATTTTTAAGTACGTAACTTTATGTTCCAATTTATTTTAAAATGAAAAAATGGAAAAAAAAAGAAATTAACATGACCTTCCAGTTTCTTTGAAAGTTAAAAATAAGACGGTTTATTGTTCTGATTTGTTTGAATTTTTTTCCGTTCTAAAAACCGTGATTTTAAACTTTACCTTTACGACCAAAAAAATAATTTTTCATTCTTTGCAAAAAAAGGGAAAAATTTTAAAAAAAGAAGTAAATATTGGTTTCATATCATGCTGAAATTTAAGTTTCCTCCAAAAAAACATTTTTTTGATTTAATATTTTTTTCCGAGTTCATTTTTAAAGATTCATACGAATCCAGAATCAACTATTATTTTCAAAAACTTGCTACGTTCTGATGATCTACGAAAACAAAAAACAGTTTTCTGATCGAAAAATGCAATGTAAAAATAATTATTTTTTTCATTATTTTTTTCTACAGCTTCTATATATCGTTTAGTATAGAAACTTCAAAGAAGAATTTTCTCTTAAAAACCTTTTTGGAGTCATAAACCGGCGGCAGGAACTTCATACTCTCGATGTACCGAGAGCGGAGCAATTTCCCGAGTTTGAAGTGCTGGGTCATGCCTTTCTGAACAATATCTCTCAAAATTAATCCTTGATTTGATATTTAGTTATACCGGCGAAAGCTGTCCCCAACCGCCGCCGCCAAAAGTCCACGACGATTCCTGGAATCCGTCGGTTTTCCATGTCTTGGTCGGCGAACGGTCTCCGTGGCGCCAAAGCTGAACATTTATTTTTGAGTTATTTCAAATTTTCTAGTTGATTTGATATTAATACGAGTTAAAGTTCAATTTTCGGTCTCGTTTCGTCAAGAACGCCAGAGTGGTCCCTATAGGGACAAAGTTAAAGGCCCTCGAAGGTATCCCTCTAGGGACCACCTCGAGTTCCCCCTATAGGGAGCACTCAAGCTTGCAAAAAGGTCATTCTAGAGGAGCATGATAGATTTCATTCTTATATGAGAAGATTTCCAAACTCAATAATCCAGACCCTCTAATTTTACCCCTATAGGGAACCCTTGATTGTCCTCTAGAGGGGCTCTTTCTTCCCCTAATCCCTACAATTTTTTTTTCCTAAAACTTCATTCCAAATTAAAATCGAAATACAGAGAATAGCCTCAAAACAATCTTTTCTTTCATGGTTTAGATCACTACTTTCCTGTTTTGTCAGTCAGTGAAATAATAAAACTTAAATTTAAAAAAATTAATCCTCTGTTTATCTGACAAGTAGATTACAACATGCAATGGAAAATGCCCTAGACCCTAAAAATTTATGCAATTTTGAAATATAGTCAATGTTTCCCGACTTGAAAGGCGAGGGAGGCGGGGCAAGGGACGGGACGCGTAGCGTGTGCGTACGCGGTTCTTGGCACGAGTTCAATTCAACCGCCAGCAAGCATTCAGATAGCTGATTTATCGCCCTTTTTCACTCCTTTTTTTCAATTATTTATTGATTATGCTCATGTGTGCATCAAATAATAATAGAAAATATAGAAAAAAAGAACGGTTGCCGAGCTTTTTAAATAGTCGGCGGCGATTGAATTGGACTCGCGCCAAGAACCGCGTACGCAAACGCTACGCGTCCCGCCCCTTGCCCCGCCTCCCACCCCTTCTTTGATTGTACGTTAACCTCGAAACGTCATAGTGACCCCTAGAAGAGTGAAGCAAACAAGCAACACCTATAGTGGAAAAAAAATAATTTTGCCTGGAGCGGAAAAATGTCGATGGATCTTTTAATTTTTTCTCATGATTTGACAGATGGAAAGACGTATCTCATTCTGTTCCGCTAGAGTGGCCACTTTCACAAACTTTGGTGGCCTCTTTAGTGGAAGGTAAGGTGGCCCCTAGAGGAAAACCTTTAAGTACCCTCTAGGGCCCACTCTGGCATTCCTAAATACGCAAAAGAGTTTTTTGAAGTTCAAACACCCCACATTCTTGTCCTAATTGATAATCGCCGCTGAAGTTGTTCGTGAACTCCTTGCCATGCTTATTCACGCCTTTTTTATCAAGTCCCCTCGTGGAACTGATAAAAAGGCGCGAAATCAAAAAATCTTTCGATAATAACTAGACTAGATCAATCAAACAACCAAAAATACATTTTCATGGTTCTAAAGAATAAAAAAAAAGAATTCGGTTCTCCAAAATCTTTCTGATTTCATGGTATAGAATCAACTCTCAAAATCGTGAAATCGAAAAAAACTCTGTTCATTGTCTCAAAACTTAGTAACGAAGAAAAATTTCAAAATGAAACTTGAAAAAAATTCGCTTTGAAACGGTGAAAATCTTTTTTTCTGAAAAAGAATAAAAAAATTTTTTTTTGAACTCGGGTCATGCTATAAAAAAACAGAAAAAAAGCTTCGAAAAACAGTTTTTTTGTGACGAAATATCTTCTCGTTCAAAAAAATCATTCCTTATTTTTTTTAAAAAGAGCATAGAAGTAAAAAGGACCCACTATGAACCAAGTATTTTGAATGCAGAAGGAATCGGGAAAAAAATATTAAATATTTTTTTAAAGCTTTCTCATCGATCTTTTAAAGAATGATTTGCACTAAAGTGATCGAAAATTGATCGAAAAACTCATATTTTCGCTCTTCGTCTATTTTTTTGAATCGTTAAAATCAAAAAATCTTATAACCCTGTTACAAAACCGAGTCTTGAATTTCGCTTCACGGAAAATATATTTTCAATCGCAACTTTTTTTTTAAATCTCCAAAGTCTTCAAACTACACGAAAAAAAAAATCAGAAGTTCAAAAACCTTGGGAAATCTTCCTGCTGGCGTTGTTTCATAGAACTTTTCCCGGACAGCGTCAATTCCGCTCATTTTAGGAGCATTTTAGTAGCCTTTTTATGGGTTCTCGATAAGAAAATTATAGACGCTGACGACCGTCGAAAAAGATATTTTTGAATGACTTCGAAATCTCATAAAAACGGGAGTCAGACTATTAAAACGGGCCAGGGTCGACGTCTAAATCGAGCAAATTCCTGTTTCGAGTTCGGTTTTTGAAGGAAAGAGCACGAAAAAAATTCGATGATCCCTTTATTTGAAGGTTTGAAGGGTTTGTTTAACAAATTCTCTAGAGTTAGAAAAAAAGTAGGTATAAAAATTGAGGACAGCTTTTTTTCAAAAAAGTCAAACCGAAAAAAATTATCATTATTATTTTAACTTTTTTTCAGGATGTTTTTTTGAGATTTAGGCTGGAACTTTTGCACTAGATAAAAAAATGTGATTATTTTTTTCGAGTTTATAAAAAAAGGATCTATGTTCCGAAAAAAACCTATATCAGCATTTCTATGATTTTCTTCGACTTTAACCCTCCCTTACAATGAATTTCTAGGATTTCTATTGAGAACTTCATGAAAAATGTAAGCCTTTTCAGAAAATATTTACATCAAAAGTAAGGAAGATTACTTCAAATTTAACCTCAATCGGTTCAATTTTTCTTAAACTTTAAAAAAAAGTGCGTTCCGAATTTCATAACCTCACAAGGAAGGTTATTTTTAAGAGGTTCTCTGGAGATTGGCCAGAAAACACCTTGACGTACTAGAAAAAGGATTCTGAAAGTCTCAAACTGCTCAACTTTCTAATTTTCGAGAAAGAAAGCTCGAATCAGCGCCTTTTATGGTTTTATTAGGCTTTGAGGTGTCCTTTCTCAAAAACTAGGAAATCGTGCAGGTCGACACTTTCAGGATCTTCTTCTAGTACATCAAAGAGTGTTTTGACCAACTTTCAGGAAAATCCCGACCGCAAAGTAATATGACCTTCTTTGTAAGTCGAGCCTAATTCAACCCAAAAAGAACGGACAGCCTGGACGAAGAGAAGCTGCTTGGTGCCCTCGGAGTAGGCGTTGATCACCGGGAGCCAGAAGCAGAAGAGCACGAGCACCGACGAGAAAGACATCACGAATGATGGAGCCACTCGTTCTTATCAGCTCCATGGCCATGCGTGTTGCCCATCTTAAAAACTTGCTACCGCTGCCATTGCAAAAACTTTTTCCCACCGGAATCGTTTGATAAAATGTCAAATCTTTCTTCATCTTTTCCGCTTCCCAACGTCAGCAATCGAGTAAACACGGAGAATTTCCATGAAAATGCATACTTTTCAGAATACTGCCCCGAACATTCTCTGACTCTCTGAATATTCCGGTTCGAACGGTCCTTTCGCTCTGATTTTACTGATTTTCTTATCTTCGATGCCGGACTTTTCGTAACTTGATAATAATGAAGCGCAAAACAGTTGAATGAGTAATCATATAGCAGATAAACCACTAAAAAAATCAAAATATTTTCCTATGAAAGTTGAATTTTCTGGGTTTCTTAATGGAAGATCAGAAAACTTATTTTTAGAAAGACTACGAAATCTGAAAGGGTCCAGTTTCCAAATTTTTTTTTTCTGGATCGGTAAAAGGCGTAGAAAGAGGGAGACGAAGAGAATAATTGAATTTTCTCCTTGCACGATTTTCTCTCATTTTTTGACAGTTTTAACTTTTACTTTTAAATAACTTTTACTTTTAAATAACTTTTGACTTGTTATGGTTTTGAAGGAATCTAGTTGAACGAATATTTGAATATGTTGAATATTTATTTCAGTCGGATACATAGAACAACATGAAATACAGTTAAAGCAACTTAGTTTACCGGCATAAGGAACGAAACACGTAAAAGGATTTTAGATCACAGTAGACGTAAGGGAATGTTGGAAAAGAGCACCCCGTTGCTGACCGAGTCGAGAAACTTTCTGAACCGGGAGGTAGACGTGTTAGGGTTGAATCTTGAGCAGAGTCTATTCCAAAGAGGAATGACAGGACTGAAAAGCTATCAAATCTAGAACCAGTTCTGAAGTCTGGAGAACGGATGAAGGTGTAAAATAGTAAGGAAACATTTTTGTCGACATTTCGAGAAAGAAAGGCCAAGTGGTGATCTAGACCAGTTGTCAATTCAGGACGATAATCGGGAGGAAAAGCATCAAGCCACGCCATTGTGTTATTTTTTAATGACAGTATAGTCACTGTTTCCCGACTTGAAAGGCGAGGGAGGCGGGGCAAGGGGCGGGACGCGTAGCGTGTGCGTACGCGGTTTTTGGCGCCAGTTCAATTCAATTGCCGCCGACTATTTAAAAGGCTCGGCAACCGCTCTTTTTTGTATTTTCTTCTATTTTTTGATGCACACATGAACATAATCAATGAATAATTAAAAAAGAAGTGAAAAGAGCGATAAATGCTCGCTAGCGGTTGAATTGAACACGTGCCAAGAACCGCGTACGCACACGCTACGCGTCCCGCCCTTGCCACGCCTCTCTCGCCTTTCAAGTCGGAAAACATATATTATAATAGACTATAATAGCCTCTCTACGCTCGGATGTCATATTGGGAGCGTGTTCGAAAAAAAAATAACCGAAAACACCTTCATTAAAGAGATTTGTGGAAAGCGGTTTTGGCCGAATCTCGTTCTGGTTCTCGAAAAGTCTTCCACCTGGAGGAAAGCCAGAAAAAATAAGGAAAAAAATTTGAAGAGTACCAATTGACCAAGATTTGGATTGCGATTTCTGCAAACCGCCGAAAAATCCAACTGATCAAGAAGACCGAGCACCTTTAGAAAAAAAAAGGAAATCTGAAAAATTCTCAATTCCAGATGCTGCAAAAATAAAATGATTGATTGATAGGTTTAACCTGGCCAAACTCGTCAATAAATTTCAAGGCGTTCGCGGTAAAAGAAAATCCGTCCAGCAAGCACAAAAACCACATTGAACCGTTGACCAAAAACAAAGAAAATAAATTTTTGGCCACTTTTTTCAGTGCTTCCTACGATCCGACGATTCCGTAGAGCCCAGCTGATCTTTCACCGAAGTATCTCGAAACTTTGCAGATGAGGTGAAGAACTTTGGGTCCTTCTGAACATTTTTGTGCCTTGCGAGCAGCCTTGTGCTCTGAAAAATTATCAATTACATCATCCAATAGATAAATTTGGCAGAAAAAAACGTTGAATTTTTTTCTTTGTAGTTTCGTCTGATTGGAGAAAAAGCGTTTTCACGCGCAATAACTTCTTCATCGAGCACTTCAGCGATGTGAGATCTCGACGTACGAAATGAGAGCGGATTTGCGGCATGTGCTCCGCAAAGATTCGTCTGTGAAAATGGAATTGCTTGTTTCAGAAAAAGGGAATAGTGAAGAAAGAAGCTCAAATGTACTACAAGGGCGCTTTTTCAACGTTCTATATTTACTTTTCGTCACTTCTTTCGAAAAAAACGGACATCATGAGCTTGAACGAGAAGCTTGATTGTTTATTGGCGTTGGATCTTGAAGGAGCCGACGCCCTAGGACAGATGCACCTTGTAGTCGGCATGTGAGCATCGAGTCCCTCGAAACTCTTGAAACAGAAAAAAAACCTTGTGTAGTCATTGATGGTTATTTTTCGCGGTTTTTCATGTGGCCCGGCTCTTGCGGCGGACGATAGGACTGCGGCCTCTAGAGAAACAAGTTTTGGCTGAAAAAGACCTACGAAGTGAATCAGAGCTGAGAAAAAACGCCGTTTTGCCTTTGTCAAACTTTTAAGTTATAAACAGAATTCTCTGGAGGACTATGTGGTAATTCAGCTGAGGCAATGTGCTGGAAAAGGCGAGAAGTTGCTTTAGTGCCGTTTTGTAGTTCTTCAGTGTTTTGTACGCTTTCTAGGATTGAAACACTGACAGGAGACTAGCTGAAATATGAAAGACCCGCTTTTTAGTATCAAATTTTTATCTGAACTTATCTACAGGAATTTTAAAACTGATCTGTGATACACAGATGTTTCCGATTCACGGGTAGCTTGGGTCGCTAGATAGTCTCTTTTTTCATTGTTTCAGGACCCTATTTCGGTGGCTCAGACTAGCCGTGGGTCAGTACTTCTCTAGTTTTTCAGGGGCTAGGAATAGAAATGAATGAATCATCCAAGATTAAAATAATGAATAAGCATTTGGAAAATGACATCAATAAGTTGGAGATTAGAGCTTCTTGTTGAAGATTGGAACGTTTTTGAAGAAATTATCGATAGAGAGACTGATAACCGCTCATTCCCCGTCTCGCAGTGGCACTCTCTCGCGTTAATTTACGAGCTCTTTTCCTACTAATTAAATTTTTATTCGTACTTTTTAGGTAAAAATGACCAAAATCTGGGTCTTTTTGGGTTTTGTTTGGGTTTCGCAAATCTCAATTGCTGATCCGATCGGACTAAAGCTCATATTCTCCACTGCGGTTTGTTCAAATATTCAATTACATGGAAATAATCATTGTGTTTTCATAATGTGTTCACAAATCCTTTCGAATAATAATTTATTGACAGATCAGCGTGAACCCTAACGAGTTCACTTGGATCTAGAATTTGAGAGAATACATTATACAGTTAAACATCATTTGAGTCGTGGAGGAATAGACAAGAAGATCTCGTGCAATGGTAGATTGACCAGTAAATTTTTTTTAAAGACTTGGGGTGGTGGCTGAATTGAAATTTGGAAGTGAGTTTGTTCCAAGTAGGAATTGTTTTAAAGAAGAAATCATTAGAAAACTGACCTTGAGAAATCCTTGCTGAAGCGTTTCGAACAGTTTAAAGAAATTTTACACAGGTCTCGAGACGAAAACCGTTTGTGTTCACAAGATCGCTTATAATTTTTTTTTTTGTTTTTTTGAGATTTTTGAACAAATTAAGTCCCAGGAAATTATTTTTTAGATTGAAATAACATATAGGGTCCCAATCCAAATCGATAGAATCAATTAGTGCCAGCCAGAAAAAGATAAGAATCGCGGCTTACATTGTTAATGAAGAGATTACACCATTCAGTAGACAGTGAGAATTTTGTTTGAACTATGTGGAAAAAGAAAATATTTTATAATTCTTCTTTTTTTTATTTCAAGTTTCATTTTTTTTTTTCATTTTGTGTGGAACATTTGATTGTTGATTCACCGATCGCTGACATAGAAAAAGACTATAATTTATTTTTTCTGGAGTTCATAAGTCATCATGTCTTGAAAACCCCTATGATGAATGGTACATAACTAAAAAAACGGTTAATTATAGTAATTGTAGAAACTGTTAGTCAAACAATGAGAAGTAGAAAATCGAATGTCCAACAAAAAAAAGGGAAAAGAATAAAACTAATTGGAAAAAACGACAGAATAAAAAAAGAAAATTAACGTCCTAAATACCTTTAAGGTCGTGATTCACAAATTTTTAACACGACCTAACTTTCCAAATAGTTACCGTCCAAATAGTTACCGTAATGCCGTGTTCAATTTGATTCCGCGAAATGCAAAATACCCGTTAGAGAAAGGAAAAGATCACTAGATTTTGGAGAGTCAGAGATCATTTTGCGTTTCGCGGAATCAAATTGAACATGGCATAATTTTCAAAGTTGCCGTGGAAGTCGCAAAAATTCAAATCTTTAAAAAAATTTTTTTCGATCTTTCTATCAGAAAAGAAAAATCACGCATTTTTTTATGATGATTTTTGACTAGATTCCCTTTTTTCCAGATCTGGCGCCATGGCGACCGTGCGCCGCTTGGCACTTATCCAACGGATCCGATTCAAGAAAATTGGTGGAACACCGGCGGTGGCGGATGGGGCGAACTTACGCCGGTTTGGCTTTTTTTAATTATTTAGCTCCAGTGGCCGTTTTTTTGGAATTCCAAGGCCAGAGAACCTCCAAAAAGATGTTAAAATATTAATTTATCGGAAAAATATTGTCTAATTTCTTATCATTTTTTTATCTTGAATATAATATAAAAATAGTGGTCATTGACTTTTTAAAGTTTAAATATAAACTCCCCACATGAAAGTTTTCCCGAAACGTTATACGCAAGAATATGATCGATCCAACTGTCGGTTCGATAAATTTGAAGTCCCTATGAAACTGAAAAGTTATTTTTCTGAATTTCAGACGGGCATGGCTCAGCACTTTCAATTGGGGACAATCATCCGGAATCGCTACATAAATGGAACTTTCAACTTTCTTCCGCCGTACTACGATGCCAAAAAGGTTTCCGAACTTTGACGAAATAGAAAATTTAGAAAATACGTAAAATTCAAACAAATTTTAATAAGTAAAGTCTAATCTTGTATACATTCAAAATTTCTTTTTGAAATTTCAAACTGCAACTAATGGATATTTCTGTTAGAAAAGAGAGGAAAAGTTCCCATTTATATTGAGATTAAAACTGGATGGTCAGTAATTTAAAAAATTAGGAGCATTTTTCAAAAGTTAGAAAAGGAAATTTCGAGATGTTCAAGCTTATGAAAAAGTTCAAAACAAGGAAAAACCTTTAAAAAAATTTTTATTGCTCATTAATATTTATAAGCATGACTTTTTTTGGAATTCGGAACTCCAATCCATAAAAATTCATCAGTTCGGTATTGCAAAACTATTAAATTTAATTCCAGTCTCATTCAGAAAAATGTTGATTTTTTTAAAGGAAGTGTGAAAAAAATGAACTTTTTGAATAATCTTATTGAGTTTCAAAATTTCAATGAATCCGGAAAATCTCACAGATTTACGTCCGAGCGACGGACCACAATCGGACCATCATTTCTGCGATGGCCAATATGGTAGCGATGTACACGAATCCGGCCGTCGAAAAAGCCGGTTTGCCAAATTTTGGGGTACTATGAAAAATAAGACATAAAAAGTCAGCCGAAGTGAAACTCACTAGGGAACTACTCGGACTCGGGTACCCGTTTCGAGGTGAAACTTCGGTGGCTAATAGACCCGGGTAAGAGTACTTGGAAACAAGAGAGATTATCTGCTAAACCCCATAGGCTTCTGAGAAAAAGCTTTCTGAAAATGAACAGTTTAGGCTTGAAAATTATTAAATTTTTTTGCTTTATTCCTTTTTTTGGCTGGAAAAAAAGTTTTTTTAGAGTTTATCATAGCCGGATCATTCAAGAAGATTGTAGTAAAATACAAAATAAGGTAAAAAGAAGTATTCTGAAAATTTTCAGGCCTAATTTCCACATTTTCTATTATTTTTTTCTCAGTTCTCTATTGGGTTTAGCAGATATTCTCACTTGTTTTCAAGTATTCTCACTTAGGTCTATTAACCACTGAAGTTTGAACTCGATCCGCGTTCCCGAGTCCGAGTAGTTCCCTAGTCAAGAAAGCCAGAGCGGTCACTAGAGGGACAAACATAAGAGGCCCTAGAGGTCCCCCTTCTTACTATAGGGGCCCCTAAAGCTTTCAAAAATGGCCACTCTAGGGGGGCATCCCTATACGTCTTTTTATTTTTTCAAAATGAAACAAAAAAAATTAAAAAAACCACTATAGGGATCACTTAATCTTTAAGGGCTTAAGGTTCAGTAAAACTTCCCTATCGAGAATTTTTTAGTCCACTCTAGCGGCTTATTTTCCTTAAACTCTATAGTGACCACTCTGAAGTTTCTAAGGTGGGTCGAAAATTTCGAAGGAAACAGTTTGAAAGTACCCTCAAGGGGCCATTAAAAATAGAAAACCTTTTTCTTGATATTTTAAAGAAATGAGCAATTAATCCAAAAATTGTCCTTGGAGCACACATTCGAACCATTTTTTGCCGGGCGACATTTTTTTTCTCGCGGCTTAATTTTCACCGTCAATTACCAACAAAGTATTCAGGAATCGAGTATCCAGACATTGCCGGTTGGCCGGCGGGATTCGTGCCCATCGCCGCCCACTCTCAGGACTACGATACCGACTGCGTGAGTCATCCCTTTTTCACATTTTTTTTATTCGTGCAACAAAAAGTATAATATCCATCCACATGTCTCATCATTAGAAAAAAAGGCGTTACGGGGTTATATAGGGAGAAAAGTGAAGAGAGGCCCTAGGTGGACAAGTCACCCGCTGGAAACCGGACAGGAACCAAGGCGAATCGGGCGAAAGAGAGTTACATGGGAGGACAATAAAAAGAAGACACATTACATCCTAAAAAAAGAGAAAAGCTGTCCGGATGATTCTGTATAACAGAACACCGGCGAGATTCGCAAAGTTAAACAGAATTTTTTTTTGTAGCATTTTTTTGAATTTTTTAAATTTTTTTGTTGGGGAAGCAAGAAGATTCAATCTTCCCGGTCTAATGTAGATGGAAGATGAACGAATTAATGAAGGAGGGCTACATGGAGCTCGGACAATATTAAAATGATTAAACAAAGCAAAGTCACGATAAAACATAGCACAAAGATTCAAAAGCAATTCGGCATTAGGCCAACGAAATGAAGCGGGAATCAAAATAAAAGCAAAACGAACAGGAAAAAGAATTAAAAAGCAAATGGATGCAATCAATTTTAGCACAAGAAAGGGACAAAAAGCAATTCAAAGTTAGTAAAAAGTCAACTGATTATGAACGGTACTTGGAATCGTACCTATTAAGTGAAATTCGCAAAAAGGCTGATTTTTTTTGGGTTTTTTGATTTTTTTTTAAAACGAAATAGTACAAGAAAAGTGAAAAATGAAATGGAAAAATGAAGAAGTTGAGAATTTTCTCAATGGAGCGCACTTGAGGGAAAATATTTTTTTAAAGCTTTTTTGTGTTTATCTTTCGATGCCTAGATTTTTTTTTCTCAGGATATTGAGAAAAATAAATTATTATTAATGGGGCGCACTTCTGAAGGCTTTGAAGGCTCATTTCTCACTAACAGTTTCGAAAAGCCTATCTACCTAAGCCTAGATTTTTTTTCTGAGGAAAATCAGAATTTTGTCAATGGGGCGCAACAGAGCAAAACAAAGAAGGCTCAAACTTCTCCGACGTTTTTGAATCGTCGCCTAGCTTTTCCAGGTGCACAATAAAACAGGGAAATCAACTAACTACATGGGGAATCGGGGAAAATAAGTTTTTCTTGGGGGGAGCTGGAGGAGATGGTCCAGCTTAGAGGATATTCGAGCACTCGACTCGCTCTATCCGCTTCTGTTTGGGTTCCGAGGGATCGCGCTGGGGGATGTCGTTGGCCAACTTCTCGAGAAGCATTCGCTGTTTGGTCCGAGTCTTTTCCTCTTCCGCTGGGTAAAGGTCCAGCTTCGACCTGGAACAAGGCCAAGTTTCTTCAGTTTTGAGATTGAAAATGAGTTCAAAAGTCGTTCTTCTTTAAGGTCATATAAACGGGACATTTTTCAGACAAATTCCGAATTTTTTATATATCTATTTTCAAAGAAAGTTCATCTAAAAACCTCGAATTTTTTTGAGGCGAGTTTGAGATGGTTTCTATCGAACCCTGTGAAAGCTCTGTGCAAAACTTCGCCCTAAAATTTTCAGATATTTTTTTTTAATTCAATTATTTTGAAAAGGAAGGTCTCGAGTAGTTGGGAAATGACCCTAAAAGCCATGGACTTTTTTTTTTGACTCTTTCCAACTTCTCCTATTATTTTTTATTGAATCTGTTCTCTAGCTGCGACTAGCCAAAGATTGATTGAAATAAAATCAGAATCAAAAATTTTCTATCTAAAGCTCTATGGCCATGATCATCATAATTTCCTTCCCCCTACATTCTCCCGTTTCCCGCCCCCTTCTAGCCCCCGCAAAAAGTCACCTGTTCAACTTCATGTGGCTGGAAACGAGGTCGTCGTTGACCAGAGCCGCCATCAAGGAGATCTCTCCGGCGAGGACCGTTCCGGCGATGATTTCCGCCAGCTTCTTCGTGTGCTCCCCGGGAACGGTGGCCGGTCCGGCGCAGTCCATCAGCTGAAAAGCCGGAGTTGGTTTGGGACCGACCCAGAGGGGATGAACCTTGAGACAGGTCTTCTGTGGCGGAAGGATCGTTCCACCGCCGACGGTGCCGATCTCCAGACAAGGCATCGTCACGGAGACGTACAGCTGACCTTCCTCGGTCACGTTCATCTGAGTCGAGCACATCGAGGAGGAGACGACTTGGGCCGCGTCCTGGAAACATCCGTTTTGATAGAGCCGATAGGTAGTTTTATGTTGGGTTGAGGGGGATTCCGTGAAATGGAGAATTGTCTCTGACCCTCCAATATTTAGTTATCTTTTTTCTTTCTGACCACACTCAGACTGGACCTATTTCCTCTAACGATAGATGTCTAGTCAGGCGCAGGGAAAAGCGAAATTCGCGATATCGCGATGCAACACATTCGCGATATCGCAAAGATGTCGCATTTTTAGAGCGACATCGCGTTTCTATCGCATTTTTTTTTGCTCAATTATTAGCGAAAGAAATGATTTTTTAGAATATTTTCAAGCCATCAGATACATTGTACCATTTTGAAACTAAAATGATTTTTTTTTTCCGAAACTCATCCCAACTTTTCTACTTCTTTGAACGAAAACAATAATTTTTTCCCCCTCTACCTGTCCAGTGGCGATGAAGATGGCCGAGACAATGTTGGCGGAATGGGCGTTCGAGCCTCCCAGGCAACCCGCGCGCGAAGATCCGATTTGGAGTTTGACCTGTAAGCCCTTAAATAGAGGAAAACGACCAAAGTTCTCGAAAAGAGGAGAAGAAGTGGCAGGAAAGGGATGAGTGAGGAAATCAAACGAACAGTGGATGCGTCGGCGATCTCTTTCGGAGACGTTTTGAAGATTTTCTTGACGATCGCGTCGGAAAACACGCACTCGGCTACGACCGATTGTCCGCGGCCGTTGATCCTTCAATCGAAAAGTTTATTTGGAGCTTTTGTATCAATTGATGCTCAGAAATTGGAGAGAAATAGATTCTTATCAATGGAGCGCATTTTCATCTAAATTTTGAAGGCTCATTTTTCACTAACAGCTTCGAAAACTTTACCGAACTGGGCCTAGATTTTTTTTTCTCTGAGCAGAATCGAAATTTTGTCAATGGGGCGCAAAAAAGCAAAACAAGAACGGCTCAAACTTCTCCTACATTTTTGAGCCGTTGCAGCCTCTTTTTTTTGGAGGCCCTGTTGGAGCTATTTTTCGGAAATTTATCACAATTAGTGGCCAAAAAAGCGCATTTTTCCCATAAATTTTGCAAAAGCTTTTTTTGCTTGGCGTTTTTTGTGTCCAATTTCGCGTTGGAAACGAACCAATTGATTGCGGCCGGCTTCTTATCAACGCAATAGTTGCCACTGAGGGACAACATTTTCATCCGCGGAAACTCTTCGGCCAAAAATCGCATCGACGCCGAGCAGCCCCTGGAAAAAGTACAGAGATAAGAGAGCAAAATTCGTTTTGCACTGAACTTTTGACTTTTTTCTTGCAAGTTTCTTATCGACAGAAGGAGGAAGAGAGCTAAATTTTAGGCAAAAATGGTGGTTAGAATATTGATTTTTCATTGAAAACCAATACTTTGAAACTCTCAGGAAAAAAAAAGAAAGCGAAATAACTTTTGGGATCTATTTTCTGTTGAAAAATTGGAAAATTGAAGAAATTGGTGAGGTTCAATGCAATAAATATAGCCGAGAGGAGCGAAAAATCGGAAATTCAGAGATTTTTAAGCAAGAAAATTCGCTCATACTGTTTCTTTTTCGGTAATTTTTTTCAAGCATGTACTTTTTAGAATGGAATCTGATTCCCGATTTTTTTCAAGTAATATTTCACGAACTACTTTTTCAAAACAGCTAAAAAGTCAAGAAGCTGAAATTTTAACGGAAAGTGAAGATCTGAAACCACTAAAGTTATAAATTTTCTCATTTATTGCAAAAGTGAAACAGGAAAAGCAGCTAAAAAGCCCCAACTTTTTTTTTCTAAACATGAAAAATGAATAAAAGCCCACTTGGAAACCATGTTCATGCCCATGGCGTCTCCGGTGAAAGCGACAAAACGCAAGAAAACCAGACATCCGTCCACAATAACCTCCACGCGCTTCAACTGAGCGAATCTTTAAAACACGGCCGTTTTTTTTCTAGATTTTCCATGCGCTTTCTAAACCTGCTAGTGCTTTCAAACTCCCTCTTCACGACTCCATAGTTCTCTGGGATGTCCATCCAACGTTTCAAGCAGCTGAAAAGAAGGCAAATAATAGAGTAGAAGCTTTTTCTTTAATTTTCATTATTTCTGTTCAAAAAAGGAAATCGGAAGACGTACACGGCTTCTCCGGCGCATGGGAAGCTGACGACCGGCGCACGGGTCATTCCGTTGTCGTAGACGTACGATTTCACTCCGCCGGCCATCTGAAACAGTAAACTGTCTTCAGATTGAAGCTTAGATGATTTTTGGCACCATATTTGGGCTGATGGGTGGACAAATAGCGGCGTATTTCCAATGGAATCTAGGCCACCTTTGACTAGCTCAAACTTATTTATTTTATAAATTTATTGAGTTGAAGAAAAAAATTGGGCATCGATGGTCGAAGCTCATTTGGTAATAATTATTATATATTTTAACGATTTCAATACATTTTACTTACTTCAATCCAAAGTGAAACACTTCTAAAAAAACTGAATTTTCATATAAAAAAAGCCATTTTTCGCTCTCTTTATTTTTTGTTCGCAATGCATTCTGGAGCCACTGCGACGCTTTCAGCTCAAATTATCCTTCAAAAAAAAAAAAAATGATTGCCGCTCATTTTTTTAATCATGAAATTAGAGATCTTAAAGATTTTAATGCTTCATACTCACTTGGAAATCAAGTAAAACCTTCTCAAAAACTATATTTTATTTTTCAAAACGAACTTTTTTTCTCTTCAACTTTTACTCGCAACGCCTTCTGGTTCCGTTATGAAAAAAATTCAGAGCTACCACGACGCTTTCGGCTCAAATTATCCTTGGAAAAAATGATCGAAGCTCATTTTTTATCATTAAATTAAAGATTTTTTTGCCTTTAATGCTTCATACTCCCTTGGATATCAAGTAAAAGTTTCTCAAAAATGTATTTTTCGCTCATCAACTTTGTTCGCAACGCATTCTGAGCCGACTTCAGTTCAAATACTCCTAGGAAAGATCCCCAGAACGGACCTCGATGGCCTTGCATCCGCGCATGGTCGAAGCGACGAGAGCTCCTTCGGTGGTGGCCATCGGGACGAAGACGGGCACGTGGTTGACGAGCAGCGGGCCGACGACTCCGACCGGCACCGGGATGTATCCGACGACGTTCTCGCAACACGACTCGACCACCTGAAGACGTCCTATTCTGAGAAGGCCCCGACGACGGCGCCCACGTATTTGTAGTCGTAGTCCTTGAAGGGAATCCCGCTGCCCAGATTGTAGAAAGTCCTTCGGATGCTGATCGCCTCGTCGTTGCCGAAAGCCCCTTCCAAATCGCGCAGTTTCATGATTCCCTGCTTCAGAAGTCGCATCGATTCGCCTGCCGTAATGCGACGTCCTGAAACGTTTCGCATTGAGTTTCGGGACGATTTTTCGCGGGAAATTACCAGTTCTCCAATCTCCCTCAACATCATCCAAAGTTCTGGCTCCTGGTGCGAGCTGCAAAAGATCCGATTATAGTGGAAGCGACTATTATTGGTGATATAAATTTTTAGAGCCCATCCTTTGAAAAAAAGGCCGCTTTCTCACAAACTTTTTTTTTCAAATAAGGCTTCAAAAATGGTCTCAAGGAAATGATTAATAATCGGTTTAGAAATTTATTTTCGAAAATATTGGGTTTTTCCAATGATTATTCCAGTGAGAGTTTCTTCTCGGATTTTTCAAATCAAAAATTTCTTCGCTTTGAAAATTTTCAGATCTGTTTCGTACTCTTTTCTTTATTAATTTTTGAATTTTTTTTCCTTAGAAAAATACCGATTTTTTTCGAAAAAAATAAATTCAAGCTCATAATCTGATCGCGAGGGACTTTCGTTGAAAAATCGGTCCATAAACTCGAAAATTTGAGCTTTTCTCAAGATATATCACTTCTTCCCATTTGTTTCAAATCAACCAGTTCTTAGCTCTGAAAAACCGTCAAAATTCTGTTTTAAACGTTCTTTTTTAAATTTTGACAACTTTTTTTCTAAAAAGCCGATCAGCGATTTTTTTGAGAAGACGAAATCCCGTGAAAAAAATTGTGTTCTATCACAAATTCATCGTTTTTTTTTCATCTTTGGCAAGAGAAGAATTATTCTTTTTTTTAGATTGCGATTTATGTTCCAATTTTAAAGCCGCAATCTGAAGTATTCTGTGAAAAAAATTTTTGGAAGACTTTTTTCTCATACTTTTAATCCCGAATGAGTTCTGAAACCTTCTCAAAAAGATCTGTTTTTCTTTTTTCTTTTTTACTTTTTGGCTCTATCAAACGCGTTGTTGAATCCTTTTTCTTTTTCAGAAACAAATACTCGTTCTTTTTTGAGAAAATTTCCAAAAACAGCTCAAGCGAGGGTTGGTCTTCAGAGAGAATTTTTGCTCAATCCTTTTTTGGAACTTCTTTTTGCCCGCTACTTTATTAAAAAGAAATGTTTTCAAACCAAACTGGATGAGCTATAAAATGACTCTGTCCGAGAAAGCGTCGGAAAAAACTTTTCTGAAGAAAGTTTTGCTCCATTGCTAGCTCATATTATCATCATTCTTTATTATTCATATTGCCGAAATTCAAAATTATATCCAAAATTCAGTAATCTTTTGCGCTCTGAAGGCTTTTTTTCACACGATATCCTATCTTCTTTACCGATCGTTCAATTGTTTTCAAACCATTATATCGTCTCAATTCTCTCATTCTTCTTATCCTTGCCTTCTTTTTTTTGAGCTGGAAATTTTCCTTTCTTCTTGAAAATGCAAGATTCAAAATGAAAAACTATTAGAGAGTCGATTTTTTTAAAGGATTTTTTTCCTTGAATTTTTTAAAAATATTTCTGAACTACTTCTTTTCCACCCTCTGAGGGCTATTTCAACTGAGGCCCCATATTAACTTCTTTTTTTTCGAAAAAAAAAAGATTATTTCATTTTGAAAGCCTTTTCACCTCAATTCTCTCAATCTTCCTCTTCTTTCAAAAAGAAATTATTTCCTTTTTTGGATCGAAAAACTGTTCTTCCCTCTTCTTGTGGACAAAATAACTGACCTCCTGCTTCTTGGCCAGCTGCTGGGCCTCTGCGAACTCGGCGTCCAAGTTGCACTGGATGCCGACCTCCGGACGGATCTCCTTGGACTCCTCCTTCTCCTCGACGACCTCCGTGATCTCCGTGATGACGGACGAAGTTGAAGACGAGTCCGTCGCCTCTTCCTCGTCGCCCACCGAGAACTTTGGCGTCCGCGGCTCCCGCAAGTAATATCGAACCCAAACATCCACCAACCAGCTGAAAAATCGGGCAATTTATCAAGGGGCGTTGAGCTCGAAACGGTAAACTCACTATTCCAAAGCGCCAATCCAGTCGTCTTCTGTCAAGTCGGCGTTTTCCAAGTACTTTCTCAGTTCTATGCTCGCTCTCACTTTGGTCATGGTGATGATGTGAGGGCTCTGGAAGTTCAAAAAATGATTAAAATGGTTCCTCGGGAAAAATAAAACGAGAAAAAGCCCGCGAAACGACAAGAAAAATTTAAATTCCCAGTAAAAGAATTTGGAAAAAAATATGAGAGTACTTTGAAGGCTTCATAATTCAAAACTGACAAAATTCGAACTCAATTTCAAAAATGATAGCCTTTTTCTTCTTCTAGAAAACTTTCAGATGGAAAAATGCATTTAAAAAGAGTCCAAATAATGGGAAATTTGAATGGTTTTTGATGGTTGAAATTGAAAAAAACTCAATAAATTTCGTCTTTTGAATCGATTACCTTCATTTTTTTCTCATTTTTTTCAAAAACTTTAAAATAAGATATAAAAATTTATAAGCTGCCGAGGATCTTAATCGTCAAAAATATAAAAGGGTTATTCAAAAAAGGTAGCCGAAGAATTTTCTTAAAGCTTATCAGAGCGCTTTTTCTTCCTAAAGTTCAAAAAATTTTAGACCTTAACAATATGTAGCATATAAAAAAGCTCTTGAAATACAGTTATTGGAAACGTTTCAACACTGAAAGCCAAAAAGCCGCTCGTTCAAATTCAAAAACTCGGTCTTTAAATTTTGATTGATAGGAGCCGACCCTGGGGCCGTTGATAAGAAGGTAAAAAAGGAGAGGAGACGACCGCCGCCGCAGCCGGAGACGACTCGACGAGTGCATAAAGGGCAGAAGCTGCCGGCAGAAAGGGGCGGGCCCATCGGGTGACGCGGCGCGTAAAAGGGGGCGTGGCCTGGACGGCGTCTGCTGCGCGGCTCTCCTCTATTCCAAGGAACCGTTCGAAAGGCGGCGAGCCCCTTTGATTCCAAGAAAACGATTCGAAATCGTGAGAATGGCGGCTTTTTTCATCGCTACCACAGTAAAGCGTTGCCGGTTAAGACAAATAGGATGGAAAGAGAAAAAAAAGCGACGAGGTCATTTTTGTTTGTTGAGGCCGGTTCCTTGCAAACTCGCAACATACTACAGATTCGGGAATATACTTTGAGAGAGAAAGTATTGAAAGTCTGATTAAGGAGGTTCATATAAACACCGAAAAATTATTTTTTTGAAAAAGATGCGAAATTGGAAGAAAGTCGCAAAGGGCTATGAAGAATGGAAAAATGATTTGTAAAACTTGAAACTTAAAAAAAGACTAATAATAACTATTAATATGGAAAACACAACCTTCTCTTTGGAAGAGATTGAGAATTTCTTCGGGTTTCAGAAATTTCAAATAAAGCCTCACAAATAAAAAGTTAATGAACGCAACCAGGATACACACTAAAAAAATTCATCCGTTTAAAAAAAAATCGAAATTTGAACTTATGAAAAGAGACTAGTTACAGCGCAATTTTCGAGAAATCAGAAAAGCCAGACTTTTCCTTAAAACGAGAAGAAGCTTTAAAATATTCTCAGAACTCCTTTTCATAAAAAGAAATCAGACCTCATTTTCGAAACATTTTGATCTTTCTAATGATAATTTCGAGCCGACTGAATTTCCTAATAAACACAGAAGGAAAAGAAAGACTAGATAATTACAGGTGGCGAACATCGGCTGCACTTGCCCAAGAAGAGAAGCTCTTCAAGCCATGGCTCATACACTACCAGAATACGTCAATTATGTCAATTCTCCCAATGTTTCGCCCTTTTTCAAACTGAAAAAATAGAAAAATTGCAGGTATCTCAACTACTTTCCAACTTGAGCGTCTATGTGGGTCTACCTGTCAACCTCGGAATGTTCTGGGTCATTCCTGACACTCTACTTTCTGAGGTTCTTCATAAAAAAGAAGATTTGTTTTAAGTTCCATCTAGAGGGTTCACTTCATGGACGTTCTACTCAAAAACGTTTCTTGGTACTCCGAAGACTTCTACCAGAGAATGCAGGTTATCAATCATCACATGAACTATTTTGACAGCGGCATCTACCGTAAGAAAACTCTGAAATAAGGAAAAAGTTATTCTAAATTACAGAAAAGCCATCGATAGTGAATGGAATCGACGTGAGTTTCGAAATTCTGAAGCTCCGAGTTGGGCCAGTGATGAAGGAAGTGTACGAAAGGATGCTGGCCAAAGTCAACTGTCTCAAGGATCCCAAAAACTGCGATCCCTACTATCAGAACCTTCTCTACTACGTTTATTCTGCGGTAAAGTCATATTTATTACGAAATATCCTCGAAAAAACAAGATTCAGCTCTGAAACTCAGAGATTACGAAATAACTCAAAGTTGTCAACAAGAAGTTTTGAAACAGGTATATCGCGCGTTCATTTTGAAACTATTGAGAAACTTGAAAACTTAAAGAAAAATCTGCACAAAAAATGTTAGGAAATGATGAATACCGTCTATTTCAAAGCATTTTTCGCCTTATTTTCAAAAGCTCTTCAGCTCTAAAAAAAATTCAAATTGACGGGAAAAAGCATTAAAATTCAAAATTCGAATGTTTGGCCTCGAAATGTTTAATTCTGACTTTTATACGTCCGTGAGAACCATAAACGAAGGAATTTCCCAAAGATATTCAAATGGCTTCTCCCAAAAATGTTTTTCGAACACATAAAAAATAGAAATAGAAAGACCGTGAAATTCATGTGCAAATCGTGAGAAAAAAATACAGTAAATATTTTTTCCATCTTGCTTTTTGATATTTGATCCCTAAAATATCAGAAAAAAAGATCTCCTTCAGATTGGTTAAATTTGCAAGATTTGAAAAATTCCAAAAAAACACATCTTGGAGAAGATTTAATTGAAACTATAAACAGGTAAAACAAAAACTTGAAAAAATATTAAAAAATAATCAAATTCGAAAAGATTCCGTATGATAAGAAAGCCGTCGTACGTTAAAATGTGTTTTTGTGCAAGCACTCAGCCGCCGTACGGCTTATTGAATACAGTAACAAAAAAACTTTTTTTCGGTTCCTGCTTTTTTTGAAGTTCTTTTTTTTCTTTTTCTTATTTATTTTATTTATATTACTCTATATTGAGGAACGCAACGTTCATAAGTTTTTATGTGAGCTTGAGTTATTGGTTTTCCATATCTTGCGGATACTGTTTCTTCGATCTTTTGTTCTCTTATTTCTGCAAAACCGCATCTGAGCCGCGCCAAAGACCGGACAGAAAAAAAGACGCCGGTGCAAAATCTGTTTCTCGATTCTAAGAAAGAGATGATACTGTACAGCACGCGTGGGGCACACGTGCTCCTCGAATGTTTCTTCTTACAAAAGGTTTTCCATCAACCAATTCGTTTTGCAATCTCGCAGACAGATCTGATGGCATTTCGCGCCGATTGATAAAAAGGTTTTAGCGAGAAAGGTTTTTGAGAAACATCGGCCAGGACTTTGTACCGAGAAATGTTAAAAGAAACACATCAACGATGAAGTTTAAAAAGCTTTTAATCGAAAAATAAAAATAGAACTTGTCGGAGGAATCAAAAGCTCAGAGGAGAATATGAAGTCGCATTGCTTGAATGGCGCTAGGTTTCTAAAAAAAGAAATGACAGTTTTATAAATATTATCAAAAAAAGTTGTAGCACAATTTTATATAAATATCTTCCTTTTTTTGAACTTCGGTGAAGTTTTCTAACCTCTATGTTTGTGAGCTGTTTTTTTATGAACCAAAAAGAAAGCTTTGATATTTTCAAATTATCTTATTTCAAAAAAATTTAAATGGCCTAAAAAAGTACATCGGGTCACGATTTTTCTTCTTACGAGCTTTTTTCTGAAATTCATAGGCTCTTTCGTAAAAGTAAAAATATTCTGCCCACACCTGTTTGGACATGTTTCGCGTTTATTGTCGCTTAACGGAACAAAAATATTTAACCATGTTATTTTCCCAGGAAAAACCGTCCAGAAAAATTCAAAAAAAGTTGTGTTCTGTTTATGATAACATCTGGAAGAAAAAGTCAACTAGAAATTTCTTTCAAATATTATTGAGGTCCATTTCTATTCTTTTTATGGGGTACAAGTTGTTGGCCTAATTTTTCAGAATCATTGTTCAATTTCTAGTGCAGGTCGAATTTTTTTTTCTGCTAAAACGGGATTTTTGTCAATTCTGAGGCTCAAATTTGGAAGCCAATTTTTAATGAAGCCTCGTTGTTAAAATAAGTTCTGCACCTTTGGCGATTTTTGTGTAGTTATAAATAGTATTTTTGAAAGTTTATTCAGTACGCAAAATGACTAGAAAATAACATCTCGGATATTGGTAACGGAAACCGAACGCGCTCCGGACGTTTCTGAGCGATTCTAGGGATCCCTTAAGAGTTCTGACGCTACTAAAGTGGCCCCTAAAATGTCCCGACACGTCCAGTTCGCTTTATTGAGATTTGCCTAATAACTCTTTAATTTATTCAGGATCCTAGAGGGTAAAACCTCTTTCTCCATTTTTCATCAGCAATCATTTTAAAAAAATCCAAAAAAATGTCTAATTAACCGGTGTATGATGAATTTTTTTCCTAAAGACTTTCTCTCTTAGAAACTTGAAAATATTTAGAATTTTTTTGAACTTAATTCAAATTTTTTTTTCTCCAGAAATTTTGAAAGGGCTTTCCTCGTCCGACCGTTTTTACGAGGTCATAAATTTGAACTGTTTTTTGCTCCTTCGCCAAAATATTCTCTGCCTTATGTTCATCCATAACACTTTTATTGTCTTGAGACGAAAGATTGGAAAAAAAATCCGTGTCCATTTCCAAACCGCTGACCACAGTTTAATCACCGTTTTGCCCATAAAAGGAGACCAAAAGTGCAAGACGTTCGCAGGTGTTGCGCAAACAAACAAGGGCTCAAAACTCACAAAAAAAAACGCGCGTCGGCCGTTCAAAATCGTTCTCTTCTCATTCCTACCGTATCTCGCGGAGAACCTTTCACCCGGTATTAATAGAAAGATTACAACGACAAAGATGTTTTCAAAAAAAGCGATTCTTGGGAAAGACGATGGCCCGAGAAACCGTCTTCTTTTTTAATTGATGGGAAAATGGTTTGATCTTTTTGAACTCTACGGGCTCATCTGAAATTTTGGGTTTTAAATATGGGATCCGACGAAAAAATTTTCGATGTTAGAAAAATCTAATTTTCAAAGAAGCAGAAGGAATATTCAAATTCACACAAGTATTTTTCTGAACACAAAAAAATATAACTCAAGAGTTCCCAATGATTTCTGAAAAAAATCCCGAAAAATTAATACCTAGATTATCACGTTTCATCACCGACTTTTTTTTCATCTTTTTTTGGAAAAAGTTTGATTTTCAGTTAAAAAAATTTTTTTTATTGGTTTTAAAAAAAGATGATTGATTTCAGAAAAACTAAAAAAGAATCGGTTATTTTTTTAGATTTTTTTCCTCATAATCTGAAGTCTTTCTTGACTAAATTTGACAAATGTGAAATTTTCAAATCTTTAAAAATTTCCGAAACGCTACACTTTCTCAAAAAACAATTGAAAAAATAAGAAAGTCCAATTTTTTGTAACCTAAGTTTTGGCCTAAAATTATCCTTTCTTATTCATTATTTTTTTCTATGACGCGACGAAGAGCAATTGAAAAAAATTTTTCGCTATTGTGATCAGACTCGCGCAATTTAATTACTTCTCAATTAACACGATCAATTAAAAATTACAAGGTGGAATTCTCAGTAATAATCATTGAAATCTAGGAGTTCAACTTTTTTTCTTTAAAAACTATTCATTACTAAATGTAGTTGCTACTTTTTTCAAATCATCAAACTTTTTGGATAACTTAAAAATACCTTTTCTAAGTCGCTATAAAACTTCCTACAAAAATTATTTTTTTTCAATGAGTGATTCAAACTAGCTGTTAAAAAAATATAAAAAAGAACAAAAAAACACTCTTGAAATTTTATGGTGTATTGAGTCTTGAAGAATCACGGATTATGAGTTGAAAGTTACACGAAATTTTATCACAAATTCAGAACAGTTAAAAAAAAGTTTTTTTTTTCAAGAGGCCTATTCGATGAAGTTTTTCACGCTGGTTCTTTATAAATTTAACTAAGTAGGTCTATGAGAATATTTATGACAGCTCTAAGTTGAAAAAAATAGTATTAACAAAAAAACCTATCAAAAAAATTCACACTGTATAGCGCCCAAAGATTTTTTTGAAAAAAGTTTTGGCCAGTTTTCAGAAACGCCGTGAACTTCATCTATAGTCTGTGTGTCACGACTTGAAATTTCACCGAACGACGTTCCGCTGCGTACGGTCGCGAAGCGTCTTTGCCTTTGCAGATCTAGGTCACCCTTCCAGACTATTTTTTATTGCTGATAGATGGATTGTTCCACTGCGAGTATTTTAATGAAAGAAAAAATTGAAAGCGCGACCGAGATTCGCAAAGGCGCCCGGTGGAAAAGCGGAATGTCGTTCGGTAAAATTTCAAGTCGTGGTACACAGACTATAGGAGGCCTAGTCATTGTGAACTGTGATCCACGATTAGATTTTCTAGTTGCAGGTCCGGCAAATCACATCCTGCATTAATTTTTGTTTTTAGTAGAAAGATGCCCTGAAGCCAAGCTTTTTTTTTCTGAAAATACGGCGCCATTTTGCGAAATTTCTTGGCGTCTTCAGAATCCTCATCGTTCAAAATTCAACGAGAAAGTTTCGTAATTTAAATGGTCTAGATAAAGTTCCCTAATAAACCCGATTGAGTTTCGGAACGTTATTTTTCAAAGTTTAGAATCTATAGTCATTTTTAATTTTAAAAAATTATAGCTCTAAAAATCGAAATTCGCACGACTTTGAAGAATCTTACTCTGAGCGATTTTCCGACGAATTCTAAACTTAAAACTAAAACTACTCCAGAAGGCAGATTTCTATCCAGTTTTCCAAAAATTTCTTAAATTGCTGGCAGAATAACCATCGCAGTGCGGTAATTTTTCTGGCACGAAACAGAGCTATATTTACAGCGCTTGTAATTCATAGATTCATTGAGACATTATTTAATGAGAATCTATAGAAAATTGCCAAACAAATTTTCAACATATCCATCTGTATAGTCCAGTTTTTCCGACTTGACAGGAGAGATGGGTAGATTGGCAAGAGTGACGCGTTGCGTGCGCGCAAATTTTATTACGGAAAAAGGAGTCAAATACAAGTTTTTTATTGTTTTTATACTTTTGTTCGTCCATCTGAATGTTTTAAATTCCATAAAATATATGGAAAACTGACGAAAAAGAAGAAAAAAGGGCTTATTTTTGACCTCGAGTTCCCCGGCCAAAAGCCGCGTCACACACGCAACGCGTCACCCTCTGTCAGCTCATCTCGTTTTTCCAGTTTTCCAAGTATGGACTATAGTACGACTAGTATAGACAACTGTCATTTTTCCGGAATGGTATGATAATTCGATAGCAAGCCGAGTATACTGTAGCCTTTTTTCGAACGCACCAAGCCCCATTTATATTCAAATCGTCTAATAAAAAGGTTCCCACCAGTAAAAACTGTGCAAACGTTAAGCGGCGTCGTCTTGGTCGGTCGGCGTGGGCGAGGAGGTGTGAGAAAAAAAAAGAGCCGCCGTCTGGGGCCTGGGGTACTTTTTTGAAAGGGCAGCGTCTGGCGTGTCTAGGAGGGACAAAAAAGGGGAAGGGAAGACGGTCTTCTCCCCTCTTCTCCACACCCGCTCCTTCTTACTGTTCCGTCGCGTCGATACTTGCACTTTTAGAGCCAGCCTCTGCTCGTCTTCTTTTCTGTAGACAAGGGGCAGGGGTCGGGTGAAACATGAAGAATTTTTTGTGAAGAATAATTATGGCAGAGAGACACCTATAGGAGAAGCTAAGACCCCCAGATCTTCAAATATTCTCGAACGGCCAAAGTAAAAGCTCAGAAGCTTTAAAAGGGTGGTCATTTCACTTTGCGGTTGGGATTTTCCTGAAAATTGGCCAGAACACTTTTTTTATGTACCAGAGAAAGAATCTGAAACTTTCAACCTGCACAACTAGGGACCGTAGGCAGTTTTCTAGAAACCATCAGATTTAAATGATTTTCATATGACCGTGTACTTCATAGTCCTGGCAACTTTTAAAAAAAGAGATCTTGGAAAAATATTGTCTCTGAACGAAGTTACAGCCATTAAAGCGCGCGTTTCGCGATTTCAATTCTCTGTAGAAAATTTGGTCGAGGTCGCGAAAAAAGTGGGCGTTGCAAGGGTGCGGCGCGCTCTCAAAGACCAGTAAAAAAAATTAGAGAAAAAGTTTCTTGTTAATTTTTTTCGCACTAAAACACACTAATGCTAGTTTTTCATTATTGGAAATGATAGAACAATGTCCAAAGATGAGGACCAGCAAAAATAAACACTGAAAAAAAATAAGTTGAACGATTTTCAACGGCAAAAAAAGCAAAATTAATATTTACGGAGTTTTCAATGCTTTTGATGTTCAAAACTGTTAAGATATCATTAGGAAGCATGGATAAACGCAAATTCTCCCTGAAACAAGATTCGATATAGAATTCGGAACCAATAAAAGGTTGTGAATCCATAGAAACACGAATAAATTAATTATTAATGACTTTTATAACCATTCTTGTAGCAATACAGCACTTTTTAATGCGCTCAACTCATTAACATCCACTTTTATGTCTTATTCAGGTGAATTTCCCGACTTTGAACGTGTTTTCCAGTGGAATCCGGATAGTGGGAGTTTGGCGAGACTAAAATAATTTTTTTTGTTCTGGAAAAAGCATGTGAAGTTCTATTTTGTTTTCCGAATTACATTACTGAACGTTTTGACTCATTTCAAAAAAAGTTTTTACGCTATTTTTTTGCTTTGAAAAACATCGCGAATTCGGAATTTTCGTGGGTCGGTGAATGCACAATTTCGCCAACGCGCAAATGCAGGACGCTGTTTTTTTATTGTTCGAATGAATCAAATTTTTGAAAGCACAAGCAGGATTTTTTTATTTTTTTGACTATGTTGAAGAAAAAAAGTAATTCGAATCAAAAATAAGAAAAAAATAATTTGCCTACGGCTGCTAAAACACTTTTCCAAGTGTTTCAAAAAAATCAAAAAAATCAAAACTTATTTTTTTAAAAATTAAGAGTGGAATGAAAGTTCTGTTTTTTATTTTTTAAATGTTCTAAAATTTATAGAGAACAGTTCAAAAAAAATTTTTACGATGTTTCGCGGAAAATGCCAAAGTTCCCGAATTTCGAAAGTTGCGATTTTCCGACGCTTCGATATTTGAAAGCACAAGCAGGAGTCTTTTTATTTTTACTTATATGGTGTATTTTCACATGCTTAACAAAATAAGAAAAAAAATAACTTGCCTACGAGCGGGATTGTAAGTATTCAACGTTTTTCCACTTTTTCGCACAAAGGCGTCGCGAAAAAACGTCATTTTAACCGATTCTTTTTTTATTTACAGCTATTTCTTCTATGTAGAATTGTAGAGCATAGCCGATTGTATGTTTCCCTCAATTTTTTCCCAAAACGGTTCAGGGAAACTGCATAAACAACAATGAAATGTCAAAAATGCAACGAAATATACGACGTTTTTTGGTCAGCGAGGGGGTGTGGCCTTGCGGTCCCTATGCACAACTCTCTGGTTTTTGAGAAATCAAAGCCTCAAAATGGCCTATTTTAACGAATTTTAATGATTTCTTCGAGTTTAAGGATTCCTTTCTCGAAAAATAGGAAGTTGTGCAAGTTATGGTTCTCAGGATCTTCATCTGGTACATTGCAAAGTGTTTCGACCGATTTTCAGAAAATTCCCAACAGCAAAGTTACATGACGTCCCTTGTTGGATTCCCCCCTCTCCTTTAGAAATAAAATTTAACGACTTCCTAATGAACTTTAGAAAAAAGACTGTCAAAAAGATCTGAAACACATAAAAATTCAAAAGTTTGAACAAAAGCTGTCGCTAATAAATGATTTGAAGAATGTTGAGAAAAACTGTCATGATCTTCTGTTTAGATATCACATTTCAAGCGGCTTATTTTCACTCCACGAGAGAGAAAAATTCCCTCGAAAGTTCGAAATTTCCTAAAAAGCTGTTACCCTACACAAATTCCTGAATTTAAAGAAATTTTAGAGCTGCAGGGATTCTTAGATTTGATCAGCCTGTCTTTTTTTGAACTTCTCAAACATTTTCTTAAGGAAAACTCGAAGATATAATTTTTGAAATCAACTGTTGCAACATGAAAGTTATTTTAATAGAGCCACAGCTGTATATATTTTCGAACCTCTTCAAAAAAATTACTTTGGCTTGAAGGTAATTTTGGCGTTTTTTTCGCTAGGAAGGAAAAAAAGCCTAAAAGCCTTGAGAAGGATGGACGAGATATTTTATCGTAAAAAAATTCTCTAGAATAATCAATTTCAAAAGACAAACCAAAAAAAGTAACTCGGAAGAAATTCGAAAGAAATCAATAAATTAATTTGAACCAACTCACGGCGTTCCCAAACGGGGTGGGGAGAAGTCAAAAAATTTTGGCGCGAAACTTGAAGTCTCAAGTACGCAGCCAAATGTATTCTTCATGCCGTTGAATACTCAGTGTAATTTGCAACGATAGGTAGCTGTGACGTCACAGTCCATTTTATCCGAAGCGCGCACTTACTTTTTTTGTAAATTCAGCAACTTTGACGCCTCGCTCACCTACCCTCACCCCATTAGGAATGCCGTGCAACCACAAAAAATGTGAAAAAAGGGGAGCCCCCAAAAGTGATTTTTATTGAACAAAAAAATGATGAGAAAGAAGATGATTCACACAAAAAGACGCCAAAAAGAGTGGGAAAGGACACCATCGCTTTTTTTGGAAAGCGTAGATTTTTACTATTTCCCATATTTTTGAACTTGAAATACATTATTCATGGGGTTTTTCAGCTGAAGAAAAAGAACTGTTGAAGAAAAAGGTTAAAAAAAGATGCACTTTTTCCTGTATCAACAAAGTTTTGAATATCTCATTACGTCTCGTTTTTACGACCTCTTCCGATTATGAGTTTTGTGCTTTGAACCCGCGATTCTGGAAAAATTCACGAAAACAAAGCGATTTGAAATGAAAATGGGGTTTTTTTGGTGTCAAATTTTATGAGGAGAAAAAAATTCTACAAAGTACAAAAATAATTTTTTTATATTTTTCAAAATTTTCTACCTAAAAATTTGCGGAGAAGATCTAGAAGGAATGATTTGGCGCTACTGGAAAAATTAAACAATTTCGTTTAAAAATTTAATTTTTTTGTAGGTATCATTTTTTTCCGTTCTCGGGAACGCCAGAGAGCTCCCCATAGAGGTTAGAGGTTAAAGCAGCCACTAAAAAAAGGACAAAGTAGTTTTTTTAATGAAATCTAAAATTCAAGTGATCCTTATAGGGTTCTTTCAAAGATTTGTTCAATTTGAAAAATTAAAAAAATATAAAATTGATGATTTTTTTATGAAAAAAACTTTTTTTCTCATAAAGTTCATAACAATAATCGATACGGGCCACTAACTAAAACCCCTATAGAAACCACTTTTGCAAGCTTTAGGGGTCCCTAGAGGGGAACCTTCAAGGGCCTCTATATGGACCACTCTGGAGTTCCTAAGTTAGGACTTCAATTAATCTTGTTTGTCTGCGCTCTCTTCTCTCTAACAACTTGAAGAAAATGAAATAAGGCTATCTCAAGAAGCGATGAATGTACATTCGAAACATTGCGCAAGAATGGCATTTTATGCTTTCTGTTATAACTTCCGAATCAAAGTTGTGTTTCCTGCATTTTCGAACCCGTTGCACTTTGGAGAAGTACAAGTTGGACGCGGTCCAAGACGCTTTCCCCAGACAAGGCCCCTTTCTTCATCCCTTTCCCAATCCCCTGCAGAAACAAAGGAACCCAGCCCTCGAATACCATGTCTGGGCGTCTCCTTTCTTCGCAAACACACAACAGATGCGCCTGCCGACGTAAACTTACCAGACAGAATTCAAAAAAAGTACCCAAAGATCGGATTTCACGGTTTATTTCGTAGCGCAAGGGGCGTCTGGCTCGCCGATTTCACGGTGATAAAATGACAACTTTCGAGCACGGGCTGGCCCGTTTATGACTTCGGAAATGTTCATTCGACCGGAAATTATGGGTTCTAGGGGAATAACGTCTGTTGACATACAGTACCTCCGAAAAGAACGATCCAAAGATCGTTTTCGAGCCGTTTTTATGGCTTTTCCATTCCAGTTCGATGATTTCACGTCTTCGATTAAAGATATTTTATTTCAAATTCGAAAAATTTCTGTTCATTTCAACATAGTTCTCGGGCGAAGTGGTGGATAATGGAAGGGAGAGGCTCAAAAAAGGTCGCAGAAAGGCTTCAGAAAGGCCGCGAAAAGGTCGCAAAAAGGTCGTAAAAAAGCCGCAGAAAGGCAGCAAAGAGGGTCCCTTTTTCCAGCCTCCCATATTTCCTGGATTCTAAAAGCTCGAGAAATGGTGGACAAAGGGAGAGGCAACAAAAATGGTGCATAAGGAACGAGAAAATGCCGCGAAAAGGCGGAAAAAAAAGAACCTTCATCACCCTAAAAGGAACATTTCTATGGAGCTTTTTTCCATCCTTTCCAAATTTGCCTATGACTTTTTTTAAACTGTTCTGAAACAGTCTCTTTTTCCTTTAAAAAATCATTTTTGGGCTCGTTTTTTCTTCATTCATGGAGTTTTAAAATGGAAACCAAGAACGTAATTTTTGTCGAAAAAGAGTTTGATTTGCAGAAAACTTGCCCTCTTCGGGCCGGCCCGTTTTGCTTGAGGCCTAGTTAAGAGCGGGCCTTTTCGGGCTCAGAAAATAGCCGGGGGCTGACGGGCCGGCCCTGATAAATTCAAAATGCTTCATTTATCCGTCGACGGTTTTGCCGACTTTGACCGGTCCATTTTGAATAAGTTCGAGAATTTTTTTGAGCTTGACCTAATAAATTTAAAAAAATTCATAAAATGACTCTTCTTGCTTGATATTATACACATTTATTGGCCTCGATCTAAATATTTCATCTTTAAAGAATCTGAATGCAATCTAAAAGAACGATTTGCAGCACGATGAAACGATCTACTCGATGTTCACGGCGTTCGGAATCGAGGACCTTTGTGCCCCAGGCGCCGGAGAATGGCCGGCTTTCGCCGCCGCCACACTCGTCGAGCTTTTCCTGGACCGAAATAACGACCCTTATTTCCAGGTTTTTTCTTAACTAGCCCGTTTTTTGGCGTAATGCGTCTTAGGAAACTTTGCAGAGTCTCACTTTAGGACCTCTTGAGTCCGAAAAAAAAGTTTTGCAATGTGTTTTGCTTTAAGCTTTAAGTTTTCATGAAGATCCAAATTACGCAAACTACACAGATTTTGCATCACAGCATTCTTCAGTATGTAAAGCTTAAGCTAGAACTGTTTGAGGTTGAAATTTTTTTTTGAAATTATTGCGACTCGAGCCATCCTAAGTGAGCTTTCAACTTGCCCGTGTATTATCTGGAGCAAAAGCTTTTTTGAAGATTTTGGTGTTTCAACTGGAAAAAAAGGCCTAAAAAAGGTGATCTGGTATCAATTTAGCGAAACTCAAATAAAAATTTCAACCGGCTACAGAAAATTTCTTCTCGGGCTAGTCGGTATGGTGGATAATAGCCGTTAAAGGCTCAAAAATAGCCGCAGAAAGGTAGCAAAAAAGTACCAAAAAGGCAGCAAAGAGAGAAATGGTGAAAAAAAAGAGGAAGCAAAAATGGTGAATGACAAATATATGTAGTTAATTTGTTTGACTGAATTTCAGATCCTCTACCGGGCCAACTCGACGACCGATTTCCAAGCGATGACTCCATTAATAGCCGCGTGCGGTGGAGCAACCTATTGCCCATTGAACGTCTTCAAAGAGGCCGCCGAGTTCTACAAAACCGACATGGAAATTCACGCGGTGAGGCCATTTGTATTCATAAAACGGTACCGTTTTTCTATGGCCCGTGAGAAGAAATGGAACTCAGAAAAGTCGGCGTTTTTGAAGACTTCGAAAAAAAATTATTCTATTTCAGTACTGCCAAGTCCTGCCATCCCAATCTTCGTCGACCATTTCAGGTTGAAAAATCTTTTTCTTTTTTTGAGAAAAAAATTTTATTTTTCAGTGCTGATCGCAACCTTCTTCTCGTTTGTAGTTTTCCTTCGCTTGTTATAAATAAAGTTGTTTTTTTTTTCATCAAAGTTAAATTTGACACAAACAATCTGAAGCCATGAAATCGTGTCGCTGTTAGAAAAAAAAACGGAGTTGAATTTTTAGCGCCCGACCGTAAGCGGCTTTAATTATATGATACAGAATGGCACAGGGCGCAAGTCGTTTTCTGTCGGGCGCAAACGAGATCGACTTTTAAAAGTCCCAGAATGGTCACTAGACTAGAGGGGCAACTGAAGGGGTTCTTGTATAGCCGATTCACGGCTAACTTGGAAAGGGGGCGTGGCCTGTCTGCGCTCTCCACCAACCAGGCACTGTCTCCTTTTTTTCGTGTCAGGATCTATTTTTCGATGGGTCAGGCCAGCCGTGAAGGCATCCCTGAAGGGACCATCTTACTCCATCCTATAGGGGCGCTGAAGCTTGCCAAAGTGGCCACTGCAGGGATTTTGTCAATGTTATGAGCCTTTTCATCCCATAACCTACCTAGTGACCACTTTGGCGCTCCAAAGTCGGTTTAAAAAATCCAGCAGCTTTAACACGCTGTCTCTTTAATTTTTATGCCGTGTTCAAAGTGATTCCGCGAAATTCAAAATAGCCGTCAGAGAAAGAGAAAGATAACTGAATTTTGGAGGGTCAGAGACCATTTCGCATTTCGCGGAAATTACTTTGAACACGGCATTAAAAAGTTTCAAAAGCAACGGGTTAAAAACAAATTTTATTTTTTGGTTCTGATGAAACTTCATCCAGTGTGATAACCCATCATCAGAAATGCGGACGCAACTTTTAGAGCCATTTCCTTTTACTGCAGCTGGGTTACGGTATGCAGGTGGGCACCTGCGTATCTAAGTATTGAAGAGTTTTTACTAGTGATATATCAATCGATAGGTAATCCAATTTTAGGAACTTTTACAGTACATACCAACTTGGGTTACTGTAGGAATTTTCGAGTTATGGTAATTTTTGTGTTCGGAAAGTCGGTTTTTCGGTCACCCTGGCCGTTGGCATAGAATCGCATCGTGATTACTTTCATGGAATATGTCGTTCAGTATGCTCTACACGATGCCACGAAAAAAATTGGAATTTCTAAACTTAACATCTCGAGATTTCACTCCGAACGCGCGCAACTTGGCACTTGGCGGCCAGGGTTGGTCGTGGTTGACGATTTTTCACATTTTTCTTTTGTTAGATATTGGTCTGAATACTTTTTAGAATGTTACTACAGTGTGTTATGTAACATTGAAAGGGGTTTTAAGAGACCTATACGCTACATTTTCGGCCGAAATTTCGTTTTGAACTCTATTTTGGCATGAAAAATTCGCTCTGAAAAGATCGGTTTTTAAAAAATCCCCGACTATCCCGCAGTTTCCAAAGCTATTAAATATGTAACTGACATTTTCTACGTGACATTCGATATTTTTTTTCTGACAGTTACAAAGGCAGCGTGTTGAAAATGAAGTTATCAGTTCTGCAACACGAAAAATTCCTTGCAGCCTCAATCGCGTGAATCATAGAGTTCAAATCTTCATCGGTGACATTTGATAAGCCGAAAAAAAGTTCTCTCCGATAAAACGTGGCCTAATCAAAGAAAGTTGCAACACTTGACTCAAGATGTAATCTCGCGAGATAGCGAAACAAATCGCTTAATACTCTGGGTAAATAAAGGCAAGGCGAGAAAAAGCTTAATGAGAGGAGAAGCTCAAAGGTAAACACGGGAAATCTCTACCTGCTGGGTTTCAGTTTCGTTTTCCCAGATTAAAAGTGCGGAACCAACACAAAATGACTGTTTAAACAAGGCTTATTGGAGAATATTTTAAAGAGCTCCCTCATTATCAATTACGAGTCTCTTCGTTATCACCCCGTGCAATCCGCTTTTTATTTCTTTCTTTCCATTTGGCCGCTTTTTCGGCATTTTTCAATGTTTTCCTGTGTCAGAAATTTGAATATCCGTTGCCCTTTTCGCGGAAAACAGAATAAAAACTTGAAAAATGTGACAGGTAATACTGGTACCTGGAGAAATGCGAGGATTTCTGACGTTTTTGCTGATTTTGGCGGTGGGTGCAGCCACGGATGTCGTCGTGGACAATAAGAAGTTGGTGATGATCCAGGCGGTGAGTTTTTCAGCTCAAAAGGGTCAATTTTATACCATTTTGTCAAGTTTATGATGCGATTTATCTTCATCGAATATAATTCCACAAAGTTGAGTATTTTGTCAAGAAATAAATGAAGAAAGTGAAGCCCTTCTTGCGATTTTTCGTATTTTTCCCGCGATTTTATCGATAAACTTTTTTCCGTACTTTATAGAGGAACATCGGTTAGTAGATTGCTTGAAAACTGGCAAATTTTTCATTTTTTTCAATTTTAGGATTTTTTTTTTTTCATATTTTATGTTCATAGAGTTTCATAAAAGTATGTCATTTCACTTTTTGTTTGGGAATTTTCTAAAAATTAGTCAAAACACTCCTTGAAGTACCATATTGAGTTTCTGAAAGTCTCAACCTGTAAAATTCCATAATTTTTTTAAGAAATAAGGGCCCAAAGCTTAAAAAAAGGCTGTTTCTAGGGTTTTTTTGATGGTTCTCTTTGATTTTTAAGGCGTCGTTTCTCAAAAAAACTAAAAAAAGTTCTTTAGGTTTAGAGTTTCATGACCATTTTCTAGAACGTCAAGAAGAATTCTGACATGTTTTTCAGGAAAAATCTGTAAAAAAATACCTCCTTTTCCACAGACATTTCCTTGAATAAATACGAAAGTTTGATCTAAAAAAATTTTTTTTTGTTTATTTTAAAAAAACTTCCTTTTTCAGTTATGGCGACATGGAGACAGATCACCGACGGAAACTTTCAAATCGGATTATTTCCAAGAGTCGAGCTGGAACTTTGGCGGCGGCGGCTGGGGTCAGCTCTCACCTGTGAGCTTGAACTTTTTCCTTTTTATAAGTTTTTGAAAGATTTATAGCTTCTCCAAGCAAAAAAAAAACTGAAAAAATGGTGAAATAAAAAAAAAAATTTTTTGCTGAATTTTTTTCACAAAGATTCAAATGTATGATGATAACTTTAAGGTTTCATGGTCCAAATTTATTATCTACAAGTAATAATTTATTTAATTTTTTTCTTTTGTATAGAAATTACCTACGTGCAAATTGTGAAAAAAAAGTGTGGATTTTTAAGCGATTTTAAGAAACGCCGGAGTGGTCCCTATAGGGGTTAAGGGCAAAAATAGTCCAATCCAAATATGCCTCTTATAGGGCCGATAACTGAACCTCTATAGAGGTCCTTTTTGCAAGTTTTAGTTGTCCCTCGAGGGGAAAAGAAGGGACCTTATAGGGGAACCTTCAAGGGCCCTTAAGGTTGCCCCTGTGGGGACCACTTTGAAGAAAAAACCTGTAAAAACCCAAAAAATGAATACTTCCCTCCAAGATTGGCATGAGACAACACATGGAGCTCGGCCAGAAGATCCGAAACCGCTATGTGGACGGGAATCCGTACAATTTTCTCTCCAACAGGTACCAGTCCAAGGAGGTTTTTTTTTATTATTCATTATTCTCACATTTATTAATGGCAGGTGTATGTGCGCTCCACGGACATTAACCGAACGTTGGCCTCAGCTTTTTCCAACATGCTGGGCATGTACGGCCAGGACGTTGGTAGTAATGTGGCAGGTAGGAAAAGTCTCTCGGTTTCGTGAAAAATCCTTTCAAACCAAAGCATTGGTTTCATTTTTGTTAAAAAAAAAATCAAGAAAATGGCTCAAAACTTTGCCCGTTTTTTGAAAGGTTGAACATCTTGCGCCCGACCGCTAGCGACTTTAAATACATGATACAAGATGCCAAAGGGCGCTGAAGCAAACCAGGGCGACTTTCATTTTCGTAATGAATTTCTACATCTTTAAATTGAAGATTTTGAGAAACAAGAACGATTTTTCTATCCAAAATAAGCATGCTGAAGAACAAAGTTTTTTTTCTTGAACCTATTTTTAAATGAAGAAAGATTTCATTATTTGATTTTCTATGTCAACAATTTGAAATCGATCAATTTGTTCAGATTTGGACTACCCAGTGGTGAAAGGTTGGCCAACAGGTCTGGTCCCGATCCCGATCCACACAATCGACGACGCTACTGATCATGTGGGGAATTTTCAAATTTTCTTTCTTCAATGAGAGGTTAGGCTTCAAAATTATAGGTTGTTTGGGTTTAACGATTTTTTTTTACATGCTTGGCATCCGTTAAAAATATAGAGGCAGTAAAAAAACGATGTTTCAGTTCAAAGTTTCAGTAATTTGTAGAGTTTTTCATTGTGAATCGAATGGTTAGCCTAGAAACGTACCGAATTTTCTAGTTTTGGAGAAAAAAAAAATTCAAAGTCGGAGAGAGAAAAATTTTCCCGCCGAAAGGGCGTTTTGCAGTAAAGTTGCTCTATGGAAAACACGTATCGGCATTTTTTGGATTTTCGCTTTTTTCTTCAAAGTTTCCTTTTTTTTCGAAATTTATCTGCACTTATTCAAGTTGATCGACGTTGACAATACTTGTCCGTTCCAAGACGCCGTCTGGGGTCTTTCCAAGCAAACGCCTCAAGTCAGCGCCTTCATTAACAGACCTGATGTGAGTTTATTCCATTAGGAAACTATAAGAATAACTAATTTAAAAAAAAACTGGCTAGCTTTTAAAAGTTATATTCATGTTTCAAGCTCCCGTTTTATGAAATTTTCAGCGTTTTTCATACTTTTGCATTTTTTGTGCCTTTTTTATTACTCAGTATTGGGAGCCACAAGTTCTAGGGATCCAAGTATGAGCCAATATTGGAATTTTTATCGGAAGCTAGAAAATTAATGTGAAGTTAATGCAAGAAAAGATACTTATAAGAAGATGAGAAGGTCCTTTCTGCATTTTTTTCTTTTTTTATAAGACTTTTTAGCAATTTTTCCTTTTCTTGCGAATATAAAAAAATCCACGAATCAGGTCGTGGCGAACTTCACGTACCTTTCCCAAGTTTGCGGACAGCCCATCGACGTCGACAACCTTTGGATCGTCTACAGCGCTTTGAAAAATCGAAGTTTCTTCTTTAAATGAATTTAAAATAAACGTCTTTTTAAAAACAGAAAGAATATTTCGCCAACCAACTCCCTCTCAGGACTCCCTGGTACAGTGACCAGCTTTTGGACCTAATCGACGTCATAAATGACCAAGTCCAGGACTTCCAGAATGGCAACTTTGACTGCAAGTTTTAACCATTTTCCGTCATTTCGCGATCAAAGTTGATCAAAATTCTGATAAGATCTAATCGGAAACTCAAAGTTGAGAAGAAAAAAAAATTTAAAATCTATAAATTCTGAAGTTTTTTCAGCTTAATTTTCAAAAAGAGTATGAAATACTGGGAATATTTAAAGTGGCCACTATAGGGTTTTGACGTTTTAGTGGCCACTACAGTAGTCAAATTAGGGGCCACTTGAGGGGTTAAAAATAAGTGGACACTTTAGAGTTCTAAGTGGATGACCAAAACTACTATAGTTGTCACTAATGAACAAAATAGTGGCCTCTATAGAGGTGAATGTAGTGGCCACTTTAGGGTCCTCTTCAAGTAGTATTTGGAGAGCCTCTATAGTGGGCACTAGAAGTTCTCCTAGTAATATCTATCTACCTATTTTTTTATTTAATTTTATTATTATTTTTTTCTTATTTTGTTCAACATTTTTTTAGTAGACTCATCTGCACATTGAACATCATTTTTTTCTGAAGTTGAGCTCAAAAATAAATCTGCTTGACGGAAAAAAATGAGCACAATTTCCCAATTCAAAATTTTATTCCCCTCTTTATTTTGAGGCTTTTGTTTTTGTTTTTTTAATTTTCATTCATTTTTTCAGTAGTTTTTTAGAAAACAAACTTTCAGTTCAATTATTTTTTGAACCTTAAAACTTGCAGAGTTTCCTGAAAACGTGTCTTCTAAACTTCTTATTTTCCAGCTGTGATGGCCTACGGACTGGACTTGCCGCTGACGCTCCGAAAGATCCGCTCAGGAACCCTGATCAACGACATGATGAAGCACATGGCGTTGAACGTCAAGTGTGCCGGTCAGAACACTTCCGACTGTACATATTCCAGCAAACTCAAATATTTTGCCTACTCAGCGGTGAATTCAACTTCTTGAATGAAGAAAACGAATAATTTCAGCACGATTCAACAATTTACGCCTTCTTTTCCGGGCTTGGCGTTGAACATTTCGCGCTTCAGCCTCCAGGTTTTGAATTGAAAAATCAAAAAAACCATGATTTTTTATAGGACACTATCCTGAATATTCCGCATGCATTATGGTCGAATTGTGGCAGGATCTTACTACAAAACAGAATTTCTTCAAGGTAATCTTAAATTACTTTTCAGAATCATATTGAACAAAAAATAATTCCAGATGCTTTTCCATCGGAATTCTACCGACGATTTCTCTGACGACATCACAAAAGGTTAAACTCATTTTAAAAAACATTACTGTTTCAAAATCCTCATAGGAACATTTCGAAGGGAACTTACTGCAATAAATCTTCGTCTAACTTTTGAAAATTTTACTGTTTTGAAACCCTGGTAACAACGTATAAAACACAGAAAACGACTCTTCGCTTCGAGACCTCTTGAAAAATTAGTCTATGCTCCTTTAATTTTTTAAAAATCAAAACAATTTTTAGAAGTTCCCGGCTGTGAAAATAGCAACGGATTTTGCGATTTGGGCGTCTGGCAAGGCTTGGCTGACGCTGTGAAGCCCGACATGGAAATGAATCAAGTATTTCTTATTATAATAATTTTTAAAATGAAACTTTTTCAGTGGTGCCAAGTGAATCCGATCCCTTCGACAGGTAATTTTACTCAGGTCGGATTTTTAAAAAAATTAAATAACTTTCCAGTTTCACCCAGACCAACTTCCGTAAAGTTGTCTACAATTTCAGTGCAATCCACGACAAGAAGTGCACATCAAAGAAATTTCCCCTCCAGTTTCGGAATTATTTTTTTGTCACGTTCCTTTTTTTCAAAGTTTATTTTTTTGAAATCGTTTGAAATTGATAAATATTATAAATATGAATTTTTTTATAATCAAATTTGTATTATTATAGAAGGAAAGCTCGGGAGAACACGTAGGCGAATGACAGGAGAAGTCCTGGAAATCAATTTTTTGTAGATTCATGTACTTGAAAAGGCCGTGGTCGCGTTTGGAATGGCTAAAAATGGTAGAGATTCAGTTTTCATGATTTTGAACGTTTCGCTATGCCATAGTTTTAGGTCGGGAACATCTTCGAGCCATTCCAAATGCGGTCACGAAAATCCGAGTTAAGAGGATTTTTTCAAAAATACCTAAAAAGTTGAAATTTGATGTAGAAGCTTTGCTTCGCGGATCGACGTTGCACCACTGAAATGAAAATTTAAAAATTATTTTTGAAATCCATTATTTTTATAATGGCTATAAATCTTCAGGGAACTCCACCTAAACTCTCTTCTGAAAAATTTACTCAGTCTTCTAAATTTCAAAATCAAGCTTCACCTGGTCCATCGGCTGCGGCGGCTTGAGTTTGGTCGCTATGGCGTTCAGAACGTCAGTGGAACAGTAATCTCCGCTACATCCAGCAATGTCAGAAGTCAAAGTTGTGAAGTTGTCGCCGTCCGTGTGGTGATAAACCAACTGAAAGCTCAAACTTGAATTTCTCATTTAAAAAAAAACATCATCGATTTGGAAATATTCTGAAATCACATCAAAAAACGACCCCAAGCGTTCAGAGCCGTCCCATGTGAAGCTCAAGCGCGACATGCTTCGTTTTTCATCACGGCGTTTTTTTTTGAGACGCCACCCAACATAATTGCCGATATCGCAGCGGGCCGCACGCGATATGGCCAAGGCTTCTCGCTGCGACCTCGTCAAACTCTCGCTGCCATATCGCTTCCTCTCAAAAATATGAAATTTGAAAAACATTTTTTTTGCCTTATTTTTGACTTGTATGATGGAATCAATCAAATTCAAGAAAAAAACATTTTTGAAGAAAAATTTTTCAGAGAGCGATATAGCACAAGACGTTTGCGAGGTCGCAGCGAGAGGCGAGCGATATCGCTCGCGGCTCCCCCGCGGTATAGCGTTACTCTCGCTGCGATATAGTCCACAATATTGGGTGGTTTCGCCCATATTTCTCCGTAAAGTGTAGTGTGTCGTGTGCACACACTGCGGCGCTCACGCTCATACCACGTTCAAAGTTATTCTTTCGAAATTACAAATCCACGGTGTTCCCAAACGGGGTGGGGAGACGTAAAAAAACATTTGGCGCGAAATTCGAAATCTACAGTACACAGCCCAAGGCAATCGAAACAAACTTGATCTCCGACTAGAAAAAGTTTGGCGTTTTGGGCCTAGCGGGCCATTTTTTCTTGAGGCCCGCTAAGGCCGGCTCGGGCTCACGAAACGGTCAGGGGCCGGGAGGGTGACGGTCCGGCCCTCGCACAAGCCTGCCTCACCCCATTAGGAATGCCGTGAAATCATATTTGAATTTCCGTTTCAGTTATTCCTAGCGACCGCAAAGCCCCGCCCCTTTTCGCGAGGGAAAAAAGGCCATTTTTTTGGTATTCCGTCTTTGATTGTTTCGTACAGCCGAGAGAAACAATGAAAAAAGATGAAAATTTCAGCATACATGTAGAAAAGGTTCCTCTTTCCGTTGAAAAGGTTTTTAGGTACTTTACATGTGTTTCAACGGAGTGTCGTACGGAATAGTGAGGCGAGTTCGAAAAATAAACTTAATTTTGCGTTTTGATATTCATCTAGGTCGCGGACAAAGTTGATTTTTTTGAAAAACTACTTATAAACAGTAAATGCAATTTTTTTAAGTCAAAAAAATAAAAAAATTCTATGTTCGCCGAAAAAAATTGAGAGGCGCGCAAAGTCAAAAAAATTGTTTTCTCAATTGCAATGCAGTATTGGAAAAATTTTTTTATGCTTTTTCATATTGAGAAAAAAACATTGCTCAAATAATACTTGTTGACAACTACAAGCAAATGTACTGTTTTGGTTGGTAAAAAAAGCTGGAGAATTTTTTTGGGAGTAATTTTGAAACATTTCCCGGTCGAAGACACGCGTTTTTTTCTTACTCATTTATATGAGTTTTTTTAATTTTCAAACAAATAAAGCAATAAAATCGAAAAATTCAAGATCGCCGAAAAAAATTTTTTTCTCAACAAAAAAAGATGAATAAAAAGTAGGCGAAATTACATTTTTATGGGATTCAAAAGAGCACTGTAGGCTGTATTTGTGCAGTCACTGAGACGAAAAATGATGGTAAAGTGGGATTACAGCTCGTAAAACCTTCTCTTTTTGGCTCCTGAAACCGTGCCGACCTTGCAAATGAAGGTGCGCGCAGATTGCATGAGAATTCGCAAAACCAAAATTTCAGTGCAAAAAAATTTTTTTGCTTTTCAATTACTTTTTAAATATTGTTTTTCTCCTCTTATTCTTAATATTTTTTTCGTTTTTTTCTTTTTCTGTTTTCGCATACTACATGTTAAAATTATTGTTTTTTTATAATAAAAAAACGAGGAGCTAGCTTGAGTTCGAAAAAAATAGGTCTGTGGTCCCTAGGTTTAGAGCTCCTTTTAGGGAGAATTAAGGTGGTCCCTAGAGGGGAATCTTGGCTCCAAGGCTTTCACTATAGGGGCCACTCTGATGAGAAAGTGTTCACTCGAGCGGAACCTTTTTCCCTAAAGTGATCACTTTAATAAGAACGAATATAGGTAGGAAAAAAAAGTTTTGTCTGACCAATACAGGGTGACAAATAAATATTGAAACCGTTTTTTGTTTGATCGCTGCTTTTTGCACAAAGGACTGGCCTTGGATTTTTTTTGTTTATTTCGTTCATTCATGCTCACTTATCATGTGTGTGAAGTTACAGCTCATACTTTTCAGTATTCAGGTAATGGTGGCCCCATCTCCGTACCGTACCGCAATCATAGATTGTGTCAAAAGCGGAATGACGTATTCAGAGATGGTTAAAAAGCTGAAAGTGTCTCGTGTTCTCGTTTTTCGAACTGCACAACGCTATCGGCGTCTCGGTACTTCAGATGACATGCAAAGAAGGGGACGTCCAGTCACCGTCACGACTCCAGAAGCAGTCAAAGCCGTTCGAAAGAAAATCAGACGCACTCCGGAAAGAAGCATGAGAAAGATGTCAAAAGAATACGAAATGAGTCCAGGATCGATGAGAACTATTGTCAAGAACAAGCTGAAGATGATTCCCCACCGTATGCAGAAAGGAGCCTTCCTCAGTCAAAAAAACAAGACATTCCGGATGAAAAAGGCTCGAAAGCTGCTCGCTGGCACGAAAGATGGCTCGCATCTGACGACGCTGTTTACCGACGAGAAAAACTTCACTGTGGAGCCGAACAAGAACGGCCAAAATCATCGGATCATCGCTACTGACTATCAGAGTGCCTGTGAAAAAGAAAAAATTCTGAATAAAACTTCGCCTCCGGCTTCCGTGATGGTTTTTGCCGGAATTACCGCTGACGACAAAACTCCGCTGATTTTTGTGGATCCTGGAGTCAAAGTGAACCAAGTATACTACAGGGAGTAGATTTTAAAGTTGAGGGTGTTGCCCTGAGCCAATTCTCACTACGGAAACCGACCATGGACCTTCCAGCAAGACGGCGCCCCGCTCATCGTGCCAAAGGGACTCAAGAGTGGTATCGCGCCAATTTTCCCGAGTTCATCTCGGCTGCTGATTGGCCTGCTTCCTCGCCCGACCTCAACCCGATGGACTATGCCGTGTGGATATATCTGACCGAGAAGGTCTCTTCTAAGAACTACCCAAGTATCAAAGCTCTGAAGACCGCGCTCATCAAGAAATGGGACGAAATCGACGACGATTTTTATAACAAAAACGAGGAGCTAGCTTGAGTTCGAAAAATAGGTCTGTGGTCCCTAGTTATTCCATTCTCTGGCGGCTAATTTTGAACTTCGCGGAGTTATTTTCAACACCGCATATGTTTTTGAAAAAAATGAAACAGAAAAATCGCGTTTTTTTCAAAAGAGAAGTAGATTCGTTTCATGACCCATTTATGCGCCTTTAATACTTCCTGCTGTTTACGCGTTTTTCCCATGACGAGCGAACGGCGGAGGTTTTGACCACGCCCCCTTAATTTCTGGTTTTGCATTTTCTTCCGCTGACAAAAAACGCCGTGCCATAGAACGGGAAGTTTTTTCTATGCTTTAAAGTCCGTTCACCGCGACTTGACCGAGAGACGAGGAGGGCGCAGAGAAGTACCGCCCTTTCAAGTCGCGAAAAAATGGACTATCTCGCAAAATGGTCGGAAACAATGGTAATAAAAAAGTCTTCTATCAGTAACTACCTTGAAATAATCCTTTTTGTCGGCATTGTCGTACCAATATTCAACGATTCCGGCTGCTGAATACAATGGATAGCCGTGGGGAGTTATCGCATATTTCTCGATTCCAAGAGCCACCAGCAACGAGTAAACTGTCTCATCGTGCTGAAAAAAGTTATTTTTATGTTTCAAATATATAGTTTTGTCTTATATAGCCCACTCGGCGTTATTTTGTCAAGATTTTGTTCTCCTCCGAGCTACAGAATCTTTTTATTCGAGGCGCGGGGTCTGTCTCTGTGCATGCGCCTTTAATAATGTAAATTTTAAGCTTAATTGAAGGCTTGAAGGGAAGGGTTCTGTAGCTCGGAAAAAAGAAAAAATGAGGCGACTGACCGCCGAATAGACATAATACTTCAGGCCGTTGATCCAGTCACATCCATCCTTTTTGGCGGCACTGGAACAGTCGCTCTTGAGCTGGATGTGCATCGACAGATCGTTCAGAAGACTTCCGGCTCGGATGATCTGCAGCTCCTTGCCGATGTCCAGGCCGTTCATCATCACCGGGTTCTCTGAGGAAAATTTCATGCTTACTGGAAAAAGGGAAGGTTACGAACTAAAAACTCCATATTGGTAGAAGTAAGACTGATCATTGACATTGACGATTTGGTTATAAAGATCGTCGTTGAACCAGGAATTCTGTTGCCGTAAAGTCGCGTTGAAGTAGATTTGCTGGAAAAAAAAATGGGTTCAAGACAACTGAGTATTCAACGTTAATAACTTGTTTTTTTGCTGCGTACTCGAGCTCAGAATTTTCGCGCCAAACTGTTTTGACGTTGCCGTTTGGGAACTCCGTGATTTAGAGCCTTTCAGAGTTTAACACAAGAGTTGCTCCAATGAAAAACAGAAAGGAAGAAAAATTGACGATCTGACAAAGCTGATAATCTAAATTTTGAACAGATGCCTATTTTTCGAGATGCGAATACATTGGAATTAACTGTTAGCTTTCATATTAATCGAAAATCTTTAGTGGCCTCTTTAGGGTTTTTGACTTTTAGGCTCCGAGAAAATCGATGAACTGAGAAATATCTCGGTACCCTCAGAGCTCTTTTTGCTATCAGAATACTACATAACCTCTTCAACTTGTAACACCTGGTTTTCAGAGGCTCCGCCCGGTTTTAGGGTTACGGTAGAGAGAATAACTAATTTAATTTTTTTCCTGGCGGAGCGATTCCGTTCAAACCAACTTTAAGGTAAAGATGTCATTTTGAGCATTTTTTTTTTGTTGACCGTGACTCTAGGAAAAAAATTTCCTTCCTGTAGAAAAATCAGTTAAAGTTGAAAAAAATGACGATTTTTTTGATCAGGAACCCCCTTTAAAAAGTGGCGAAAACATACGCGTCTACAGAAGTTGAACTACTAGACTACTAAAAACTCCTATAATGGACACTAAGACGCAAAATAGTGGCCAAGATGGTTTTATAGTCTGTTCAGATTTTAAATGTCAAGTCGTCGCTCAAGCTCCGCCCCTAATGGTGCGAACCAAACAGAGAGCGAGCCATCCACAGAGTGTTTTTGAATGACGTCATTGACATTAAAAATCGGAACAGACCGTAGTGGGCACTTTAGTGTCCTCTCCAAGTAGTCCTTGAAGAGGCCACTAGAGCTTTTCCCAGTCGTACTTGACATGAAAAATCTGGAAAGACACTAAAAATGAGACCTCAATGAGAAGAGAATCCGCAACGACCCATAAATCGGCCATCGCGTAGGATTTTCCACAGAGGACGGTGAGGTTCTTCATCAGACCTGCTACCTGAAAATGGTCCTTTTTTTCAGTTTCCTTTACCTATTTATTCTCAAAAAGCTTCGGAATTATGCCAACCTGGTCTGAGTTTTCCCAAGCCGAAACTTCGTCCGATTTTTGGGCCATTTCCCAGAGCCAATCGCGTCTTTGACAGATACAGTCCATGTTGGCAATCTTAACGATCTCCTATGATTTTTGAAAATTTAAAAACTTGATTTTACATAGTCAGTGTCATAATCTACAGTATGAATTGGTACTGGCACGAATCCCGTTGGCCAATCATCGTCTTGCGGAAAAATCAGTGCCTAAAAAAATGATTATTTTTCTTTTTTATCAATCTTTCCATTATAGTACTGCGGAAAAATTGAATAGCTTTCTAGAATTCAGTTTTGCTTGGGACCGCCAAAGTGATCCCTATAGGGGTACCTAGGAGCCAAGGAAGGCTCCCCTCTAGGTACCTCGTTTCCTTTCCTTATAGCCTATATGAGCCAAAAACCTTGCAGAAAGGTCCCTATAGGAAAATTGATTAGTGACCACTCTAGGGGAGCATACGAGAAGTTTAAAGACCCCTAAAGGGACCACTTAAGCTTTGGGGACCTCGTATTGGGACCCTAAACCCCTATGAGGACACCTGAACTTTACCCCTGTTAGGGTCCCTTTTTTGACCACTATAGAAGCTTTTTTTTTCCCTAACCCCTATAGGGGCCACTCTGGCGTTTCTAAGTTGTTCATATATTCTCAAGTATATTTTAAGCTTACTGTGGAAACTTTTAGTGGCCACTATAGGGTTTTGACGTTTTAGAAGCCCATTATAGTAGTCCAATTAGTGGCCACTTGAAGGGTTAAAATCTAGAGGCCACTATAGAGGTCTAAGGGCTACTACTAGACCACGAAAAATTGTAGGGGCCACTTTAGGGGTCAGTGGATCAACATAACTGGTCCAATCTGTTTGTTTTAAAATTATCAGAGTTACTGGAAGGAATACTGGATGAAAAACTACTGAAGTGGCCACTAAAACGGAAAATAGTGGCCACTTTAGTGTCCTCTCCAAATAGTCCTTGGCGAGCCTCTATAGTGACCACTAAAGTTTCCCAGTACCTTATCACTTGTGTTTTTTTTTATCAAGTTGGCTCTTCTTTTGAAGATTATTACCCTCATTTCAACAAAAAATGACTGAATATTAGAAAAAAAGAAACCTGCAACACTGTTATATCGGCCCTGTCCGTACATTCCCAACATATTCGCCATTGCTGAGATCAGCGTCCGGTTCAAACTTGTCGACCTCACGTACATCTTCAAACAAGTTAGTAATTTCGAAAGGATTCATAGAAAAATAGGCTCTTTCCTAGTTTTCCGAATAAAAAAACTCTTATAGAAGATATCAAATAGAATCTTAAAAACCGATTTTCAAAAATCCTGTATACTGAAACTGGAAAGTCGTTCAGGTCAAAAAAATATCGAAATTTCATCTGGCAAACTGAATGGAGCTTCAAATCTTTGCTTTCCGCTGTTGTCAGGCTCATTTGAAGCTAGTTTGACAATAAATGTATAAAAAAAGAAAAACTTATAAAAAAATTTAAATTCCTTCTGATCTTTAACCAGAAACTCTTGGAAAAATAATCTTTGAACCCGTTTTTTTTCTTTAAAAATATGTATAAAGGTTTCTTAATAATTAACTGATTTTTGTAGAATTTAAAAATTTTTGCAAACTCAACGCGCATTTAATAAAATCATCAAAACCGATTTTCAAAAATTACGTTTACTGAAACTGGAAAGTGATTCAGGTCAAAACTTTCAAATACTCGATTTTCATCTTTTTTGAGTTGTTTGTGACTTTCCACCTCGAAATAATGATTGAAAAATGGAACTTATTGAAAATTTGCTATACTTCTTCAACCAGAAACACTTAAAAATGGATTCTAGAACTTCTTTGCTTCCTAAAATCTGATAATATTTGAAAAATGAACTGATTTTTCAGAAAAAAAACTCACGACTTTCGAGTCATAAACGGGCGGCAGGAAGCTATAAGTGCCGCCAGTGACATATCTCGCCCGGAGCCTTTTGCCCAACCGTAAATGTTGCGACATTCCCAACTAAAATTCGAATATTTCAAATTCCCCGTGAAAACCAAGAATACAGGTGACAGTTGTCCCCAGCCACCGCCTCCAAATTTCCAGGCCGATTCTTGGAAATAATCGGTCGGAAAAGTGTCCGTCGGAGATCGGTCGCCATGTCTCCAAACCTAGGGAATGAATTGATTCAGATTGAATTTTTGCAATTTTTTTTATGAAAACAGTCCTCAATTGTTAATTTTCTATCATGGAAAAATCTTAAGATCTCGCCTAATCGACATTTTCAAAGAGTAGGATTTTTTCTCGTATCGATCAAATCAAAATTTGAAGCAATTTTTTTTCCAATTGAGTAATAAAGTAAAACTGAACGAAAAAAAATATAGCGAGTGAAATCCCAAAAAAATTCAAACGATCCACGTTGCATTAAAAAAAAACTGTTTTTTATGATTAAATTTTTTCACTTCAAAACAGAGCAAATAACCTTTCGAAATAACTAATTATTCAAATTTTCATAAATATTCGGTAACTCATTGAGGTTTGAGACAAGGGTCTTCAGGCAGAGAATCTTGTGAATTTCAGTTCGACGAAATTTTCATTAATTCCACATCAGTTCAACTCGTCCGGTTTGGCCCACTATAGGTTTAAATGGTGCATACACCGATTGCGGTTTTTGGGCGATGTCTTCATTAATAACGAGTTTTTTGTAGGAAAAAGTAGGCAAATTTGGAGAAAAACACAATTTGAACATGGAAAGATGCGAATTTAGTATTGAAAAATCGTACTTTATGTAATTTTTTTTATCTCACAAAGTCGAAAATAGCCGTGTTCATCTCATCGAATAGAAAATATGGTCGGAAATGCTTTCGTATCTTTTAAACACGCGATTTTTCTGTTTCATTTTTTTTCGACATGGAATGTGCGAGAGCGCCGCGGTGCATGCACACGACACACTACACTTTACGGAAAAAAAAATATGAGTCGCCAAAAAAACGTCTTGGGAATGCTCAAATTGGATTCACGGTATTTCGCAGTAAAAATTAAATTTAAAATAAAGTTTGAGTTTCATTGTTTTCTGAGAGCGACGGAAGTAGAATTAAATGAAAAATTGTTAAAAAAATTAAATGACGCAAGAAACAGGGATCTGAAAGAAACGAACCACTTGGACAAACTTGAGCTCTTTGGTTCCATCGAGGACCTGACCATCGGAAACGGCCAGAAAAAGGCCGAAAAGAAACAAAAATAGCATTTGGCGACGACGGCGGAGTTCGTACTGAATCGGGGTCCGATAACGGTTCTTATCGACAAAGTTTCAATGCGAAAGGCGTGAAAAAGAACGAATAATCGGAAAAGGTTTTATAGGTTGGTCTCATGCGATACACAGAATAAGGAAAAGTACAAAATGTTCCCGTAATGATTGAGAAAAGGTGTCGGAAAACAGGGGAATCTACAATTCTGTCATGGGAGTCGTTGGGGACGCTGGAGAGTCGATTCGAGGTCTGGAAAAAGGACATATTTGAATACAAAAAGGGGTTTATTTGAGGAATCAAAGACCTTTTGATGCTTGGCAGTGTTATGATGGGGTTCGAACAGATCGGCAGCAGCGGAGCAGAAAATGCGTCGTTTATCTTTAAGTCAAATATAAATACATTTCCGGAAATTAATTGTAGTCATTTCGCCTTGATTTGAAACAAGTTGCTAGCATTTAAAATTTGAAATTTTCTATTTATTGAGTCATCAGAGTCTTTAGAAGCGCCAGAGTGGTCCCTAAAGGTGTTAGGGGAAAACATTCCCTATAAAGGACAAAAAATGCTACTTAAAGGGTAAAAAATTGAATGGTCCATCCAAATTATTTTCCGTCTTATCCGGGAGTTAAAAAGACGAAGTTAGTGAAAATTAAAATGTTGAAATTTTTCATTCAAAGAAAGCTTATTTATTGAATTTTTCGCATGGAAACGCCTCTTCACATAGAGCTCAAAGAATGCACCCCTATGCCACTAACAGAAGGCCACTAACAAAAAGAAGGCCACTAACAAAAATGTTTATAGGAACCGCTTTTGCAAGCCTAGGAGCCACTTTTTTGATGCCCATATATGGCGAGATAGTGGTCCCTTGAGGGAAATCCCAAATATTGCCCCTCTAGGGACCTCTCTAGCGTTCCTGAGTATTGTTGAATTTTAGCCGCGATTTAAATGTTTCAAATAGCATTTATAATGGCTCAACATGAACAGGTTGAATAGCGCTGTTTACAAGAATGTCGCCGACCAGAAACGACCTGCGCGGGCTGGTGTCAAAAAACTCTAATTTGAACCGCAAAGCTTTGAGCCATTCCAAATGCAACTATAAACTCGAAAAAATACCTTTTTCGGTGGGGCTTTGATGTGTTCCATCACACCTTGGGACAAGTCAAGCTTGGAGACGTCCTGAAATTAATCCCACATTTTCCATTTTTTTTTTAAACCGATTTGCCTATATTTTTCAAGTTTTCAAATTTTTGAAAAAGTTTTTTTGGGCTTTATTAAGGGCTTTAACGGGTTCAAAGTACCTATTTCTTCATAAGAATTGACCAGTTTCAAAGTCAGTTGTTCGAAAAATTTGTTTATTAAATTTTCAAAAATCCACTTTTTTTCTGAATTTGTCGCCAAAAAAATGGCTCTCCATTCTTGAAAAAAAGACAATTTCGCACTCGACATATCCCGATTTCAGGTCAAATTAAAAAGGTTGAGAGGAAATTTATTGAAAAAAACATAAAATTCCTATTTCGGGCTGTCAGTATTGCATTTTTCGAAACTAACCAAAATCAAGAATTCTACGCATTTTGGACACAAACAACTTGAACCGAAAAAAATTTGAAATTTTCCTAAAATGGCCACTTTAAAAAAGCGACCGACTTTTCCAGCATACCATAGAAGCTGCAGAACTTCAAAAAATGAACAAGATAAGTTCCCTGAAACGGTAAACTCACGCAAGATTCGTCAACGTCGAACAAATTCTTCTCGTAGCTCACGACCTTCGCCACAACGCATCGGAGCTCCTTAAGGGATTTTTTAAAAATTCCATTTCTTGGATGAAAAAAACCTCATAGAATGGATTGATAGACAAGGCGCGGTTGAAGTATTCCGTCGCATTTACATTCTGAAAAATTATTTTTGAAAAATGTTAATTTAATTTCGAAACATCGCCCATCAAAGCGTAGCAAAATCCGACGGCCGCGATTGCATCCGTGAATTTTGGATCCATTAAAATCGCCCTCCTAAAATCAAAATAAGATATAAATTTCATTAAAACGACAAAAAGTACTGGAAAAACATGATGGCCTTTTCGTAATTGCCGGTTCTGCGCAAAAGATGTCCGATATTGCTCAGCATAACCCTCCAAAATGGCTCGATTTTCCTTTAAATTACAGAATTTTCCATTTAAAATAGAAAAAACCAACTTTCTCAAAACCGTTTCGATATCCGTATTAGGTTCAGTTTCCGTGATGGCGTATAAAACGTCCATAAATTTCGCCTCGGCTTCTGAAATTAAGAAAATTCAAAAGGAAATTGATTTCTTACAAGGAAAAACTTGGAGGTCAGACAGTGGACCCCTATAGGAACCACATAAATTTTACCCATCTAGGGAGCACTTTTTCTCCACTATAAGAGCCACTCTGGTGTTTTCAATGGTCATTTCTACTGAATATCAAATTTTTTTTTAGAAAATTTGATCCTCCATTAAAGACGCTCATCAAAAATATTTCAAACAAGAAAAAACTTGCTTGATTTCCATGGGGAACACTGAAATACGCATTTTATGCGACACACAATGAAAACTTCAAGCCCCTACAGGGGTCAAAATAGCTTTACCTACAGGGGTAAAAGTCAGGTGATCCCTATAGAGGTCTCACCATCACGTCCCTAAACCTTAATTTGTCCTTATATATTTATTTTTTTCTCATTCAGTTACGAAAAATCCATTGTGATTTTAGCAACGAAGTTCTTCTTTCCGAGAGGTAGAATTAAAAAAATAACAATAGAAGATTAAAATGCTCCCCTATATGGGGCCACTAACCAAGTAAGCAAAACCCCTTGTGCCCCTATAAGCGGAGGTGAGGAGGTTCCTAGAGGAGAATGAAGAAAGAAAGATAACAGTCAGAGAGGGGAAAAGATGTCTAAATTTTGGAGAACTAGAGATAATTCTGGTTTTTTTTTGACACGGCAGAAAAATATGAAACACTTAGAGACGCCAGAGAGGTCTCTATAGAGGAAGGTTTTAGGCCCTTGGAGGGGCTGATTTTGAACGCGGCGTTACTTCGGGAAAAATAACCGACCATCATATTTCTTAAGATGGTAGGCGACGACGGCAGTCTCATGCATCACGACGGGGTCTCTCTGGCCCCGGGACTCGGCTTCTTCCAAAAAACGCTTGCAGAGTCTCTGACTGTGGGCGCTGTACTGGAGTCCCACGTAGAGGTAGGGCTCCGGACAACGGTCGATCAGTTTGGAGGCCTGGGAGAAGGAAAACTCTTGAGAAAAGGTCATTTCAGAGTGAAATTTGGTTTTACTTGAGCGCTCTTTCAAATACTCTTTGAAAACTTTGTTTGAAAGGGCGAGAAAAGGAAAACTTTCAAAAAGGATCATTTTATTTAAAATTTGGAAGTTTTCGGAAAAATTCAAATAGTCATTTCAATTTTTTGTTCTGGAACTTCTTGGAAAATGAGGAGATTTTTTGATTTATCAGACAAAAGTTCTGGAAGTCAAAGGAAACCCTCAAAATCCGTCCGAAAAACCGTTCAGAAATCTTGAAACTTCGCGCAGATTTTTAAATAACTATGCTACACTCATTTTTCAAAAAGCAGAGCCAAATTTTTTTCAATTAAGACTATAGTTGTGAACAAAAAAACCAAAAAAACTGTGAATTTAAAAATTTTTTTCTTCTGGGATATGAAATTTTTTTGTTAGGATTTGGAAAAAGCTTCTGGAACTTTTTTTCATGTAGAGTAATTTTGGGAGATGCTTACCCTGTAATAACAGCTCATGGACTGTTCGTGTTCAGCTTCCGTGGACAAAATGTGGCCGAAAGCGACCCAAGCTTCGGCGAAAGTCACGTCCATCATTGTGCATTTGCCTAAAACTTTTTTGGTCCACAATAGAAAATTTCTGAAATTATAAAACGTTTTAGATGTATAAAAATAAAAACAAAAATAAATTAACACTAATATGAAAGTTTTCTAGAAGGGACAAAAAAGTGCTACCATTCGGGTGGTCACTATAGGGTTAGGATCTGTTCCATAAGCCCTTTAAGATTAAGTGGTTCCTGTAGGTATCTTTAAAAAACTTTTATGGTTTGAAAGTCAGAAAAACTTTTTCAATAAAACCTGATCGTTGAAAAAAAAGATGTTCCCCTATAGGGGTCACTAACTGAAACCTTACGGGGGTCACTGACTGAAATTCTGTAGGGGTCACTGTCTGAAACCCTAGAGGGGCAACTAACTGAAACCTTATAGAAGTCAGGGTCTAGTGCCCCCTATAAGGGGATTGATTTCGAGAGCATCAAAATCAACGAAATTCCGAGTTTTTTCCTTTCTATTTTCGATACTGTTCTGAAAATCATGCGACGAAAAAAATTCGTGGACCCCACCCCGGGGTGAAGCCTATATAAATGGGATGAGCATGACTTGCGACACCCAAGCCCCCTTGAACCTATTGAACCTATTCCTAAGGCCCCCTCCCTTCCTTCATGTTCAGAAAGTTTTTTGCCAAGTCCCCTTCCCCCATTCTCATTTCCCACCGAGACTTTCCCATGTATGGCGGCCTATCCTCCGAAAAGTGCCAAATTTTTTTTTTGCCAAAACTTACTGATAAAAGACCTCGCCCGGGCCGTCTGCCCAACAGCGAAATAGTACAATGCGACGCAATACCTTAAAAGATACTTTCGATAAAATCCCAGAAGATAAAACCAATACCAAGGCAAAGGAACATGGGGATCGTCCTGAACGAGCTGATGAGCGAGTTCAAAAAGCTCCCGACCTTCTCCCAACATCGTAAGGCAGTGAATTCGCAGCAACATGCATTCCTGGATATATATTTTTTTGAATATATTTCAAAACATGAATTCCAACCAGTTCTTTGATGACACGGAAAACTAGTTATTCTAGTTATTTTTTTATTAAAACCAACTCTATGGGGTCCGAAATAGGAGAAGATCTCGTCGGTGATTTTCTTGGCCGAGTTGAAACGGCCCTTGTCGTACTCGGCCCTGGCCCTTTCGATCATGGCTCGGGGATCTTTGGCGTTGCTCAGCGGCTGGCTCTGGTCTCTCTTCAAATCCCGTTATCTCTCATATTTCTCTAACTGAATGACGAACGATCGTCGTGTAATGTTCCCACTCCTTGGGCTTGATCAGGTTGTACTTGGTCATGAGGCGTTCGGCGAAAGTCGGCGAGGAATCCTGGAATTTTAAATATATAAAAAGCGTCTTCTAATAGAAGAGGCGCGCCGTAGCGCAACAGGTTGTGTGCCTGTCTACGGACCACTGGGTCACAAGTTCAATCCCCGCCCCGACCCAACCAAGGGGTTTAAGAAATGTTGGTAGTGGGTAACTACACACAAGGACGAATATTTCACCCGAGCCATTCCACTGATTATCAGGGTGGGACCCCAGCTAATCGAGTTGGGGCGCCGACGGCACTCAAGCAGTACAAAGGCGTAGAGAGAAGAAGATGATCTTCTAATGAAAAAAAAGCTTTATATAGTTTCTTGAAGATCAACATCCATACAAGGAACTTAAGAGCGTAACATTTTTTTTTCGGATAATTTTCGGTATTATAAAAATTCGAAATGTTTTTCCTACTTTTCTGAAAGAAAGTGGAAAATGAACAGACCAATCTGACGGCGTGGGCGATGCAGACCATGGCCGATTCTCGGTTCAAGAGTTTCAGAAAGCTTTCGGCGAACGTCAACATCAACGTGGGCATCAACTGAAAAGACATGAATTTACCCATGAAAAAGTTATAAATTTAGTTCATTTTTTCATGTGCTTTTCAAGTATAATTGAACTCAGAGTTATATTCTGATTTCTCTGAAAAAAATAAAAGGCTTATCAAAAAAATTACGAGGGAGGGTTTTTTTTTCATTTTTCGTTCTTATTCAAAAAGATTTGAATAGGAAATATTGTTTGTGAGGTATGGCTTATGGAAAAAAACTTATAAAAAAATCGAAAAAAACAAAGCAGAAAAAAACTCAATTATTAATATAAAATTGGCCCTTCAACCGTCAAAAATTCAAGGAATTGAAGTTTTTTTCGATAAATTGTTATTATTAATTTTAAGAATGTGAATGTTCTCTTGAAAAAAACGCATTTTAGCGTAAATTTTTTTGAATTTTTGTTTGAAAATTCCGTGTAAAATCTTCACTCGAAGTGGTCGCTCTCATTCTGAGGCTTCCACCTAGAGCACGGTCTCCGGGCTCCAGCACAAGATCTGCTACATTCTGAGCTCGTCAAGGCGCAACTGGACGGTCTACGCGCAGAAGGACGAGGCGAAGGACCGTAAGATCATGCTTTCAACTCTTTCGACTACACGTTTGGACTTCTAGCTCGCCAAAGGCGGTTGTTCGTTAAAGCTTTCAAAGTTCTTGTTCACCGCCTAGTCGATTACATCAGACTGAAACAACAAAATAAATGATTTGATTTGATTGAAAACACTTTTTTTTTTCAACCTTTTGGGACTGTATATTATGCTCAAAAAAGCCATTTTCAGATTATTTGAAACGGCAAGTTGTCCTAAAACATTGAAAAACTTTTTCGTTTCAAGACCATTACAAAATCTTTTCCATGCTCCGAAGACTTCCACGGATTTTATTTTCAGCCCTTCTCATTTTTTTACTCTTCTTTTGAAAAAAATATTTCAGATTACATTTTAGCATAATTTTCCGTCAGAACGCGTGCTTATGAAGCATTTGAAAACGCAATGAACATTTTAAAATAGTTATTCCATTTTGTTTAAAAAAAAAAGTTATTCTCAAGTCTTTTGAAACGAAAATTTGTTTTAAAATCGCTAAAGAAAGGCTCCAAATTCACAAAAAAAAGTACCACGCTCCTTTGAAATCATAGCAAGTACTTTCAAAAACTACAATCTGACCCTCATGCTCCTTCCGAAATGATCTAGAGCCGTCATTTGCTGGAAGGAATAATTGGTCCTTTCTTCTTCGACGTTCCTCCCAGAAGCATTGGAAGGGGACCTCAAAGGCAAGAGCATTGAAGTGTCTTTTGGGATCTGGAAAATCAAGTTTCGTTCTTGATTTCTGTGACAAAAATGGACCAAATGAGCGACGGGCAGCTCGACGACTTCTTCGTAGAGTTTCCTTTGGAAAAGGGCATTTACGGCGTAATAGGCGAATACGGCGTGGATTTTGTGCAGATCCCGTCTTTCGATCAGGTAGTTTATCCGTCGCCATTGCCGTAAAACTGTCAAGACCTGGGAAATTCCGGATTTTCTCAGTTTCAAAGGTTTTTTTGTTTCGTGGAGAGCCATCGTTCAAACATTTTAAGAATTATTAAAAAAATACTTTTCTAGGATTTTTGAAGCGGGGAAGTCTTTTAGAACCTAAAAATCGAAAAAAAGACTTTTTCCCTTCGAGACCTTCGTGAATTTTTTTCTTACGGATATTTTTTTAAACTCCTGTTTCAACCTCTCGACATAAGAAATCATGAACCTGGTCATCAAATAGTGAAATATTACAGAAAAACTGAAAAAAAGGGTTAAATACTCATGAAACGAATAAAAAGTAAGCTTTGCATGAACTGAAATAACACTGTTTGAAGCTTTTCGTCTCAGGACCTTTATTACATCGATTTTGATTCCCACTAACCTTTATATAATGAACAAAAGCGATCATATCGAATTCCTCTTTCGACAAAAATTGTGAATACAAAACGTCGGCGGCGGCCGTCGCGTCTTCTGTTCTCCCGATTTCCAGCATTTGCCTGAGAAAAATCGATATTTCATGATTCAAGACAAAAAATTCATTATTAAAAAACATACAGGATGGTTTCAGCCGAAACCTCAAGACTACATTCTTCGCCTCCAGGTCGAGAAATTTTCGTGGTCATTGGTTGATAACGAGGCAGCTTCAGATTTGGAAAACACCTAAAATCAGTTTATCCTTTTAAAGAAAAGAAAATCTAAGAAACATGGAGTTGTAATGGTCGGTGAAGCTCAACGATTCGCTATCCGGATTGATCGGACTGAGAAAATGTCCATCCGTCGGTAGTGGCGGTATCAAGGACTTCTTCCTGAAAGATATATCGAACTATTAATAATATATTGATCCCACCTTAGAGCACGCTGCTTGTTCAAAATGTTGTCGGCCGCTGGGGAAAACACGATCGACTTGTTCTTATCCATTCTTTTGTCTTGGGGATTCATTTTACCTGAAAAGCTCGAGGTACAAAATTTAGCCCTATGTACTACTAATCTTCTTACAAAAATTATTTGATCAAAAACAACAAAAAACAAGAAAAAACAAACAAAAAGATAAAAAGGCGGAAACTTGAAATTTGAATGGTAAATATCTTTTTGCAAGGGTGCGCCGTCGTACTTTCGAGCGACCGCTTGAGTGATATTTGTTTTGAACTTTTTGTTATTTTATTTTTAACATATCGAATCACATCTTTTTTCGCCGTTATCAGTGTTTTGGGACGTCTTTTCCCGTACGAAGCTTTCGAACTGTTTGTTTATGTTCGGTCCAGTCCTGTTGCTCTTCACTTTTCCCATTCCTTTTCAGCATTGAATGAAAACATTCGGTTTTTTCTCTCCTCATCGTTTTGTAGTATTTAAGCCTTCTTTCGAACCCTTTGTACGCTTCGAGTAGTTGAAAAAAAAAATTATTGCACACCGAATAAAAAAATATCTTGAAATGGCTTTTGAAACATACTATTTTTCAAAAGCCATCGTTTTTGGAAAATTTCGAAGATTCCTTCCGACTTACCGCGAACTAAAAAGGGGAGGGTAGCCACAACATATAAAACACGTGATAAGCCGGTTTTGAGTGTTCCCCGACCTCATTTTCGTTAAACCTCCGCTTTATGATCTTCGAAAAATATTTTTCATTAGACTTTTCTGATAAAAAAATTTTTCTTTTTTTTGGCCGTATTATCAGATTTAGACAGTTAATTTTATTGGTTTTGCTTTTTTTCCTAATCTAGCAATCAAGTTTTGTTAGGTCTGAAAAGGCCAATTTTTAAGAGGCTCTCAAAAATTTTTGAGACCTATAAAAATGTGAAAAGTTTCTCTCAAACGGCTTATTTTCGCATTTTTAATGGTTTCTTTTTTCTCATACACTTCTCTCACTTTGTTTTCTGCCTTTTTCGGGAATCGGATGATTTTTCATTCAAACAGTGCGCAGCGAGTTGAAAAATCTGTTTCAACAAGCTTCCAAACATTAGCAAATAATCTCTGCTCAAATTTCATCGGTATAAACTCTTCCCAGCAGTCAATTTCGACTTCTGTGTAATGTGTAATGAAAAAAGACAGAGTTCCTCTGGAACGACAACTCGTCCTGGAGGGAACAATACTCTTCCAGTGTAACTGGCGAAAAAACAAAACGAATGAACGCTTCCTCCAAATACTTTTGTCCAATGCAAATCCCGCCCATTGCTGCTCTCGAATCGATTATTTCCCTCTGATTTCCATGTCAATCGTCATGTTTTTGCCACGAAGGGAACGAGGTGAGCACAAACAGCGGGATTATTGGACAGTTCGTTTTGGTTATTATGGAAATTGGGAGAAAAGTTCGATTATGGTGTGGGAGGGATACGTTAGGCGGGTTTTGTATGTTTATGAATTTGGAATCACTTTTGGAGGCGTGAAGTTGGGAATTTCATAGTTTTGCTCATTTTATTTATATTATATTCAAAAATTCTTGCTGAACGTTTCAAAGGAGCACAGGAGATTTTGAATTAAGGTCTTAAAGCGAAGAAGAGCTGTTATCAGCTTTACCCTAGGACTTTGAAGACTTCTGCGCCTTGAAACATTTTTTTTTTTTGAAATCGTTGAATAAACTTTTCTGCTCTTCATTTTACCTCACGTAAGGAATGTTCAACGAAATAGACTTGGAATAGGTGTAATTTTGCTCTTATTTTGTCTTTTTTTCGACCTTCCCTGTGTGTTTTCCGTTTGATAGGGCAAGTTCTTCATTATTTCTTCGAACACAATCAGTTTTGTGTAACATTCGCAAGTTGAACTTGGCTTTATAAATAATTTTTCACTTTGAATTTCTAAAGTTAATTTTACGATATGGCTATGATTTGGGCCCAAGAAATTAGGATTGAACTTTTGCTTTTAGTTTTATCTCATCCTGTATATATTTTACTGAATTTTTTTCTTTTCCAAAATTTTATGTCCTTCATAGTTTTTTTTTTATTTTCTTTCTTTTTGGTGTTGAAAAACCATAGGGAAAATGTATAAAGTTTGGAAAAAAAGGAGAAAAAAACTTTTACGCGTGTGAATTCAGAACCAAAAGACTTTTTGAGTTTTAGAAAAATCAGAGCGGCTTCCAAAATTTTTAGAAGCTTTTAAAGACTGATAAAAACCATTCTGACAAAAAATGTTCCAAGGAACTCTCATAACCTTAACTTTGAACTCTCAGTACTTTTCAGTTTTTTTATGCTTATTTTTGATTAGTTTAAAAGATTTATTCAGTTTTTTCAACATTAGAAATAAAATTGTACTATTTTTTTCAAATTTTAAAAACCTTTCTTGTTCCGTTTTTTTTTCCATTTTCTTTTTGACGGCTTCTAATCTCAATCATTCTTTTGATTTCAGTATGTAAAAGAGTCGCATTCGGAATAACAATCATGTTACTCGTCGTGTTAATCTTTCTCCTCGGCTCCATTTATTCGACGTCCGGAACTCGGAATAAGCTCCTCACCGACCGTGATGACGTCACCGTCTTGCTCGGCGAGCAGTCGAATGTCACATTCTTCGTCGCGTTAGTTATTTCTGAATTTTTATCTAATTCCATGTCAAAAATGTTAATTTTCTCGGTTTGAATTTGAATATTCGCTTCGAAATGTAAATTTGGTCGTGTGAAGGAAAATTTTTTTTAAATTCAATTTTTTTAGACGCGAAAAAAATTGTCGTTTAAGGCTTAATTTTTTTCATTTAAAAGCTTGATACACGTCATTTCGATATAAAAATAGTATCATGATTTTTGACACGTGAAAATTTTTTTCTTCTTGCCATACGAGACATAAAACGGTCTAAAACTTTAAAATAAACTAGAAAAGTTGTGAAATGTGGAAAAAAATGTATTTCTCAACAAAATTTTTTCCAGAAACGCCACCTCGGAGAAGATCGCCCTGTACCTGAGCAGCTCCCCAGCCCTCGATTTTCCTCCAGTCTTGGAACTTGTCGATGGAAAAGCGGTCCTTCCTCTTTTTGGCAAAAGTCTCTCTTCTGGAATCATCGTCGAAGTTCTGAATTGCACGACGAGTCTTCAGAATTCAACATGTCCTTTGGAGTTGGTCCAAACCTTGGGTCCATGGAAATTCGGCTCGGAAATTTGACCTACTAGTACTACAGTAGTATTTAGCAGTTTAGTAGTACCACTGAGACCTCTATAGTGGCCACTAATTTTTAACCCTTAAGTGGTCACTAATTTGACTACTAAACGTCGAAACCCTATAGTGGCCACTAAAAACTTTCCAATTTTTTTGATTCGAAATTTTTTCAGCTGCAAAAAAATGATTCTTAAAAAGTGATTCACAAAAAAAAACCAAATTCACCTTTGCAGTGATTTTAATTCCGCTGCGGTTGTTTCGAGGCGCGCCGGACCTAAAACTACTTTCGCGTAGATCCATAGGAAATCAATAAAGAAAGCGTACTAGGTAAATGTTTTGAATAAAACTCCTTCGAGCCATTCCAAATGCGACCAGTGAATTTTTTTCATTATTATTTATCGATGGAGCGCAAAATCAAGAGATTTTCTGTACTTGAGATTTTCTTAGATCTTTTTTCACTTTTCTGAAAATTTACCTCTCGAGCTGAGTTTCCATGGACTTCATAACATACACAAATAATAAAAATCCTTTATTTTTAGTTTGACGGAAGCTTTCGTCCGAGTGACGGTGATTCGATCCAAATTCGTAGATTTACTGGTGGATCTCGTCGGCTGGGCTTACTTTTTCGCCTGGAGCATCTCTTTTTACCCCCAGATGTACTTGAATTATAGAAGAAAGAGGTTTTTCTGACCTCTAATGAGAGTTGGAATGGGATTTTCCAGTGTGATTGGTCTGAATTTCGACTTTTTGACGCTGAATGTGATCGGATTTGCGGCCTACGCCTGTTTCAATCTTCTGATGTACTTCAATAGTCATGTCAAGGTTTGTTTCAAAAAAAAGGCCTGAGTTGAAATAAAAACGGTACACTAACGACCTTGCTCGCAAAAAAGCTGATTTGCAACCGCGTCAGGCATCCGGCGCGATATCGCGTGTCGCGTTTTCTTTGGCGCGATGTCGCGTTTCCTTGGGCGCGATATCGCGTTTTCATTGGCGCGATATCGCGATTTCCTCGGCGCGATATCGCTTTTTTTTCAGTTGCGAGAGAAATGCGATATCGCGCCGGGAAAAATACGAGTCCAGCGGAAAAGCGGTTAATTTGCGATGTCGTTCATGTACCGCCAGCGATATCGCCTTTCTCTCGCGTTGGGCTAGACATATCTTTTCAGTGGGAGCAAAATGACAGCCATTCAGGATTTTTCCCATAAGAATCTTCATTTTTAGTCGATTTACCACGCCGAACACCCGCATTCCCCGCCGCCAGTTCTTGCCAACGACGTCGTCTTCGCGGTTCACGCCTTCTTCGCCTGTGTCGCCACGGCCCTTCAGTGCCTTTTCTATGAAGTCTACAACATCTCCAAAAATCCAGAATGTTCAAATATGTTCCAGAAAGATAATCAGAAGATCTCCACGCCGTGTGTCTTCTTCGGCCTGGGTCTCATTTTGTTCGGAGCCGGCTCGGGAGCCGTGACGATTCTCCACTTGATCAGCATCCTCGCCTTTGTTTCCAGCCTTTCTTATATCAAAATGGCGGTGACCATGTCCAAGTACTTCCCACAGGTTCGTCTTCAAAAAATGAGTTAGTTGAACACTTAACTGAAATTTCTGTTTCTTGAGGAATATTTTAATCATATTGAGAGTTTTAAAAAAGTTTATTTTTTCGTTGATCATTGCCGTGTAAAAGTAATTCCGCATGTTTCAAAATTATCGTCAGAAAGTGAAAAAGATAACTTTTTTTGTTTGCGTTAATTTTTGAGAGTCAGGGATAATTGAAATTAATTCGCTGATACAAGGTTGGCTTGAATCATCGAAAAAAAGGTTTTGACACGAAAAAAAAAGAGTGCCTGGTTGGTGGAGAGCGCAGACAGGCCACGCCCCTTTCGCGTCCCAAATTTGCCGTGAATCGGCTATTATACCTATTGTCATCAACTTTGGTCATTTACCTTTGCAATTGGGAATTTCCTGAAAAGTGGTCAGAACACTTCTTGATGTACGTAAAGAAGATCCTGAAAGTCTCAACCGGCACAACTTTCTGGTTTTCGAGAAATAGAGGCTCAAAATAGCCTATTTTAACGGGTTTTGAGCTTTATCTTGTTAAAAAATGATGGTCAGTCGCCCCCCCTTCCTTCCCTTACTTACTGAGTTCTTCACCCCACACTTTCACCCAACGCTGTCTTTCAATAAGTGTCCGATTCCAGGCCTACTACAACTTCATCCGGAAGAGCACGGTGGGCTGGTCGATCGGCAACGTCCTCCTGGACCTGACCGGCGGGACCCTCGACATCTTCCAAATGGTCCTCCAGGCGGTGAACGCCGGCGACTGGAGCGCCTTCTACACGAATCCCGTCAAGTTCGGCCTCGGACTCGTCTCGATCGTGTTCGACCTGGTCTTCATCCTGCAGCACTACGTCCTCTACCCCGATTCCGAAGTTCCTCGTTCCGAATACGACGGCGTCGAGAACCCGGTTGCCCCTCAATCTGAGCCAGTTCCCCAAGACGAACTCAGCACCCATTCGCCCATCTTGCCTTCCAGAAATGACCTCTAGTTTTCGACAAAATAATGAAGTCAGACCAGAAACTCAAAATTGCTCTGATTCAGTTTACTTAAAATTTGTGATGAAAGGATTCCGCGAAATTCGAAAAAGCCGCCTCCTGGGAGTTTTTGGACATTCGGACATTTTTTTGAGAAACTTTCACTTATCTTATTGAGGATAGAAGTAAAAATAAACATAGTCCATTTTCTACGACTTGGCTGTTTTTCTCTGCGCCCTCCTCGTCACTCAGCAACCCTCTTATTTTGAAGTGCTATTTTCATATTTCTCTGACCTCGCCGGTGAGGGAACAGAGAGACGGAGACACGCGAAAACTGTCAATTTGCGGCGTACGGACTATAGCCGTCAGAGAGTAAAAAGATAACTAAATTTAAGAGAATCAGAGATAATTTTGGATTTCGCGGAGTCTGAAAGCTTTTTTTCTTGAATTTTCCTATTTTCTGTGCCTTTTCCATTTTTTCCATAAAACATTTCTATTGCAAATAATAATAATTCCCTTTTATCCACCTCAATTTTTCCCAGTAATTCCCAAACTTTGTGGTTTTATTTTGTCATATCACCACATCCGGTTCTGCATACGATTGTACATTTTCCTCTTTGTGATCCAAAACGGCGTGGTTATATTCCTACCGGTGTAAAATTGAAATAATTGACTCAATGGATAGATAAAGTTTTATTTAATTTGCGTGAGAAAAAGTTGTAAAAGTTGTAGATAATTTCAGTGTTGTTTGGAATTTTTGAGCCGTTCCGTCTTTTCGGTGATGGCTTCTTGGAATAACCGGAGGCATGTCGACATTGGTAGAACCTCCTAAAGAAATTTATGTAATAAAAAAGAAAGCCAAAAAATTAAAAAAGAGTAAGTCTCGTTTTAGAAATCTCAAAAAAAGCAAATGATGAAGTCAAAAAAAATTTTATTGACCAAGTGCAATTGTGCTCCACTGATAACAATCTTTTTCACGTTTCCAAACCAATTACTGAAGCAAGAAAATTTTTCGAGTAGATAGTTCCCTAAAAGACTCTCGGACAGTGGTAACGCGAAACGGACGTGCTCCGGACGTTTCTGGGCGATCCAAGGGATCACTTAAGAGCGTTAAGGCTACTAAAGTGGTCACTAGAAATGCGCCGACACGTCCGTTTCTCGTCCCGTTCGCGTTACCAAGGTCCGAACTTTTAAAAGCCCTAGAATGACAACTCAAGAAGTCAGTCAAGCAAAATATTTGAATAATTATCCGTGGAGCGCACTTTCTACTTTTTTTTTCGGTGAATGAAAGTTTCGAAAATTTTTTATCTTTTTTTTTACTTCACATAGTCCTAAAATAAGTAGTCCTAACTTCATTAGGTACCCATTTTTGGAGAAAATTACTCTGAAAAAAGAAAGAGAAGAAAAAAAAATGGTTTTTGAGGATCTATAGCTAAAATTCCAAAAACCTCAGTAGATCTGGAAAAGACGAGGGTCGGGAGCATGCTGATGGCCCGACCACTGAGACCTCGGGCCAGTCTGGCGACTTTCAGGAGTTCCTGGGTGATTGGCGGAAGATCTTCCAGGTCCTTGAACAATTTGAATGAATAAATATCATTTTCCTTCTATTTTACCCTTGTTATGACGTCATCGATTGGGGAGAACTCTTCGACCAGCTCCTCGACAACGCCAATCTTTAATCAAACCTTTTTTCAATTAAACTAAATCCGATTCATTCCGCACATGACCGCAATAAGAAAAAAAGGAAAAAAATGAAATTTTTTTTCAAGTCGAACAAAATAAATATGAAAAACAAGTCAAGCTATGATATTTGCAGCTGCTGCCTTTTTGATGACTTCAAAATGTCATTTTTCATGAAAAAATGTCCAAAAAAAGTCTAAAATCGTCTCCTAAAATTTGCTATCTCGTTGTAAGACCCAATTTCTTTAAACCGCTTCCAAAATGCCAATTTTTGTACTGAGAAAATCTTTTCAAGTGAAAACATTCAGCTCATGTGTCCCAGTCAATTTTAAAGAATTTCTCCGTCTTCCTAGAGTTTTTTCCCTATCTCCTCACCCTTTGCATCTCCTCGATGCAACTCCGGAGCATCGTGTACAAGGCGAACAGACTGGGAACGCCGACGTGTCGGACCATGTCGGCGCGGTCGACCAACGCCCCGTCCAGGCACTTTTCCAGGTTCGAGGTGCACAGAATCAGCACGTTCTGCCGTCTGAACCACAACTACCTTGGATATTGTTCATACGAAACTCGTCGCTCAAGCTTTTACTGAGACTTAGATAATTCCCAAAAGATCCGAAAATTCTGTATTGCAACATTCAAGACGCATTTGCACTGAAATATCCTCATTTTCAAGCTTCTCATAGTAATGGTCAGACAAAACTTTTTTTTCCTACCTATATTCGTTCTTATTAAAGTGATCACTTCAGAGAAAATGGTTCCGCTCGAGTGAACACTTACTCATCAGAGTGGCCCCTATAGTAAAAACCTTGGAGCCAAGATTCCCCTCTAGGATCCACCTTAATTCTCCCTAAAAGGAGCTCTAAATCTTGCAAATGTGACCACTCTAGAGCCATCTTTCGAGTTGTCAATGACTATTTTCCATTGTGAATAGAATAAATATAATTATTATAATTAAAGGAGCATGCTATTGGTCTCTATAGGAGACATGCTAATCGATTATTTTTTTATAAAGCATTCCTAAGCAAAAAAATTTAAAAATTAGCGTTTTTTTAATCAGAAAAACATTAAAAAAGGATTATTCGACCATGTTCTATTAAATTTTTCTTTTTACCTTTGAAGTCTGAACAAATATCTAAAACACCCGTATAGGGACCACTTAAGCTTTAGTGTTCAGATTTTAAATATATAGGGATCACTCTGGAATTCCTATAAAGCTCAAGAATTAAAAAAAACCTTCGAACTCGATCGATTTGGGTCAGAAGAGCATTGACGGCTCGAATCGCGTCGGCCGGCTCAGATCTCGACGAACTTCCTTCCCTGGACATTCCCAGAGATTCAACCTGAATTGATAGAATTCTTATGAGCCTTTTTCAAAAGAAACCTCATCAATCAAGACAAAAACCATGCATTTTTTGTCCTCGGCCAGCTCATCGATCTGGTCGAACATCCGGTGGATCAGCTTTCCACTCTTGAATTTTTTAAAGGATTTCAAGATTTTATATATTTTGAGAACCTCAGAAAACCACTTGGAAAATAGGCTATGACTGTGGATTTCGACAAAAACCGAGTGGGAATATCGATTATTCAATCGGATCGATAAATGTTGGGCCAAGCCTTTGCACAGGGACGTTTTTCCCCGTTCCTGGTGGTCCTAAAACGACTTTTTGTTTTCTCGTTTTTTTAGAGAAATTCAACTAAATCAATGAAGTATATGGATGAGGAATTTAAAGGAGCATATCCAAAGTTGAAAAAAATTTTGAGACAAAGGTCAATTTTCCTTTTTTTTTTCCTTTCTAGGAACTATTTTAGAACACAGATTAATTACTCGAATTCATGACTTTGTTTTAGGATAAAAAAAGGAAATAAAAAAAGCGAATTTTTCCTGCAAATTTTCGCTCAATTCAAAAAAACATTTTTTTCGCCTCGAAAACTTTTTTTAAACATGTCCATGCTCTTTTAATTAGCCTAATAAAAAAAGTCCTGAAAAATAGAATAATTCCAGTAAATTCCAAAACCTTTCCTATAAGCAGATTATAATCGATTTGATGTTCTTATTTTGAAAAAAAGAATAAAATGAAAAAAAGAGTGATTTTTCCTTTTTAAATTTACTCTTCAAAAAAATTCCCTAAAATAGCCTATGCTCCTACATTTGCCCTACAAAAAAATCCTGAAAAGAATATATTTCTATAAAATTCAAAAAAATCTTACCTAGAAGTAATATGAGACGATTGACGTTGATTATTTTTCGAATTTACACCTCGATCCGAAAAATGAATCAAGGAGTATACATAGGACATTAACTGAAAATGATCATTTTCTAATTATTTTTTTATAAAAATATAAAACCTCATTTTTCAAGTGAGAATCGTAAATCAAATTCTCATATATGTGCTCAAATTCGACGCAGGGAAGTTGCCACAATTGTGAGCCCACGATTTCTTCGGAATCGTCATTTCCTTCAGAAACTCGCGTATTTTCCATGAAAATTCAAAAACCTGATAAATTTTGAGAAAGAGGTCCATCGTCATTCAACTTGTAGAAATGAACGTTGCTGCTGGTGGCCGAAAAATCGTGAAGAAATTCTGTCAATGGCGCTCCATCGGTCATTTGTGTCGTTCCCAACATTCCTTCTTCGAACAAATCTGCAAAACTTTATTTTCTTGTGATTATATTCATATACCTTCAATTTCCAACTCTGATTCCTCGGAATCACCATCTCTAGAAGCCTTAAAAGGCAAAAACGACTTCCAATTGAGTACTTTATTCGTGCTCCTCAACATCTTCCCGATTTCTTCTAGTCGACCTTCCGCCACAGATTTAGCTCTCCAAAATTTTTATTGAACCCTTCTGAAATATAATTAAACTCACATTTTGCGATTCAATCGAAGTTCTAGCTGAATTTTCGGCATCTGAGACTTCCCCTGCTTCTCCTCGGTCGAACGAGAAGAATTTGTAGAGCTGCAGTTAGAGCTGGTCTCGACTTCTGTCATTCTGTGAAAATAGTTATGAAATATGAGATTTTAAAAAACAATGAGAATGGATATGAAATTTTGAGATAAAACGAAAAAGCTTTTTTGAATTTCGCGCTGATTGGGTTATCAATGGAGCGCGCTTAGTGTTGTCAAATTTTGAAAAACTTTTTTTGTTCCAATTTCGAAAATTTCTCATTTTTTTCAAAGTTTTCGTCTTTTGTTAATTATTTTCTTTTGTTTTTCAGTTTTTAACACCATGGCTGATGATGAGCTGGAAACGTATCGGCTCTGGCGCATTCGCAAAACAGTTTTACAAGTGAGATTTTTCATTCTTAACTTATTTTCATTAGATTGGCACAAAATCCTTTGTAATTGTCTTTTTTTCCGATCTTCCCTTGTGAAAGGTATCACTGCCTAGTTAAATAGTCTGTTAAAAAAAGAAATAACCCGAAAAAAACAAGGATTTTTTGATAGCCCAATTGTTTTTCCAGATGGTCCATGACCGCGGTTACTTAGTTGCACAAGAAGAATTGGATCAACCGCTTGAAACTTTTAAGGTTTTTTTCAATAAAATATGGGAATTTTCGCTTTTTTAGGAAGTTTATGGAGACAGGCCGAGTGAGAGGAAACCTGGAAGAGGCGATTTGACGATTCTTGTGGCTCACAATGACGATCCTACTGGTTTTTTTTGTGAAATCAATTAAATTACTCTTGAATTCATAGACCAAATGTTCGTATTTTTCCCTGAAGACACGAAGATTGGAATCAAGACAATCAAGGCGATCTGCCAGCAAATGCAGGAACAGACGATTTCTCGAGCGATTATTGTGGTCCAGACGGGTATGACGCCCAGTGCCAAGCAGGTTTATCCTTTTCGATTTTAATTTTTATTGAATCAACGTTTTCAGTCCATCGGGGATATGGCACCAAAATACACTCTGGAACATTTTCTGGAGGCTGAACTTATGGTGAACATTACGGAGCACGAATTGGTTCCGGAACATGTCGTTATGACCAGCGAGGAGAAGGCTGAACTTCTTGCTCGATAGTTCGTTCTATTATTCATTTATTTTGAATATAAGGTCGTAAGATTTTCTTTTAAGCACTCCAGGAAATTAAAGGATTTCTGCCGATAGCTGGTTCCAAATGCCAGTTTTTTTTTTCCAAAGCACAGGTCTACATAATATTTCATCCATAAGATCACTTCGTCAGTAAAATCTTTCCTTAAAGATAAATACAAAAATGGAAATGACTAGGAAATATGAAATTTTCGAGTTCCAAAAAGACCGATTTTCTTTTCCCCAGGTTTGCCACAGAATAAAAACAAAGAAGCTACCTTATCTAGAAGATGTGCTCGAATTAATAGTACATAAATATAACTGGCATAATGAGCAGTTCTTTTATGAAAGTCGATGTTTTCCCACCTACTCCAAAAGTCCAAGGACTTAGTGAAAATCCTCATATAGCTGATTCACGGCTAGCTTGGGACGGGGCGTGCCCTGTCTGCGCTCTCCACGAGCCAGGCGCTATCTCGTGCATTTTCGTGTCAGGACCCCTTTTTTCGATGGCTTAAGTCGGCCTTGAATCAGAAATATATCCAATGGTTTTTGTTACATTGGTGAAAAAATCTTGGTGGATTTCAATGTTCAAGTTTTGTATAACCTGTATAATATTGAAAAATACTTCTCGCTAAGTGATTTCTATGGATTTTTTGATATTTTTCTTCCTATAATTCTTTTTCAACCCTTCAAAAGAAAAAAATTGAAACCAGTAAATTTTTTTCAAACGTAAATCTCTAAATTTTTTTGTTTGATAAAAATTCCTGCCATTATTTTTTTCAATGAAGAAAAAAATTACAAAGGAATGGGTCCTTGATAGAATCTCTACTATTCGAAAAAAATTCCTCTCTTCATTTTTTTATTTTTTTCTCGTTTTTTTCCATTCCATAAGATATTAATGAAGCTTAGGTTATATTTATTTATAAAATAATCTTCCAATAAAGAGCTTTAAAAAAATGTTTCCCTTTTTTTGTAAGTCGATCGTTTTTTTATCGAGTGCATGCCGGGATCAAAAGTCACTCTGTGAGCCTCGAAATAACCATTAGAGAGTGGAAAAGATAACTAAATTTGGAGAGTCAGGGATAATTTTTAATTTCGCGGATACTTTGATTACGGCATTTCAGCTCGATTTTTAGAAAAACAAAAAGATTTTGTGACTTTTTTCAATTTTCTCTTCCTTTCAGCAAACTGAAGGATTCTCAATTGCCCAGAATCCAGCAATCAGATCCAGTGGCCCGTTATTTCGGCCTCCGACGTGGCCAAGTCGTCAAAATCATTCGGCCTTCTGAAACCGCCGGCAGATACATCACATACCGGCTTGTCGTTTGATACTTTTACATTGATATTTTGTTGATTTCGTTGTTTTATCTTGTACTTTTGTCTTCAATCCGAAGTAAATCTCATTCCGAATCTTTATTCTCGATTTTTAATCCGTAGTTGAGTGATTTTAAGAATTGGGTGTAAGACAATCTTCTTGAAGGATTGAAAAATCCGGGTTGGCAGAGGGGAAAATGGATAAAATTTAAAGAAAATTGAGGAAAAGCAATTTTTTTCACTTTTCAATATTCCAGTCGATGTTCAAAATTCGTTCAGGCTCATTTTTTTTTTTTTTGAAAGTAGGTATTTCGCGCGATTTGGTGCTGAGAAAAGCCGAAAAATGGCCACTTTTTTAAGCATGTGCCTTTAAAGGAGCACCTTCCATTAAAAAAGAATGCTTATTTCAGAATTCATCCAATAAAACTCAGTCATTTTTCGAAGATTGCTCTGCAGGAGCTGCTGGAGTAGGAACCGGTTGCTCTTGTGGTTGTTCTGCGTTATTCTGAGCAATATTGAACTTCAATCGGAACTTTTGCCGCAGCCATTCCGAGTCGACGTTGTATTTCGGGTCGGAAAGGTGCAGGGCCGCTCTTTTGTAGCTCGAGTAGTAAATTGCGGCCCCTAAAATATTAAAAAATCGATTTTATAATTATATATAACAATGAAACTTGCTCCGAAACGCAAGAAAGTCACTCAAAACGAGAATTAGTACAGTTTTAGAGCAAATTGAAGTACTTTTCGCGTTTTGAAATATCAAAGACCAAGTCGGAAGGGTGGAAAAAGTCTCTATATTAATGTTCCTTTTAGGGTGATAAAGGCTCTTTTTTGCTGCCTTTTTGCGCCATTTTTTCGGCCCTTATGCATCATTTTTGCTGCCTCTCCCTTTTTCACTATTTCTGGAGCCTTTAAAATACTAGAAAAAAAATCTAAGGCTCCAAAGGGCCTTTTTTTCTGCCTTTTTGCCCCCTTTTTTCTTCGTTTTTCCGGCCTTTTCGCTGCCTCTTTGCTGCCTTTCTGTGGCCTTTTTCGAGCCTCTCCCTTTTAGCAGCTTACATTCCGACTTTGCCCGAGATATTGCGCATCTCCTCAAAAAAATAAAAATAAATAAAATCCTTACAAAATTTGTGGCCAACGTAAAGAGCGACCATAGAAACGGTCCAAATGTCCTTGTCGGCGTCCAACCAACGCGCCGACTGAAACTCAATTTTCCTCGTTGAAAAAATTTAGAAAGCTTACCAAACTGAAATAATGAGTTGAAATGGAGAGAATAATGTAGAGAACCGAAGAAATTATTGAAGGCAGGTAGGTGAACAGAATTTGGTAGATGAGGCCGACTTGGAAGACGAAAGTCGAAGAGAAGGACACGAAAAGAACTATCAGGCACATCACGGATAAGGTGTCTTGGAGTCTGGAAGAATTTCAGTCTTTATTTTCATTTTTCTCACTAAAGAACGACAGAGTGGTCACTTGAGGGATTAGGGAAAAAAGTGCTCCCTAGAGGGGTAAACCTTTGGGGGTCCCTATAGGAGTTTAGGGTCTCATTCCTAAGCCGCTAGAGCTTAACTGGCCCCTATAGTGGTCTATTAACTTTTTTTTTCTAAATTTGAAAGGTAAAACGACGTATAGGGGTCATCAGCATGCTCTCCTCTAGGAGAAAGTAAAGTGGTCCCTGGAGGGGAACCTGCAAGAGCCGCTCTAGGGACCACTCTGGCGTTCCTGAGCAATGCTTTTATTTTGCTACGAGAAGAACCTCAGGAAGTAATAATTTGAAAAAAGAAAAAAGAAGAAAATCAGCCAATTTCTTCATTTTTCTCATTAAGGAACGCCAGAGTGGTCACTAGAGATTGGGAAAAAAGTGCTCCCTAGAGGGGTAAAACATAGGTGGTCCTTATAGGGGTTTGGGGTCTGATTCCTAAGCCGGGAGAGCTGAAGTGGTCCCTATAGTGGTCTTTTGACTTTTTTAAAACAACGTATATGGATAACTAGAATGCTCCCCTATAGGAGGAATTAAAGTAGTCCCTTGAGGGGAACTTGCAAGAGCCACTCCGGCGTTCTTGAGCAATTATTTTGCTACGAGAAGGACCTCAGGAAGTAATAATTTAAAAAAAGAAAAAAGAAGAAAATAAACAAAAAAAGAAGGAATAATTTTTTAACAATGAAAAAAGGAGTGTTTAGGCAAATTGATTCTGGAAAATTGAGCCTTTAAATTTCAGCCATTCCTCTAACCTGAATTCAAAATTGAGGGTATATGTCAAAAGAGCTGCGAAAATCGAGCCTCCTCACTGTTTGAGATAAAACTGCCAGCGAAAAATCGGCTGCGGAAAAAATTGCCAGAGAAAAATCAGCTGAGAGAAACGAGCTGCGAAACTTTCGCCCGCCGTTGGCAGGTTAATCGCGCGACTGTGCGCTCCACCGACAGCAGTAACAAAAGTTTTTTAAAAGTTTTGTTCTTTTCGACGCATTATTATCTTGAAATCAAGTTTTTACTTATTTCATGATTAACGGTTTTAAATTACATTTTTGAACCGTTGAGAGTAAGTTTTGAAACGTCAGAAAAAAGGACAAGACAAACATTCAGAAGTGAGAAAAAAATAATAGCTAAGATACATAACTTTTTTTCCAGATTTTTGCGTTAAATGATCATATAAAAAAATTTTAATTGTCCGTTGCGTATCAAAAAAATGATGAACATAACAAAAATATGATTTTATTAAAAAAACCTAAAAAAAGAACAAAATGTAAGCATGACAGGGTTTTCCGATGAAAATTGTCTTCATCTCTCGTGAAGTTGCGGAACCAATACTCGAACTCTTCCTCATCGCAAGAATTCAATCCACCCTGATTGCTTTTAAGCGTCCTGAAACATTTTTTTCATTATTAAAGTGTTTTTCAGACTATCATAGACTGACTTCGCCCGATTTCATTCAAAGCGGAAATTAAATGAAATATTCCAAAAGTTCGCCTTTAGAGTCTAGAGACTCCCTCCAGATACAATTCTAAAGGTTGGCGTATTGGACCTTCCTGTTTGGGATGTCAGCTGCTTGACACAGGGAAATACAGGCAGGCAGGAGTTGAGGAAAGCAAGAGGGGACACGCGGAACCAGCAACCCACCAACTGAGGAACCTTCGCCCACGCGGGGGCGTGGTCGAAGGTTCTCCTATCGCTGGGCTGGTACAGAAACTTTTCTGCACGAGATCACAACAAAATGAAAGGAAGATGGATGAAAAAAAAAGGTATAATAAAAATAAAGAAAAAAAAATTAGCGAAAATTCAAAATCTGTCTTCGGCGCGTCATCGGTGGAGCGCAATATGTAGTCAACTATTTTGCCAACGGTGGGCAAAATTTTCGCAGCTCGTTTTTCGCTTGCAGTTTTTTCGCTGGCAATTTTTTCATCAGCTCACTTTTCCTAGCTCGATTTTCACAGCTCTTTTGACATATACCCAAAATTGATCGCCCGAAAAACATGGCGTTTCTTGGGAAATCCCGATCAAATGAAGAAATCACGTTTTCATGTTTCAGATGATCTATTTTTACTCTTTCCATTCTCATTTCCATTGTTTTATTTGGTTGTTTGGTCCGTTATATCATTAAAATCCATTCGATACTCCCTAATAGGAAGATAACAGACATGTAGATGAGTAGCAGGGCGGTGTTCCTGCCGAAGAGCAGAACGGACAAGGCGTTGAAAATCATGTCCATGGTCAACATCAACATCTGCGCGTACAGTACTAATGGGTACTTGCTCGCCATCTTAACACTTTTTCATAGTAATAGGAAAAAAAAAAGAGTGAGCAAAGTTCAAAAACGAGAAAATGACTTATAGGAACATCGAGACTTTGAGCTTTTTATTATAAAGCTTGGAATAAAATCAGAAAAAGCTCAAAAATTCTCTAAACTTTCTCAAGAGGATTAATAAGGCGCTTTGATATTTTTTGCTCAAAAGAAGACCTTTTTATTAGTTTTAATGAATGGGATGGTGATAAAAAAAGAAGAGCAGGTTTTTCTAGTCAAGTGCTTTCGAAACTCCACTTCTTTACGAATATACCGAAGATTTTTGGAAATCTGTTACCCTCAGTTTTTGTGAATATCCCACTATCACGAATGAAAGAAACTAGAAAGGTTGGAAAATCATAAAGAAGAAAAAAAAGGGACGTCGTCATGGAAACGGGCGGCCGGTCATCCCGCGCCGTGTCTTTGAATTCCCCCAATTACCTTTCTTAATTTTTTTCATCAGTTCTTTCCGTAGAAAAAAAGGAGAATACTGAAGAAAACTATGGAAAATCTGGAATTTAACATGAAAAATTTGGTTTTTATTCCTAGAAAGGTAAATTTCAGTCGTATTCACTAAGAATAACTGACGAGACAAACGCGAGGTCGGTGGCGGTACATTGACGAACTCGCAAAAGTCTCGCTTTTTTCTCGCGCCGGTCTCTCATTTTTCTGGGCGCGAGCTCGCAATTTTCTAGGCGCGAGCTCGCATTTCTCTCGCATTTTGAAAATTTCCGAAATGCAAGATGAATGCGAGGTCGCGCCGAGAAGAATGCGAGCTCGAGACCAGAAAAATGCGAGACCGGCGCGAGAAAAAAAGCGAGATGTTTGCGAGCTCGTCAATGTACCGCCAGTGTCTCGCGTTTATCTCGGCAGTTATTCTTAGTGTAGTGTTTGGACGACGAACCTTATATTTTGGTTCGGAAACCATTCTGTGGACGAAAAATCACGTTTTTACTGATCGATTATTAAAGATTAGTTCAAATAAATGGTCAATTCTGAAAAATTTAAGGCTAGATGTAAAAAAAAAGTCTTCTGAACCAATAACCGGTTTTTGGGATGCCTTTTATCATTTTGATGTCATTAAAAAATCTGCAACTTCGTTCCGCGTACTAAAAAAATTATTGAAAAAAAGTCAATAACCCTGGAAATTCACGAGAATTTCAAGAAGAAGTCTTTTTACTCAGAATCAAGCTTCCATACATGCACAAAACATCAAAATTTCTGAGAAATATCATTCTATCTGGGGAAATTAACAACTAAAAGAGAACAATGGGAAAATTTACGTGATACACTCTTCCAGGGTGTCCATATGTTGGATTCGGGATCTGGAATGTCGATGGTAGGGACTCGGAAAAAGGTGTTCTCGTTCGTCGGAAAGGGATCTCGCTCTGCTGCTCCGACGTGAAGTCGGCTTTTTTTTCTTCTTCTTGTTTCCATTGTTGTTGTTCGAAGAGTGAGGCTTCTTTTTCTACAAAAGGTATACTTGAGTCTCAATTTTCTTCTTTTTAATAATGCCATAGTGATCACTAAAGGGGTAGGGGGAAAACAGCCTCGAAATTTGACAAAAAAGGCCCTCTAGTGGCTCAAAAGTAGGCAGTCGCTATAGAAACTAGGGGTCTGACCCTAAAGCCCGTAAAGTGGTCCCTATAGGGATCTTTTATTTTTTTGCTTAAAACTCAAAGTTAAAAAGACGTAATTAGTAAATAATGAGGGAATTATTCACAATCAAAAAATTTATTCAAAAAACGCCAATTAATTTTTTTTTTCACATGGAAGCTTCTTCTCATGGAGTTCATAGAAGTTAAAGATTAGCATGATCCCCTCGAGAGGTCACTTTTGTAAGCCGTAGTGTTCCCTTTAGAAGAAAGTAAGGTGGTACCTTAGAAAAAACCGACCAGATGCCCTTAAGGATGCTCCTCTAGGGACCACTCTATCGTTCCTAGGTTTTTTAAAGCTTAAAACGCCGGTAGAAGAAAACATTTATACTCAAGTTTAGATAACGCTCTCTAATAAAATAATAAAAAAGGTAAAAAACGGTTTTTCTCTATCAATTAAAAACGGTCCAAACGAGCTCTAATAGTAAAAAAAGGTGTTATTTGAACTTTTTCCAGTTCCTAAAACTTTTATCGAAAATTCAAGATCGCCGAAAAAATTTTCTCAACAAAAAAGGTGAATAAAAGTAGGCGAAATTACATTTTTTTATGGGATTCAAAAGAGCACTGTAGGCTGTATTTGTGCAGTCACTGAGACGAAAAATGATGGTAAAGTGGAATTACAGCTCGTAAAACCTTCTCTTTTTGGCTCCTGAAACCGTGCCGACCTTGCAAATAAGGGTGCGCGCAGATTGCATGAGAATTCGCAAAACCAAAATTTCAGTGCAAAAATTTTTGCTTTTCTATTACTTTTAAATATTTTTTTCTCCTCTTATTCTTAATATTTTTCGTTTTTCTTTTCTGTTTTCGCATACTATATGTTAAAATCATTATTTTTTTATAACAAAAAAACGAGGAGCTAGCTTGAGTTCGAAAAAAATAGGTCTGTGGTCCCTACCTAAAAAGTACACATCAAGAATTATGACGTTTTAAAAAAATCACATGACCTAAAAATAACACTAAAAAAATCATTATTTCCCTTGAAACTCTCTTGGAACTTAACCAAAGCCCAAAAAATGAAAATTGAATTTTTTTTCCTTGTCTTTTTTTTTTCGAAAAACCAACCTTCTGAGCGTTTCTCTCCTTCTTTCTTCTCGTCTCCTTTTCGTGTTCGAATTGTTCCATCATGTCGATTTCCACGCCGGGCGGCTTCGGATTGATATACCGATCATTCAGAATGATAATCGCTCTGGAAAAGTTTATTTTTCTACATTTAGGTACGCCAGAGCGGTCCCTATAGGGGTTAGGAGATTTTCTACATTTAGGTACGCCAGAGCGGTCCCTATAGGGGTTAGGAGATAAAACAGCCCCTAGAGGACAAAAAAGGGCTTTCAAGAGAGTTAAAATTTGAGTGGTCTCTGTAGGGGCATACGATCGGTTCTATAAGCCCCTTGAGCGGTCCCTAAAGTAACCTTTAAATTTTTGATATGATTTGAAAGATGAAAAGAAGTATAGCATGCTAGTATGCTCTTTGAAATAACGACTTACTAAAATTCCTAGAGTGGCCACTTTTGCAAGCTTTGGCGCCCCCTATAAGTGAGGTGTTCCCTATATCGGAATCTTCAAAGGGTCCCTATAGGGGCCACTCTGTCGTTCCTAACTACGTTTTTCCAAAACTAACCTATAAGTCTGCAACAAAATGATGAGCATATTTTTGAAAAAGAAGAAAATCATGGTGTAGGTGACCAAGCTGTGATAAGCCATCAAGTAGAGACGGACCTGAAATTTCACTTTTCTTTTCTCTTTTGAAAATTTTCCTCAAACCAAAAGGAAAGGAATGTCCTGCAGCATGTTGGCTAGGACGATCGCCCAAATATCCACGTCATAAACGGCCTGAACGACACAATTAAAAAGTTATGGCTTATTTTCACCTTGAAAATGCTAGTTGGCCTTCTAGGGGTCAGGAATTGTTCGTAGTCGTTTGTTATAGCGACCCGCATTTTTCTGGCTCGGCTGACGGTTAGTACGAATGGAAATTGGAGTAGGCTTAGCTGAAAAAAGACTTTTTCGAAAAATCAAGCCATTTTATAGTTAATTCTCCCGAAATTTAAGGCGAAGGAGGCGGAGAAGCGAGTGGGACGCGTAGCGTGTGCGTTCGCGGTTCTTGGCACGAGTCCAACTCAACCGCCAGCGACTTTCGGAGAGCTCGTTTATCGCTCTTTTCATTTTTTTTAAAGCTTTATTGATTTTTTTTTCAAGTTGAGCTCGTGCCAAGAACCGCGTACGCGCCCACTTCGCGTCCCGCACTTTTCTCCGCCTCCATCGCCTTTCAAGTCGCGATGGATCGACTATAACAAAACTTCTGTATAGTCAATGTTTCCCGACTTGGAAGGCGAGGGAGGCGGGGCAAGGGGCGGGACGCGTAGCGTGTGCGTACGCGGTTCTTGGTGCCAGTTCAATTCAATCGCCGCCGACAAATTAAAAAGCTCGGCAACCGCTCTTTTTGTGTGTTTTCTGTTATTTTTTGATGCACACTTGAACATAATCAATAAATAATTAAAAAAGGAGTTAAAAGAACGATAAATAAGCTCTCTGAATGCTCGCTGGCGGTTGAATTGAACAAGTGCCAAGAACCGCGTACGCACACGCTACGCGTCCCGCCCCTCGGCTCGCCTCCCTCGCCTTTCAAGTCGGGAAACATTGACTATACAAGTAGAAAAATCTACTTACCGTCCATGCTGCAAGGACGATCCTTTGAACAAAAGTGTTGGAAAAGACGGCCTTCTCCTTGAAAACGTCGAAGAATTCGACAATGTCCGAGGAAATAGCCTAAAGATCGTGATTTAGAATAGCTGAAAATAATCAATCTAACCCACAAAAGAGACCGAAAAATGTCTAAACCTCTTATTTTCGCTCTCTATTTTGCTAATACATCATCTATTTTTGATAATTATTTATTCACACTATTTTCTCGAACAAGAGGAAACAAAGGATACTTCATAAACTAGTTCAGGAGCCTTCAACTTCAAATAATTATTCATTTATTTAATTTTGCTTTTCTTAACTAGTTTTAAGCACGGTGTTTTTGTTGATGGAAGAAAATGCAAAACTAAAATTTAAGAAGGCGTGGTCAAAACTTCCCCCGTTCTCATGTGACGTCATGGGGAAACGCGTAAACAACAAGAAATATTAAAGGTGCATTCAAAGGGTCATGATACGAATCTATTTCTCTTTTTAAAAAAACGCGATTTTACTGTTTTTTTAAACTTTAAAAACACATACCGTGTTGAATGTAATTCTGTGAAATTCAAAATAGCCACCAGAAAGTGAAAAATATAACTGAATTTCAGAATTTCAGATATGATTTTGAACTTCGCGAAAATTACGTTGAACGCGCATGTGCCACAGCGCCGCAGTGTATGCACACGACACACTACACTTTACGGATAAATTATAGGCGGCCGTCGCCAAAAAAATGCCGTATTAGCCGAATTTTCTGTTTCAAACTTCGTTTAAAAACATTCAAAGAATAATGCTTTCAATTTTCCCGTTCTGATAAAACAATAGACGGCTACTGATGAGCAAATGTTCAGAACCAGGAAATTAGGGATGTTATTCTCAGGCTATTTGTGAAAAGGAATTAAATTATTACCAGGTAAGCGAGCAAGATCTGTGAGAGCTGCTCGCGGCTGATGTCGCCCTTGGGAAGAAGCCAACGACCGACAATAAGGTTCACGAGAAGAAGTTGTTCCATGAGTTGGAGACGGAGTTCGTCGGAGGCACCGTCTTCAAAAAGGTCTTCCCCTTTTTTCGCAAATATTTTGTGAAAAACCCCTCCTTCTGGCCTAGTTCAGGCTTATACTAACTCACACAGTTTCAGAGATTTAAAAAAAGGCAAAAAAAGGAAAAAAAAATGATCGCTGAGAGAAAAGAGAGCGCAGACAAGTCAGACTTTTTCAGAAAAGTATGGGTTTTGCACGCTCCGCATCTTATGTCCCTTTTTTTTCTTCCAGAAACCGTCCGTATTGATTTATAATTTAAAGTTGAAAATTGAAACCGATGGAAATATCTGAAACAGCCGTGGTGACAGTCTGATGCCTCCAACGGCAAATTTTCGTCTCGAGAATCCAAATCGGCGGCGCCGTTGCCACAATGTACAGGAGAACACTCGTGCAGAACCTGCAAACCGCGACGCATGTATGGGACGACGCGTCGCGGTACACTCACCATTTCCGCTCGTCTCCCGCCCGCATGATGATTGCATATCCGCCTTCGAAAACGATGAGTAGGGATAAGGTGGCGAAGGCCCAGACGCTGTCCCTAGATAAAAAACTTTTCAATGAGCTTTCAATATTTATAACCTTTCCTCGATCCGAACAGTATGACGTATGGTTACCAGTGAGTGAACTATGAATAAGGCACGGACGAGGATTGCTCTGAAAATGTTCTGCGACTTGTAAATTACTTAGCATTTTCTTGGAATTGAAAACTTTAAAAACTAAATTTCAGTTCAAAAATAAGATACAGATGATCTTGCACTTTTTTTAACCATATCTTGTATCTCATATGTATCAAAATTCACGGCGTTTTTTCGACGACGCCAAGCCTACTTTTTTCCGTAAAGTGTAGTGTGTCGTGTGCATGCACTGCGCCGCTTTCGTGCAGAAAATTGCGTTGAGAGGCTCGTCGAGAGACGAGGAGAGCGCAAAAAAAAAAGCGGTTTCAAGTCGCGAAAAACAGACTATATACAAGCCTATCAAAGACTGTTAGGGCGAAGTTGTAAAAAACAGTAACTACTTTCTTTCTGCTAAAAGTATTCCAGGATGAAAATAAAAGTTCGGAATGACCTGGAGCATGAGATCAAGACTTGAGAGGCGTCGACACTTTGCGGACGTCGAACTGGGGTCTTTTTCGGTTGTTGAATACTGTGACGATGATGATGGGTTGAAGAACGACGGGTTGGCGTCACGTCGTAGTCCATCTCATCAGACTGGAGACTGAAATGTCATTCGTCACATCTTTGAACAGTCTGACTTGTCTGCGCTCTCTTTTCTCTCATCTACGAGAGACAAGAGAAGAAAAAGAGTGGTAATGAAAGAGAAAAAGGTTTTTCGGCCCTTTTTAGGTTGAGGTAAGTGTCTCAAAACGTAGAGTTTGGGCTTAAATAATGGAAGCTCTTCCTAAAGCCTGATAGTTAATAATTACCTCAGCGCGTTAATATGAAAGCGCTAATGAGAGAAAAGAGAGTGCAGACAAGTCAGACTGCTTTTTTTTTAAGGAATGATGCAGCTTTTGAGGAAAGTCAGGAGAGGATCCATCATACTCAGTGAATTTTTCAGAGTCCAAATTACAAGGAGACTCGCCTTGAGTGTACTTTAGTACCTTCAAATTTAAGTATGAAAATTTTTAGTAATAGATTTTTTTTTTCGAATTTTGGCGCTTGGAACTGCTAAACTTGTGGCAAAAAACTTTGGAAGCACCACAAGTCGGAAAAAATTATCTCTAGCCGTTTTTCTACCTGATCTCAAATCAGGGCAATTTAAAGTACATTTTAGACAAGCTTCATTAAAAGTTCAAGCGGAAGGTTGAAAAATTCATTTTTGAGAACCACAGATTTTTTCGGGATTTGGCCAAATTTTAACTTTCTGCAAGCCTCAACCCTTATGATTTCAGATTTTCGAAAAATAATCCTAAAAATTGATTGCTCATATCTTTTTGAAAGTTGCTACGAAAAGAGCGATTTTTAAATTTGCGAGGATTACTGTATGCGGATGTGCGCATTGGGTGCATGCACTTTCCGTGTCTACACTTTCGTTGCGTGACGTCACCGGGTAGGACATCTCCGGGTTTTTTGTTTCCGAGTTTTTTTTACGAATATTTTTCAATTTTTTCGTTTTTTTTTCAATATTTGCATTCTTCTCGATGATATTTGCACGATAAAAAACAGTGTCAAAAAACTTTTGAAATTAAAAAAAAATAAAAACCCGCAGATGTACGACCCGGTGACGTCACGCAACGAAAGTGCATGCACCCCATGCGCATATCCGCATACAGTACCCCTCAAAAATATAAAAATTACTCTTTTCGTAGCACCTCTTGGCTTTTGGAAAGGGCGTTCTCCAAAACTAGATTTTTTTACCGACTGAAACTTCCAGAATCTTCATAAAGTGTTTGACCAGATTTCAGGAAACTCAAAAATTCACAAAAAATAACCTTTCTTTCGAAAATACTAGACTTTTTTCGTTGCAAACTTGAACCTATTAACACAAAGGGCCATAGAGTGAAAAAGACCGGAATCAAGTGTAAAAGTGCGGCGGCCGAAAATCCCCAAAGGACCTCCGAAAAACTGACAAGTTGCCAAGCCACGCCTACTTTCTCTTCCGTCTCAGGACCTTCTTTTTTCCTCTCGAGGGACTTTATCTTGGTTTTGGCTGCTGAGTCTTGCCGTTGTCGATTATCGTTGCAAGAGTATTTTCCAACCCGTGGGGATTTCCCTTGAACTAAATAGGAACGACGTTTTTTTCGGAAACTCATGATTCACGTGAAACTTCCGCCAACTCAAGAGCAGCAGGAACCGGGTAAAAATTTGAAAAAAAGGGTTTTTCTTAAATCAAAACGCGTTAGATGAGGTTCTTGTTAAAAAACGCTTGATTTTATAAATTATTTACTTTCTAATGATCGATAAAGTCTATAAGTTAAACAACAAAATAAATTTTTGGTTGATCAATTGATTGATTGTTTGGGATTTCTAGGGCCTATAGTCGATTCACGGCTAGCTTGGGACACAAAGGGGCGTGGCCTGTCTGCACCTTCAACCAACCAGCAGCCTCTCTGTTTTCTGCGTATCAGGACCCTTTGTTTGATGACCCAAGCCACCCGTGAATCAGCTATAGGTCATTGCGCGCCAGCTTGTCACGATTTCCAGTTTATTTGGAGCTCCAATAGCCTTTTCGGCGCTTCGCTTCGATGCTCTCGGTGTGCCCCCTTGCGTGCGCCTTTAATAAAACTTATTATTTCCGAACTTTGGAATTTTCTTATTCTACAAAAACAGTTTTAACATCAAATTTCATATCAAACTAACCCAAAAATTATATGCGAGAAAATCTCGAACAGTCGGTTTCTTTAATAACAATTAAAAAGTAATAATAATTGAATCTTTTTGATTTTCTTTTTTTTTACAAATCCAGCACAGAATCTGAGTGTGTATAGTTAAAGCGAAAAATGAAATCAATCCATTGAGAACAACCTCGTAAATTAATAAAAGAGATAGAGGAAATTGAAGCAATATGTTAATCAGAAATAATGTTTTATTAAAGGCGCACGCAAGGGGGAGCACCGAGAGCATCGAAGCGCCGAAAGGGGTTCTCTAGCTCCGAGGAGAATTAAAATCGTGACAAGCTGGCGCGGAATGACCTATATACAAGGAAACAAGATAATTTTTCCCAAAAGGGGACATAAACGGTATGAAAACGGAAGGATTATTTTGGAAGTAATCAACATTTTTTTAATGATGAATTGAAACCGCTAAATCAAATAATTGAGGACATAGATAAAAATTTAAAAAAACGTTCTCAATTGACTCAAGAAAATGAGACCTTTAAAAATTTCGAAAAAGTGAAAATTCTCAAATTTGTAAGTTAAACTCGTAAAATATGCTCTAGCCTCTACGTCAAGTTCAAAACATTTATTTCTGCACATTTAGGACCTGAAAGACTTTTTTTTACAGAGGTTAACTTGAAGTTTCGAGATTCTGTTGGAATAGGTTCAAGTTTTGCATTCTAAACTTTGAACCAGGTCTTCTAAAGAACTGAAACTTGAATTTTAAATGTGAAAATCTCATTGGAATCGCTCTAAATTTTTCGGTTTGATTAAAATAGCGATTTTATCCAACTTTTCGTATAAATCGATGTTTTACCCAGAAAATAAAAAAGTATAAAATTATGAGAAAGTGTTTCAAAAAAATTTTCACGTCAAGGAAAGCTGAACTTGTGACCACTTTCATCTGCGACAAAAGCCTTACCTGCTGCGCCAAGAGTCCATCGAAGACGAAGAGGGCTCAAGTCGACCAAAATCCTCGGCTGCTTCAAATGCAGAAATCAAACCCAAAAGCCAGCTTTTTTTTCTTTTCGAGTTTCATTCTTATGGACTTGCGACATTTTAAGAAGCCCCCGGAGACGTTGAAATGTTCTATTGAGTTTGCGGTTTCTCTCCTCATTTATCTTCTTTTTTGCGCTTTCATTGGACTGTGACGTCTTGTAAGCCTGAAGAAGTGAAGATCTTTTATTAATTTTTTTTGTTTCGTAGAGAAAAGCACTGATGAAAAAAGAAACTTCAAGGTAACTCGAACTGTTCAGACCTCGTGTGGACTAGACGGAAAACTTCCGTTTTTAAATGACCATTCTTTTCTCTAATGATCCCTAAAAACGGAAAAACTACTTAAAATTAGAAACAAAAATTAGAAAAAAAAACTTCAAAGTTGAAAAAACGACAATTAGTGCATGATTGGGTAAAAGGTAGCACGGTACAAACATTATGTTTGACGCGCAATTTGTTTTTCGTTTTTTATTTTCTTTCGTAAGAATTCTTCGAGCGTTTTAAATTTTTGTATATACTTTATTCTCAAATCTTTGATGCATAATTGAAGGAACATAGTCTGACAACAAATATTTTTCAATTTCAATTTTTATTCAGACATCAGAGCAATCAAAAAGGCTCTGCTGAATCATGGTAGATTTGAAGAGCTCCTTGTTGTTGCGCGCAACGGTCGACCAATTCTCCCCAAGAACGCTTCGGAAGTCATCTCGCCAACGTGCTCGTGGTCGTCCAACAGATCTTTTCTTCTCCCAGGGCCGCCATTCTACGATCTTCTTTGCCCACGTTTCTTCTCCCGTCACGATTTTCTTTGCGAAGAACCATTTTCTTCTTGTTGCAACCATTCGAGCATCACGCATCTTCAATCTTTCGTGGAGCCAACTGTTTGATCTTCTATCCATTAGAGTCACACCAAGCATTCTTCTCATCATCTTCCTCTGTGCTGTGGCTAACATGTTCATCTCTGTTTTCTTGAGGGTCCAGACTTCTGATCCGTATAAGAGCGCAGGTTCTATACAAGCTTGGTATATTTTGACAAGCTTGGTATATTTTGACAACAAATATCACCGATGGAAAGCCTTTTTTGAGTCGAATCTTATGTGTCTTCAAATAACAGAGAAAAAATTTTTTTAACCTAATTAACTTTAACTCTGTTGTGATTTCTGGTTTTTATTGTTTTTTTTTTCAGAATCAAGGATTTTCTGGAAACTTTGCGTCCGAAGAGTTGGCTTATCATCATCGATGTTCCGAATGAAGCTAAGATTTCATGAATCAAGTGCTTTGTTTTTTAATTTTTTTAAGACCTTCTCACTTTCATCGAAATGCAATAAAAAAAAAACCAGAAAGTGATAATAGAAAGTTCTCCATCAGCAGATGAAACTTAAACCTAAAGGTCGGTATTTTTTTTCTTAACATTTCTGTTAAAAATCTTAATGAAGTCGTATTTTTAATGATGGAAAAGATTCGATTGCTTTTTTTTTAGCATTTTTGACAGGTAATACAGTAAATTGATTAGTTTTGTGATTTTGCGTTTCTTCCGTTTTTAAAACCATTTCTGTGTGTTTGATTGAGATTATCGCCCATTTATTCATTTTTTTTTGTTGAATAAAAAGATCCTCATGGAAACGATTGGAATGCGTCATATTCCGAGAATATCCCATTAGCAGACATAACAAAAACAGCGAAAAAGGTTGGAAAATCATTGGGACAAAAAAAAGGAAGGAGAGAGGTTGGGAGGTTCCCATGGAAACGGGCGGCCGGTGGACCGACCGGCCATTCCGCGCCGTCTTTTTGGCTTATCCGTAGCAATAACCTCTTCTAATCTTCTTTTTTTGTTTCTTCTCCTGGAATTCTCGAGGAAAAGCGTGTTCGGACTTGAAATAACTTCAGCAAAAATTTATTTATTCGTTTAAAGAAAAAAAAAGTTCGACCACAAATTAATAAAAAGTTAGGTTTAGGATGCTAAAGTTTCTATAGTTGAAAAAAATATTTTTTTAATCTCTATATTGAAGTTTCCCTTCAGCATAGAGTATTAATAAAAATTTTCGACAAAAACTACAAAAAAAGTTTTTGGCAGCAAAGTTGAGCAACTACGAAAGATAGGAGAGTGATTTTTTGGGAAGTTAGGCCGTGGATTTGTGAAACACGGCCATCATGATAATTAGAGCGGTTATTTTTCTCTTTTTTTTGATAATTTTTTAGTTTACCGTTTCATGCACCATTTATATAAGGTACTTCGTGACAGCACGTTTTCATATTTCAAAAAAAAAATTGAAAAAATTAACGTCCTAATTATGGTAAAGGTCGTATTTCACAAATGGAAAGTACGGCCTAATTTTTCCAAATAAACGCTCTTACTTTCGTAGTTACACCTTTGCGGAAATATTCTTTCAGGTTTTTTTCTGAGAAGAAATAAATTTTTTTTGAAACAGGAAAAATTTCTTTGGTTTTCGTGAGGATCTAAAATTGAAGTTTTAAATTTTTTTTCGAAGAAAAAAATTTTTTTATAAAATTTCCATTTAAGAAATTAGGGGCTGAACTATGGTTTCCCCTACTTTCAACATATCAATAAATAAATATATAACTTTTAATCGCATCTCCAAATTCTCATTTCCTGATTTTTTTAATGCCATAAGTTATTAACTGAAAAAAACGGAAAAAGCTGCACTTTCCTATTTGTTATTAATCAATTATTTAGAAGTCCTCGTTAATGGGCTCGTTTCCTAGAAAGCCCTTTTTTTCCCTTGTTTTCGTCCCATCAGGTGATAATGTTCACCTGGGAACCGTCCTTTCTAATTAATTACTTCAAGCTGACAAATGTTTTTTTATCAGAATTAGTCATCATTCTCATAAACATGCACTTTGAGCTAGTTGAACTTTTTGGTTTAAAGTAAAAAAAAAAATAAAACTTTGAGCCTTAATTTCGGATCAGACATCAAGTCTGATAAAAATTTTTATGCTTAAAATCGTAAAACTTTTTTAACCTTGTTTCAAATTTCTTTTTTTCTAATTTTTTTGTTTCAGAAAAAAACCGATGCAAGAAACGAACGCTCAGTGGGTCGAGAAAAAAATCTTCAAAGACAGGTTTTTTTGGGTTTTTTTGCAAGAAAAAATCTTGAAACCTCCTTATCCAGAAGAAAAAAAGGAAAAAAAGTAAAAAAATAATTTTTTTGTGGAAGAAAAATTTATTTTTTTGAGTTTTCTACCGCTCTTTGATCAAGATATAATGGGTTTTTCTGTTTCAATTCTTAAGTATAAATTATAATTTTTTTACAATTCTTCAATATAAGTTCAATGTTGTCGTGTAGATTTCGAAGTAAAAGTGTACCAAAAACCTTGGATTTTTTTATTCCCAACTACATTGTTATACAAAAAAATTAAGCTCTCCTTCAAAAGCGAGAAAAAAATATGAGAAACTAGAATATGACTTGTAAACTGATGAAATATTTTAATAATTTAGAAAGATCGTTTTTTTCTATTAAATTAAATATTTTTTTGCTCTAAGAAACTTCGCTAAATGGTCTATTTTAAGAGCCTTGATTATTTCAAGAAAAAAACTTCAAAAATCCAAAAGTTATTGTTCATATCGGGTAAGTCCGAGTGATGTGTGCTTTTGAGAATCTTATCTTTTTAATAAAATATGAAATTTCTGATACAGCCATTCCAAATAGTCATTTTATGATCATTTCGCAACATTTTTGCGACTCAATCAATCAAATCAACCTTCTCGTCAAACCGTGTCTTCATTGGGAAAAAAAATCTGCTTCCTTATTTCTTTTTTGGTTTCCTGTGAATTCCAGAGGCACCCAAAAAAGATGTTAATGGCAAAAAATGGAAAAAATAGTTGGTTGAAAAATTAATTATCTATTATGATCATACTACTTCGAATTCCTGAAAAACGATCACTAATTGATCTATAAGATCCGAAATTTTTGAGAGAATCAGAAAATTTTATATCCTTCTTCTAGGGTTAATCAGAAATGGAGAAATATCCAGTAATATCTCGAAATCTAGAAATTTGGTCAAGAATTAAGAGAATGAAACCGGAAAGCTATAAAAAATATTCCGGAAAAGAGACTTTTTTTAAAATCAAGCGGAGCTTCTAAAAATGGTACTTGGTGAATAATAAAACTAAAAGGTCGCACGAAGGCAGCAAAAAGAGTCCCTTTATCGAACCTTCCTTTTTTTGGAATTTTAAAGGAATAATGGAGGAAGAAAGCACAATTAGTGCATAAAGGCACGTCGGAAATAGATTGGGATAATGAATTTTCATCCCTTTTCTTAACAAACGACATTGAAACTAGCACCTAGATGTGCCTATGAACCAGAAAAGTTAGAAAGGACCAAGACTTGAAAAATATGTTCAAATTTCAGGAGGCTAATTTTTTTAAGCTTGACAAATTTTGATCACATTGACTATATTACTGTGCGGTTCCATGAGAGATTATTAGTTCAAAAAAACGTAAAAATAGTTGTTTTTTTCGTTAAATTAAAAAAATGTCTCCAAGAACTGCAAAATGTAGCAGTTATTATGTGAAAGATCGCGTTGAAGCTAAAACAAAAAAAAGGTTTGATTGAAAATCTTGTCCTTTTTTTCTAAACGACTAAAATTCCACTTTGAAACCGTTAAGTTACGGATTTTTGTCTTTTCATCATTTTTGTTTTCAAAAGTTATTTTTGACAATGATGTCAAATTCTATTGGATAGTTGGTCTCATCGGAAAATCGGCTCTAAAACATTATTATTAACTAGGGAACGTTTTTTACCCCCCGGTTGAACTTTTGCTGAAACTTTGCCGAAGTGTACTTTAGGACCCCCTGATTGCAGATTAAGAAGAAAATTTCTCGCAATAGATCTTGTTTCCGAGTTATGGAGCTTCAAAGTGCGCAAAATACGCAAATTAGGCCAAAAAAGCGCTATTTTGCACACTTTGAAGCTCCATAACTCGGAAACAAGATCTATTGCGAGAAATTTTCTTCTTGATCTGCAATCAAGGGGTCCTAAAGTACACTTCAGCAAAGTTTCAGCAAAAGTTCAACCGGGGGGTAAAAAACGTTCCCTGGTAAGCTCGAAACTGTCCCGAAACTTTGTTGATATGGTCTCTAGACCATTCAGATCAACGCCAAAGCAAAAAAAAATCTCGATTTTCGCTTTTTAATCGATTTATGGCGCTCTAAAAGAAGCATTTCGATTCAAAAAATGTTACACTGTAGAATTCATGAGTCTGGTCGGCAGAATTGTGTTTGAAGCTGATCAACCCGGACTGGCCCGACCAGACCTCAGTTTTCGCGAAAGAAAACTGCGTGTGCCTAGGCCAAGCTTCGACTAAATAAAATAATCCTAACTCAATATTTCCACCTGTTTTTAAAATTATATTTTTTGTTGATATGAGAAAAAAAAAAGGAAAACATGATTTTGTACTAGAATATTCTGAAACTTGACATGGAGTAGATTTTCACTTTTTGGGCCGGGTCGGGCTAAGAAAATGGCCCGGGATCCCTACTCGGCAGGAATTATGCTCCGGGCAGACCCTATCTGGGATGCGGCCTTTAAACTTTCGGTGCTTTTTCTTGCTCATTCAGGGGCACAACCGAGCGCGGAGTCAGTTTATCGCGCAATGACCTCGAGAGTGGAGTTTTCGAAATTCCGAGTCAATTCAGTGCAATTTCAGGGGAGAAAGCGAGCGAAAAAAAGCGAATCTAAAATCTGTAATTTTCTCAAATTCAATTCTAAAGTTTTTATTTAGTAGATATTTTAAAATTTAATAGAAACTCCTGCTATCGTAATAGCTTACTTCCCGCACCTTATTTTCGCCCAATAGGAATAGGTTAAGCCCCGTTGATATTAAATTTTTTTTTCCATGCAAGTTGAATTTCGTGGTCAGCACTGTGCAGCCTCTCCTTTCGCACGAAAAAGGCTCGAAAATGTTACGGTTTGTCACTACCACTTGCAAAGTGCAAAA